TCTTTGGATAATTGAAGCGTCTGAGTTTAGTTTTACAAAACTAGTCAACATATGTTAGTTAAATAACTATCGTTAAGTACGTAAGTAATAATCATTAGGTTTCATTAAGTAACCTACTGGCATATGTATTCAAAGTCGAATAATGTATGCGCTGTACATTATTACGTGTACGTCCACGCATATAGTTTGGGATCATTTCGCGTTGAAATAACGGCGGTAGAAGTCGCAAATCAATATGTTGTCGATCATTGTTTACTTATTAACGATTGATTGTTTAGTTTACAGTATAATTTTTATCAGTTAACACGAATAATAGATTTTCAATTGCGAGGAATCAATAGCTATAATTATATTACTATATATTAAGTGTCAGCCGCTGATGCAACTTCAAATTTTATATCATAGGTAAACTTTGGTAGTTTCCTGTATCAGACTTTTGATAATGTGTAATTTTGATTAGCTAGTGGACCAAAAATTAATTTCCGCATAGAGAGTTTATAAACGCAATCCGCCGTATAGACGTAATTGCTAAGTTAGATGTATAGTATTTACAAATATATATACTGTACGTATGTATGAATGTATAGAGTCATAGAGATATACGCGTGGTTCCAACAAAGACAGCTACTCCTATATTTGAATTCTTGTAAAGATTTATCTTAAAAATCCATAGACTACTTGAAAACTTTTATTGTATTGTGGAAGTTTAAATTAATGAAGTAAGGTTTGCACAAAAAAACAGTATCATAGAGATGTCTCGGGCCCTATTAGTTAAGCTTCAAAATATATTATATTTTCTTTCTTTCTTTTGAATGCAAAGTTAAGGACTTTTAATCAACTTGTATTGTCATTTAAAATAATACACTAAAGGTAATCATTGCTTTCGAATAGTATTTGACATTTGAATAAGATAGTTTTAACTTTTTAATTGATGACCAAATTAACGACAGGAGAATAATATTACGTACATGTGGTGTTACTCCGTTTTTTTCCTTTTAACAATTCTTTTGTCGTTTAGTGTTTTGATTGTAGTTTGCAATCATATTATTATATTCGCGTTTTTGTCATAAAAAAATACTATAAATTTTTGTATGCAACATTTATGTTCCTTACTATTACGATTTTACTAAGAAGGTTCCATTCGAACACTATATTCAATTTTTAAAAAGTTTGTTTTTTTTAATAATTAGTCAACATACTACTATAGACCTGTTCTAATGTCATGTAAAATTTGGTTTGGAACTCGTGAAAAAACTCTCGTAACAAAATAAAAACATGTTTCTTTGAGGACTTTATCAATATCGAAAAGCTTGTAATAAGCAAAAAATCATCAGACATAACATGGTGATGGACTGATGGTGGGGGTCGCAAAAGCTATATTCATAAGTTTGGTCCTCTCTTAAACTTCTCATATTATCAAATGACGTACTGATAAATATTGATAAAGTCCTTAAAGACAACATATCAAAATGGGTTTAGACCTATGAATCTAATCTGTCTCTTGCCTGCACATGATCCCTAATCTTGTGTCAGTCTCTGTTCTCTGTACATTGTCTATAGTTTCTGAAAACATAAGAGAACAATGATTAAATATCTCTACATTTAAAATTTAACACACAATTTTGAGAAGTTATCTACAAAAATTGAAACTTAAACACTAAAGTATTAATTAAATGCTAGTACCGTATTAAGTATTAACTACTAAGTACAGATTTTTGGGGTGTTACTTTTAATATAATAGCCAAAGTAAAAGCAGAATTGGTTTTGAAATCTTTCAAACTTTGAACTGTGAGTTTTAGTTTTTTTTTTTTCTTTTTTATTCGTACTGGTAAACCATGTTATGAAACGGTGACATCGGGCTAATCAACTTAACATATATTTTCTATATATTGTTTGTAAATCATGAGCAGTGTAAATAATTAGAAATCAATGTAGTCCAAAATAAACTTTAACTTGTGTCATATAGAATTATTGATACCCTAAGAAAACAGACTATTCAATCTAAGACAACTACCACCTAAATTCCTCACAGCTAGTCGAATATGGTATGGAACTTGAATTCCAGGAAAATTTTCTCATTATAATTACGACAGACACAAATTTTGGGTATGAATTGCTAATTTGGAAGAGTTTTTCAACTTGTATCTTTATATATATATATCTACATAAACACCAGAAATGAAATAACATAAACAAAATAGGGTTGTTACAAGAAAATTCTAGATAAACATTACCAAACCCAAAAATACTTTTTTTTTCAATACTTCCCTAAAGAGTTCCTTCGTGGCACGCCATTGACTATAGACTATAGTGACTAGAGGGAATCCTAAAATAATTTAAAGTGTTAAATGGTCCTAATTGCTAGCAGTTAACGTTATTTAAAACTACATGGTTATAATTCTCTAGAGAAAATACAATTAAAATTACATGGTACTACTAATCTATACGTCCTAATTATTCAATAATACTATCTTGAATACAAAAAAAGTTTCCACATTTATCTTTCAGTGAGAAAATCATACAACATTTTAGAGTTTGGCCCTAACTATAAGAGTATAGGGTAGATTGGCAAATAAATATAAAAGCAAACATATGTATTAAGTAATAGTTAATAATATTATCATGGTACAAATTTTCCAACATTTTTTTTTCTCTGATGTGACCCTAAACTTACCAACGACGACTATGCTACTCGTGAAACTTTTTACCAGATATTCATAATAGATATTACTGATATATTGAAGTTTTATTTCTCTTATATATACAATTTATACACTATGTGTATGTTTATATACAAGCATTATTCGAACTAACTATGTCAGCTCTAACTAATTGACCAGTCAATAGTCTTTTTGTTTAAAGATTTCCAGCATATATATTTGGAAAATTTACGATAATTGATTGGGCAGCTAAAAATCCGAGAAAGTTTAAAAATACAAGTTTAAAATATATCCAAGAGGTGGGATCAACAAATGAAGTATATTTTTCTGCATCTTCTTTGGGAAACATAAATTATTATACTTTTTTTTTTCACGACATAGATTATTGTTCTTTTGCACGATTTAATATTTTCAACCAACATTTATGATTGCAATTATTCTTATGATTGCAATTTCGTAGTTATTCCCGCCTTTTATGTTCATCTCTACTTCTGTCTTATCTTTTTTTTTTTTTTTTTTGAACTTTAGTTCTGTCTGTATGTATAGAAATCTGTGTGATACAGCAGAATTTCCAAAAATAATATTGATTTAGTTTCGAATTGCTATTTGCAATTAACTTTTGATTAGGTGTTATATATATATATATATACATCTTTCTCATGTGGCAGTCCTTTTTCTTCACATCTAATGTGGTGGTAGTTCGTGTAGTAAAATTGTCATCATGTTCCATAATGCAATTAAATTAGTTGTAATTTAGTGTATCATGAAAACACGAGTTAAAAAAGTTAAAATTATTTTGTTTTATGTTATTATTTATTACCATTGTAAGCCCTCGTATTAGCTCTCCAATCGTTACGACCAGGAAAAAAAGCTGCAATGCCACTAAGTTTAATCCCACATGCGATATCTCTCATAATTGAGATTTCACATGCACCCTATATCCTATGTCTGTATGCACATATAATGGAAACTTATTATTTACATATATAGACTATTAAAAAAAGGAAATACTAGGAAAAAAGAATTAGGAGGAAAATATCGTCCGCCTTCTAAGGAGGATAGAAAACAACACGTATAATGATATTTAATTTGGAGTAGAACAAATAGTAGTCTATGTGCGATCATATAAATAAAATGAATGTGGTATGTGGATATACTATGACTAATATTTGTTACGATCAGTACGGAACAGATGATGATGCAGTAAAAAATTGAAAAGTGAATTCAAATATATAACAAGAAGGAAATTTAAAAACGGAACTGCATGCTTATGTACTTATGTTTATACTACAGTAACAATCGAGAAGTGTGAAGCGAGTCGACGCGGTATTTTTTACACCGAGTCACAACACGCGACCTCGCATATATTTAAATCACATTAATAATGTCACAAAATCAAACTCGTTGTTGTTAATTTGATCTATTGTGGTTTAGTTTAATCGAAGTTGGTATTATAACTCGGTTACATCTTCAAAAACAGCTGTCTTCCTATTGATCGCGAAGGTTTCTTATGTCAGCCATTTTAGGACATTTGACTTTACTTATAATCATCACCCTTTTCCATACATTTTTGCATGTTAAAGTTTAAATTGCCTTTCTACATATGATGGGTGTTTTTTCAAAAGCATTAAGTTTTTTTTTACTACATATTACTATCATAACTTCCACTTGTATCACTTTGAAAAAACTAGCAACGTTCTGGCACCACATTGTAATATGCATAATCGGAAAATTTGTGGTCCTTTCCATAAATTTCGCGCACCAACGAGTTCATTTTTTTTTTAGTGTAATCATTTATTTTGAAATATTTTATAGGTTTCTGTTGACTGTATACGGTTTACATAATTTTAACATTTACAGAATGTCGGTAGAAAACTAGAAAATAAATTATATTATCGAATATGAATATATGATTGTGGTAGATGTCATTGTGATTAACATAGCTTAACAAGCATCCAATATAGTAGCAATTTTTTTTTAAAATGTCATGCTTAAAAAATTACAATTATCAATTCGAATTGGTTTGGCTTATTTCAATCGGGTAGTTGAAGATTAGTTTTCTAAGACAGTGGAAATTTCCTGATTTTTTTTTTCTTTTAATTATAAAACTAACAAAACCAATAATTGCCAGCTAACAGCAAAATAAAATATAACAAAAGAGGAAAAAAAAAACGTAGATATTGAATCGGTCCCTTATGAGTGAAGCCCACCTCAAACGACTACTTTTTCCATTATAAAAACAACTCTTTTCCATGCAGAAACACAATCAATCACTTCTTCTTCACCTTCTTCAAACATTGAACATTTTCTCCAATTTTTTCTTCCTCTAATAATTTGGAGAAAAAAGCCTTAGCAGCCGGAGAAAATTATCCGGTGAAACAATGGCGACTCCGGCATGGAGTCATGCCAAGGGTCAATGGGTAGTCGCCATGTTGGCGTTACTTGTTGGCTCGGCTATGGCTACCGAACCTTACTATTATAGCTCTCCTCCACCACCTTATGAGTATAAATCCCCACCGCCTCCGGTTAAATCTCCTCCACCTCCTTATGAATACAAATCTCCACCACCTCCGGTTGAATCTCCACCACCACCGTATTACTATCATTCACCGCCGCCGCCGGTGAAATCCCCTCCACCTCCTTACGTATACAACTCTCCTCCTCCTCCGGTGAAGTCTCCTCCACCTCCGTATTACTACCATTCTCCACCACCACCGGTGAAGTCTCCTCCCCCTCCTTATGTATACCACTCTCCTCCTCCACCGGTTAAGTCTCCTCCACCACCGTATTACTACCACTCTCCACCTCCTCCGGTGAAGTCTCCACCACCACCATATTATTACCACTCTCCACCACCACCAGTGAAATCTCCTCCTCCTCCTTACTACTATCACTCTCCACCTCCTCCGGTGAAATCTCCACCACCCCCATACTACTATCACTCACCACCTCCTCCAGTGAAGTCTCCTCCACCACCTTACTACTACCACTCTCCTCCTCCTCCGGTTAAGTCTCCTCCGCCACCGTACTACTATCACTCTCCTCCTCCCCCAGTCAAGTCTCCACCACCACCGTACTACTACCACTCTCCTCCTCCTCCAGTCAAGTCTCCTCCACCACCATACTACTACCACTCTCCTCCTCCTCCGGTCAAGTCTCCCCCACCACCATACTACTACCACTCTCCTCCTCCTCCGGTGAAGTCTCCACCACCACCGTACTACTACCACTCTCCTCCTCCTCCCGTTAAATCTCCACCGCCACCATACTACTACCACTCTCCACCACCACCGGTCAAATCTCCTCCACCACCGTACTACTACAGTTCACCGCCTCCACCGGTGAAATCACCACCTCCACCTTATTATTACTCGTCCCCACCACCACCAAAATCTTACCCTCCACCATACTACTACTCATCTCCACCACCTCCACCAAAGTCGTACTCGCCACCGTACTACTACTCATCACCACCACCTCCGGTGTCATACCCTCATCCTCACCCCCACCCACATGCACTTGTCTTCAAGGTTGTTGGTAAAGTGTATTGTTACAGATGTTATGACTGGACTTACCCCAAAAAGTCCCACGACAAGAAGCATCTCAAAGGTAATTAATTAAGTCTTTCACGTGTTCAATAATTAAATTTTAATGCTTAGCTAATTCTTTAGATAATTACAGAGAAAACATTATCTTGATGATTATAGAATGATTATAGGCTTATAGCATTTAAATAACTAGCATATATGTTTTGTAAAGTGGTGGTTGCATGTAGACTAGAATTATTTATTAGTGGAGAACAGAAAACGATTAAGTCAAGAAAAAGCCAAGAATCTGTTATTGACTTAAACAATCCAAAGAGATCGAACAAGCAAAATCGATTTCGTAGATACCAACTAAAAGGACATAAAATGATTATTTTAAATTTAAATAATTTGTTTTTGTCATATAGGTGCTGTTGTGGAAGTGACTTGTAAGGCCGGTGACAAGACAGTGAAGGCATACGGAAAGACCAAAATCAACGGTAAATACGCGATCACCGTTAAGGGATACAACTACCGTAAATACGGTGGTGAAGTATGTACGGCCAAGCTTCATGCGCCGCCTAAGGGCTCGCCGTGTAACATTCCTACAAGTTACCATTTGGGCAACAAAGGTGCGAAGCTTCATGTGAAATCAAAGACAAAGTACGAGGTTGTGCTTTATGCTAAGTCTTTTGCTTATGCACCTAAGAACCCTTACGGAGAATGCCACAAACCAGCTCCTTACCATCCTCCTTATTACTACAAATCTCCACCACCGCCTTCCCCTGTTTACTACTACAAATCACCACCACCACCGACTCCAACTTACGTCTACAAATCACCACCACCACCGACTCCAACTTACGTCTACAAGTCGCCGCCTCCTCCTACCCCAACATACGTCTACAAGTCCCCTCCACCACCGACTCCAACATATGTCTACAAGTCACCACCACCACCAACTCCAACATACGTTTACAAGTCACCACCTCCTCCTACCCCGACTTATGTCTACAAGTCGCCACCACCACCAACTCCGACTTATGTCTACAAGTCACCACCACCGCCAACTCCAACATACGTTTACAAGTCTCCACCACCACCAACCCCGACTTATGTCTACAAGTCGCCACCTCCTCCAACCCCGAGTTATGTTTACAAGTCACCACCTCCTCCTACCCCGACTTATGTCTACAAGTCGCCACCTCCTCCAACCCCGACTTATGTCTACAAGTCACCACCTCCTCCTACCCCGACTTATGTCTACAAATCTCCACCACCACCAACTCCTACTTATGTCTACAAGTCACCACCTCCACCAACCCCGACATATGTCTACAAATCACCACCACCACCAACTCCGACGTATGTATACAAATCTCCACCACCCCCAACTCCGACTTATGTTTACAAATCACCACCGCCACCTACTCCCACCTACGTCTACAAGTCACCACCTCCCCCTACTCCAACCTATGTTTACAAGTCACCCCCACCTCCAACTCACACTCCTACACCATACTATTACCATTCTCCTCCACCACCAGTAAAATCTCCCCCACCTCCGTATTACTATCACTCACCACCCCCACCGGTGAAATCTCCACCACCACCATACTACTACCATTCACCACCTCCTCCGGTGAAATCCCCTCCACCACCTTACTACTACCACTCACCACCTCCTCCGGTGAAATCCCCTCCTCCACCATACTACTACCACTCACCACCACCTCCGGTGAAGTCACCACCACCACCATACTACTACCATTCACCACCTCCTCCGGTGAAGTCACCACCACCACCATACTACTACCACTCACCACCCCCTCCCGTGAAATCCCCTCCTCCACCATACTACTACCACTCACCACCACCTCCGGTGAAATCCCCACCACCACCATACTACTACCATTCACCACCTCCTCCGGTGAAGTCCCCACCACCACCATACTACTACCATTCACCACCTCCTCCGGTGAAGTCACCACCACCACCATACTACTACCACTCACCACCCCCTCCGGTGAAGTCTCCACCACCACCATACTACTACCACTCACCACCCCCTCCCGTGAAATCACCACCACCACCATACTACTACCACTCACCACCCCCTCCGGTGAAGTCTCCTCCTCCACCATACTATTACCACTCACCACCCCCTCCCGTGAAGTCTCCTCCTCCACCATACTACTACCACTCACCACCTCCTCCCGTGAAGTCTCCCCCACCACCATACTACTACCACTCACCACCTCCTCCGGTGAAATCTCCTCCTCCACCATACTACTACCACTCACCACCTCCTCCTGTGAATTCTCCTCCACCACCATACTATTACCATTCACCACCCCCACCAGTGAAATCTCCTCCTCCACCATACTACTATCACTCACCACCACCTCCGGTAAAATCTCCACCACCACCATACTATTACCACTCACCACCCCCTCCAGTCAAATCTCCTCCTCCACCATACTATTACAGCTCTCCACCACCACCAGTAAAATCTCCCCCACCTCCAGTCTACATCTACGCTTCTCCCCCGCCTCCCACCCATTACTAGAATCATTTAATTCAACAAAATTTCCACATTATTCAAGTAAGTCCCAATGCTCCAATATTTTCAGTATGCTCCATATCCGTTTGAGTATAACTTCGTGTCCTAAACTCTTAGTTTCTTCTTCACAGGTTTTCTTTTTAAAAATGAAATAAAGGAAGGGTCTAGGTCAAAGAGGAGAAGAAGTGAACCAAATAAGGATCGTCGCGTGGAAATCAAAGACAACACATCTCTAACAACGATCCACATCACTTCCTCTTCCTCAGTGTCGCTCATCTTCCACTTCTGCATTCTCATCTCGTGTCTTCATCACGTCAGATTGTTTTCAAGACCCATTTAGATCGTATCATACTTGTATTTGTTCCCTTTTGTTGTAAGTGAAAAAATGTGTTTCGTAATTTATTTGTTGTGCATACATTTTCTATATTTTTTTTCTTTATTGTAATGAGAGAGTTGTTAGCAAATAAAAGATGTTCAGTTTCTTCTTTCTTGTGATTGTTCGATTGAATAATATTTGTCTATTTTGAAACATAGTTCGAAGGACAAGAAAAAGTTACAAGACGACATTCTTTTGAGTTGGACACGACATTGTTTCTCTATTCGTACAGGTAGAAAGTTATCATTGCTTTCAAACGTTAGAAAGTGGAAATTATAACACTTTAATTTGCGATCATATTGGCTTATTAATTTAATTGTGTTATGTAGTAGTCAGAGAATCACTTTCGTTCGACTAATTTCTACCTATAATTTGATATTGACTATTGAGCAACACTATTTATGAAAAACACTGGATTAAAATTTACAATTGTTGAAGAAATAAAAATACTGTTCAACAGAAAATTAATCCAAGTTTCGAAATGAATTGATACAAAAATTTATCTGAATTGTATTTAATTTAAATTCAGTTTATATACTTTGTTAACCGAAAAAATTTAAACCAAAATCACATGAAAACCGGGACTAAAAACCGTGAAACACGTGGAACTGGTTATTGTCAAAGACTCGAAAATTAGTGGTTATCATTTGGGCTTTGTGATAGCATTAGCTTAGTTGAGGCCCATTGACTAAACGTATTACCAAGTACCAACTTTTTTTTTGCCACCGTCAAATTTTTTTTTGGGGGACATTCTTATGATACACATTGATAATTAACACTTATCTCTGTTAATTTAAATGAAGCTATCATCAACTTTGTTCTTAATTTCAACAGTAACGAAATATGTTTACGGAGGATTTCTTACAAATTATGTGAATAAGCATATATTCTGTCTCCAAATTGTGTATATGAGATAATGGAAAAGTAATTGCGCTTCGAAAACGTACTTTCTTCTACTTGAAATCCACTTATAAAAACGTGCTCAGACCAAAGTATAATAATTGTGTTATCTCAGTTAAAATATTATGAAAATGAAGAAGAAACAGCTGTGATTTCAAATGTCGAATAAGAACGATGAACAAACATTTATATATGATTTGAAGCCCTTAATATTCTGCGTGTTAGATGCGCTGTCTTATTATTATTATTTTTTTCTCTCAAATCTTTTTACTTTTTTATTTTATTTTGTATATTTATTTATCTATTGAATTTTCCCTTCTGGCTGCTGTTTTCTTCTCCCTCTCTCTCTCTAAACCCGAAATTTTGGAGAGAGGATCGAAAGTGCTAAAGCTGAAAAACGCAGAAGGATTCAGGAGACCATCTCCAACCTCAAAAAAGAGAGAGAGATAGAGATCACAAGCTTCCAAGGGATTTTCCCTTGATTCTTCGCGTCTTTGCTCAATCTCCCTATATCGGCGTTTTAAATCTCTTCTCTGTACCTCACAGATCCGCGATCCGATTCTGGTCAAGTTTACATTTCCATAGGTACGATCTAGCTTTTTTTAAGAATAGATTCCTGTTTCCTTATATTGCGTTTGGGTTTTGTTTCGATTTCATTAGATCTATTGATTCCTTTTCGAATTTCCGGTTGATTTCTTCATGTAGCTCATGGTTGTCGGATGAGATTCTCCCGTGAGCTATTTTTTTGCTCGCTATTCGTTTAGAGGTGATAGTATTTCTTGCGGATGCTCATTAGGGATGCATTTGCTTAAGATCTGTGGAACCTGCATTTTTGAATGTCAATCTTCCTAATTGATCGATTTTGTTTGTTACCGTTTGAAATTGAGTCTGCTTAGTACCTGGATTTTCGTTTGACTTCTTATTTTATTCATCTAATTGAGCAAAATATGCGATCATGGTCATGTCACGTTCCTCAATTATACGATCTGATGCTTGTTTCCCTCACATCTGTGTTATTGTATTCAATTCATCTTCCAGTGCGAATGAACTTTGTTTCCTTTTTTGGTTTCTCTTGTTCGATCCCTTTGATTGTGAATATGTCTTGTTTGATACAGTGAACAGCAAAGGTGATCGTACTCATAGAGAGCACTTAACACATTTGTTATTCGTGGAACACATTCGACGATGAAGAAAGTCTTCGGTCAAACTGTCAGAGACCTGTAAGAATACTAATGCCTGGAATTGAATGATATTTTCAAGTCCAATCGCTGTTTGGTTTATGTATTTTTCACTACCGATGCTTGATTTTTATGTTCTATTTCTCTTTTTTTAGCAAGAGAGAGGTCAATAAGAAAGTGCTCAAAGTCCCTGGCATTGAACAGAAGGTAAATGTTTCTCTTAGCTTCTTCTCTGTTTTTGTTTTTATTGAAATTCTGCTGTAACTGAGAGTTTGGTGCTGTTTTCTTATCTGTTTTGGTTGAGATCAACTAAAGGTTATAAGTTATAAATAGATAAGCTTACCTTGGTTGCACTTGTCATCTGGCTAATAGGGTTATGCAATCTAAAGCGAGATGTCCAACATAGTCTCTCATGTTGTTTCTCACCTCTCCCTTTTCCCTCTTCAGGTTCTAGATGCTACTAGCAATGAGCCATGGGGTCCACATGGATCCCTTCTTGCTGATCTTGCGCAAGCTTCGAGAAATTAGTGAGTACAACCACCTTCCAACTGCTCTATTTTGCTGTAATTATGACATTGCACAGGAATGACAGAAATGTTACTTCTCTTGCAGCCATGAATACCAGCTGATCATGGTGGTCATTTGGAAACGCCTCAGCGATACTGGAAAGAATTGGCGGCATGTCTATAAGGTAAAAAAAATAAATGCCTTGTTGGCTTAGTTCCTGTTTATATTTGCTGTAGCTGTGAATGAAACAATTTCCTGCTGGTTTACCTCTTCTATCCACTTCAGGCTTTGACAGTTTTGGAGTACATGGTAGGCCATGGGTCAGAACGTGTTATAGACGAGATTAGAGAGCGTGCATATCAAATTTCGGTAATTACCACGCACAGTAAATTAATTTAGAAGTATTCATCATCAAATATTTTTTTTTGCTATATCTCAGCTTTTCTTACGTTATGTCCATTTTCCATGTGGCAGACATTGTCCGATTTTCAGTATATTGACTCCGGTGGTAGAGATCAAGGAAGCAATGTTAGGAAGAAATCACAGGGTCTGGTGGCGCTGGTTAATGACAAAGAAAGAATAGCTGAGGTCAGACAGAAGGCTTCTGCTAACAGAGATAAGTAAGTTCGCTTGTAATTGTATCTTTTTTTTTTCTTTTTCGAATTGCTGTAGTTTCCTCTTTGTGCTAGTCTCGCTGGACACTTGTTTGATTTCTTATTGCTAGTGGCCTCACAATTGTTATTATGCTTCCCAGTAGTCTATCAATTTGTAGTGTGGCATTTGGTAGTATTACTTCTCACTTTTGACAGTTTGGGTTCATTAACATTATGCTTCAGGTATCGCAGCTCAGCACCAGGTGGGATGTATAAGCCTTCAGGAGGATATGGGGACAAATATGATTACGGATCCCGGGATGAAGAGCGAAGTAGCTATGGAAGAGAAAGAGAATATGGTTACAGGGATGATGACAGAAATAGTCGTGATGGAGATCGTCATTCCAGAGACTCTGAAGACCGATATGGGAGAGATGGTAACAGGGAAGATGATTACAGAGGAAGGAGCAGAAGTGTTGATAACTACCAACAGGGATCACGAGGTAGGAGTTCAGATAGAGAACGGACATTTGAGGATGATGGCCATTCTTCACGGTATGTTAGTTTGAAGTTTCCTTTAGACTTGATTTAAAAAGGAAGGAACACATTTTGAGGATTAATCAACACCATTGGATGGAATATTTGTTTTTAAATAGTAGTTTAGCTGTTCTTAATGTCAAAAAGCATGTTTTGAGCATCTTCTTAGCCTTGTTCAACTTATACAACGAAACAATCCTCTTTATCGTGTAGGGCTAGTGGTGCTCGAGCTGATGATAATTCTCAGGATGGGAGGTAATTTCTGACGTATTTTTCTGCTGAAGTTTGGGGCGTTTTCTTATTGTAATAAGTTTTGTGGACTTTTGTCAACTCATATTATCTTCTTTCGGACTATATGATAGAGGGCAGCTCCAGAGGAAGTTTTCCGAACAAAATATTGGTGCGCCACCAAGCTATGAAGAAGCTGTCAGTGAATCACGCAGCCCTGTATATAGTGAGAGGTAATAATTCTCTGCTTTGCAAAATGAGATCTACCCTATTTTTTTATTGGTTCTGATTAATCTCTTTATGTCAGGGATGGTGGGGAGACCCCACAAGTTGCTGCTCCAGGAGCTGCTTCTCCTCCTCCTCCACAAGCTGTTGCTCCAGGAGCTGCTTCTCCTCCTCCCCCACAAGCTGCTGCTCCAGGGGCAGCTTCCCCTCCTGCTGGAAGCAACACAGACAATAAATCTGCTGGTTTTGTTAATGAATCTTCTTCTCAGAAATTTGAGACTTTTGATGAATTTGATCCACGCGGTGCGTTTTCAGGTACAGAGTTCTCGAAGTCTGCGTTTCTTTTAGTTCATAGTTTGTCACATTCATGGAATTTTCTTTAGTTTTTCTTTGCCTTTCAAACGCCTCTGCTCCATAGAGATTAATTTTCAGTGTTAATTTGGTTTGTTATATTGTTATCCCATCAACCTCTCTGCTTGTTCTGAGTCTGAGCGTTGTGCTTTGTTTTTTCCCAGCTGCCCCTCCAGCATATGCACCTGCAGACGGTGTTTCAGCTCCTCCAACAGCGGCTTCTACGTCTGCTCCTCCCTCCTCAAACAGTGTTGAGATGGACTTGCTTGGCTCCCTTGCAGACGTATTTTCATCAAATGCATTAGCCATTGTACCGGCTGATTCTTCCCCTGTGGAAACCAATGGACAAGCAAATGCTCCGTCGTTTTCTTCATCTCAGCCATCAACTCAGGTATGGACACAGGGCTTAAGCAGCCCGGGGATTTTGATTGATTCTTATGAGGATCCCTATTTTATTTCGTTGTAACATTGATTATTGCTGACTAAAAATTTTCCCCATTGTTCAGCCATTTGATGACCCATTTGGTGACTCTCCTTTTAAAGCCTTCACTTCAACAGACACCGATTCAAACCCGCAGCAGAGCTTTGGAGCTCCTTTCCAGCCAGCACCACCAGCTGATACTGCTCATAACTTTGGCTTTGGGGACTCATTTTCCGCTGTTGCCAATCCTGATACTGCTGCTCAGAATGTGCAACCTCCATCAGACTCGCAAGGTTTTCCGCAAGAGCAGTTCGCCACACCTCAGAATGATTTTGATATTCTTGCTGGCATTCTCCCACCATCTGGTCCTCAACAACCGGGTGCCTCAATACCAACATCTCAGTTTCCTCCCAGTGGAAACAACACGTACGATGGATTTCATCATCAACCGGCATCTGGTGCTTCAAACATGCCTGGACAAACTCCATTCGGGCAAGCTGCACAGCAATATAACATGGTTCCACATTCTCAAAACATGACTGGAGCCACGCCGTTTCACAGTGGAGGCTTCATGCATCAGCCAGGCTCAGCCAGTTACACTCCTGGAGTAGTGACTTCACACCCTACAAGCGAAAGCTTTCTTCCACGAACGGTTTCTGCCACTTCATTGAGCTCACAGACTCCTTACTCTACCCCCAGTGGACCAACTGGTCAGTTCATGGCACACCAGGGTCATGGAATGCCGCCTTCTCATGGTCCACAACGAACTCAATCCGGACCTGTTACTCTGCAAGGGAACAACAACTTCATGGGAGACATGTTTTCACAAGGTGGACCAACAAACTCCTTGGCGTCATCGTCATCTCATCCAGATCTCACACCTTTAACAGGAGCGATTGAGGTTGTTCCTCAGCCTCAGAAAAAGTTTGAGCCAAAATCATCAGTCTGGGCCGACACGTTAAGCAGGGGGCTTGTTAACTTTAACATATCTGGACGTAAGATATATTCCGCCACGAAACATGTGAAAAAAAAACAAATTTTTAAGTTTTTAGCAGACTTTCTAACATCATTTTTCTTTCTATTCATGTGCAGCTAAAACAAATCCATTGGCAGACATAGGAGTTGACTTCGAGGCGATCAACAGGAGAGAGAAACGGCTAGAGAAACCGACAAACACACCAGCAACATCGACTATCAACATGGGTAGAGCCATGGGATCAGGCACTGGCTTAGGCCGTGCCGGTGCAACCGCTATGAGACCTCCGCCAAATCCAATGGTAGGCTCTGGCATGCCCATGGGCGGAGGAATGGGTGTCCCTGGATATGGAGGTATGAACCAAAACCAAAACCAACCCATGGGTATGGGTATGGGTATGGGAATGGGAATGGGACCCGGCATGAACATGAACATAGGAGGATACGGCCAAGGCTATCCGATGCAGCCGCAGAACCCCGGGATGGTTCCTGGTCCAAACATGCCTGGCAACAACTATAACCCGATGATGGGTCAAGGTGGTTACAACCCTCAACAATCCTACGGTGGTGGATACCACCGGTAAGATCAAGCCAAACATTATACGTCACACTTTGTAAAATCAAGAACGGAACACCTCTTGCACCGTCCGTTCCGCTCTGTGCTTTTTCTATTTTACCTCGGGATATGTAATATCAGTCGATAAAAGTAGTCTCGGATTGGGCCAGCCACTTCACGGAAGTACTCAGGTTACATTATTCATCTCGGGTTCTTCTTGTTTACCTAAATCTTCTTCACTCATCATTCTTTTTTCTTAGTACGGAACCATATTGAGAGCTTGTGAAATTTGTACCAGTTGAGTGCGGCAAACCTCTCTCGGGTCTGCCTTTTTTTTTTGCTATTTGCATATAATTTGATATATACACAATTTCCTTCTACTTTTCTTTTTTTGGGTTTTCACGTATTGAAATATTTGTAAAACATTTTCAATTCACGGACAAATAAAATTATTTCTCTCTTTCTAGTTTTTACATGTATGTTGACTGTATATACGGTTTCTTCATTGTGTGTCATTCCAAAAAGACTTGGATTCGATCACCGTTAGTGTCTTCAAAGTCTAACAGAAGTATACCTCCGACTTCATCCGCTGCATCTTCCATCAATTGCTTCAGGTCCACGCCACCTAAAGCTGCAAAACCTCAAAAATCCGTCAATAACTCTGCCAAAGGAAAATCGAAACAGATGAAGAAAGACAACGAATGGGAACTGAGTTTTGAAATACCTGGGACAATGTTGGTGACACCTTCCAAAAATCCAGCCTGCTCCAACCATAAGACAAGTTTTTTTTTTTTTTTTTTATTTGCATCACTTCAGACAAGTAACGAAAATGGATCGCGAAAGCAAGACTTACCGGAATTCTGACATCGAGTTTCTCAGACCCATCGCGTCCAATGATTTTGATCCTCAGAGATCGTGACCAGATTCTTGAAAAGGGGTTTCTTTTACTTGAAATGGGGTTTCTTACCACCTCAGGTGTCACAACTTCAACAACTGGGTCCTCTCTCTTTTCTGAAACATCTTGAGCCACTCGTTGATTACCATAGACGCTACTACTGCTCCATCCTTAAGAAAAAGGGACAAAACAACCGATAAAGTTATAATAATTGATCTCTCCCAAAGATGATACAGCAAGAAAACCTTCATGTCTCTCACCTTTATCTGATGATGAGGAGGTAACGTATCGCTTTGCTTCGTCATGGTAATTGTCAGAACCAAGAATCTCTTCGATCTCTTGTAAAGAAGGCATGCTCCCTGGTGGAGGAATTCGACCACCCTTAATCGCCAATAGAGCATCCTGCAAAATGTTCCACACAGTTTCAAGTCTCTTCGCCAGCAGCACAGTGAGGTTACAACATTATTGGCCAAAAAAAAATTGTCATCACCTGCATTGCTTGAATTGATACCCCAATCAAGGAAATTGGATATACAACAAGCTTATATCCAATCTCTTCTAGCTCCAGTGGGCTTAGTATCGGAGTCTTCCCACCACTTTCAAGCATATTAGCCTACACAAAGACTGTATCTTTCATATCTCTCTCGGTAGTATATATATATGGTGCAAAGTGAGATTACCAGTTTTGGAACTAGTGGATACACATCACAGAATGATTTCATCTCTTCCCTAGAAGCAAGAGAATCAATGGAGAGAACATCAGCTCCAGCGTCTGTAAAGGCTCTAGCCCTAATGAGCGATTCACTCAGAGATTCTCTGGAATCAGTTTGAGCTACAATGACGATGTCCGAGCCACACTCTCTGCGTGCATCAGCCGCAGCTTTAACACGCATCGCTGCTTCCTCTCTAGAAACCACTCTTCTCTCACGCGTGACATCGCCACTACAAACCTGATCGTTGATGAGGATTCCCGCAAAGCCAGCTTTGATATATCCCTTGACGGTTCTCTTAACGTTCATCGCGTTACCGAACCCATTGCCACCGTCTCCAATCACCGGAATCGATACAGATTGAGTGATCTGTTGACCTTGATCCACCATTTCTCCGTAAGAGATGAGTCCTTTATCAGGCAAACCAACCCGAGCAGCTGAAATTGAGAACCCTATTTGCATAAACAGATCAAAAAGCAAACTTTTTTCTTTAAGTGTAGCTACAAACTGTAAAGTCTTGGACTTTAAGCGAGGATCGATTTCGCAATAACCAGAGATTGATAACGAGAATAACCGTTTAGAGAATTCATCAATGATCCGGTTTTCAGTATCACTTACCAGTGGTGATACAGTAAGGAAACCCAGCTCGCTCGACGAGTTTGGCACTGAGAGCATCGAAACAACAGGGACCCTGAAGAACACCAGGGGACTGTATAATCTCTCTTAGCTTCTTCGCCGGCGATGACGGCTTCGCGTTTCCGGAGGGATCGGAAGCTGTTGCGGTGGCGATAATGGCGCCACGAAATCGTCTCGAGAGAGAGATGGGTTTCGCATATGATTCTCCGACGGAAGGGGTGAAATCCGGAGGGAAAAGGCTCGGTTTAGATTGTCTATGAAGAATTTGAGGAGGAGAAGAGCTGCAAAAGCTCAGTGCCGCCATAGAAAGGATTCACTACAATTCGGCAAACAGAACAACTTTTTTTTTTTTGGGATCGATTAAAGAAGAGAAGTTAAATGTTCGAAGATAGACAGTTTCAGAACCATACCGAACCAAAGAGAATAAGAAACTTTTCCAAATTCGATTTGGGGTTTGCGATTAATTATGTTTTTAAGTGCGCGCGTCAACGAGTTAAAGCCAGTTAAAACATGTCACGTGAGGTTATTAGGGTTCACGTGATCATCTCCTTCATTCAGTAGTATCTCTTGTACATCGGCCGTCGTCAGAAAAAAAAAACGAAACTTTATCTTCGCTTCTCCTTTTCTCTTTCGAACGATTTAAACTTACGTCAGTATCTCGTCGTGCATCGCCGGGTCTCAGTTTCTCCTTTTCATATGTGAGTCTTCGATTCATTAGAGATTTTTTTTTTCTCCTTGAAATTCAGTTTCATTAGTTTCAGGACATACAAAAACTGAGCTTTCCTTAGTCCTAAGTTAATTCTGTAGAACATAAAACGTAGTGATAGATTGAAATTGATGGATATTGCAGCAAGATTTGTGCTTTCCGTCACGAATTTGCTTCTTATACTTTTTCTTCTTGGTTTCAAAAAAAAGAATGAAATTTTCTAATCTGTTTTCTTTTATGATCAGTAATAATCAGCTATAGAGACTAGGTTAGTGTCTATCTGGCTGCAATGGCTACAGAGACGGTTGTTCATGATCCGAAAAGTCGGCCAATGGCTGCGATAGAACGAAGACGTGAAATCGAAAGAGCTCAGCTTCTTCAACAACAACAGAGGATTGAGAAAGACAAGAAGGGAACTTCTGTTGCGGCGGATGTCTCTTCGAAAGAACCTCATCAAGCTGATTCACTGCCTACTCCTACTCCTACTCCTACAAAGAGATCAATTACAAAAGGTTCTTGATGGTTGAGTTAAAACGGCGAATTGATTCACTTTCTAAACTTTTTATTTATTGGACTGTGATATCGATGCAAATCTTGGCTTTGTAGATTCAAAGGATGATGGTTTTATTGCATATACAAGATTGTCTCACCCTGTAGATGAGAATCTGCTGGCAACCAATGTTAAGGTGAATTCAAGATTATCTTCTTCTGTATGATGATTTGTGAGATATGGTTGCTCAATGTGTTCTTTTGTTTTGTTTTTTGGTTTAGTTTTCTAGTGCAAAGGGAACCACAACAAGCAAGGTTTTTCAAGATCTCCTTCGAAACGGTGACTCTGCTCAAAAGTACTTGCAAGGCGCTAGGAATAAGAAGCTGGACAAGGACAATGACATCTATATCCTCCTTGATAATTTCGTACAGTCACGTTCTTCAGCCTCTGGTTCTAAAACGGCACTGCAGCAGAAGAATTCAAAACGTTCTAAAAGCCGTATGTCTATGAAGCGGCTCAAGAAATCTGGTGCTTTGAATCTTCCTCAAGATCTCCAAAAGTGAGTTCTTTTCAGAGATTGAACTGGCTCAGACTGTGTATCTGAAATTTTGCTGTTTTGGTATCTTCAATGGGACTTTGAATGTTTGGAGTGCAGGTTTGATTTGTATAAGCCAATGCATGGTATGTGGGAAACTTACATGATGCAGCTCATTAAGGTCACCGGGTAAGCTACAACTTCTCTTATCTGATTACCGAAAGACTGATTCAGGCATTGTGCTTTCTATAAGGACGAAACTGAGTGGTGTAATGTAGCATTCACACTCATTTTATGCTTTTGGTCACCATTCTTGCAGGAAGATTCAATTAGCCACAACTCTTCTCTCAGCAGATCTCCACGGTGCTTTCATGTTTGGTAAGTCTCTGTTTCTCTCATAAATCTGAAGTGTTTGGATCCATCTTTTGGCTCTCACTTTCAAATATCAACTTCTCTGCACGCTTGGTCACACTTTCATACTAATCATAGCAACCTGTTTTTACTTGTTACAGTCGCTGAATGCAAGATAGCATCATTCACTGGTGTACAAGGCATAATGGTGCGTGAAACATCCGAGACGTTTGGAATCATTACAAGAGACGATAAATTTCGAGGTACCTTAAAGCTATTTCACTACTTGCGATAAATGTCAAAAATCTTTGTCTTCACAAAGCCTCGAGATTTAAACGTAGTTATTGTAATCAATCTGATTCAGTTGTACCCAAGAAGCTCTCTGTATTCATCATCCAACTTGACTGCTGGAAAATCACATTACATGGAGACAAGTTTACTTCAAGAGACACTGTTCTTCAACGTTGATGCTAAACGAAGCTCTTAGTGTTTCATTTTTCTTGCTCGTAGTAAACGGACCATTGATGACCACTGAAGAATCCGAGTCTCAGGAAAGATTTTGCTTTAAATCTTTCCTGATGTTAGTACCAAACATTCTAATGTATTTCTTTTCATTTTTGTACGAATACTCCACTGTTAATATACTCTTTTTTTAATATGCTAAATAAAATTAGATAAGAAAGAAAATGAATTCCAAAAATAATATAAAAACCAATCTGGATGACCACTAATGGCGACAAAAGCATAGTTGAAGATTCCATTCAAGAAAACGAGGTGATTTTGACTTCTTAACTTGAGAAATAATAAGGGATAGATCACACAAATTTGTTTTGTCATCTCTCATCTTGAAACCTAATTGCAGAGAAATCTAGACAAAAAGTTAGAATAAGGATGAATCCATCACAACAACACTTACCAAAGCCTTGTCCTAAGCGTCTATTCTTCTTCACTCCAGTCTTATTCTTCTCAATCTATTACATCCTCACCACTATCAGAACCATCACCATCTCTTCTTCCCAAGACCTTTACCATCCCCCACTGCTTCAAGAACCTTCCATGTCCCCTCCTCCACAGTTTCAAGAACCTTCCATATCCCACCACTCTTCTATTCCAGAACCTTCCGAAAACCAATCATCATCATTTTACTTTCCACTCTGTCCCAAGAACTTCACCAACTACTTGCCCTGCCACGATCCATCAACAGCACGAAAGTACAGCATTGAGAGACACTACAGGAGGGAGAGGCACTGTCCCGAATCATCCCACGAGAAGATCAGGTGTTTGGTCCCAAAGCCCTCTGGCTACAAAACGCCTTTTCCCTGGCCTGATAGTAGAAGCTATGCTTGGTTCAAGAACGTTCCTTTCAAGAGACTGGCTGAGTTTAAAAAGACTCAGAACTGGGTTAGGCTTGAAAGAGACCGCTTTGTTTTCCCCGGAGGTGGAACTTCCTTCCCCGGTGGCGTGAAGGACTATGTTGATGTGATTCTTGAAGTTTTGCCATTGGCTTCTGGGAGTATCAGAACTGTTCTCGATGTTGGATGTGGAGTGAGTTCAGTTACTTGCATGGACACCAGAACTTGATATTTGACTGCAGTATTTATACTACTTTTGATTGGTTTTGCTTGACGATGGACTAATCGTGTGTTAGGTAGCGAGTTTTGGAGCCTTTTTGCTGAACTATAACATCTTGACAATGTCAATAGCACCGAGGGATATACACGAGGCTCAAGTTCAGTTTGCATTAGAGCGTGGACTCCCTGCAATGCTCGGCGTTCTAAGCACTTATAAGCTGCCTTACCCATCAAGATCTTTCGACATGGTCCATTGTTCTAGATGCCTTGTCAATTGGACTGCCTATGGTAATGTAATGTGTATATAAAATATAATCTGATTCAGTTTGCTTTATTCACTCTGCTTCTTCTGATACTGAAAGAGAGAAACAACATTTTATCCAGATGGGCTTTACTTGATGGAGGTGGATCGTGTTCTACGTCCTGATGGATATTGGGTGTTGTCTGGACCACCTGTAACATCATCAACGGTTAAATACAAGAATCAGAAGAGAGATTTCAAGGATTTACAGAAGGATATGGAGAAACTAAATGACGTTTTTAAAAGACTTTGCTGGGAGAAGATTGCTGAAAGATACCCAGTTGTCATATGGAGAAAGCCTTCTAATCATATGCACTGTAGACAAAGACTAAAACAAGCTCTCAAGTTTCCTGGATTCTGCTCTTCTACTGACCCTGACGCTGCTTGGTGACTTTACTTTCCCAAAATCTAAACTTTCCTCTGCATCTTCAGAACTCAGAAGCTAAACATCTTGTTAACAATAGGTACATAGAGATGGAGCCCTGCATCACTCCTCTTCCAAATGTCAGTGCCACACACAACAGAACCGTTCTCAGAAGCCGGTCTGATGCGCCTCTGCGAATCAGAACCGGATCAATACATGGAGTGACCATTTCCAGCTTCAAAGCTAACACTAACCTGTGGGAGAGAACAGTTGTGTACTATGACACTAAGTTAAAGTTTCTCGGCAATGGGAAATACAGAAACGTAATGGATATGAACGCTGGTTTAGGCGGTTTTGCTGCAGCATTGATCAAGTATCCAATGTGGGTGATGAATGTGGTTCCGTTTGATCTTAAACCGAACACACTCGGTGTTGTGTTCGACCGTGACCTCATTGGAACTTACATGAACTGGTACAACACTCAAAAACGTTTCTGATATCATCTACTTTTGATCTCTTTGATACCGTCTATTTTAATTTCCTTTTTTTGTAGGTGTGAAGCTTTCTCTACATATCCTAGAACATATGATCTGATTCATGCCAATGGTTTGTTCAGCTTGTATTTGGACAAGTAAGTTCTCTTTTATGTAACTTGAAACTTTGATTTACGTTTTGTAATAAATGTGTAATGATTTGATTTTTCTTGTTCTTTTGATAGATGTGACATTGCTGATATACTCTTGGAGATGCAGAGGATTCTTAGGCCACAAGGGGCTGTGATTATACAGGACAGTTTTGATGTTCTTATCAAAGTGAAGGCTATAACCAATCAAATGAAATGGAATGGCACAATGTATTCAGATGAAAATAGTGGTTTTGATCATGAAACAATACTAATTGTAGATAACTCAGTTAAATAAACACCTCTTTTGGAAACTCTTGAGAGATTTGTTAGTCTGGGTTTATATTGCAAATTTAAAAAAATAAGAGGAATATGAGGATGTTTTGAAGAACTACGGGACGCCGATTAAATTTAACAGTAATAAACGCTTTAACGACGTTATCGTGACGGTTTGCTCTGTGGAGGGAAGACTTAACGGCGTCTGATCTCACGTTTCGACTCGTAGCTTCGTTTGTTTCCTCTGCTCTTTTATTCATCGTCGTTGTGTTAAAGCTGCGATTTTTCTCTTGCTTAAAGTTGTGTACTTGTGTGTTTGTTTCCTGGTTAAGGAAATTTTCTGGAGGTGAAGAGAGCTCGGATTTAGTTGGAGCTGGATAATTTTGGATCTCTGTTTCAATTTGATAGGCTTCTGGGTTTATCGGATCGAGGTAAGATTTTTGGAATTCGTTGATTGTTTCACCGAATTTAGGGTTAAAGGTTACTGATTGATCGTTGATAACTTTTAAAGTTTGCTTATTTTGGGGGTGTTTGATTGGTAGATGGAAGCTCTGTCTTCTCTCACATTCAAGGGTTCTGTTACAGAAGCCATATTTGAAGCCAAAGGGCAGAAGAAGCTTTTTGTTGTCTACATATCTGGTAAATAACCCAAAGCTATTACCTTTTTTTAATAAAGAAATTCTACATTGAGAAGAGGGTCATAATCACTGTGACCTCGATCCAATCTCAAAACTTGATCTCTAAATTTTAGGAGAGGATGAAGAGTCGGATAAGTTGAACAAATTGACATGGACTGATGCATCGGTAGGTTTCTCTTGTCTGTACTTTGCATCCTCAGTTACATTGAAAAGGAAATCAAGGCCATTTGTTCATACATAACAATCTCGTGTGTTTTCTAGTACAGGTTGCAGAGTCGCTGTCCAAGTATTGCGTTTTACTGCATATCCAAGCAGGAAGTGTTGACGCCACAAACTTCTCCGCAATATGTATCCTTTCTTAGTTTTTCATGAGACAACTTAAGAAGAGTGGTCCTAATGCGTTTAGAATCTAATGGTGAAATCGCATATGATCATTTTTCTGTGTTAATGTATAAGTTTGTGTAGGAATACGCGTTTCTGTGCGTGTGTAATGCAATTTCTTTTCTTGAGGCAACAATTTGAAAAGAAAAGAGAGATCCTTACATCAGTTGCTAGACCCATATTCATCTGTTCCATGTGTAGCTGCCATTGGATTCAGTGGAACACAAGTTTGGAAAAATGGTGAGACCCTATGTATTTTTAGATTAAGAGTATTTACACATTATGGTCAAGCGAACATGCTCAAGCTGTATTTTCGTCTCTTCTGTTTTTTTTCAGAAGGATTTATTTCTGCTGAAGACCTTGCATCCAGTTTAGAAAAGGCGTGGGTGGGACTTCATATACAGGTACATGGTAGCTACGTCTCTTTCACTTATGAGTTATGATGTTGTTCATCCTTCTTTGGTTGAATTTTTTTCTACTGCTTACTAATAATGCCTTGGACATGTCTCATTTTCAGGAAACAACTGCAAGTATCCTTTCAGCAGCACTTGCATCACAAAACTCAGAGCAACCTGCTTCTAGTGCTTCCAATGTTGTCTTGCCTTCTGAAGGCGGTTCTTTAGATGCAGTGATTGCATCTCCATCAACGGCCACTAGTGTTCAACCCTCAGAGAGAAAGTCAACGGTGACATCTGCATCAACAAAGGAAAACGATGATGACGCAGATGCAGCTAAGGTTGGTCCTGGAGCTGAAAGAATTTCCACATTACTTTAGTTTGATGTTCTGCTTACATGATGTATTCTTAAAACAGGGCAAAGAATTTGCTGAACCGAGTGATCTGTGTGATACTACTACCAATAATCAGCCAGAATTCTCTCTTGATGGAACTAAGGCCACTGTCGAACATGGAGCAACAGAGACCCCTTCTTGTGTTCAGGCAGAAAAGGAGCCGATTCGTCCTGTAGCCCCAAGACCAAATGATAGCACATCCGCCGTTCGATCTTCTACTGATAGGAAAAGGAAACAAGAAACCGTGATAAACAAAGCTGATAGTGGTACAGGTGGGAGTGAAAGGGACATTAGTCTAGTAAAATCTGTAGGTACAAAAGAGACTGTGAAGCCTATGGATGAAGGAGAGGATGGAAAAAGCTTGAGAAAATCATCTGATGTTCATTTGAACATCCGATTGCCTGATGGTTCCAACCTTCAAGAGAAGTTTTCTGTAACAAGTACACTGAGGATAGTGAAGGACTATGTGAACAGTAACCAAACAATCGGACTGGGTGCTTATGATCTAGCGGTTCCTTACCCTCGTAAGGTGTATAGTGACCAAGGTACGTTAAATCTCCAATGCATTCTATGATGTTCTGCCATTTAGTTTTATTTCTGGTGAGGTTAGGTTAATTTAAGTAACTCTATTACTCATGATCTCTGACAGATCTCGATAAGTCTCTATCCGACTTGGGTTTGTTCGAAAGACAAGCACTTGTAGTGGTTCCACGTAAAAGAGCAACTGTTTATCAAAGAGGATCATCTTACTCTGAGTCTAACAACAACAGAGACCCTGCAAGCCTTAACAGTGGCGGTTACTTTGCTTATGTTAGAAGAGTACTGTCCTATGCAAACCCATTTTCATATTTTGGCGGCGCTACTGCTAACGCATCAAGCTCGGGGCCAGAACCTCAAAGCGGTATGTGGGAGTTCATAAAATCATTTATAAATGTACAACGTCATCATGTGATTGCTACATCTGATTGTTTCTTTTTCTGGCTGTAGGATCGAATTCGGAGCTGAGAAACAATCTGGCGCAAGAGAGTAGAGATCCATCAGAAGGTAGAAGCAACGTTCGGAACAGGAGACCAACCACATCTCGGATTGGAAGTAACATCCATACGCTGAAACACGATGAAGAAGATGCTCCGTTTGGTGATGGAAACGCGTTCTGGAACGGAAACTCCACACAGTATGGCGGTGGAAGCGGGGGAGACGGTAATGATAGGCGATGAAATGAGAGAAACTTGATCTTGTAACAGAAACAGCTCTAAGTTGTTGAACTCTTCTTGTCTATTTCATATGCTTCACTCTCTATATGTTCCGATAAGATTCACCAACTAAAAATGTTACCTTGTGTTTTGGTTTTATCAGTTGCTCGTATAAAAAAAAAACCGAAAATGAAACAGTTTCAGGTGATTAAAAGTAAATGTGATATTTCTTTTGTTAGTTTGTAATATTTTCAAATTCGTAATTGTTTTGGATGGAGCTGGTTTTTGAATCCTCCCATGGCAGTAACCAGCACTATCACATAGAGGATGTCCTGTCCATCATGAGCGGTCCTGTCCCACTAAAGAGACAAAGGGGTCACATGACGTTTAAGGAATCAAATAACGTGTAAGATTGAAAACAATATGCTTACTTATTAGATTCCTTTACACCTGATGACCTAAATATATAATCAACTTGGAGACTTGAAGTATATATATATATATGTGTGATTAACTTGACAGTTTTATTGGCTCCAACCTCTTTAATTGCAATTTAATGCATAAACACTTGGATCCGCTTTTCAAGTACCACTGTGCCTTTAAAAAAAGACTAAACCAGTTGGACTAAATGTATACAGCTGGTATCGATGATCAACTTGAGTGATTCAAATTGATTATTTTTATTTTATAAGTAAAGGAGACTTTTATTTGATAAAAGGGTTGAGAAGACACACACACACACATATATATATATATATGGATCCATTACCGGGAGAGTCAATGAAGATTTAAAGTGAAACCTTTTTTCCATAAATTTTCCTTACCTTTCATCATCGTCTCCACAACCATTCTTCTTAGCATTCACCATGGACCTATGTTGGCACGAAGATCCCGTATATGAGAGTGATGGTCCTGGTCATGGTTGCTGTAAGGGGTGCAATGAGAGGTTCAAAAGATCAGATCCATTATATGAATGCTTCACTTGCGACGGCGAATGGCATTCCTCTTGCGTTCCAAGCTCACCGGAGGATCTTTACCACCCGTGCCACCCAAGCCATCCCCTCAAGATTCTCCTCCAAGGGCCAAGTAGCTACGATGACGGGAAATGCAACCTGTGTCAACGGAAACTCTCCACCTTTCTTTACCATTGCAAGCTATGCGATTTCAGCTTAGATATGGGTTGCGCAAAGAACCCGCCTCCTTTCGTAGTGGATCATCCAAAGTGTCACGAGCATTCACTCACCCTCATGGCGAGAGACGTGTCTTTCACGTGTAACGCTTGTGGTACGCATGGTGAACGAAACCCTTACGTATGTCTTCCATGCGCTCTCATGTTTCATTACGATTGCATTGACCTACCACACGTCATTAACATCAACCGACATGAACATCGCATATCTTATGCCTCTCCAATACGTCCTGGCTTTCATGTATGTGAGATCTGCCGTCAAGATATCAACTGGAGGTACGGAGCTTATTCATGCAGCGAATGCCAAGTTTTTTTCGTTCACTCCTCATGTGCAACTAGAAAAGACGTGTGGGATGGGGTTGAACTCGAAGGGACAGATGAGGAAGAAGTAGACACAACGCCTTTCGAGGAGATCGAGGAAGGAGTAATAAATCACTTCTCCCATGAGGAACACAACTTAATACTTATTGAGGATGTTCTCATTGATGGTGGTGGTGAAGGCATACATTGTGAAGCTTGCTCCCATTCGATCTCTTTCGAGAGATACTACAAGTGCATGATGGAGTGCGATTTCATGCTTCATGAAGAATGTGCTAACCTTCCTCTTCAGAAACGACACGCACTTTCCACACATATACTTTCTATCTCAACCAGTAAGGACAACGACAATTTGTTGTTCAACTGTGCTGCTTGTGGTAGACTTGGAACAGGTTTTAGATATTATGATGGTGAGGATATAGTGTTAGATGTGCATTGTGCGTCTCTCTTTTGGTTCCGGCACAGAAAACTTCACCCCCACACATTGTTCCTCACCACATTAGACCGTGGCACTTGTGTTGGTTGCGACAAGACTAAAACATATGTGCTCGGTTGCATAGAATGTGAGTATTCATTAGATTTCCAATGCGCTACTCTACCAGTGGTGATTAAGCACAAGTGTGACGACCATTATTTATTCTTGCGTTGTGGTGAGGAGAAGAAGGATAGTACTGGTAGATATTGGTGTGAGATATGTGAAGCCGAAACAAATCCTGAGAAGTGGTTCTTTTCATGCTATGACTGTGGGGTTGTGTGCCATATTGATTGCGTGATCGGAGACTCGTTGAACATCAAGCCAGGAGTCTCATACATGAACGAGATGAAGATAGAAACGGTGGTCAACGATCACAACTCTAGACCACTGTGCTCAAGTTGTGGCTCTCGTTGTAAGTACCCTATGGTTTACAAATATTCTCGAGAAAATATTGAGGGCTACTATTGCTCCTTATATTGTACTTGGGAGCGTAATGAATAATAGGTAAGGGAAATGAGAAAGCGAGTAATGGTTTTTACATCTGTTTTTGAGTTTATAATTAATTTCATTTATTTTAAATCGGTTTTGTTGGATTTTTTTTTTGTTTTGTTCTGGTTTGCTCGTTCATTTCATAAAACTGAAAAAAAAGAACAACGTAATTTTAGGGTTCTATCGATTATCTCTGTAGCTGCCGGATGACAGATTTCTGGATGCCAAATAATATTTCCAATATTTTATTGGTTTATAATTTCTTTAGACTCATAATTTTTTTTATTTACTTTTTTAGTCAATACAAAATTAAGATAAAAAGTATGGTCAAGTTGGACCAGTATTTTATTTTTTGACATCAGCAGAAATGTATACATGTGATCAACTTGATAATTTATTCTTAAACTTTTTATATATTAATAGATGAATCCATTTATGATCATTCATTTTAATAACCCGGCGAAAGATTAGTCTTGCCCACTCTCAAAACCTAAAGGGACGCTTGGGTGGAATAAAAAAATTCATTGAGCCTTTAAGAAAAGACTAAACATGATTATCATTTATCATTACCGGTCTTCCATGCTTCTCATGTTTCATTATGTATATATTGATCAACCACAGGTCATAAAAATCAACCATATCGTATGTCTTTACACTACATACACTCTCAAGTCATTTTCCTGTATTTCTTTTTCGTTGGTTTGATTCACACATATGTGCACTGCGCAGAAACTACTTGGAGATCTTATGAATTCTATCTTCTGTAGAAGGATTGACCAACACCTTTACCTAAACACGTTATTCCACTTGTCTCCGTGAAATAGAAAATTTTCATTGAGCCTTATAATAAAAGACTAAACCAGTTCGGTCAAACATGAGCAGCTAACAATGATCAACTTGAGTTAAAAAAATAACACACCAATGATTATTCTTCTTCTTCTTTATTATGTAGTTTATAAAGATATGGATCCATTACAGGAAGCGAAACCATTTTTTCATTTTTCTCACCACTCTCTTCCTTATTCATCGACCGTGTCCACAAATGGAGTATGTGAGCCTCTTCTGGCATGAACATCCTTTATGTTATAAAGTTGGTTTAATTGCTGATGGCTGCGAGGAGTGCCATAAGTCTATAGGAAACCTTGTTGCTTGGAACCCTTTATATGAATGCTCTGTATGCAAAATCAAATGGCATCCCTCTTGCGTTCCAAGCTCACCAGAGATTATCAACCACCCCTGCCACTCGAACCATCCCCTCGAGCTTCGCCTCCAAGGACCACCTCACTACGCTAACGGGAAATGCAGCCTCTGCCAACACAAACTCTCCAGCTTCATTTACCATTGTGAGCTATGCGATTTCAATGTAGATGTGAACTGCGCAAAGAACCCGCCTCCCGTCACCGTGGATCATCCGAAGTGCCACGAGCATGCACTCACCCTCATGGGGAGAGACGTATCCTTCACATGTAACGCTTGTGGTACGCACGGTGAAAGAAACCCTTATGTATGTCTTCCATGCTCTCTCATGTTTCATTACGATTGTATCGATCTACCACATGTCATAAACATCAACCGTCATGACCATCGCATATCTCATGCGTATCCTCTCACACCTGGTGATCGGATATGTGAGGTATGTCGTGGAGAGATCACCTGGAGGTACGGAGCTTATTCATGCGAAAAATGTTCGGATTTCTCTGTTCACTCCTTATGTGCAACAAGAATAGACGTGTGGGACGGGATAGAACTCGAAGGGACACATGAGGAAGAGGTAGACACTATGCCATTCAAAGTGATCGAAGAAGGGGTGATAAACCATTTGTTCCATGAAGAACACAACTTATTACTTGTTGATGGCGGCGAAGGCATACATTGTGAAGCTTGCGCCCATACAATTTCTTCAGAGAAGCACTACAAATGTATGGACGAATGTGGTTTCTTTCTCCACAAGAAATGTGCTAACCTTCCTCTTAGAAAACGACATGGGCTTACAACACGTGTACTTTCTCTTCACCCCGGTAAGGAGAACCACGGTCGATTATACAGCTGTTATGCTTGTGGTAGAGTTGTGAGTGGGTTTAGATACGAGGATGGTGAGGATATAGTATTAGACGTGCATTGTGCGTCTCTCTCTTGGTTTCGGAACCCTAAACTTCATCCCCACGCATTGTTTCTTACCACATTAGACCGTGGCACTTGTGTGGCTTGCGACGAGACTGACGTCTACGTGCTGAGCTGCGTTGAATGTGAGTACTCATTGGATTTCAAATGCGCTACTCTACAAAAAGTGATAAAGCACAGGTGCGATGACCATTTCTTAGTGTTGTCCTGTGGTGAGAAAGACTGGTGTACGATATGTGAAGCGGAAACAAATCCTGAGAAATGGTTCTATACGTGCTATGATTGTGGGGTCGTGTGCCATGTTGATTGCGTGATTGGAGACTCGTTGAACATAAAGCCAGGATTCACATTCATGGGAAAGCTCGAGGGGTTGAAGTTGAAGTTAGAAGCGGTCCTCAACGATACCAATTCTAGACCACTGTGCTCATGTTGTGGCTCTCGTTGTAGGTTCCCTATTGTTTATAACCTTTCGCTTAGCACCTTTGAGAGCTTCCACTGCTCAATAGAATGTATCCTAAACTATTTGGAGTAGATTGAGAAGATGAGAGAGGCTGTAAAAAAAAACTTATGTAATCAACATTTTTAAAGACTCTACATACAAATAGTCACACTCACACGTTAGAAGTCAGAAGTCAGAACAAGAACCATATATATATATATATATGTTTTTGGCCAATCCTGTTGCCACTTTGATTTCGTTAGCTTTTTCACTAAAAGAAAATCATTTCCCCACGTCTGTCTCTGCCCAAATCAGAAGAATAAATAAAGAGAGAGAGACTTTGAATTGAAGGTAATTCAACACACGCTTTATTCCCTCTTTATCATTATATATAAAATTAGCCAAAAATTGGGATGTTTGTTCTATTCTTGATCATACGCCTCTCTGTCGCTTCCTTTTGACTCTTTCTTTCTTTTCTTAGCTGTTTCATCTCTCTCTCTCTGTCTTCCTTTTATCTTTTGAGTTTCTCTCTTTTTTATTGTTTGTTCCTTAGGTTATTTGGGGTTCCATTTTTTTTATTTTCTTCCTAAATTTCTCGAGTAGCTCGTCCCCTTTCGTCTCTGCCTCTCATTTGTCTACCGAGTTTGTTTTCCTTCTTTTTTGATTCGTCTCTCTGGTTTATTGCATTTTCTGATGGATCGTGACTTTCATCGTCGTGGTCAAGTGGTAAGCATGCAAATAGCTTTTGATCAATTAAAAATGTATTTATTCTGGAATTCAAGAACCTTATGTATGATGGAATCTCAATTGCATTTTTGTTTTGAGGATGATGATGATAGAGACAAATGTTGTTTATTAGCCTAATGATTTGAAAGCAGAGTCCTCTGTTTTCATTTAAACATTTTAGATCATCACTAAAGCAGAGTCCTCTGTTTTTCCATATAAACATTTTAGATCATCACTACATTGACTGAATGATGTTTGATGTAACTTGCAGGCGAATGAACGTTCACCGAGCAGCTACTTTGTTCGGTTGGATAAACCGAGATCTGTAGACGATCTTGATATAGGCAAGAGAGGGAAGATGCGTAGGTGGCTGTGCTGTTCTTGTCATGTCCAAGAATCTTACCCTTCTTCTGAACAAAACCGATTGAAAACCCCTCCTACTCGTAATTACGACTATGGTATCTCTCTTTCAAATTACATTCTCTAGTAGCTTTTGGTCCAAGTTATTCTTTCCTCTGTTTTGTTCACAAGTTATTGCTTTCTTTCTAAGGAACCCATATTCTTTCGCTTGTGTAGGACGTAACAACAAGAAACCACCAGCTCCTGTGAAGCCTTCCGTCTTAAAGGAGCCTCCTCCTATTGATGTCCCCGCGATGTCATTGGATGAGCTCAGAGAAAAGACTGAGAATTTCGGATCAAAGGCTTTGATTGGGGAAGGATCCTATGGAAGAGTGTACTATGCAAACCTGAACGATGGGAAGGCCATGGCTGTGAAAAAGCTCGACAATTCAGCTGAACCGGAGACTAATGTCGAGTTCTTGACTCAAGTCTCCAAGGTCTCAAGGCTGAACAATGACAACTTTGTTCAGCTTCTCGGTTACTGTGTCCAAGGGAATCTCCGTGTCCTTGCGTATGAGTTTGCGACGATGGGATCCTTGCACGACATTTTACACGGTATGAAATTAAAAGCAGTCTCTTCTCAACATCAATCAAACTTGAGATAAGAAAATTTGAAATGTTTACACAGGGAGAAAGGGAGTGCAAGGAGCACAACCTGGTCCAACACTTGAGTGGATGCAACGAGTCCGAGTCGCGGTTGATGCAGCTAAAGGATTAGAGTACTTGCACGAGAAAGTTCAACCTCCCGTTATACACAGAGACATACGATCCAGCAATGTGCTTATTTTCGAAGACTTCAAAGCCAAGATCGCTGATTTTAATCTTTCTAATCAAGCTCCTGATATGGCTGCTCGTCTTCACTCCACCAGAGTTTTGGGGACGTTTGGTTATCACGCACCAGAGTATATATATATATATGCTTCAAAACCGAAATCTTGATAGTTTCTTGATTCTTGGGAACTTAAAAGATTGTAAACTTTATACACATTTTGGGGTTTGTAGGTACGCGATGACAGGACAGCTGACACAGAAGAGTGATGTTTACAGTTTTGGAGTTGTGCTTTTGGAGCTTCTAACCGGGAGAAAACCGGTTGATCATACAATGCCTCGTGGTCAACAAAGTCTTGTCACTTGGGTAATTAACTTATTATGATGATGATCTTTTAGCTTTCTGAGTTTACCAAATCATTTCTTGGCTATATACAACTTTTTCTGTTCAGGCTACTCCAAGGCTGAGTGAAGACAAAGTGAAGCAGTGTGTTGATCCGAAACTCCAAGGAGAGTATCCTCCTAAAGCAGTTGCAAAGGTATCAAAAATTAGAAGCTTTCTTATCAGATATATGTGAATCCAGTGAAGCTAAACAGACGTTTTGATGGTAAAACGCAGCTTGCGGCGGTTGCAGCGTTGTGTGTGCAATACGAAGCAGAGTTTAGGCCAAACATGAGCATTGTAGTAAAAGCTCTTCAACCGCTCTTGAGGTCTTCAGGAACAGCATCTGCTCATCCAAACCCTCAAATTTGATATTCTTCATCTTTGTGGTTCTTGCAAATTGATTCATTCATGGCTTCAAATTTTTTTTTGGTTTTGTTTTCCTGTTTTCTATCTACAAATGGAATGCAAATGGGGTGATTAAAGGAAGAGATGACGAGTAGGAATCTGATTTGACTTTGATGATGGAGATGGATTTGTTGTGTTAATCTTCTAAAATTTGTTTGTTCTTCTACTACATAAGCTGATTCATGGAAGATAAATCAAATGTACACAAACTTTTAACAAATCTTTTCTGATTCATGACATTTTTATACAATATAATAATTATACATTATTATTTCGTAGCTTTTCTTCTTCAAAGAGTCACTCAAAAGACACTACACTGTTTCAATAACTTCTGTCATTTGATAAAAAATCATTTCTGTTAAGTTGATTATGACACATTAATGTTTAAAATGGTTGTCATCACTGTTTTATATTCTCACTAGATGTTTAAAAAATCGGTGAAGAAGCAATACAGTTACTAGTAGTGAACCAAGCCCAGAGCCTCAGCCGCGCTTCTCTGAGTCTCTTCACTGCAACACATTCCAACAAACGTTTTGAGTAGAGACTGTCGCTCTTCGAGCTTCATGAGTTTCTCCAACCCTCTTGCTACCATTTCCATCTCAGCCTGAGGATGAACAAACAAGCGAGGGAGATTTGTGAACAAAAAATGGGGAATGTGAAGTAGAGACTGAATGGTGAAAACTTGAAAAAGAAAAAAGTACATACAGAATACTCCTCGGGAGGAAATATGCGATGGATGAGGCATATTTTCGATAGTTCTGCCACCGATTCAGAATGTTTGCCTTGTATTTCCAGAGCCTGCAGTAACATGTAGTCTTAAAGTGTTTAAATCTGTATCATATACTGCATTCATCTATCTAAATGTCCTAGACAAAGAGAGATTAAGCAATGGACACTAGAACAAGGATAGCAAGCAAACCCAAGCTTGTAGAAACCATGAACGTGTGCGTGCAGCAACAGCTGCGGAAACCATCCTAGCAGCATCTATCTTTGCAAGTCCAATGTTCTCAGCAAGCCCAGCGATGAACTCTCGGGCATCTTCACTACAAATCTCGACGGAAGAAGATTCCCAAGGAGCTCTACAGAGTTTTTCAAACAAGTTCAGAGCCATACCAAAAAGACAAAAGACTACTTAACAAGTAAAGGTCAATAGAGACTAGAGAGACACCTGCTGCAAGCATTTAGTACAAAATCAATAGATGTTCGGTAAAAGGAATCTCGTGTATTTGTTGGCTCAATAGAGACTTGCACTCCAGAAAGCCTACATACTCTACGCAGCTGTATATAATTTCGTAGCAACAATACAACACAAAAAAAGAAGAAGAGAAATCTAGTTAATTCAAGTTCGTTCAAGATAGTTACACAATCGAATGTGAAAAACGAAAGGAAACAAATACTAACTTGAATGATATCATTATCCGTGATGTCCTTTCCACTGGTTCTGTTATCCACGATTGCTGGAAACTAAACTGATAAGTTACAATTTTCGATGAACACATAAGTAATACTAATACCACTGAAAAATGAAATCTTTCAGCTTTTAAGCTTTTCTTAACGGAAACCCAAAACCAAAAGCTAAAAAGATGAGGACTTGCAGGAGTTTAGAAGTTACCTCGAACGATTCTGTTGGCTTCTCTCTGATAGTCTTCTTTGTCTACTTCCAAGCTCTGGCTCGGCAATGAAGTAGGCCACCATTTCGGCAAATTATTCTGAGCTCTGAGCTTGAGATTTCTGGGTACGGAGTTACTCCGAGAAGCCTGACCAGAAGCTATGGAGCTTGAAGATGAACGAATGCTGTCAACAGCTACGACCACTTCCTTACCACCAAGGCTCCTGTCTCTCCTAACTACTAATTTGGGACTTCCTTGGAAATTTCCCTTAAAAGCCGATCCTAATTCCATCAGAACCTTAATTGCAAAACCAAATACGAATCCAATCACAACCACACCTCCGACGAACTGCATAGTTGATTTCCTGCACTTGACGACGACTCGCCGGTTCTCGTCGAGTGCGATTAGAGTTTGCAAGTCGGAGAAAGCGTCTTTGCCGGAATCGAGAAACAGCCGGAAGCGAGAATTAGCTAGAGCTGAAATCCGGTGAACGTCTAGGGTTAAGCTGAGGCTTTGGTCTTCGGCTCCGGAGGAAGACGAAGTGGAGATGGTAAGAACATTGCCGTCGCTATTGTCGTAGGGTGAGCCATTGGATTTCCGGTTCCGGTGAGGACGAGAGCGACGGCGCTTTGGAGTCGAGAAGGATAAAAGAGGAGCCTTGTAGATTTGGGATTTGGTGGCGAAGAGTCGCGGGGAAGGAGAAGAAGAAGAAGAACACGAGGTGGTCATGTTCATTGTGTGATGTTTTCGCTTGTGGACACAGAGAATTGAGTTAGTTTGAAGAGCTTCGGTTTGGTCAAACCGACCGGTTTAAGCCGGTTCGTAGTAAAATCAGAAGCTTTTTCTCTTTCTCAGTGATGGAGAAAAAAAGAGAGCAAAAAAGTACACAAAGGAGAGAGCTTTTGAAGATACACATATAATAAAGGTATAATAAAGAGTTCGTTTTAGGAGTTTGTTTTCTATCTGAAAAAGAATACATGTTTTAAGACTTTAAAAAAAAAAAATGTTCTTAACGAACTTAACTGACTCTTTGAAAGAATTGCGAGGCGGCGAAGGAGTCATTCTCATAAAGTTTATTGCGTCTGAATCCGGCTAGTATGCAATCTGAATTCCCCCTTGATGACTAAAATAATATTTGGCCAAAAGAATTCTTCGAAACAAAATCCTGTGAACGAGAGAGAAACGGAGATGCAGGTGAGACAACTATGAACACAGGACGTTTCTTTGTACCAACTAGTTCATTCAAGCGTGTATCATTTTTATGAAGATGGAGGACTTACGCTGAGAAAGTTTTATCTGGGAAGTAGTGGCTCTCTGTCATCTGATACAACACGGTGACTAGCCTGCAGAGACAGAGGAGAAAGACAAAACATTTTCAGTTTAAGTCGGAAATTTACAAGAACTGGATTTCACAAAATAAATTGAAGTCTGTGTGTGTGTGTGTGTGTGTTTTCACCTCTTCATTTGCTCCTGCTGCCATGTTAATGAATGAGTCTTTAGCCCTGAAGGAAATAACAGAGGAAGAAAAGAGTTTATATGAGTCTTTATACACGGGTAACTGAATCTTAATGTTTCTCAAATGGAAAATTGTAAAACCAGACGCTCGATGTAAGAGTTTATAGAACGATGACATGTAATCAGAGAAAGAATAATGATTCATAAGACACACCTATGATCGTCCTTAGTGTTAACTAACTCTAGCTTCCCGTTCTGGTTCTGTTGCTCATCTTTGGCTTTTGCGAGGGGTGAAAAGAACTGCGTAAATAGAAGTGTAGAAAAACATTTAGAGACGGGCAAAAAAAAAAGAGGTTCGTTTCAGTAAGTTGATTGATAACACCCGGAAGTGGTTTGTATGCAATTACCTGGTGCATTGAAATGAAAACTATTGAAATCCCCAGAAGAAAATTCATGGTTAATACATGTCCAAAGAGTGCTGCAGATGCTATGCCAGTAAATATTGTGGCAACCGTGGATGAATATTTCTTCAATATTGTATCTGAGAACATACATAAATGAAGACAAACTCAATACTATATATCCATGAAAATGATCTTACTGCAAAGGTTTTGGGCCCATGCAAAATCCATATTTTTCAAAATAAATGAATTTTAACAAAACAACGTAATTTAACCTGCATATTTGAAGAAAAAGGAGGATAGAATCCCTTGTGCTGCGTTGTTCAGTATCAGAAACACAGTGGCCCTAGAATGTCCTTGTAGGATGTCAAAACTGCCAGGACCTGTCGACACAGTGGCAAAACTGTTAGCAATGCGTCTAACACTTCAAGAAGCTTTTATGGCATTCTATTTTCCTTAAACATTAATCATATTTCTTCTCTGCCGTGTTAAAAGTATCCATACCTTTATATATAACAGTTCCTAGGATGCCGAGGAAGTTGAATATTGCACCATAACCATAGAGAAATAAGTTCTGCACCAGTGAAATTGATGTTTTATATTCACAACACATCAAAAAAACAAAAGCAGAAGAGGATCATAGTCCTAGAATTTAACATCAGCGATGTGCCTCACAGTTAATAACACAAACGAATCAACAACAGTTACAAGCACGGTCACCACAGATCCTCCAATGTCAGTATAAGTCTCTCATTTCTCTGATGACGTATGGAAAAAAAAACACTATGTACAATATCAGGATTAGCTAACCTGAAGATATATGCTTGTGTCATACTGGCTCTTTAGAGCATACTCGTTGTAAACAGATGCCAAAGATGGGACAGTAATCTGCAAGATGAAGTGCTGAATAAGCCACTAACTCGAAATCACAACTTTTCTTTGATGCAACAACGGGTGAGCAATTGTATAAACTACACTGTAGATTATGTGAATGGAATCACTTTCTTGCTAAATTTCCAAGAAAAGCAAATATAAGCACCAGAAAATGTAACTTACAAAGATAAAGGTACAGAGGTATGCACCCGTAGCAATTGGTACAGCAATAGTAGTAGAACCTTCTGGCAGAGAACGCAGCTGATTTACACTAATCCCTATCAGCAACAGAGCAAGTGCTTCCCACTACAACAAAAAAAAAAAGATCAAACATATTAATCCCGTTAATAGTAGGAGGTAAGGAAGGTCAAACATAAACGTCCATAATAATGTCTGATTCCCAAAAAATCACACATAAACCAAGAAGATTGAACCTGACCTGTATGATGGAAAACCGTCTCTTCATTATCATCTTCAGTAGTACAGCAATCACCAGAACCTTTAGATTGCTGAGCATCTTCACAGTAGCAGGATTGAAATATAACTGGCACAGAAGAAAAGTGAATTGCTGGGTGAAACTAAAATAGAAGAAAGACGGGACCAAATAGTAGCCGAGAAGGCTAGATAAGCACAATGTAACTATGTTCTAAGAAATTGTTCAGTGCAACTTTCACAGCGGACTCAAACATCTATCACCAAAAGGCAGCATTTCTGCAACTCAATTAGACCAAAGGATGGATGCACACGTTTTTGAATAAGAAGCACATGTACCTGCATTGTGAACTTGAGGTAGTTATTAATGGCATACAACCCTGCTGGAACAGCGAGAAGCACATTGTTCCGAGCTGCCTGCGAAAGAAAGGCTTGTGTTACTGCAACTTGCACTATAAAGAGTAAACAAATGAACTCCGAAGTTTTGAGTTTAGCAGCAGGAAACAATTTAAGAAAAAAAAGTATAGTATTAGATAGATCTAGTGATCACATAACATCTACATTTCAAACTATCATGCTATGACAACCAGATGTGTAACATACACCAAGCTTATTAGACACTGGGAGCCAAATCTCTTAAATTGAGACTATGACATACCACAATCCTAATACAGAATCTTTTATAGTAGTTCCAAATCTCTTAATTGCCACAACAAGGTACCTGGACGAATGTGGAAAAGGACAATAGAGGCTTTTCTCCAACTTTTTGTTGCCTGGCCTACAACATTACCACAAAAACTTGAGTATTAAAAGGAGGAAAAGCAAGACAAGCGTGAAAGAAGCAATCAGCCAAAACCAAGAAACTGTCTGTATGCACACAAATAGAACTGGTATTCCGCAAGAACTGAAACTCAATCCAGAAACGATACCTGGATCAGAAGCATGACCATCGCAAAAGTAACTTTTGCAATCTCGGTCAAGAAGTTGACGCTAATAGGACTGAAGTTGAACTTTCCATCCACTTTAGACATGTACACTAGGACAGGCTGTAACGGCAAAAGAAAAAAACGTAACTTTAAAAGGAAATGATAACAACAAATGACGAATCGGAAGAAAAAAGCCAATGTTTTTTAGCCGATTCGTTCAAAGATAAACTTTACCTGTAAACCAACAAGCATGCAGTCACCGACTACCAAAAAGACATTGAGGGCTTTTTGTTTTGAGGAAACTCTAATCTTGTGGTTGTCATACTCATAAGCCCTCGCTATAGCTTTGCTACTGGGAGAAACCAACCTTGAACGGCACACGCTGCACTCAGCCATCCCGTTCTTCATCGGCCTTTCCCAATTCTAGACTGAGCTAAAACCTGGAAAAAAACAACACAAAGCAACAGAAGCATTCAAATATAAAGAAACTCCATTTACACACTTCAAAATGAGAAATCAGAAGAGCTCAGGACAAAGTGAAATCCCACGATCAGATCTCAGTAGCCGTAAAAACCACAATTCAAAAAGACAATGAGCGAAAGTAGATCTCAAAACCTAGAATTTAAAACGAAAAATGTAAGCTTGGAGCAGAATCAAGCATAACTAATGGCGACATTGTAAAATCACAATTTTGATGCACAGAAAGCAAACCCCGGGGAAAAAGAAAAAAAAATAGGAAGCAGATCGATCAAACTAACCTCAATCGACCGATAAGATCAGCTCAACAGCGCATTCCCAATCCAAAACCTCCTCCCGCCTAAACAGCGTAAGATCCAGAAGAAAATTCGATACTCTGTGTCTCAACCTTCCTTGCCGTCTATGTGAGATCTAAATTACAGAAATTCAAAAGGATCTCCTCGAGCTTCAGCTCCAGAAAGAATATGCAGAGAGAGAGATGAGGAGGAAGAAGAAGATGAGGAAGAGGAAGAAGAAGACGAATCCGTCGGTCGATTGAAGTGCGCTCTTATTCTATCGCACGACCCTTTGTTTTGCTTTGATTTCACAACACCGTTTTATTGCGTTTCCTTGGAATTAAATAAACAAAACAGTCGAAAAAATTAAATTAAAGTCTCTGTCTCTTTGCTTATGCTGACACTTGGTGACTGTGACAGACCAATAAGATTTTAGTATGAGTGGCAATGAAGCTTTGGTGAGGGTGACGTGTCATACGGGTGATGGAGGCATAGAATCGGTGAGGAGGGTGTCACCGTAACTATTGTATCCAAAGTTTTGGCTTTTTGGTCAAATGTTTCTTTCGCTTGGACTTGTTTTTGTTTGTACATCTTTAATTTAATGGTGAATCGTAAACGCGAACATTAATTGATTTTGTTGTTGCTGCAGGAATTACCCAATTACAGAGTTCTTAATTAATTAAAGACTGTAGAAGGTTAACGCATTCATTTTATGAACTGAGAGCTCCATTAAAAAAACTTGTATAAAGTCTCGTGAACCAGAAATTATGCTCAAAAATCAAATTAAGACCATGAATAAAACATGCCTTGACCATTACCTAATATTCACATGAGAATAAAAGTTTATTATATATTGTGATGAATTAGAAATACCCTACAAATGTGTGACATCTACGGCAGAAACTATATTTCTTTCCCTAAAAAGAAGATACACACAATTTGCATGTACTTCCTTTGTAGACTTGTAGTTGTCGACACAATTTAAAGCAAATAAACCACGAATATATTCACTCATCACACTTTATAAATGTTTGCTTATAAAATTGTAAATGAAGTTTTCTTTTTTTGTTAAAATTGTTAATGAAGATTCACAAGAGCGAGCGTTACAATGTTGGTCACATTTTTTTTCTTGTTCAATCACAACATCTTTAGCCACAATTAGCCATGGATTTATAAACCAAAGCAAACGTATTTAGGATTAAACAATATCAAATAAATCAAATCAAACCCGAACCAAAGCCGAATTTAATATGTTCGAAGAAGATACTATTGTCAACTCTCTCTAAATAAGTTCATACTTGTATTAACATGGAGATTAGTGTTGATTTTGATTTAGGATTCCCAATTATACTTGATTAATAATTATTTTATTTTATGCTAAATAAATTTTAATATATTTTGGAGCCAACTGTCATTCATCGAGGAGAACAAGAAGAAATAAAAATATTAGAAGTCGTTTTTACATAAAAGGAAATAATTTGGTTCTTTCCTTATTTTGGATTTTAAGAAATATGTTAAGATTTGATCTATAAATAATGTAGCCCGTTGGAGAAAGAAATCATTCAGGTTTTCAATTTGTCTTTTTTTGTTTAGATTCTTCTAACCATATATAGTTGTTAAATTCATGAGTGCCGTGTTTTGGGATTGAATTCGATAGAACACTTAGGGATTTGTTTAGGGTTCGTCTGGTTGCCGTGTTGCACAATTCATCTAACTTAGGGTTGAAAACTCTCTGTGTGTTAGAGACGAATTGGATAATGGCATCTTTATTTTCGGATAGCCTGCGAAAGATATGGCCCTTTTCAATGCCTGAAAGTGATGTGAGGGATTCAAAGGAGCTTGTTCACGGACTTTCTTTGCCTGAGAGTACAAAGAGCTTTGTATTTGCAATCAGAGTCCCCGAGCATGATTCCACTATTTACATACTCTCTGCTCATAATTTTTCTAAGAGATCCGCTATTGATGCCGAGTGTCTCATACGTGAAATCCGACCTGATGCTGTAGTGGCTCAAGTGAACAAGTCAGCTTTTGGAGAAGGTCAAGTCGAGGAGAGTGTATTAAGCTCAATCCCAACGTCAGCTTTTAAAGTTATCAAACAGCTTCTCGTAGGCAGCGTTAACAAAGAAAAGTACGAAAGTGCTGCAGGAGCCTTGGTCTTGAAGGAGATTTTCGGGACAGGCTTTAACGGACATGTATTGGCTGCTAAAAAAGTGGCTGGTGAGGTTGGTTCATCGTTTATGGAACTCGAATCTCCTTTTGTTACGCAAGGTCTAACTAATAAATGGCTACCACGAGCTTATTATGGCTCTGCTTTCTCTTCAAGCTCGGGAACGTTTCAGATAACCAACGATGCACATGCACAGATGCTGAAGCTGTTATCTTCGCATATCACTCAGCTCGGTAAAGAGCTTACACCATCAAGCTGTGTTTCCAATGAGATAGAGTTGGATAGTGATGAGGTTCCACCGTTTGCTCACTCCGTTTATTCATTGCTTGTTGATCTTCATTACACATTTAACGGTCTCCCAGCTATTAGGAAAGCTCTGACCAATGCCAGAAAGATGTTGTCTGATGTGAGTAGAGGAGAATCCATTGATACAGAGGTTATCTCTGAAGTTTACCTTTTCCAGATTGCAGTCGAAAATACTTCCTTCAGCTCCTTCGATTGCAAAAATGGGTCGAGGGATCCGAAACTTGCATGATGCGTCTGTGGAAGTGACAAGGAGAGAAAACAGCAAGATACATAATGCCATCGAGACCCTTAGGCAAAGGATGAAGAACTACACGCTTCAGTCCAGAAGTTGACATTTGATACATTCAGGTTTTACCCAAATAAAAGACTGTAAGTGCACAGACAATTACAGTAATATAGATGGGATCGAATCCACAGAGACCAAAGTTACGCTATGATTCTTAATGAATGAAGTGAAGCTAAGACAATGTAATGACTGTTGAATGTAATGCAAAACGAAAATAGCAACTAAAATTCAATAAAAGATCAATTAAAAACAATTCGCAGGGATCAGAGATCATGAACCAGACAATTATTCAGGGAACAGATAAGCACAGTCTTGAACTCAAACATGAATGTATAGCTAATCCACTGTCGTAGTATCAGAGACTCTATCTAACAACCTAAGATTCTAAACTGTCGTTTGAACTTAGAATTGTAAACCGGCATTAGTGATCATGTTCGATTTGTTCACAGATTGCATTAACATCAGCTTTCGTTGGCTAAGGACAATCTGCTCACCTATGTTCTATCAAGCAATCTAAAATACTTTCATGAATAGATTAAACCCTAAATCAGAGATTAAGTGATCAAATTAATCTAAGCAATGAGAACAACAATAGGTGAAGACAGCAGATGAATAACCCTATTTATGTCTAGTTCATTGATTCATGAATCCTTTGAAAATCCTAAACCTAACTATGAAACTACTCAGACATGAAAGCAGAGAAACAACAAGGAGAGGAAGAAAAATTCATAATCAATAAATAAGAAATCCAAAGGGATTCAGAAATCTTCTTAAAAGATGTAAAGATTCTTCTCCCCAAGCTCACAAAACACAAAACCTAAAAGTATCAATATAAAAAAAAAAAAGAGGATTGCCTAAACAATGGCTGAAAAACAAGTATTTAAATGTTTAGGAACGAATTGGGTGAGAAATTATCGAAAACCAAGTTGGAATAGGAAAAACCCGAAGTTTCCTTATTTCTGCGCGACCAAACCGGCTAGTTAAGACCTCGGATCGATCGATCCGGACTTGGATCGATCGATCTAAATCCCTCCCGGATCGATCGATCTAAAATGTCTTGGGTGATTTTTGAACTTCGGATCGATCGATCCAAATCTAGATCGATCGATCTAATTTCTCTCGGGAAGTTCTTCGGCTTTTTGCGCGCGCCAGACTAGACTGCTTTCACGAAAACTGGCATAACTTTTGATCGCACCGTTGGATTGACTTCAAACCATTTCCAAATGAAATCTAACACAAAGATGTAGCTTGTGTCCAAATTTCAGCTCGATCCATTGGTGGGAAGTACTTCAACGAATGCCAAACTTCAAACGTTTCTGTATAGTTCTGCATCCACATATGTTCGTTTGCACTCAAAATGACTATTTTTCTCCCAAACGATCTAAAACCTGAAAAGACTCGATAAAAAGATTAAAAGACTCTAAAAACACACTTTGACTCAAAAAATCATTAAAAACCTTAGGTTGGAAAGCCTCAAAAACCTAATATATCAACATTCAAATTGTGAACGAAGAGGTTGTTGTGAGAGTAACCTCACCCTTGGATTCACATCCAGCATCAGGAATCATACAAGCTATGAGAAACTATGAGAAACTCAGAGGTTAGCTTAATGGAGTCCAAGCTATCATTAGCTGAAGAGACAGTGTTTCACACTTTTGTTACCAAGTCTAATAACGGGTCGAATCCATTGACGAAAGAGAAGCTTATAGCTGCGGTTTACACGCAGAAGCCAATACCGTCTTCTAGCTCACAGGTTTCTGGCGATTTCTAGCAGTTTCACCTTCATCTGAAAGATTCTTCTTTTGACTCTTGTTCAGTATAGAAACATGTCAGGTGCAGCTAGAAATAGATAAATCCCTTTTTGTTCTTGTCTTTCTTAGAATGAAAGGAATCCAGTTTTCGTATAATATACTCCTTTTACTAACGCGTTATACTAATGTGGGCCATTAATAGCCATTAGCTCACATATTTTCATATTTCATATTTGTATCTTGGAAATATTTTTCCTTTACTTAAAAGTAAATCAAATAAATTGACTTTTGTGCTTCTTTGAATTGTGTGTGAGCGTGGTAATACCTAAGGTCTTGTCTATCACAGTCGAAGGTCAAGGTGAAGATTAATAAAAATATGAATGTTATTAATTAACGGTAACTTTTTTTTTCTTTTTGACCGTTGTGAATTTGAGATCTTTTAAATAGATACGAAAATCAAACTACTGACAATTTCATCTCATTTGAATATACGTGAAAGCTCTGCGAATGTGAGTGAAACAGTTAGCTTCTTGATAAGGTTAGAGATGATTCCACTTGCTTTTCTTTTCTTCTTAATTCAATGTTTTCTGGTAAAGCTCTGCACTTTCGTAACAATTAGCTTCTTGATAAGTTAGAGATGATTCTATTTGCTTTTTTTTTCTCCTTAATTCAATGTTTTTTGCAAAAGCTCTGAACTTTCGTTACAATTAGCTTCTTGATAAGTTAGAGATGATTCTATTTCCTTTTCTTTTCTTTTTAATTCAATGTTTTTTGCTAAAGCTCTGAACTTTCGTTACAATTAGCTTCTTGATCAGTTACAGATGACTCTATTTGCTTTCTGCTTAAAGCTCTGAACTTTCGTTTTACTAGGATTATAATTTCAACTTGTGTGTCTATCCCATTCTCTTCTCCAGAGATTGACTTGTTCTAGAGGCGATAGAGGTCAAATTATGGAGCTTTAGCAGAAAACATTCGAACTCTTCAATTTAAGAATTCGATCTAGACGACGTCGAAGGAAGACAATGAAGAAGACGAATCATGGAAGGATTGGGGGAAGAAAGCCTCGACGCCGGAATTCGATCCGCCTCCGGATTTCTCCAACATGGGATTCGAACAGATCCAAGCGGAAATGGCTAAACGGACTTTCGGACCTGTCGTCGGATTCGTCAAGCTCCGGTTAGGCGTCCGCCGTACTAAGGTAAACAAACTTCTAAACCTCTCTCTCTCGCTCACCTCTTTCACATCCTCCGATAAAATCATGAAAGTCCAGTTGCTTCAGGCGATTGAAAATCGTGATTTGTTTGTTTGATTTCAATCAGGATATGGTGGTGGAAATTGCTATGAAATGGACAAAAGTTCTGAGAACAGGAAGGGTCGGAGTAAGATTCATGGCCGTAGATCGAAGCACGGTGATGTTCAATATGCAAAGTGGCAAGGAAGTGAATGAGGTAAGAAAAAAAAACACAGAAACACACGTAATGATGAAGCTTTGTTTATCAGATTAGCCAAACATCTCACACTAGAATCAATCTCTTTGTTGGTGGATATTCAATTAGCTAAGGGATATTCTATATGATTAGTATATAAAAGATTCTTGTGTTTTATCAGATTAGCCAAACATCTCACACTAGAATCAATCTCTTTGTTGGTGGATATTCAATTAGCTAAGGGATATTCTATATGATTAGTATATAAAAGATTCTTGTGTTTTTATCCGCAGCTTAAGCGAAGGCAAAGCCGGAGCCACGAAGAAGCGCAAGTCGCGCATATCAAAGATTTCTTCTCTTGGAACATTCCAATATTTAAGGTTCAGTCTATTTCTTTTACCCGTTGATATTATATTCTGGAGTTAAACTCAAGTGCTAAAATTTTATAATTGTTAAAAGTATTGGAATTTGGTATCTTTGTCTTTTTAAAAAGATCATTATCGATGCCAAGTTCGTTTTGTCTTCACAATATAATATAAATTTTGGCACTTGAGTTTCTATTATTTTTTTCACCTGTTTTTTTGTTTTCACTAGATTTTAAAACTTAAATCAAATATATTTTCAGATATACTATGTATTTTCAACTGTTTTTTTGTTATCACTAGATTTTAAAACTTAAATGCTAAAATTATATAATTGTGAAAAAATAATCGGACTTAGTATCTTGTCTTTTTAAAGATCGTTATCGATGCCAAGTTCGTTTTGTCTTCACAATATAATATAAATTTTAGCATTTGAGTTTCTATTATTTCTTTCACTGATTTTTTTATTTTCAAAAGATATTTTAGATTTTGAAATTTGAGTGCTAAAATTTTATAATTGTTAAAAGTATTTGAATTTGGTATTTTGTCTTTTTAAAAAGATCGTTATCGATGTCAAATTCGTTTTGTCTTCACAATATAATATAAATTTTGGCACTTGAGTTTCTATTATTTCTTTCACCTGTTTTTTGTTTTCACTAGATTTTAAAACTTAAATCAAATATGTTTTTAGATATACTATATATTTTTCAACCGTTTTTTTTTGTTTTCACTAAATTTTAAAACTTAAATGCTAAAATTATATAATTGTGAAAAAATAATCGGACTTGGTATCTTATCTTTTTAAAGATCGTTATCGATGCCAAATTCGTTTTGTTTTCACAATATAATATAAATTTTAGCATTTGAGTTTGTATTATTTCTTTCACTGATTTTTTATTTTCAAAATATATTTTAAATTTTGAAATTTGAGTGCTAACATTTTATAATTGTGAAAAGTATTTGGATTTGGTATCTGAAGAATATAACATCTCAGGAACTTGATCATCACCTGTTAATGAATAGTGGGCTAAAGTCCTTCCTTTTATCTTCTTCTATGAATAAGAACACTGCATCTTACCTTCCTTGTGTTGCTACAGTTTCTCTTTTTTTTTTTTCTTCACATTTGGTCTATTTGATTCAGTTTGTGGACGGCCTGGAGTTCTAAGTCTGTTTGAACCTCTTTACGTTCCTGTTTTTGAGTTACTCCTGATTCTGAATTGTTTATGTGTTTGAAAGGATGTCAAGACTAAGCTTGTGACTGAATAAAGAGAAGTTTTCTCAGCTTTTTTTTTTTTTTGTAATTTCGTCAAATTAATCAAGTCTCTGTTAGCATTTTTTTCCATTGACCCCATTTTCGCCGAATCTGAAGTTGTGAATAATAGAGAGTCGGAGTGTTTATGGTTTTGAGTATTGTAGGAAACTCTTTTGAATCGATCAATTAACTTCTCTGGGTATATTATATGGAATTTGAGAGGTTTTCTGGTTTTGGATTTAGTTACAATAGAGAATTCCTCAGGTATTAGTAACTGTATGTAGAAAATGATCCATGTTTTCATTAATATAATTTTGTTAAACTGATTATTACATTTATCAATATATATAAAAACTTTGTAGTTTTTTATATATCCAAAATGGAACCAAGCAAAACACAAAATTCAGAATCTAATTTCATACGTGAATTCTCAAAACCGAGCAAATTAAGTAAACCAACATAACCAAACTGAGCCAGACCGAATAATTGAAAAAAGCGAATTTTAAGAAACACGAAGGAGACTGTGTCTGTGTGCGAACAAGTTTTTGCAGAATTCGTCATTCAGCTTACTACTAAAGAGTCTTCTTCAAGGGCATAGAAGAGGACGCGAGTCGCGCGAGAGAGATAATAAGAGTTACAGAAATCAATTATCTGGTATGGTGAATTCGAACCATCGAAAGCTCTAATCTGGAAAATCGATGCTCGAATCCGCCACAGCTTTCCCTTTAACCAACCAGGTACCTTCTCCGCCATCAGCCGCCGTACGTGTCTCCACCGTCTGCTGTGATTCTAAATTTGTCGTTTATTGATTCATCTGAGCATCGTTTCGATCGTCAAATTCTGGATTTGTACGGAGGAAAAATTTCTTCCCCCCGATTCGATTTTGAGTAGGTTCGACGAAATCGCCTGCATGATTCAGTAGACCGATCTCTTATCTATGCGCGTATCGATCGAATTCGATAAAAGACTCTGGATTTGTTCGGATTCATCTAGTTGCCGTGGAGGGCTCGGCTCAGAATTCATTTTACTGTTTTTTGAAATCATCTTTATTTGGAGACGAATTGGATAATGGTGGCATTGGTTTTCGCGAATACTCTGCTGCGAAATATATGGCCATTTTCGATATTGAAAAGCAATGACCTGAAGGATTCAAAGGAGCTTGTTCGCAGACTCTCAGTGCCTGAGAGTACAAAGAACTTTGTGTTTGCAATCAGAGTCCCCGAGCACGATTCCACTATTTACATACTCTCTGTTCAGAATTTATCTGAGAGATCCGCTACTGATGCCGAGTGTCTCATACGTGAAATCAAACCTGGCGCTGTAGTGGCTCAAGTGGACAAATCAGCCTTTGGTGAAGCTGAAGCTGAGGAGAGTGTATTAGGGGATGGCTCAAGTGATTCGATCCCCACATCAGCTTTTAAAGTTCTTACGCAGTGTTTTCTAGACAAGGTTAACAAAGAAAGGTACGAAACTGTTGCAGGGATCTTGGTTTTGAGAGAGATCTTTGGGACAAGCTTTAATGGGCATCTACTGGCTGCCAAAAAGGTGGCTGGTGAGGTTGGTTCATCGTTTCTGGTACTGGAATCTCCGTTTGTCAATATCGCTGCCGTCGAATCCTCTGAAGTTGAGCCAGGAGGCAAGATGCAAGGTCTAGCTAATAGTCTCGTACCACAAGCTTCTGGCTCTGTTTTATATTCAAGCTCACGAAGGCTTCTGATAGCCAGTGATGCACAGGCACAGGTGATTAAGTTGTTATCTTCGCAGTTCAATCAGCTCAGTAAAGAGCTTAGCCCATCAAGCTGTGTTGCCAGTGGAGTTTCCAATGAGATCAACTCTGATAGTCATGAGGTTCCACCTTTTGCTCACTCTGTTTATTCCTTGCTTGTTGATCTTCATGACATATTTAACGAACTCCCATCTATTGGGAAAGCTCTAGCCAGTGCCAGAAAGATGTTGTCTGATGTAAATAGAGGGGAATCCATGGATACAGAGGTTATCTCTGAAGTTTACCTTTTCCAGATTGCAGTTGAAGGTCTAAGAATTGCTTTGAACAATGCTGGTCGGCTTCCCATCAAGAAGAACCTAGCAAGTTCAAGCCGGACCGAAGTTCAGTTTTCGGAGCTCTCTTCTGACGACAAATCGTATGCGCTTATGGCAGATCTTCTTCGTAGCCAGGCTAAAAAGTTTAAGAAGATAGTAGCAGTAGTAGATGCAAGTAGCCTCGCAGGTCTTAGGAAGCACTGGAATACGTGTGTTCCTCGAGAAGTCAAGGATATGTCTGAGCATATGGTACATAACGACGAGAAGACTAATGATGACTCGAAGTTAAAACGACTGTTGTCTGATAAACCGGTGGTAGCGGTTGGTGCAGGTGCGACTGCTATCTGGGGTGCTTCGTCACTATCCAAGGCCATTACTGCTTCTCCTCTCTTCAAGATCTTAACTTTGAAATCCCCAGCTTCATTGAACCTTTTCTTGACACATACCCATAAGGCAATGACGTTTGCATTTACCAAAGTGGCGTATCCCTCAAAGGTAATGGCCCCGGGTTTTGCTAGTTCTGGAGTCAAGTCAACATCTTTGGTGAAAGCGTCTTTATCCGCCGAGAAAATAAGAGCAGTAACACACAGTATCATAGCTTCTGCTGAAAAGACGAGCTTCTCTGCCATGAGAGCTGCCTTCTATGAGATAATGCGGAAAAGACGAGCGAAACCTATTGGCACCTTACCGCTGGCAACGTTTGGGGCCAGTCTTGCAACATGTTCGGGATTGCTCCTCTATGGAGACGGGATCGAATGTGCAGCTGTGTCTCTTCCTTCAGCTCCTTCGATTGCAAACTTGGGTCGAGGGATTCAAAACTTGCATGAAGCGTCTCTGGAAGTGAGAAGCAGAGAAAGCAGCAGGATACAGAACGCAATCGAGGCCCTTAGGCAAAGACTGAAGAAAGTCACCCGTCAATGATCTTTCATTTTGTTTTTGTTTAGCTATTGTACATATATATACATATCCTCTTATTTTGTAGATACATGTTTGATGTTTGGTTTGAACATGGACCCTAACTGTTACTAGCAGAATTTGAAGAATTCAGAGTAATGCAGATGATTTTTTCACGTAAGTCACCCATTTAAAAGTGGTGGAAAATCTGTTGAAAGGATTTTTTTCACCTTTTTCTGGAAAAAAATGTTGTGGAATGCTGGTGTGTTTAGTATTTCTTTTTTAAAAGAAAAACTTAATATCTTATAATTTTTTATGTGTATAATATTTTTATGTGTAGGCAAAAATGCATAATTTTTTTTCCTTTCAATATCCTACACGTGTTATGTGCGTGTTTTAATGTAACAAATTTAAATCCATTTCATATTGGGTTAATATTAGGCTGATCATTGTACCTGTTTCAAAGCCCTTTGGGCTTCATCTAAAGAAAAGATGAGATGACGACAAAAAGAAAAGAATTTGTTAAGTAGCCCCAACAAAATAAATAATTGAATTTGAATTTTATAGTTATTATAAGCTCTTAATTAAATTAATTTAATCATTTATTATATAAATAAATATAATTATTTTAAAAATTGTGTACTTTTCAAAATTTAATCTAAAGTATTTTTCCAAAGTTCCTCTTTATTTATTTTGGAAAAGGCGATCATAAACTAATCTACAATTTTAAATCATTATTAGTATTATGATTTAATGAATTCATTCTTTACGAACCATTAACCCTCGTACTTACCCGTGATCATAAACTAAACTCATTTCTTTTTTCTTAACCATGTCGTGAACTTGCTTTTCTACAAGAATTGAAAAATCATTTCTTATAAATTCTTTAAACCTTACAATTTTTAAAATCATTTCTGCATTTCCTCAAATTGGTTTTTCAATTCAGTTGAATTTCACGAGAAATATCCAACAAAGCTTCTTCTTTGAAAATATATAACATAATATTTATGCATTGTTGAAAAAAAAAACTTCTATGATTTTGTAACTTGGTATGGAGAGGATTGAGGAAGAAGAGCATAAATCTTGGCTTATTTCAAGACTTAGAATCAGTAGAGACGAAGCAACTATTCTTCTCATTTTGTATCACTAATATGTATAATATTTCTTGTTGCTAAGTATTTGTATATAGGAATGAAAGAAGAGGCTCAAAGAAATTAGATGAGATTTCTGGTATCTCATTATCATGTGTTGTTCTTATCATTGAATAGAAATTTTTAAATTTCGTCTAAGACTCAACAAAAATTTGATTTGGAGTTCTTGCTATCTCAGGAATATGCATCAATCTCAAACTACTTTATTAACAAGTTAAAATTGATGCATTATACCAAAAATACTTAGCAAAGTCTTCTTATATACTAAAATGAATTTTCCTATAAAAAAAAAGAAATAGACAAGATGTATGAGAAATGAATAGTGCAAAGCTTGTACTAATCCAAGTTAGAATTCAAGTTATGCCACCATGTAAAACACTTAAACAATAAGATGAGCGAAGATACATCAAACAGCAAAGATAAATGAGAGAAGATTTAGAAGTTTCATAAAACTACTAACTGGTTAATGTTCATCACAAGCTTATTAAGAATCGATATCTCGATAGATCTAATCTTACCTTTCAATCATGAATCTCATCACAAGCTTATTAAACATCGATATCTCAATTGTTCTCATATTTTTCTCAATTCAATTTCTGAATTTCAGTTATATTCGGCAATAAAGATCCAATGACTCTTCTTTAAAAAGCCTTAACAGATTCTTTATGCGTTTGTAACTTAGTATGGCGAGCATTGAGAAAGATCAAGAGTATGGACTTTATGTGTCAATTGCAAGGCTTGTTTCAAGAATCATAATAAGTAGAGACAAAGCCACGTCAAATCACGCCACAGGCATGTTTAAAATACGAAATGTTCGTGAAGAAATTTTAGTCCAGTGTGAGTTGAGATACCAAAAGTTATGTCAATATATTAATACTTAAAAAAGGCTTCTTATATACTAAAAGTGAATCTTTTTCAATTGTAGGAAGATGGCGGTTTGAAAAAATTGGTTTCTCTAGTATCTTCTGTGACAGCTTTCTATTGTCGATGCTTAAATTTTAGCTTCTCTAATATCTGTTTTTAATGTATTTGGCTAGTTTTAATTAATTATTGTTCTGTTTTTCAATCATTTTTATTGAAAAAAAAAACAGAGGTTGGAGCTGACGTAGGAGCTGAGGAAAGGAGTATTTGGTATAGCTCTGATTCTTGCATGGAGGAAATACGAGGAAATAATGGCCCGTTGGTACATTTCTCTAGATCTTTTGCATAAATATTTAAAAGCATGAAACCTATTGATATAATTTTTAATATGCAGATACCAATACATTTGGTTAGATCATTTTTTCATCTTGGACGCATACTTATTTCTCACAACAACATTTATTGCTAGTACACTGGCCTAGAAACCACCCATTGTTATGACAAAAACTATTGCAACCTCTGTTCCCTCCATCATAACACGGTTTTGGTTGGAAACATAAAAAGTCCTGCTTTACTTCATAACCTATTTATGAATAAAAAAAATATTTGATCAATATGTATATTCAATAAAATGACAAAATCATGCTCGTAATTAAAAAATGGAGGTATGAAAATAAACTATTACCCGGTACAGTAGTAGCAATTGTAGTGCGACAATGAACAAAAGATATGGTAAAGAAAATAGTAAAAACAAACACGATTAAAGTCTTCATAGTGAACACCATTTTTAAAATAGTCTCTTAGCTTTTTTCAATAAGTTTTTCTTTACTTGGACTGATTATATATAATAACACAAAAATATGTATGAAATAAACAGAGACAGATGCAAGGTGTAAAGGAAATGGTTTCGGTGTCTTGCAATAGCTATTGTTACATACATTTATATGAAAGGAGTTTCCCAAAAACAGAAGATGTACTGTAATTACAAATGATACACACATTGATGTTAATGGATAAGACCATCATTGATATGTATTTCAATTACTCCATACTTATCATGATTATATCTGATTTGATTCTCTAATAATGTAAAACAATGACCTATAAATAAGAAACAAGAAAAAAAAGAAAAAAATGAAATGAACAAAATAAAAAGAATAAATAAGAATGAAATATACATAAATATATTATTTTTTTTCTTTTTTTATTCCTCCCTAAATTTTATAAAGAATACATTTATTCTATAGTTTCTTATATGATAAGAAATAGGAAGGAATGATAGAGAAACAATATTACTAGAAAATGGTAAATATTTTAAGAGATGAAGATGAATCTATTATTCCTCATCATTTTCTTGATGACCAGTTGAAGTCAAAGTATTGTCTTGGTCAAAGAAAAGGAACATATTATATATCCATTCATTTCCATATAGAATTATAGTCAAAAGACACACATAGAATGATTTCTTACCTAATTTGTACGTTTGAACATTGGTGACATGATACTTACTGTTTAATGTATTGTCAAATATGAAATTTCTTTTCCCAATATTTAGTTGAATTTTTGAAATCGAATATGCAAAATTTTAGTGGTTTAATTCGAAATTATTGGTAAAGATTAGTTGATTTAACACATTCGCAATTTCTAACCAGTAGATGGACCCATTAACACATGCCAACTTACTTGTAGCTTTCACCTTGTAATAAAACGTCTTCGGGATCAAAGTGAATTTGCTAAACCATAATTTTGATAATATTACGTACGTACATACAGTTTTGCTCCTAGTCAATAATGTATATGCAAGCGAGCAGATAATTTTAATTCATGGTATTTGCTAACAAAGTTTACAAGCAATGGTAAATAGATAGAAAGTAAAATGATGTAGAACAAAGCGGAACCAAATAATAGTAGAGACTAGTAAACAAGGAACTAGTTTAAGAGAGGTACGCAATTATAATCAACTACAACTAAAGTGGTATACACAATCTCTCCGAACCCAAATTTTAATCTGCTCCTTTTTAAAATCGTGGATATCTCGGAGCCTTGTATTGGATGCTTGGAAAACAATCCGCATGGATCGATATGTTGTGATTGCCATATTCGGATGATGTCCATAAATCCAACACGTGATTTAGATAGTGTAGACCAGACGTATAAAGCTTTTTAAGTATGTATAAAGCGTTAAGCATGCATATTAGAAAATGAGTTGAAACTATTAAAGTTTGTATCATAGGAAAATTTTCTCTTCATTTTTTCCATAATATTGAAATACAACACAATAACACATTTACCAAATGTACCAATTCTTTTATTTTATTTTGTATTTCAATATTCATTTAAGTTGTATTTCAATTTAAATATTGATTTTCTTCAAATTGCGAAAACAATATTACTCAAATCTAATCAAATTAACTTAGATTTTTTATTCCGCTCTAAATCTTTTGTATAAATATTTTAAAAGTATGAAAACTATTGATATAATTTTGTAGGCAGGTGCCAATACATTTGATTATATATTTTTCATCTTGGACGCATACTTATTTTTCACAACAACATTTGTTGTTAGTACACTGGCCTAGAAACCACCCATTGTTGTGACAAAAATCATTGCAACCTCTGCCTTCTTTCTGATAACACACATCTGGTGGGAAACATATAAAATCTTGGTTTATTCCATAACCTATTTATGAAAGAAAAAAAATAGTATATCAGTATGTATAATCATTAAAATGACAAACTCATGCTCATAATTTAAAAGTTGAGGTATAAAAATAAACTATTACCCGAAACACTAGCAAGTGTAGTACGACAATGAACAAAAGATATGGTGAAGAAAATAGTGAAAACAAACACGATTAAAGTCTTCATAGTGAGAGACATTTGAAATAGTTTCTTAGCTTTTTATATACTTAGACTGGTCTTATATATATAATACAAAAATACGTAAAAGCAAAGTATTGTCCTGGTCAAAGATGAAAATTAAAGGAACATTATATCCCCTTTCATTTCCATATAGATTTTATAGTCAAAAGACAAAAACATAGAATGATTTCTTACCGAATGTGTACGTTTGAACATTGGTGACAGTACTTACTGTTTTATGTATAGTTAAATATGAAATTTGTTTCCCTCGTATATTGTTGTATTTTTGAAATCGAATTTAAAGGGCAGGCACAGATAGGAATTATGGGGAAAATAAATATATTGGAAAAGAAAAAAGAAAAAGAAAATCTAATTATATAAATTTAAATATATTGATCGAAAGAGGAAGAGAGGAGAAAATAGAGAAAGTGACCTAATATCCAGCTACCACTAGTGAGGTCACGGGTTCGATCGGTTTATGCATTCGTTTGAGTATTTTTATTTTCTTGCCAGAAACCACCTCAAATATATGGATATTTTTCTATTTCGCCCAGTAAATTTCTAAAATATCAATTTGGGTCACCTCTCTCTCTCTCTCTCTCTCTCTCTCCTCGTGCAGCCGGAAGATCCTGCTAATCGTCAAATCCAGTAAGCAAAAATTTCTCAGCTTTTCCTCTTACCTTTTTTGGTCTTAATTAGCTTACTTCATTATTTCGAATGTATTTCGCTTCTGTGTTTCAACTTTTCTCGACGGATTCGGCTTTTACGATTGATTTCATCGATTGGGTTCATCTCTGGGTTTTTAATTTTATCACTATTTGGCTCATTCTTGTTCAGATTATTGATGAGAAGAAGTGTAAACTCTGGAAAAAAAAAACAAATTCTAAAACTTTACCAACATTTCTGAGATTTTTCAAAATCGGAATCCCTGTCTTGTTAAAAAGCTCTCTGATTCTCTGAGTTTAATTGGCCTTGATGCTTCACTTACTTTGTTCATGTTAAAAAAAGCTTCAATCACTCTAAAGTTAGCAGAGAAATGTAAAGCTGAAATTTTTTTTTTGCATTAGAAGCTGAAAAAAATCCTCTCTGGTTTTATGGCTAGTGGAAGATGAAGTGACCGTAGAGCCTCGTGAAGGGATTGAATTCGAATCCGAGGATGCGGCCAAGATGTTTTACGACGACTACTCCAGACGTACAGGGTTCGTAATGCGTGTGATGTCTTGCCGGAGATCGGAGAAAGATGGAAGAATACTTGCCCGGAGATTCGGCTGTAACAAAGAAGGCCATTGTGTTAGCATCCGTGGTAAGTTTGGTTCTGTCAGGAAACCAAGACCGAGCACAAGGGAAGGCTGCAAGGCGATGATTCATGTCAAGTTCGACCGGTCCGGCAAATGGATCATAACCAAGTTCGTCAAAGAACATAACCATCCGCTCGTGGCTTCACCTCGTGAGGCTCGTCAGACTCTGGTGAGTAGTAACTTTAACTCATGTCCGTCCTTGTGCAATGTTGCAAAAGTGTTTTAGCGCGCAAATGTGAATTTGCATCTTCTTCTTCTTAGGACGAGAAGGATAAGAGGATTCAAGAACTGACCATAGAGCTACGAAACAAGAAGCGGTTATGTGCTGCGTACAAGGAACAGATAGATGCGTTCGCGAAGATCGTTGAAGAACATAGTAATCGGATAGCGAAGAAAGTGGAGTGTGTGGTGAACAATTTAAAAGAGTTCGAACCTATAGAGCTCGAGCTATTGCACAAGTAAACAAGGTTCCCCTCTTAAGTCAAATATAAATGTGTGCTTCTTGTATATTCTTTGAGTCGGTTAAGCTTTCTTTACCGCCTTTTCCCGATCTCGGATTGCTTTAGTGTATGTAATCTTAGATGTTGAATCTTAGTTTATGGAATGTAAAATGTGAGAAGAGCTTTGTAACAGTAGATTAGAAGAATCACATTAAGGTTTACATACAAAACAAGTTTCAGGACATGAAGTTAAACTGATAACAATCTATTCAAGAACACTAAGATGAGAAGGTGAATCTTACATAAGCCTAGAGCCAGATTACGATGTTTTGATTCAGCAAAGTTATTTACACAGAAGAAGAAAACAAACAAATCAATCGAATAAACACACACTCTCTCTTTGGCAAACACTAGTTAAAAGATCAGTTACTGCTGCTAAAGCCACTGCCTTTCATCATCTGAAGAAACTCTGTGTAGTTGACTCTACCATCACCATCTGCATCCACTTGCATAATCATCTTCTTGCAACCTTCTTCGGTTTTACCTTGCCTGAGTCCCAAGGAAGCCATCACCGATTTCAACTCCTCCACAGTGATAAACCCATCTCCGTCCTGGTCAAACACGTTAAACGCGTCTTTCATGTCCTCTTCCTCTGTTTCTCCGTCGTTGCGATGCTCGTCGACAATGGAGCTGTACAGCGACTCGAATTCCTCTATGTCGACGCATCCATCGCCGTTCGCGTCGATCTTGTGGATCATCTGAGTCAGATCTTTGTCTGGTACGTAGATTCCGAGATTCTCCAGTGAGTCGTTGAGCTCTTCCTTTGTGATTCGACCGTCTCCGTTCTTGTCGAACATCTGGAAAACCCGTTTAAGCTCGGACGGATCTATTCTCCTCGCCGGCGCGGAAGAAGGTGACGGAGAGGGTAACATCGACGGCGGTGAGGCTTTGTGGAGAGTTTTGTCGAACCAAGAGAGAGGGAAGAGGCTTCGAAGTTTCTTTGGTACTAAAGAGAGAAGAAAAGAGTTTAATAGATTGTAGAGAAGGAATATTCTCACCATAACTGTTGAATCAAACACTTCTTTTTTTCCGAAATCTGATGAAAACAATAGAGAAGATCTGAGAAACAGAGCTTTGGTGATAGAGAAAAACTTGGAGATTGTTGTTTTTTTATAGAGGGGAAGACAGAGAAGAGTTTCAGACAATTAATTAAATAAATATATTTTCGGAAATTTTATTTTCCTTTTTCACCCCTACATAACCGTTGAAGGCTTGAAGCTATCCGTTTTTAATCAAACATGTAAACGTTACTCATTTACGTTCAATTTTAACTCTTGTTGTTTATTTTGGTTTGGACTTTGTAGTTAAGTAAACAAATGGGAACGATTGAAAAATGGAAAAGAACGATTAGTGAATCAAACAAAGCGAATGATAGATTAGTCTAAACATGACTTCTAATAACATGTTTAGAACAAAATGTTTGAAACTCTAGAGACTCGTGGTATAGTCTTTATAATCCCATTCAACTCAAACTTCTAGTGACTGTTTAAAATGAAGTTAATATACACAATTTGACCAACAAAAAAAGTTAGATCTTATAAATAATACATTAGATATTACTATTACTTTGGACAACTTTTTTAAAAATTACTGCAAAGATATTTATAGATTTGATAAATGAAGATATAGAATTTGTCTAAACTTTTGACAAGTGAGTGGAATTTTACATTATAATCTTTGGCATAATCTTCACATAACGAAGGTCTGAAGGATCACACCTAATAGGCTAATATAAGTTAATGCTAAAGTAGATAAAGCCGCGATTTACCGAATCTACCAAGTGTAGGAGCCATGATAAATGAATGCTAAAATATTTCTAAAATATGATGTAGTAAGAAAAAGAAGAAGAAAAGGTTCACTCGATCTTTTTGTATATAAAGAAAGGTAATGAAAATGGCAGAAAACGCGTGAAGAAGGTAAGGGTGTAGTTAAACATATACATCGCTTTTTGTTGTTGTTAAATTAGAAAAGAAGTAATGTCAAAAACGCGTTGTTATAATTGTTGATGTTTGGTTCCTGTCCCCATTTGGCATTTGTTTGCTTATTTTATCTTTATAATAATAAATGTGCCGGTCTTCATTGTATTGTAGACTTTACATCATCATTTCTTTTTATCTTTTGAGTAAAAACATGAGCCTTGGAGAAAATTGATAATCCTAAAATTCTAATGAAAGTCACGATTATTAAAAGTCACGATTATGTAATGCCCCTAAGTATTTATGCAATCTCGATGTAAGTACTTTTCTTTTATCCGAGAGTTTTGTCGAAATGCAGTGTTTAGGTTAATCTAAAAGGAGTTCACGTAATCTCTCGAGAATCAGTAAACAAAGTGTCTTTTTACTTGTAATGATAAAAACGTAACGGGACTCAAAATTAAAGGATTAAAAAAGAAGATATTGGGGACCAAAAAACGCGCCAAGAATGACGCCCGTTATATTATGACCGTTGGATCTCCTCATCTCTCGAAGGTTGTCGCCATTTCACTGGTTCGCTTCTTCCACGTAGGACCCACTTTGCTCAACGACCATCGATTATCACTTTTTTATAATTCATATTGAGATGTCAAGCTAACGATAACATTTTGCTAACAAAGAGCTACTAGAGTATATAGTATTAAATAAATTGGCTGTGTGCGTTTTGAAAGTAAATCAAAGAAGAACTAGTCATTGGCGTTGGAATAAGATAATGAATAATCTGTAGAAATGTTCACTAAATATATTTTTATGAGATTTTTTCCATCAAAATGGAAGCTCACTTCAAACTAGAACTTTAGCACTACTAACTAAAGTTGAAACCAACGATTTCTTTTTCTCAAACAATAAAAAATAACATAAGAATTAGTTTTAACATGTCAACAACAAAAACGAAGAATATACTTAAGAATTAGTAGAGCATAAACTTGAAATAAAGTTTTGTTTTAAATGTATAAAGTTTGTAGAAAAAATGTAATGATAGATTCTCACGGGGGTGTAGTGTAACGGGATCCAAGGACATTTGACTTGTGAGAAGTGTTTATAGACTTCATGGTTGTCTTCCAGCTCACCCAAGCCAGCTTCACTCATAATTCATACTTATAGTTGTCATTATCTATTAAGTAATATTAACTGTATTTTTTATTAAGATATGTACTTAATTTCATGTTATTTTATACAGGCACTTATTTTAGGAATTTTCTTCTTCTTCTTTGCTTTCTTCGTTCTTAAATCCAAATTGCAATGAATCTCGGTAGTGGTGACTCCACTCTTGTTCCATTTTTACAATCATCCCACCAAAATATCATAACTTTAGACACCACTACAATAGTATGTGCGTTTTTGTTCGTTTGAAGATAATATCTGCATATATTAACTCTTATACTTGTGTGTTTTTTTTATCCGTATTAAAGTTTCTTTTTAAATGAATCCTAAAGTCCCTAATTAGGGGCTTATTCTGATCCGAGAATACAGAAGACGAAAAAAGAACATGCAAGACTAAAAGTCGACCTCTAGCGTACATCTATTGTCGAAACCAATACGTAACCCACACTGCTGGAAAGAAAACATATTGAATTTCCTAATTAATATGATAATATCCACTAATGTCCAAAACAAAGACATCTCCAAACTGTGAAGAGAGAAAGCATATGCCTGCTCTTATGATTCAATTTGACTTTGTTTTTGCTTGTAGGGAAAATTAATTTGTAGTTGATATAAAGTTGTAAGCTCAAAGACACAACTTCCAACTAAGTTGTAACTATTCTAAGTCGTATATAAGAGTTCTAAGTCAAATGTGTATGGATGCTATATTGCTTGCTAGATGGAGTTAACAGTATGAGAATAAAAAGGGTTGCTTTCTTTGGCGAAGATAGTGGAAAAAGAAGTTAGCATACAATTGTTTGATGACTCTGATGGATATAACCGCTGCTTTAGAGTCGAATGCTGACGTTAGACGATTGTTATTGAATAGTATATGTTATGGAATATCAACCAACAACTGGCGATAACAACTGTAAATTTCATTGCAAAAAATTCGTTTGTTGGAAATATGAGAATTTGTAAACTTAATAAAAATAAAAATAAAATATAGTGAATTGGTGGTCAAAAAGTGCCCACACGCAGGATCGAACTACGGACCTTCAGTTTACAAGACTGACGCTCTACCACTGAGCTATACGGGCTTTTGATTTTTCATTTCTCCTTAACAAAATATACTTATTATTACATCAAATCCTCCTTTACATTCTTTGTTTCCCAATAGAAAAACTTTGGTTTTAATTTGATCAATATGTAATTTTTTTGAATTCGTTTTTTTTCTTCTCTGAGTTGGGAAATGTTCATAGAATTGTAAAAATAAGACGTAATTCATTCATAACTGTAAACGAGAGGGTGGAATAGGTATGTACTTTGGCCTTCTGGAAAGTATTTGCGGCGGGAAAAAACAGGTCTTCTCGTACATCCAGGAAAGACTCAATAACAGAGTAAATTCATGGTCAGCCCGTTTACTATCAAAAGGAGGGAAGGAGGTCCTACTTAAATCAGTGGCACAAGCTCTACCAACTTTTGTAATGTCCTGCTTCCTTCTCCCACAAGGCATCATCACCAAACTGCAAAACGCTATTGCTCGATTCTGGTGGAACACAAAGTCTAATAATCGTGGACTACACTGGATGGCATGGGAGAAGATTTGTATCCCGCAGAGCAAGGGGGGTTTGGGTTTTAGAGATTTAAAAGCCTTTAACTTGGCCCTCTTAGCAAAATAACTGTGGAAACTTCTACGAAACCCCTCCTCTCTGCTAGCTAGAGTACTAAATGAAAGATATTACCGCTATTCCAACCCATTGGAGGTGGAAAAATCGAACTCTCCATCGTATGGGTGGCGAAGCATAATGGCGGCTAAGCACATATTATAACCAGGGCTACGTAAACACATCAAGTCTGGGTTCAATACGAAGGTGTGGTGTGATCCGTGGATCCCTGAAGTCTCGGCCCGTCCGGCGAGAGGTCTACATGCGGACAAGGATGAAAATCTGTACGTCAATCATCTGATTGATTTCGAGTCAAAGACCTGGAAAGAAGATAAACTACAAGAGCTCTTTGAACCAATGATATCCCTTTGATTATGAGTTTGAAACCAGCACGTACTTTCGACATTGATGGCTATTGCTGGGTTTACACCAAATCAGGGAACTATATGGTCAGATCGGGGTACGAACTTGCCTGCGAACTCAAGCTTGACGACGAGAAGCTGCCAATAGCAGAACCAAGCACGACCACGTTAAAGGCAATAGGTCTGAACTCTAAAAACATCGCAGAAAATCAAGCACCTCCTTTGGCAGATCACGTCGGGCTGCATAGCCACATGTAGCAAGTTAGTGGAGAGACACTGTGGTAATGACAGATCCTGCCCTAGGTATGGAGCAGAAGAAGAATCGATAAACCACCTGTTTTTCCTGTGCCCCCCGGCAGTGCAGACCTGGGCCTAATCAACAATCCCTTCTACTCCGGACTTATTTCCGTGCGATGCTTTATTCTGCAATCTTGATCACCTTTTATCAAGAGCAAAAGGACAAGGAGCAACAGAGGAGCAACTCAAAGTATTCCCATGGATTATATGGTACATCTGGAAAGCTAGAAATGAAAAAGTTTTTAATGGTAAAGATATTTCTCCGATAGATACTTTAGAGATTGCGATTCAGGAGGCTGCAAACTGGGAGATGGCGAATAATGTGGAAGCGGCTACCGTCACAACAAACACTCATGATATAGCATTTGATACTACGAACTCAGGTAGAGATTTCCAATGTCAAGTGGATGCATCTTGGGTGAACAAGGAACAACGGATCGGAGGGGGGCTGGTTCTCCTCCAACAAGAGACGATACAACTACTAGGATCCTTCGCTGGAAGATCGACGCTATCCCCACTACACGCTGAGATGGAGGCCCTGTTATGGGCAATGCGAACTATGCAGCAAAATGATATTTCTTCTATTCACTTTCAGACTGATTGTCTGCAGCTTATCAAGCTAGTCGATGGAGATGAGGAATGGCCGAATCTCAGATCAGAATTAGAAGAATTTGAACATCTTCGCTCTGGTTTTCCAGAGTTCTCTTTATCTTTCATACCACGCACTTGTAATGTCTGTGCAGATGCCTTTGCAAAAGGCGCTCGAGTTCGCGGCCCTATTTTCTCCCATGTAAAGTTGTTGGTATCAGATTGGTTAGCTCACAAAGCCGACCTATTTGCACCAGTTTAACATTATATGGAAAGTTCTTCTGTCGTCAAAAAAAAAAAATAATAAAATAAAAAAGAAGACATTGACATAAATGCTAGTAATAAACACATTTTACGTTGATTTTCAAATTGTCTTCAGGCTACAAATGTTTTAAGACTCTCGATGCAATTCAACCTCCTCGTTATCTATATAGCAACATGCGTCTTACAAAACCAGAAAGGCCATGATTAAAACAACACTGGCGTTCGTGAATCCATTAAAAAAGCTTCCTACACATAAGCCTGCAACCAAAACTCTTCAAGAATTTTCATTCTTCCACTTCTTGATTACATACTCCATCGAAGAAAGAGATTCATTCTTCTGAAAGTTCATCATTAGAGACTGTATTAGAGATAGGATCCAAGTATATCTTCCTTTCTGCAATTCTCTTCTTCTCAGAACCCTATAACCATAATGGAGCGAAACAGAGAAATGAGTAACGCAAACAGAGAAATGAGATTGTTAAAAGGTCTAATTTCAGATACTCTCGACAGAGATGTGAATCCAGGGACGGAACATGTTGAATCTAGCTGAAAGAAAGAGCCTTTCCGACCAAAATCTAGGCTCCGGTTCCACCTCAATTGAAATATAAAAATATGATTTTTTTGTTTTTGTTTCGATATAAAGATACGAGCTTGGAAAGGAAGAAAAAAATATAATCTTTCTTTCTCCTTTATAGAAGCAGAAATCTCTCCGCCTCCGTGAGCAACAAAGGAGAGATCTTTGGAATCGATCGATCGAGAAAGCAATACGCGAGCGATGAACGGGACCCACCGTCACCATATCCTTCAGCTGGTCTTATCGTGCCGTAAGATCACGGCGCAGGTGACTCAGCCAGGAACCTCCACGATCGTAGCCATGGCTTCATCCTCCGAGCAGGAGTTCCTAGCGCAGAGCCGCGCCAGTCTCTACCGATTCCCTCGCTCCAACAATTTCTGGGACTCGAAGACCGCTTCACGCGTCGGCGAGAAGCTTGGGCTTCGTCTCAGGGACCTGGGCGTCGACGCAGTCTCCATTGATGCGGACGAGGAGATCGCGAGACCCATTCACCACCGCAAGAGGGTTCTTCCGTTGTTCGACTCCGTCCGTCGAACCGGAATCAGAGTCGACGGGACTGAGCAGTTGAACGATATCGGCCCAGTCATCCCCAGAAATTAGGGTTCACGAATTTGGGGATTATTCTTTGTCGTCCGTACAGTTCCTTGTATGAGTGAGAGAGATTCTACAGAAACAGATTTGATTATTCTCGACATAACATTTTGATTTTATGCATTTTCAAAAGTTTATAACTATTACATTATTTTTGCTTCTGTAGCATAAAACTTGTGTGGTTGGGAAAATGGAAATGGAGAAATTGAGGTTGTTTTGTGTCTACACAATCATGTTCATATGCAAACCAATTTTCAAAATGGTCCAAATAGACTGAGGAAACTGGGATCACTGATCCATCACCTCTCTCATTTGCAGGCTTTGGCTTAAAATGGTTTTGATGGCTATTGGATAATCTCTATTACATTAGCAATGTCCATTGACCAGATACTGAATGTGTACGCATAATAGAAATTAAACGAAGAAGATTAAGACTAATGATTTCTTTTATAAATATATATACTAGCACCAATGTTCAATTCTATATATACAAATGAATTCCAGTTAATAGATAGACAACAAAAATAGCACAAACAGAAGAAGACTCGAAATAAATTTACTGGCCAACTTTTGAATCTAACTTTGACTCCACAGCAAAACCACAAATAAAATGAAGGAACCATCAAGATAATATAAAAGGAGACATGATGATGAAAACTTCAAATGATATTGCATTACATTATACAATAGGGAAAAGTGTTTTGTATTTCAACTGATGCAGCTGCAGAATATTTGGAACATGAGTGAGTTCTTCTACACCTATTTGAGGAAGAACTTCCAAATATCTCTGTCCGTAGCTTCCTTAATCAAATGAGCTCCTAAGATAGTTTCCTCATCGACCAAGTTCCTCAAATGTCTCGCTCCACTATTGAATCCCACATACTGCTTCTTTGCCGCCAAATACACCACACCGTACGGCGGTCTCAGGCACTGTTTCCACAGCAACAACATAACCAACCATCACTATAACTAAGGAAACAACCACCAGGTCAAGAGATAGAGAGAGAAGGATCAAAAACCAACCTTCTTGATGAGAGAATACAGTTTCTTCAGAGAAGTAACCGAGTAAGGGATTTCAGTCATTAGTATAACATCATACCCACACTCTCCTCCTTGATCAGTCTCGTTCGCTCTTTCCCACGCCCTGCTTCCCGACAGCTTCCTTGATCGCCTCGAGAAGAAATCTTGTTGTCCTGTAATGCTCCCATCTTGGCTGCTACATCCGTCCATGAAATCTTCCTCCGAGAAACTCAAGCTCATCCCCTGGTTAGCTGGTTCAGGGACATCGGTTCTTATGATGGATAGAACGGTCGGGAGCTCTTCCCAGTCACCTGCATAGAAACGGACAGATGCAGCGACAGCTTGTCTTGATGGTGTGAGCGGGCTCTCGGGCTGACGGCTTTGCCTGTCCCGTGCTTGATCGAGGTTTGCAAGTACGTTTGGGATGGTTGTGCATCTTATTGTCTCTGCACTTAGGTCTTGGAAGTGGACTGAGGAAGCACCCTTTAAAAGAAGCAACAAATGATTAGATCATGAGAAATGTGACAGTAACAGCTTATCTTGCAGCGTCGGTTCACTTACTTTCAAGCAGGCAAATATCCCAGGGACTCCATAATTGCAACCTAGCTGCTCAAGTCGCCATACAAAGGGAAAAACAGAAAAATGATAAGTCAGAACAGATGAAAATGGTTCACAAAATGGAACATTCATAATATCTTCACCATAGTACAACTTCAAATCAAACATTGCTTTACCAAACAGAGGGTACAAATTAGGAGGAAGTACCTCGAGGACCCTTTTGCCCCTGAAGCTAAGCTGTCCATCGCGGATTTCGTTTTTAAGGACATCAACAAGAACAATAGCACTTTCCCAACTTCTCAGAGAGCCTACACAATATTGTTAAACTAGATACAGTTTATTATGGTACATAAAGAGAGGAAAACATCAGGTGCAAGTGCATGTGAAGCACATACCTTCGTATTTTAGAGGAGCAGTTTCTGAACCAGAGAGCCCGATGATATCAGAAACGCTTACTTTTCCCTGCAAGAAATTGGTTGTTTCAATGCAAAAATTAGGATCTTCTATATATTCTTAACCCTTTCCTTTGATGTTCAAAGAAGTGTGCCATGGTCTTTCTGAATAGTGAAAGTAAAAACACACAAGATTCACCCTAAAAGCAACAAAACAAGCGCAAATTCAATCACAAAATCATTAAACTTTTTTACTTTTCAAGATCAAGCAAACCGTGCACTTCTTGACATTCTAACATATATCAGACATGTTTACAAGGTTCTTAAAGAAAAACAGCCTGCCTACTGTCTGTTTCACATTTTCGCCAGGAATTTTTTTAGTATATCCACTGAGAAAACCAACATTAGAATTACATCCTACCGCGTCATTGGTCCTTCAAGCAAATCACTTCCTTCATCTTAAATCTTGAATAAAGGTTTGAACAACAAAGTTTCTTAAGAGGCTCTCAAAACCCCAAGTGGACAGATCAGTGTATTCTACTGCCTTCAATTTTAGACATGTTTAAAATATCCAAACAACTGCAATTTTCAGTACCTTGAAAACTTGTAAACCGAGCATATCTACGTTCTCCCCTGAATACCTCTGATGAGCTGCCGTCTACGGAAGAACGAAACGAGAAAAGAAAAGAGTTAAACTTGCAATCATTTGAATGTAATCAGTGCTTTTTTCGAAAACAAAAAAGTTATTACAATGAAACCTACAGTGAGCAAACAACCTTAGAAGGTATGATCTCAACAGCTGGTGTGGGAAGCTGCAACTCCTTCTCCGATAGTGCAGCCACACCGCCACGGTCCTGAGGTAGCAAACCGGGCAAGCATTGCGCAAGCAAAGATGGTGCACGCATTTCTTTATCTTCTTCACAGTCCTCAAAAATAATGCTCCAACAATCTGAAAATTATCAAAAAGATGAAGACTTTAGTAATGGGATTGTCACTCTGAACATGTTTAACTCAAAACCCAAAAACCTCTAAACCCTGGACATCATGATTTCACCTAACGCCGATGCAATCAACGTGATTCACGTGAGAAAGACATGATTCCGACAGCAACTTTGAACATATGCACCGATAAAAAAAATTAGCAGAGTGAACTGAAAAGGACAAACAAAAGTCAAAGATAAGAACTTTACAGATTCAATACTAGCCCAATTGTGAGATCTACAGTACTACTCAATTCCACGTCCTTATCATTATAACCCAACCCAACACGGATCAAAATCAACACCAGAAACCATCAAAGGACATGAGTTCTTGTAACCAGAAATTTCAAAATGAAGTCAAAACCTCAATTTGATTTTCATTTCTAAAAGACCGATTACCGGATCAATGGAGGAGTATCAAGAAACAGAGACAATGAAGATTACTTACAGATTATTTGCTTACTGGGTAAATAAATTAAGAGAAGACAAAGCGATCAAGCGGAGGAGTTCTGGACACGAAAATGGATTCAGAGAAAAAGAGATGAGATGAGATTCTTCTCTATCACGGCGAAAAATATAGGGATCAACAGCAACAAGGTTGAAATTTCTGAGCAAAATCTCTCTCACACGTTTAAAGTAGAAGAAAAATATATTTTAGAAAAAAAAAAAAAAAAATCTAAAAAGGAAAGTGTGAGTTTGGCCAACAAATCGAAGCTTCTGTTCAGACCCGCTGGTCCGCTTTTGTATATCTGTCCAAACTATTTATATTTCTAGTCCCTTCTATTCTTTGCAGATCAGGAATTGACCACTTTCTTTTGTTCCTAACTTCCCTTATGGTCTTCGTCTTGACTTCTGACATCTGTCTCTCTATGAACAGTTTGACCCAAATGATATGGGCCATAAAAGGCCTTAATAACATGGGCCAACAAACTCTCGGGGCTAAATTATCAGCAATGAAATGTTTTTGTAATTAAATTTCCTATCATTGTGTGAGGATAAAATAAAATTAACTAACAACTTATCGATAGAAAAAAGATAAATTACTTAATTTGTCAAATCATCTGTTTTTTTCTTATTATCTCAAGCACTCATCAATTCTCACGTAATTATCTGGTGTATTGAGCTGATAGTTGGTTTATCAATAGTTACACGTAATAAAACCGTTTTATCTCAAATGGGTCGTTGTAGTAGACGGTTCGAGGATAGCGTGGTTACACGCGCCTACGCACGCACACAAAACAAGAACTCGCTAGTTATATCACTTATCAGCTAACCTTCTTACACGTGTATTCAGGCGCGTGACTATCACCACAAACCTAGGGTAAAGATGTCATTGTAAATCAACAAGAATAGAGGGGGAGAAAGCGAGTACGATAATATTATATATAGACGCGCGTGTAGATTATTGATTTGTTAGTTGGTAATAAGACAACCTTATCCAGAGAAGCTCGCCACGTTGCTTAAAAAAAACATGGGATTATTGTCTGTTTGTCACCGTGCTGTAACTCCAAGATGATGATGATCCTCTCTGTCTCCAATCTCTTACGTTTACTCGTCTTTAAAATGTTTCTTAGTTTTTGACTTTTTTTCTTTCTACCGGCGTCGTTAGTGCCGCCACATTTACCACGGCGATTCTTAATCGAAATCCACTGCGCTTTTTATCCCAGTTTGAAAATATTCCCCGGATTTAAGAAAAATCCATAATTGGGATTTTCTCGCTAAAGTTTTCTGCCTCTCGCACAATTTGGGAAAACAAATCCCTTTCTCATTTCCCAATTTCCTTTCCTCGAATCTCGGAATTTCTACCAATCGCAATTAGTTTAGCTGGGGATTCTGTTTTCCTTGTTGAACTTCCGGCGAATCTGTATATTTAATTGGTCGTTCCGTTTCAAAGTGCGGTGCTCTTCGAAGATTGAGGTTTTAAGCGGTAGTGAGAAGAGTAAATACATACGAAGATGACGTTGACGATCCCAAACGCACCTGGGAGCTCCGGGTACTTGGATATGTTCCCAGAGAGAAGGATGTCGTATTTTGGGAATTCTTACATTCTGGGTTTGACTGTCACTGCCGGAATCGGTGGTCTTCTTTTTGGTTATGACACAGGTCTCTTCTCCTACTCCTGACAATGAATCGATATGTTTTAGGCGTTACATTTTATTTCTTCGCTTACCCATCGTAGCAATTTTGTAAATTGACTTGCTAACTGTAGTCTTCTAGTCTGCATTAGGTTGATCTCATTGGATCTTTAGTGCTGTAAAATTCTGAAAACTAGCGTTTTTTACTTGTGTCTGGTTTGATCTAAGTTTTAGTTCAAGCGTTTTAAGAATGTTTTGCTTTTACAGGTGTAATTTCCGGTGCTCTTTTGTACATTAAGGATGATTTCGAAGTCGTTAAGCATAGCAGTTTCTTACAGGTATATATATATATATATATATACATGTTGTTGCTTTACCTTTTTGCAAGCTGGTAACTTTCAGTGTGTGATCCATGAAGAATGTGATTTTTTCTTTTTGTAGGAAACTATTGTAAGTATGGCTATAGTTGGTGCTATTCTCGGTGCTGCAGCAGGAGGTTGGATCAACGACTACTACGGTCGTAAAAAGGCGACTATGTTTGCGGATGTTATCTTTGCAGCTGGAGCTATCGTTATGGCCGCTGCGCCCGACCCGTATGTCTTGATAGCGGGTCGTTTCTTGGTTGGTTTAGGAGTTGGTGTTGCCTCTGTCACTGCGCCGGTTTATATAGCGGAGGCATCTCCGTCGGAAGTGAGAGGTGGACTTGTGAGCACCAATGTATTGATGATCACCGGTGGACAGTTTCTTTCATACCTCGTTAACTCTGCTTTCACACAGGTTTGTTAGTGAGACATTATCATCATCTCTTACCACATAAAGTTTTTGAGTTTTGGAAAATTATGTGTGACAATGCGCCATTCCTGTACATGTGCATTGTAAGCATTCCATTATCAATCAGTGAATTCAGAACTGTTTAATGGTTAGAGGATCAGGAACCTATAAGTTGAAACTGAGCTAGACTTGAGAAGGTGAGCATTGTTTGATTTCTATTTCTGTTGACGTCTTAGCTCATTGATGTCTCGTGTTGATGTAGTTAGCAAAATCATGTTACAGTCGCATTAGTAAGTGTGGTATCTTATATGTCTAAGCAATTATAGAAAGTGATATTCATTGGCATTTGAAAATTGGTCACTGCAGGGCGTTGCTCTGGATTTAACAGTTTCGTTGGTATCATTTGAATAAAGGAGATTGTTTTTTGGCAGGTTCCAGGAACATGGAGATGGATGCTTGGTGTTTCAGGTGTTCCCGCCGTTGTTCAGTTCGGTCTAATGCTTTTAATGCCTGAATCCCCTCGATGGCTTTTCATGAAGAATCGTAAATCAGAAGCCATTCAAGTGCTTGTGAGAATGTACGACATCTCTCGGTTAGAGGACGAGATCGATCATCTTTCCGCGGCTGAAGAGGAAGAGAAGCTAAGGAAACGCACTGTTAGCTACTTGGATGTTTTTAGGTCCAAAGAAATGCGACTCGCGTTTTTCGCCGGAGCTGGACTTCAGGTAAAGTAAAAATGTCGGGTTTTTGCAGTCTTTAACTGACAGATTCATAGGACTAAAGATAGAAATGTCGGAATTTTTGTACAGGCGTTTCAGCAATTCACTGGTATCAATACTGTTATGTACTATAGCCCTACGATAGTCCAAATGGCTGGATTTCATTCAAACCAGCTTGCTCTGTTGCTCTCTCTCATCGTAGCTGCCATGAACGCTGCTGGAACAGTCGTGGGGATTTACTTCATCGATCACTGTGGACGGAAAAAGCTTGCGCTCTCAAGCTTGTGCGGTGTTATAATCTCTCTCTTGATCCTCTCGTTCTCGTTCTTCAAGCAAGCCGATACATCATCATCTGATGGAGGTCTTTACGGTTGGTTCGCCGTGCTTGGTTTAGCTCTGTACATTGCTTTCTTTGCACCGGGGATGGGACCGGTCCCATGGACGGTGAACTCAGAGATATACCCGCAACAGTACCGAGGGATATGCGGAGGCATGTCCGCAACGGTTAACTGGATCAGCAACTTGATTGTGGCGCAGACGTTCTTGTCAATCGCGGAAGCTGCTGGTACAGGGATGACTTTCTTGATTTTGGCGGGAATCGCGGTTCTTGCGGTTGTCTTTGTGATTGTGTTTGTCCCTGAGACTCAGGGGCTAACGTTTTCCGAAGTTGAGCAGATTTGGAAAGAGAGGGCTTGGGGAGATAACAGCGGTTGGTTCAGTAGCAGCGATAGCAACAACATGGAGGGTTTACTTGAGCAGGGATCTCCATCTGAAGGATCTTGAGTGGTTCATGCTCATGTATTGTGAAATCACAAAGTAAACCGGGATTTGTTCCGGTTTAGCTCTCTGATATGAATGCGATGTTTTGGAACTGTGTTTGTAAATAGATACGTTAAGGGTCCACTTTGGATTCTAACCTTTTCTATGTCTTATAGTATGTTCTAGAGATTACCTGTCAGCAAATCTCTATGGTGCATGTGTCACTGATAAAAAAAACGGTGCGTTTCGCCATTAAAGACGAGCAGAGAAAAGTCGACAAGAGCATTGAAGACATGATTGTTGATTCACAAACATAAGACTTGTCTTAGGAACTGTATTCCATTTATCTTTCTTTTTCTGTTAAATTAACAGTGTAGTTTAATTTGTCTTTTTGTCACAACATTAGTTGAATTGATACAAATGGAGATGGAACAGAAACATTTATTGTATTGGACACGGCAATAAAATTAGGGACATAAAAGGGCCACCAAAATGTATGATTGGAAATTATATAACGTATCCTTTGTGTTGTCTTATGTGTCACAATACAATGTAGGTTTGTGTGTTTCGTAGTTCAATAGCTTTATTACTTTTTAATCATCATCTGACTTCATTTTTTTGATACTTATCTGAAAGATACTATCCTCTTTTAGATATGGTTATTTTGCTGCAAAGACTCCATGATATAAAATAGATTTTTTTTTTTTGACATCATATTATACATATAATTGACTATGACTGAAAATAATTATATATTCATTTTTCAATTTACATAAAAGTTATTATGTTCTCGAAAATATGTTTTGAGGTTTGATAAAAGAAATTGATTTCGGGGAAAATAATATCTTTAATCGTAATATCTTAAAGGATATATGATATTTCTACAAATTAACACTTTTGCCAATAGATAAATAAATAATCTAACAGCTATCAAATCTTTATATAGTTAAAAACCCCGTGCTAAATGAAAAGTAAACTAAAAAGGGTAAAAGAATAGTAGTATGTGGTAAATGGACAAATGATAATGATGGAAGTGGGACCCAATTGAACATGAATGTCGTGAAGACCAGAGAGAGAGTGGGTGTGAATTGTGAAATGTGGTGCTGATTAGTTGAGCTGAAGAAGAAAAAAGGCAAATGGGGACACGTGAGTTGTTGGGTCTCTTCTTTTCTTTTTTTTTTTAATGGGCCCCTCCTTAAAGCCCTTTAGCCCTTTAAATTCTTATCGTAACTGTCCACGTGGCACTTCCCCTGCCTTTTGTCTTCTTGTTTTCCTTCACATGTGATTCTCTTCCATTTCCACATTTATAATCCCTACCCTTCCACATGCGTTTGTTAATTGTTTCCATCACACAATTATTGATTTAACTATTTTCAAGATTGAAAACAAATAGAAATAATACTTCTGTTGTTTTCTTACAATTAGTATTTTTTTTTTCCTATATTGGTTTAAATATATTAGACGAGACAATCATTTGAAAACATTTAAACAAACGTCTAGCTAAAGACGTTTTACAGTCCATAACAATTGTGTTTTAACTCATTTGAATGGTCTTGGTGATATAAAGAAAAACAGTTGTGTATCTAAATATGATTAATCTCAACATCATTTACTAATCTCACACTGGTTACTATCGAAAATTACAATTTAAAGGAACTACAACTATTTTTATACCAATTCAAATCAACATCGTTCAATTAATGAGCAATAATCGCATTTAGTTTGCATTGTCCTCAGCGCCATAACCACCACGATCATTTGGAGCCTTTCGTTCTATATGGACAATAATATGGGGAAACTAAACTATGTCGTCTTCTCATGCTTTTTTATATTGACTACAAAACTCACATCATTGAAGAAACATAATGGTATGACATCTATCTATATTATGCCATGTTTTATCACCATGCTCATCATCATGATTCATGACATGTATGTCAGCATTATAATAACATGACACGTTTGTCTCCATTTGACGCCGGCGCACCATTTATCAAAGTCATGTTAATTTGTCAATGAAGCCAATTAGCTCATCAAAAGCTGGACCACGATCATTTTCTTTCGTATTTAATTTTTCCATTAGAAATTTCGAGAAGCAATCTTGTTTTGGCTTCTACAAATTTTTCTTCTTTCTTCTTTTTGATTTTTAATATTATATTTAGCTGTTCACAGCAAGGAGTTTTCTATTATGATTTGATAAACCACTCAATGGTTAGTGTGATATATAATCGATGTTATATATACTTCATTCAAACTTAATTTTTTTTCTCCAAGGTCCAAACAAGTGTTTAAGATTTCTTTACTATATATACATATGTATGTTGGCTTAGGAAACACTGTAACTAATCCATAATAATATGAGAAAACTCATTATAAATCACAATATCTAACATTAGCCAACAATAATTAGTTTGTCTAGCTTGGGCAACAACCGACCCTGCTAGTCATTCCATTGATTTGATCCATCTCACTAACATTTGTCGATCAGGGCTAAACAAGATTGAAGAATCATGCTTTTCCTTTTGCTAACCGATCGATATCTACAAAAATAGAAAAAAAACAAAGTGTTGTTGTGGAATCTAAAGTTACTTGTCGTATTAAAAAATTGTTTATAAGTCGTAGGGAAATGTAAAACTGACGTGGCGCATCTCGAGGCCAACGACTTATTTGCAGGCCTGATCAGATTTGGAATAATTAAATTATCTAATAGCCTAGTCTTTCACCTACACAGTTCTCAATTAAATACATACTTATATGTTTCTTTAGTTGTTGAGTACAAATGTACAATAATATTTTCAGTAAAACAATTGAAGCAACCTAACGAGTGTGGAGCAACGACTTCTTGTTGCGGCCGCGAGAAGTTAGATATGAAAACTGTATGAATATATAATAGTATTATGACTAACACATGTAATATAATATATGGCACAAGCAATTATTTCGCGATTTGATTCTACATGTATACGCATACATTATTTCACGATTTGATTCCATACATGTTATTGGCTGTAGCTAGGCTTGTAGTAAAATAGCTTTCACACTATTCCATCCGGTGTAAACCCGAAATGCGACATAAAGACAAGATAAACACTCAAAAATCATATTCATTATTAAAAGAAAAAAAAATGTTTATTCACGAATATTGAATTGAACTACAACGAATACGATGCTACCTACATTAGAAACCAAATAACATCATATAATTGTAAATTTAGTATATTTTTACGACTAGAAAAAGCGGTGGGAATAATTCGCCAAAAGGTGCTCTCTGACGACGATTCGATGATCTAGATTCTAGGCGCACATGGTGGGCCCCAATTTTCCGGCACATTTTCGATAACATTCATGTTATGAATAATCGAATATCACCATTATATAATCACATACCATACCATACATTTATATTTTATATACATAACATCGATCGATTATTAGTAACCACATGATTAGAAAGAGACAAAAAATAATTGCCCGCCCTGTTGGTAGCTTTATAAAGCACCTCTTCTCCTTCTTTCTCTCTTCACTTTCTCTCTGTTTTAACCTTTTCTCTCACTTTCAATTTCTCCACTAAACAGAGCATTCACATTTACATTCACAATGTGCGACGCAGATTTTCTCTCTCGCTGCTCCTCTTACGAGGCGGACGTTGATTCCGACTCCGAGATCTCGAGCTCAAGCTCTTGCTCCTCGTACAGTGAATCCGAGGAAGAGATCGACAATGGTTTCCGTGGTGAGTCGAAGGAGACGAAGAGGTTGGAGAAGAAGAAGAGCAATGTGTTGTTGGAAGGCTACGTGGTTGATGCGGCGGTTAATGACGGAGATCGGGATGATTTGAAGAGGACCAAGAGTTTAACGGACGATGATCTCGAGGAGCTCAAAGGTTGTGTAGATCTAGGGTTTGGTTTCAACTACGAGGAGATTCCTGAGCTCTGTAATACTTTACCAGCTCTCGAGCTTTGTTACTCGATGAGCCAGAAGTTTATGGATCACGATCATCATCACCATACTTCGCCGGAGAAGAAATCGCCGGTGATGCTTGAATCTCCCGTCAGCCCGATAGCTAGCTGGAAGATCTCTAGTCCTGGTAAGCCCAATTTTCGATTTTTTTCAAACGTTTCAGCATAGTTTTGTATTTTTAGATTTTCTGATTGTAGTTTGGTTGAAATGTGTGGAAAACAGGGGACAATCCTGATGATGTCAAAGCAAGGTTGAAGTTCTGGGCACAAGCTGTGGCATGCACCGTGAGATTATGCAGTTGAGAAGAAGAACTTTCATTTGCGAGAAAAGGATTTGGATTTGAGCAATCAAAGCTTGATGAATCAATTTGGGGGAAAGAAGACGATGATGAACAAACATAATTGCAGTGAGTGAAGTCTCTTATATGCTGTTCTCTTCAGCTTTTGAGACTGACCTGCTTGAAACACCCCCAACACAAATTGTTGTAGAGCTTTCTTTGCTCAGTATGTATAAAAAAAGGCTAATGAATGACCAAAACGAAGATTTTGCTACGAAAATTGTTGTAATGGATGATGATTAATAAATAAAGTTTATTCTTTTTGATGTATTTCATTCGAGTCTTGGTTTTTGATGAAGAATGGATCAAGAACACCTTGTTTACAAGAAATTGATAGAATCAAATTCTATTGAAATCAGACAAGCTCTCTTTCTTTTACATGAGTGATGATGGTTTTAGTCTTTTAGATAAACATACAGGTAACAGAATCAGTATATAAAAGTGGCTCTCGTTCTCAGAATCGGAAATGTTCGAATGCATCTTGCTCTCCTGTCCTGCACCAAATCGGTCCACCACATTATAGACTCCGTCTTGTTTCTTGGCATTAGCAAAAAATGTACCACTTTCACAAGATTCTGTTGCTTCTATGAGATCGGAGGAGTTATTACAACCTAACAGCCCCCAAAGAGTTTGACAACAGTTGCATTCCAAGTTCTAACTACAGATACATGTTCACATTCCACAGAGCACTTTATCTAATCTCTGGTAACTTTCAACCTACGAATTATATAGTTTGTTATTATCTTTAATCCAGGAAAGTGAGATTGTCTGATAGAGATAGATATCTTTGGGAGCTAGCATATAAAAAAAAATCACCTTCAACTATTATGTTCAAGCAGATGCCAATAGCTTCTCTATGTCTTTCTGCGAAAAGAAGTAAGGATGAAATTACACGGTAAGATCCTTTAGTGGTTAGAGAAATGAATATCATTGTGCTAAGGGTAAACTTTTTACTAACCTCAATTTCAAGAGGCGATGTTGTTGGAGCAAATCGATCCACAACATTTCCTTGTTTGTTAACCAGAAACTTTCCGAAATTCCACTTGATAGAATCTCCAAATAATCCGCCTTTTTGTCCTTTTAAGAACTTGTAAAGAGGAGCAGTATTCTCCCCATTCACTTCAATCTTGCATCAGAGAAAAAAAAAAATAAGAAACAACTACGAGGATATGACACCCTGTGATATAGAAATCGAGACCAGTTCAAAAGTTCATAAAACCTTGTCAAAGATGGGGAACTCTGCTTTGAACGTTGTGCAGACGGTTTCCTTAATATCCTTGTTGCTACCTGGCTCTTGATTTCCAAATTGGTTGCAGGGAAACGCTAAGATCTCAAGCCCTGCGTGAAACGATGCTTCCCTCAATACTCTCATAAAAAAATGTTCAAGCCACAGCGAGTGTAAGAGACGTACCCTTAGTTTTGTACTTGGCATACAAAATGTTCATCTCTTTGTAGTTTCCATGTGTTAGACCACTGCCCAATCAATCACCAGTCACAACAACAAGGTTATAGATAAAAACTGTTGGTGATATAAAGACGCATAATATGCAAATATTATGTTGGCGTGAAGAGCTCACTACTTAATAACGTACGTACCACTTAGAGGCTACGTTCACGATCAGAAGCACTTTTCCGGTGAACTGGCTCAAACTCACATCATTCCCTTCGATGTCCTGCATTTTCAATTAGAGAATTTGATACCGTGTTACGAACTCATTAACTATAAAGATGTACATAGATTTCTTGAAATATTCACTTTAAAATGAACACAAACACAGAAAAAGGCCATTCCCTCATCTAACACGAAACATTTGCAATGTAATAACTAGTTGTTCAGATTAAGACATTCGTCTAGTTTTCAAGAAATTAGCATCATTCCCTTTGATTTCAAAACAGGAGATTATAAACGAAAGCAGTGTGTCAAGAACGAATGACTATTCGGAATCAGAACTAAACATCACGGTCGAATATAAAGAAAGAATTAGATATTAAATCTGCGAAGTTTAAGCTGATTATACCTTAACCGAGATGTGGTAGATGGAATTGGATGATTGTTCCACAACAATAGCTGGAGAAAACGGGTACCTGTAGAGGTAGAAGAGGAAGGCTAGAGGCAAGAAGAGAATAGAAACCCAAGTGCTTGATTTAGGCATCGACACAGACTCTGTTAATCTGAATGGCGACCAGGACGAGAACAAAGTTCCGACAGAACAGGGAGGAGAACACAACAAGCTTGTTTTGACTTGGAAAATGGATAACCATCGCCTCAATTTAAAACATTAATGGGCTTTAATTGGGTTACGATCAATTTAATAAAGTTACAATGCCCATCTCAGTCTTTAATTTCTAGTTTTCTTACATTCGGAACTGGAATGATAAGTATATTAATAAGCTTACAATGAAAACACGTGATTATTAAAAAAAGAACGAGAATACTATTCTTCAAATTAAAGTGAATGCATTTCTACTCGTTGTGTCTTTATTGGAAATATACTCTACATTATTTTATATCGTGCCGTTTGTGTTTCCTAATCCTACTGATGCTAATTAATACAGTATTTATTGATCTTCTTTGTGTATTTACATATTCTAAACTACTAGAAATTTGATAGAAAGATGTTTTTCATATTTTCATTTAACAATAATAAGCTCGGAAAATCAAATTTAAATGGCCCATAAACAACTTTGTCATAGCCCCAATAATAGTTTTGATTTTGAGCGGTCAATGCGAACGCTTTGTCTCTCTCATTTGCATATGCAACACCTTTTTCTTTGCTGATTTGGGAAGATGTCAGAAAAATGTCAACTTCGATATCCGGTTTGATGAGGTGTGTTAGGTCTTACGGTTTGGTTTATACAAAATGAAAAGACAGAAAAAAACAAACAGATATTAGATCATTCAAACTTAAAGGAAAATGAATGGTAAAATATTTAAAAAATACTAGTCACTACACTAGATATCAAGATTTTGATCACATAATAATTATCATGAAGAAAAATTCATTATTTTGCAGATTTAATAATTTTTGCAAAACTTGAATGGAAAAGTATTAACTTCATTTTCATTTTTTTCGAAATAACAAAAAAATATTTTTTTTTTCTAAATAGACATGTAATAATGTTTCAGAAGTTTTCAATAAGATTAAATAACACTATAAGTTTTCGAAATGACAAAAAATAGTGTATGTAATAATATTTCAGAAGTTTTCAATAAAATTAATATTCGTGAATTAATACATTTTCTTTTTCTAAATAAGACATTTAATATTTTGGAAAATTATATCAAGTATAAACCTATTATTAGGCTTATATCTAGTATAATTATATCAAAAATGTCTTTCAATTGCTATTATTAAAGATTTTGATTGCTCTCATCTTCTTTGCAATCGCTGCATCAAAGGTAACTCTGTCTTTTTTTGTTAAACTGTTGTTGGTTCTTGCTAAATTATTTCTGAATTATTGCTAGTTCTTTCGATCGGTCACTCATGTTGCTTGCTGCTGTTTCTTTTTGTAAAACATGTTAAAGAAATGATTATAGATGGAGTTTATAGGATTCAATGTCAGATGTGTAATAAAATCATGGCTTTTTCTAGATTTATATCAGACATATCAGCAACCATAAGCAGCTTTTTAAAATGGTCATTCTTGAAAATACAAGTCCAGCAATTAGAGAGTGAGTTGTCTGCAAATATGAAACTGTTGTTTGGCCTAATTGTATGAGCTTGATAAAAGTTGTGCAAATTTATGAAAGACTAAACTTATATATCATTTATTTTGTAAGCTCTAAAAGCCGTGGTCATTGCATTTATTATCAATATGTAAATATGTCAATTTGTAATACATAAAACTAAAAAAACTATAAATAAATAATTATATCTAAGAGTATTAAACCATAAAATCATAAATAAAAAATGATAACTCTTTATGATTTTCGTAAAACTTGTTGCAAGGTGTTCATGCATACTTGTTGTCTTCGTAAACATTAACTTAATTACTGTTTATTATACTATATCATCTAGTAATTTTTTATAATCTTTTTCTTTATTTAAATTAGAATTAGTGAAAACATTGCTTTCAAATTTCCTTCATTCCATTTTCATTCTCTATTTAGTTCACCTTTTCTATATTATTGCTCTTGCTGATTTGTTATCTTTTTCTAATGTATGCTGAAGAGAAGATCCATAATGGAATATAGTTTTGTATAGACAATTAGTAATTTTTTTAAAATAACTATTTTCTATGATTTTTTGGATTTTTTTTCTAAATATTTTACATTTTTTCAGCTATAATAAAATTCAAATAATATATAAAATATACCATTTTATTATTTTAAAATTAGGATAATCATTTTATAATTAAGGTAAAGTAGGGTTTCTTAATTTTTATATGACGTGATGTCCAATATTTATATAAACTAAATATTTAAACAATGTATAAAACATTTTCATTTGATTAAGATTCAGTCATTTGTTTAGATTTTTATTTTATTTTTGTTATTAAAGACCATTGTTAATTTAACATATGTATTTTAATCATCAAATTCATCATACATAACTAGATGGTTTTAATATGGGGTAAAGAAATACTAAATGACATAATTTTAATGGGCCTCGTGCTAAATATTCTGTTGGGCCGAAAAATAGTAATTCAACCAAACGATGACGTTTTCATTTAATAGTCGATTCTCTTTCTAGACTAGTCGGCACCGCCGTGAGAGAAGACGGGGGAGAAGAAATGAGCAGGGAATGAAACAACGCCGTGAACAGTGTTCTACGCGACGGCGTTTCATCCGATTCAAGCCGGAAGATCATCACCATACTTCGCCGGAGAACAATAGCTGGAGAAAAAGGGTACCTGTACAGGTAGAAGAGGAAGGCTAGAGGCAAGAAGAGAATAGAGACTCAAGTGCTTGCTTTAGGCATCGACACAATTTCTGTGACGAGGACAAAGTTCCGACAGAACAGAGAACAGAACACAACGAGCTTGTGTTGACTTGGAAAATGGATAAACAGTGTGTCGCCTGATTTAAAAGCTTTAATGGGCTTTAAGTGGGTTACGACTAATCTAATAAGGTTACAATGCCCATTTCAGCCATGATTAAAAACAAAATTGATTAATTATTTTTATAATGTATAAAATAGAAGCAAATCTTATAATGGAAAGTCTGGTCAAAAGGAAACTGAAAGCCGATTCCGTATATATGTTCGAGAATTTCCTCACAAGAACCGGAAAGTCGAATCCAAAGATGGGGGAAGGAAACAAAAACGCTAACACGATCTACATAGTTCCCGATCTTCTTGAAGAAATTTTCCTCCGATTGCCACTGGAATCAATCCGCAACTGCAAAACCGTCTCCAAACAATGGAGATCAATTCTGGAATCGGAGAATTTCGTTAAAAGGCGTATTAATCTTAAAAAGAGCCGGAAAATCCTGGCGGCTTACAACTGCAAATGCGGCGACCGGCCGAGACTCCTCCCCGAGTCGCGGTTCGAAGGAGACGAAGAAATCGTCTATCTGCACTGCGATGCGACACGACCCTCGATGAGTTGCAACGGTTTGGTCTGTTTACCCGAACCAGATTGGATCGTCGTTTTGAACCCATCGACCGGACAGCTCCTGCGGTTCCCTCACGGCCCAGACCGAGTAACAGAAACAGGGTCGGATTACTTTCTGGGGAATAGGGTCATTGGATTCGGTAGAGACGAAGTTACGGGGAGCTATAAAGTGGTGAAGATGTTGGTTGATCCTATGCAGAAAGAATGCGAGGTTCTTGATGTCGAAAGTGGTGAGCGGAAGCTAGTGGAGCTACCTCCTTACGTGAGGTGTGTGGGAAGAGAGCCGGTGTGTGTGAATGGATCGATCTATTGGAGATTTTCGGGGATGTTACAGATGAGATGGGGTACCCATATTCTAGCTTTGGATCTTCACAAGGAAGAGTTCCATATGGTCTCAGTACCGGAGACGTTGGTCAAGCAAGAAACTCAGATTGCGAACCTTGAGAACCGTCTAGCCATAGCCAACGCCCGGAGAGTTGGGACTGATAGGATACTAGAGATATATAGGATGAGTGCAGGAGAAGAAACATGGAGCAAGACTTACTCCTTAAGTTTAGCTAGTCTTCTAGAATTACCGAAGTCAATCTCAATGTGGCACATGTCGTTCACGCCGGTTGCGGTATCTAAGCAAGGGAATCTTGTCTTCTGTAACGATGACAAGAGGTTGTTCAAATATTATTCAGAGACGGGTGAGATCCGCTGTCTCTCCTTAGATATGTGTGTCATATCTCCTTACCTCGAGAATGTGGCTCCACTCCGGTCAGAATCGGGACGACACCATCCTTGTTTTAAAGCCAGGACATCTAGATGCAGGTTGTTTTCGCGGCATCCGGTGGTATCAAAGTTTTTGAAGTGGGTCAGAAGTTGGATAATAGAGATTGTGTTAACTACTGCAATAACGACAAACAAGTTGTGGAAAGAAGAAAGTCAAGTCGATATATCAAACCGAACCGGAAGTTCTCGGTTTGAATTGTTTCTTTTTTATTTTTTTACTTCTGTTCTTGCTTCCTTGTTTCTAAGGGCCGCTTTTAGGAGCTAAAACTGTTGCATGTTAAATCCAAGTTGATACACTAGTTTGTTTTTGCTTAAGTGCATCGGATAAAACATGGAGTAGCATGGATAAATAAACGAGATCAGGCAAGTGAATCTCATACCCCAGGTTGGACACGAAGCATGTCTGCACGAGCCATAGCTTCTGCTTGGGCGGTTTGGATTGTTTGGTATGATTAGCTTCATTTTTTTCTGTCTCGAACTCTTTCAAAAAGATAATTAAGCTGTCGTAAACATACCAAACATATGTACAGTCTATAAATATATTTTTATATGGAAAAATGTGAATTTACAGAAATTGATTATTTTTAGAATTCAAATTATTTTCGTAAAGATCAGTCAAATTTTCTATTCCATCCTTTATTATTATATGGCAAGGAGGTTTGAGAGTGGGTAAGACTAAACTTTCGCCGGATACATAGAAAAAATAAAAAAAAATATAATCAAGTTGATCACATGTATAAATTTCTGCTGATATAAAACAAATAAAAATACTGGTCCAACTTGGCCATACTTTTTATTATTATTGCATGTAAATGTTCCAAATTTAAAAATCTTTGTTTTGACTAAAATGAAAATACAAGAAATTATGAGTCTAAAGAATTTACAAATTAATAAAATTTTGGAAATAATTTGATACCAAGAAGAAATCTTGACAATTATTATTTGGCGAGAATGTAAACATAGGTTGTATTTTTTTACGAGATCAAACCAAGCAAACCCTGATGAGGCCTTACGATGGATTGTTGTGGCGAATTCTTGATTATGAACCGGATGGAGTCCTAATGAGTTGAGACCGCTTCAAACTTTTTGAACATTTGCACAACTTTGAAGTTTGCATATATGCGTTAAGATTTTAGCGATGAATGGTCTTATTTGGTAAAACTGCATTAATTATGCGTTGTCTTTGGTACAATGCATAGTTGATAATAGTGCTCTTTTCAGCATGTACACTACTGATACATGCAGCAACACAATGTTTCTTCCAAATCAATACAAGCGAATCAGAAAGGAGGGATTGATTAACTATCTAATACTGTATTAAATAATCTTGATATATATATATATATATATATATATATACATCAAGGATCTTCTAAGACACATTAACATATTTGATTCATATCAGCATTATGAATATGTTAATGTTTCTTAGAGGATCATTGATGTAATAAAATTTATAGTAAGTGGACCATTAAAAAATGATTATTCAAAAAATATACTGAAACACGTATTCCATTGACCCTACAGAAACAGGCATTTCTCTATGGAGGAGCAAAATGATAATGCTTGCTACATAATTTTGTGTACATCTGCTGCTGTGTTGCTTTGTACCGGTGGTACATTATCTTCAGTTGAGCTGGTCTTTCTCAGTTCACTAGCTCCTTTTGAAGCTTGGGACGACATCAAGGTGTGTGTATTCTGATGTTAAAAGTGTGTTACGTTGGATGATCTCTTAAATTTATTTTCTTGTCCAAAAGTTTATATGATGGGATTCTAACTCAATCCCATGCCCCTTACATATTAGATTGTATACGTCTATCAAATAGTAAATGTGAAATTCACCTAATATTATGGCTTGGGTGAACTTTACAGCTTGTGGTCATGAGTCATGACTACTCTTCAAACTTGTGATTTCAATGTTATTCTCGCTCTTGATTGTTGGAAGGAGATTCTATTCTTTAATTAATCTTCTCACTGTTGATGGTATATAATAGTGTTCTCATCTGCTTAATTTCACCCATGTTTTGATACTCGTGGCTATGGGAGCCTTGCCTCGTCTCATACTCATTAGGGGGGATAGTGAATGCATTTCTACTCGTTGTGTCTTTATTGGAAATACTACAGTATTTATATCGCGCCAGCTACTTAATACAGTATTTATTGATCTTCCTTATGTATTTACATATTCGAAACTCATTTAACAATTAAACGCTCAGAAAATCAAATTTAAATGGCCCATAAACAACTTTGTCATAGCCCCAATAATAGTTTTGATTTTGAGCCGTCAATGCGAACGCTTTGTCTCCTTTGCATATGCAACACCTTTTTCTTTGCTGATGTGGAAAATGTAAGAAAAATGTCAACTTCGATATCCCGTGTGATGAGGTGTGTTAGGTCTTACGGTTTGGTTTATACAAAATAAAAAGACAGAAAAAAACAAACAGATATTGGATCATTCAAACTTAAAGGAAAATGAATGGTAAAATATTTTAGAGATACTGATATCAAGAATTTGATCACATAATAATTATCATGAAGAAAAAATACATTATTTTGCAGATTTAATTATTTTTGTAAAACTTGAATGGAAAAGTATTTACCTTCATTTTCATTATTTCCCATAGAAGCCGCATCAAAGACAGAGAGGAGCGTTCCGAGAAAGAGTCTCGGTCTGATAGGAAAGAGAGATCACGAGGGAAAGATGATCGATATGGTGCAATAAGGAACAAGTTTCTGGCACTAGTAGAAGATCACACGACGACACAGAAGAAGAACGCTCTCACAAACGTCATAAATATTATTGAATATATTAACTTCTTTCACTTGAGAAATTTGTTTTGTTCTGATGGTTCTGCGTTGTATATAGGGAGGAGCTGTAACCGGTTTTTTTTTAAAAATGTTACAAATCGAAAACGCTCTCTCCCGAGGCTCTTTCTTCGGGTTTAGGCTTGGCCATCGTGATATCCTCTCTAGCACAGTCCGGTTTAAACACTTTCTTTCGCTTAAAAAGTCTTGAGAGCTGGTCAATAAACTAAAACGTGTTTAATTTAACTACAAGTGTCGAGAATATTACAGTACAACAACACAGTTCAATTTCTCACAATAGCAATATCTTGAAACACATCAATTTCACAATACGGTTTTTGTCACTCAATTTCACAATACGGTTTTTGTCATTCAATATTAGTTGAAAAACCACGTTGTCTAACGCATGTATATCTCGTATTTCACAATACGGTTTCACCGCTACAAATAGCCAAATGTCTATGTGAAAAACTGTGAATTCATAGAAATGGGGTTTTCAGAATTCACTAATTGTCTAGTAAAGCTAATATTCATATAACATATGTTTGGTAGCTTAATTTTCTTTTTCAAAGAGTTCGAGACGGTAATAATTTAGTGTAAGCGTTTTCTCATTTTTTCTATCTCAAACTCTTTTAAAAAGAAAATTAAGTTGTAGCAGCCATACCAAACATATGTATATATGAATATAGGTTTTTTTACGTAGACAATTAATGAATTCTCAAAATAACTCTTTTCTATAATTTTTAGGAATTTTTTGTTGTTAGATAAACTAAAAATTTTACCATTGTATAAAACATTTTGATTTGATTAAGATTCAGTCATTTCTTTTGAATGGTTGTTCATTTGACATATGAATTTTAAATTATCAAATTAACCATACATAACTATGTTTTTCACATATAATAAACATATATTATATCAAGTTTTACATATACTATTGATCTATCTTTGTAAACATGGTTAATCTTGTCAATAAATTTGCTAGTCCTATGGATGCAAAAGTTGTTCAAATTTGTGAAAACTATATTGTCATATCATACATTTTATAAGCTTTAGAAGTAGTCATATGGATCGTGTATTTTGTTTCGGTTTCAGTTTGAATTTTCAGATTTCTGCTTCTTATTATAATCCAATAAATCTAAGCATATTATGAATGATAATCCAAACGGATTAAAATATTAATTCAAATGAAGATTTTAGTGTGGGAAAATGGAATATGGCTGAGGATGATTTGATTGCAACTTCAAGAAATATCTGTTTGTTCTCTTATGGGATCCTACATTTGATCCAACATATCAAAGGTATATTTCTTTTTCTTTCTAGTAATTATTTGTGGTTTTTAATGGTTTTCTAATTTTGTCTCTTATGTTTAGATACTAGTATTTTGTCTTCTCTACCATATTCTCACAACAGACTTAACCCTTGCTGCTGCTATTCTAGTAGCTGCCTTTGGTGCCATTCTCATCCTCGGTGCCATTGCATGTTTGATTCGCAGCATCATTTGTAGCTTCCTTTTTTTCTTTTACAAAAGGTAAGTTTCTCTTTGTTTTGTACATATTAGATATCTTGATTGGCTCTTAACATTAGTTTCTTTCTGGTTTTTGCAGGTTTACTTGAGCCATTGTCATATCATCTAGTTCCACTCTTCTGTACACAAAAAGCTATTCATTACTACAACTTATGGTTTTACATAGAAAGTTGCTCAATCTTGGACATATTAGATGCTTCAGCTCTCTTGTTCTGAACCAAATCGGTCCACATTATATTCCTGAGAAAATATTGGTGTTTCCTTATTCAACTTATGATTTCCAAACCTTATTCAAGAGTCATCAGATCCTTGCAATGTAGTAACAGTAAACATTTGCAATGTAGTAATAAATAGTTGTTCAGATTAAGACACTTTGTCTACTTTTCAAGAAATTAACATCATTCCCTTTGATTTCTTGGTGGATTAGAAATCAAAACAAGAGATTAGAAACTGAACAAATAATAAGTTTACTTGAGAATTAAAATCTAGCCAACTTTGAATAACAATAAAACGAATAACGGTGTTATTAAATCATCTTTAGTGAGAAGCAGAACAAAATAATATTCGTTATATAAGAAATTACCAAGATAATCAAGAAAAAAGTCGGGGAAATAAAAATTTCTTCAAAAATACACACTCGAGCAGTTTCTTGAACCTACTATCATTTAAAACATACATTAAACAGACTCGCAGGTTCTCTCTCCTAGTGCTACATAATCAAAGATGGCACAGCTTCATAGTGTCCAAATTTTAGTGAGAAGCAGAAGCAACTTTCTCGCAATTTTCTGATTCAGAATCCTCTTCAGAGAAACTTGGGGGTTTAGGAATGAGTCCCAACGTCTTGAACATGAGCTGGTCCGCGTCAAAATCATTGTTGGGTGTTGTTAAAAGCTTCTCTCCAGTGAAGATTGAGTTTGCACCGGCAAGGAAACACAGGGCTTGCTCGGGCATCGAGAACCGGACTCTACCAGCAGATAGCCTCACCATTGCTTTTGGCATTACGATTCTCGCTGTTCCAATCATCCTGATCATCTCCCATATCTCAACCGGCTGCAATAACACAAAAGGTTTTTTAAAACACTTACGCAGCTTGATATTTGCAATTTTTGTGTGTTTCTATAAGTATGGAGATACCTTCTGGTCTTCAAGAGGAGTGCCTTTCACTGCAAGCAGGGCATTAATGGGAACACTCTCAGGGTGAGAAGGAAGTGTTGCCAGTGTGTGTAACAAACCTACTCTGTCCTCCTCTGCCTCTCCAAGCCCGATTATTCCTCCTGTTTATATGTAAATAGAAAACACTTTGAGAACATCTTTCTTGTTCTTTATCTGTGGGATCTATCAAATCAATGAATATTACGGAATCGTGAGTCTAGAATTGAGGCATACACGAATAAGTAAAACCTTAGATTTTCTCTGTTTCATATCGAAGTTACCTGAACAGACGTTGATTCCAGCGTCACGAACATGCTCAAGAGTTTCAAGGCGGTCGTCATAGCTTCTAGTAGTGATGACGTTTGGGTAGTACTCTCTTGAAGTATCAAGGTTGTGGTTATAAGCAGTGAGGCCAGCCTTCTTTAGCTCTAACGCTTGTTGCTTCTCGATCATGCCCAGTGTGCAGCAAACCTCCATCCCCATGCCTCTGTTGTGAAGATAAGTGTAAAAGTATTACAGCCACGAGAACATATTCAACATCATGTCCATTCTTCTCACGGATAAACCAAAATCACTTTGAAAGGATCACTTCAGATATAACATCCACAGAAGAGTAGAATCTACCTTTTAACTCAAGAAAGAACATTAAGGATTCGAAAACACAATTTCAAACATTTTTTTAATCTGTGTGGGTATCTTTTAGATTTAGAAAGCTGCTAGAGAAATACAAAATGAAGCCCAACTTACAAATTACGAAAAAGTTGTAAGATATTGCCCTCTAATATGATAATGTATGGGTACCTTATTTCTTTGATGTAGTCAAGTATCTGGTTGAAATTGGTTTTGCGCCCTATCGTATCTCGCCACGCAGCACCCATGCAAAACCTTGTGCTACCAGCTTCTTTTGCCTAACAACACATACAATTTGTTAAACTCACATCACAAGAGTTCATCGCATTCTCATTATTGATGCATTGTGCTAAGGAATATAATACATTCGGACAAGGAAATGGCTAACCTTCTTTGCTGCATCAATGACAGCGTCCTTGGACATGAGTCTTTGGGCCTTGACTCCAGTGCTATACCTCGAGGACTGAGGACAGTATGAACAGTCCTCACTGCACCCACCAGTCTTTATGGAGAGGAGAGTACATTGCTGTACCTCCCTGAACTTATGAACATGTCTATGAACCTGAGCCTGAAACCCCCAAAGAGCCCACACAATATCATTATTCAAGTAAAAGACAAAGAACAATGAAAATCAAGGGACATTAAAAAGACTCTATTTTGGACGAAACGAGATTCAAGCCAAATGTTACCGCAGCTGCATTTCAATGAGACTCAAGTTGAGCAAAATGTTATCTACTCAAACAAACATGTTCTGGGTCAAACTAAAACTAAAAATCGATACTTTCCTCCATTTTACTGCAATTCACAGCAACCCAAAAGATCTCTTGAACAACAAAGGGAGGAATTATTGAGTGAGTGTGACTCTGAGTGAGTAAGTGAGAGAGAGAGAGAGGGAAATTACTCCATGGAAGAGGAGATCAAGAACGGGGGAATCATAGACGGCCTTGATTTCATCTCTGCTCCAGTCATTTCTGGGCCCTTCCCGAATCGTCTTCTCAGCTTCAGCTGAAGCTGCCGATGAAGAAGAGTAAGAACAGCCAGAAGCAGATTGCCGAGCTGAGACAAAAGGTCTTAGCTGAGATCGAAACACAAATCGAGCAAGCATCATTTTCTCCCTCCCTTAGTTTTCTTTCGCCGGAAACAACAGAAAGAATCCGGGAAAATGTGAGATTTGCGCTAATCTCCCACTTCAGTCATCCATGAGTCACCTAACAAAAACCCACCGTTGGAATTTCCGCCTTTGGTGGGTCCTACGTGAGATCATTTAAATGGGCCTTCTGCTGGGCCGAAAATAGTAAACTACCTAAACGGTGGCCTTTTTCTTTCTGCTTTTAAAGGTCGTTTCTTCTTCTAGAGTAGCCGGAGCCGCCGCGAGAGAGAAGGGGGGGAAGAAGAAATGAGCGGCGGAGAACGCCACATTTTGGTCCTAACATTTTGTCAACGGCGGAGGAAATAAGCGGTTCCGATCGTGAAAAGCACTTCGGGTTAACGCTCTCCGTCCCGAGGCTTTCTTCGCGTTTAGTATTATACTTATATAACATTTTTAACATATAATTTACTTTTCTTCCCATTTTAACATTTACATAAAGTGTATCATAAAAATACCCTTTTAACAAAAAAGGAAATTGCTAGGAAGTACTGTGTATATATTTGATATACTCTCGATAATCGAAACGAGTAACACAGATCACACGCGCCTATAGAATGGGGGAAGAAGAAGAAACCACTAATTCGATCTACATTCTTGTCGATTTACTGAAAGAGATACTTGTGAGACTTTCCCTAAAATCTCTGGTCAAACTCAAAACTGTGTCTAAGGAATGGAGATCGATCCTCCAATCAAAGAGTTTCGAGGAGATGCATCTGAGTTTTCAAAAATCTGGGAAGACCGGCCGGAAAATCCTGGCCGCTTGCCACTGCGACTGCGGCGGCCCGCCGAGTCTCCTCCCCGGGTCACGATTCAAAGGGGACGAAGAGATTGTCAATCTGCACTGCGACGCGACACGACCGTCGTTGAGTTGCGACGGTTTGGTCTGCTTACCGGAACCAGGTTGGGTCAACGTTCTGAACCCCACGTCCGGACAACTCCGGAGATTCCCGTCCGGACCAGATCCCGTGTCAACTCTCTTGACACCCCTTCACAAGAACATATTTTTCACAGGTAATCTATATGCTACGAGTCAAATTTTGCACTGACACACTGGTCAACAAAAAAAAAAAACTAAAACTTGAAATCGCAGGACACTGGTCGACATATTTTCCTGGGTACTGGGCGATGGGATTCGGTAGAGACAAAGTTGGAGGGAGCTATAAAGTAGTGAGGATGTTCTTTGATCCCAGCCATTGCGACATTCTTGATGTGAACATTGGGGAATGGCGGAAACTGAGTCCACCTCCGTACCCGGTTGACGTCGGAAGGAAATCGGTTTGTGTGAGTGGATCAATCTATTGGTTTGAAATTGCGTCTGCTTGCAAGATACTAGCCTTGGACCTTCACACACAAGAGTTCCGTGACGTCGCAATGCCACCTCGTTTTAGATGTAAGATGGACACTCAGATAGTGAACCTTGAGGACAGTCTAGCTTTAGTCACAGCGGGAGTGAATGATAATCTTGAATGGGAACTAAAGATTTTGAGCATGGATGCAGAAGAAGAAACCTGGAGCCTGACGTATCTGATAAGCTTAGCTGATCTATCTATTCATCTTTTGGCGGCTAGATGGTTCATGCCGGTGACAGTTTCTAAGCAGGGGAATCTTTTGTTCTATGACAATAACCGGAGTCTGTATAAATATTATCCACATACAAATATAGTCCGCCAGATCTCCCCACATACCTGCGTTATATTGTCTCCTTATCTGGAAAGTTTGGCCCAGCTCCATACTGATCAAGTCGCTTTAAGGACTGGACGAACACTATGCATCTCGAAGGTATCTGAAATATATGCTTACAGGTATTTAAAATGAACTGCTGATAAAAGTTTTATGTTTCCCATGTGTAGGCTGCGATTGCTTCAGCTCATGTTATATCATCACTTCGATCAACAGTTTACAAGTTTCTTCGTAGAGGGAAAGGTGAGAATCTTGCAAATGTTATATTTTTACTGGACCCTGCAGATTTATGATGGACGGGTTTTTGTCCTACAGAATTAGGCATTTCGCTATGGAGGAGCAAAATGAAAATGCTTGCTACATATTTTTGTGTGCATCTGTTGTGTTGTTGCTTTTGTACAGCTGAGCTGGCCCAGACTTCTTTTGAAGTTTGGGACGACATTAAGGTATGTGTATTCTGTTGTTTAAAGTTGGATTCCATCAAAAAAATCAATGTGAAATTCACCTAATATGTTATTGCTTGTTTCAACTTTACAGCTTATGGTCATGGCTATACTCTTCAAACTTGTGATTTCAGTGTTATCCTCGCTCTTGATTGTTGGAGGTAGCTTCTGCTCTCTTATTTGGTTGATGATCTAGTGGATTTTTTAATCAGTCTTGTCATTATTGATGGTATTGTCATTTATATTAATGGTCTTCTCATCTGCTTTCACCGTAGTTTTGACACTCGTGGCCTTGGGAGCCGTGCCTCGCCGCCTACTCCCTGTGGATGGGGTGGCTCGTCCTCTTCAAGATGTGATAGTGAAATGCATTTCTCTTCTTCTACCCTACATTATTCATATCGCTGCGTTTGTGTTTCTTGAACATTGTTACAGGGAGTTTTGTGTTTTTCTTCTTATGATTACGCGTCGTTACGAATCAAAACGCTCTAATTAATATTTATTGATGAAGGTTGTGATAATGGCAAAGGTGGTTTCTGCAAGCATCTTCATCATGGAAGACAATGCCATTGTTTCTGTTAATTAAGATCCGTTTTAATTAAGTTGATATTCATAACTATTTATGTAGTATGCTCACCATTTGGTTTTTTCCATTTACACGTAGTTGATATATGTTGGTTATGTCAACATATATATATAATTGAAACTATACGTTGTCTTAGTAACTTAGTTATAAGTTTATAATAAACCCTTTTAAGTTTTAACAACAGCAACAAATTGCAATAAACGTATGCTTTTCGAATTATAATAGTTCAACCGTCGGGCGAAGAAATCAAGACGACGGCGTTTCTCAGAAGGTGGACTGGGTCCCAACTCGTGAGATCATTTAAATGGGCCTTCTGTTGGGCCGAAAATAGTAAACTACCTAAACGGCGGTGTTTTTCTTTCTGCTTTTAAAGGTCGTTTCTTCTTCTAGACTAGCCGGAGCCGCCGTGAGAGAGAAGAGGGGGAAGAAGAAATGAGCGGCGGAGGAAACGGCGCCGTGAACAGAGTGTTCTACGCGACGTCGTATCATCCGATTCAAGCCGGAAGTATCGACGGGACCGACGTTGCGCCACACGATAACGGCGTCCGTCGAGCTCTCCTCTGTTACAACGCCGGTCTATGTAATCTCTCTTTCTCTCTCCGTTGTTCTTTCCAAATTTTAGTGCTTTGTCTCTGAATTGCGAAACTCATTGATTGGGACGTTTTTATTTGGGGTTTGGAAGATGATCCTTCTGGCGATTCGAAAGCCGTCGGAGATCCTTACTGTACTCTCTTCGTGGGTCGCATCTCTCATCTCACTACGGAGGATACTCTTCGAGAGGTAAGGGGTTTGTGTTGGATCTCGTGCGTATAACTTGAAGCTTGGAAGCTCTCTTCGGCAGTAACTAGTGTTTCGTATTTGCAGGCTATGAGTAAGTATGGCAGGATCAAGAGCTTGCGCTTGGTCAGGCACATTGGTAAGCTTTTGCAAAAAGCATTCTGCTCATAATGACACCACTTTGCTTCATCTTTTGGAAATTTATCGTCTTTATGTTTCTGATGGCTTTTGTTTCTTCTACCGTAAGTTTTGTCTTGGTACTTTTGTTTTGTAGTGACAGGTGCTTCACGAGGATACGCCTTTGTGGAGTATGAGACTGAAAAGGAGATGCGCCGTGCTTATGAGGTTCTGTCTCTTGCTTTGTTCTGCTCTGTAAGCTGTATGAAATCCCTTGATATAAGTGAAACTTTCGTTTGATTGTCGGAATGGAATGTTTCTGGTGTCTATTTATTACAGGATGCTCATCACTCCTTTATCGATGATAGGGAGATTATTGTTGATTATAATCGGCAGCAACTGATGCCTGGATGGATACCAAGAAGATTAGGTATTTGCCAAATTCTTTTACTCTAATGTCTAGTAATAGATTTCCCGTAGGAGTTAGAAGAACTTCGTCCCTTTAGCTTAAGTCCTTCTTCTTCTCTATAAACAGGAGGTGGACTCGGTGGAAGAAAAGAATCTGGACAACTTCGTTTCGGAGGACGAGAAAGACCATTCCGCGCTCCTTTGTACGTTTTTGCTTTAGCAGTAGAAGATAGTTGTGACTTGTGATGGACTTTTCTGATTTTCTTTTTGAATATCAGACGGCCGATCCCTCATGAAGATTTGAAAAAGCTCGGCATTCAACTCCCGCCCGAAGGAAGATTTATGTCGCGTACTCAGGTCTACATTTATCTTTATCAACATTTCTTTGAATCTTACCCTTGTTTCATGTTCTTGTGCTTCAAGTGGTACTATTGATAGATTGTTCAGTGTGTCAAAAACTAAAAAACTCAGCAGCGTAACTTGTTTGTGTGTATGCAGATCCCTTCACCACCTAGGAGAAAAGCAAGTGTGTCGGATAGAGAGGAGGGATATTATGAAGAACAGAGTTCTGAAGAAAGGGAAGAAGAGGTTAAAAATTCTATTCACAGCCACAGGAGGAGCTCACACACACGAAGTTCCCATAGAAGCCGCATCAAAGACAGAGAGGAGCGTTCCGAGAAAGAGTCTCGTTCTGATAGGAAAGAGAGATCGCGAGGGAAAGCAGATCGATATGGTGACAGTAAGGAACAAGTTTCTGGCACTAGTAGAAGATCACACGACGACACACAAGAAGAACGCTCTCACAAACGTCATAAATATTATTGAATATATTAACTTCTTTCACTTGAGAAATTTGTTTTGTTCTGATGGTTCTGCGTCTTATATAAGGAGGAGCTGTAACCGATTTTTTTAAAAAAATGTTACAAATCAAAACGCTCTCTCCCGAGGCTCTTTCTACGGGTTTAGGCGTGGCCACCGTGATATCCTCTCTGGCACAATCCGGTTTAAACACTTTTTTTCGCTTAAAAAGTCTTGAGAGCTGGTCAATAAACTAAAACGTGTTTAATTTAACCACAAGTGTCGAGAATATTACAGTACAACAACACAGTTCAATTTCTCACAATAGCGATATCTTGAAACACATCAATTTCACAATACGGTTTTTGTCATTCAATATTAGTTGAAAAACCATACGAGATTTTGGATACGGGGGTCTTAATCTAACTTCGACTGGGATGTACTCTGTAACAATGTTTATGAAACCATATTTCATGTGGTATAATAAATCTTGGAATAAGTTATTCTGTCGTTAAAAATTATGTTCAGACTTTTCCAGTTTCTGTGTGATGATGGATTTATTTAGTTTCAGATAAATCGAATATGACTTGTACAGATTCAATTTGAATTTTTACAATCTCTATTTTCCAGATAGTCAAATTAAGGGTCAAATGATCAAGGAACCCAGCTCCACAGGCTTATGCAATCTCTAAATTTCAAGTAGTCAATTTTAGACATCAGATCTGATTCGTATTCAGAGATTAACCCTAGCATTCACCACCCAATTTCAGACAATTATCTTGTAATTATATGGAAATGTTTGGAAACGAAAAACAAAACAAACACCAAATGTAGCTGCTTTAAATTTGGAGGAAGCCATTAGAAGACATCAGATCAAGACTGCCTCCAATCGTGATGAGAAGCTTAACGATATAGGCACCATGCAAAAGGTAGCTCTGCTGTTTCTTATAAACCCAACAAGCACCCGTGTCTGACTTAATGCCAATCAAAACCCTAAAAACGAATCCCAAACAAAAAAAAGGAAAACTCAAAAGATTGTAAAAACAATAATTATATCCATGAGTATTGAATCATGAAAACATAGAGAAATTAGTTTTCATGGGTCTTCCTCTGGAATTTGATCTGGGCTCCAAGCGGCAGTCAGGACGCCATTAAAGTGGCGCCTGCTGTTGACTCGTTAAAAATGGAGCCAGAACTGTAAAACAAAGATAAAACCAAACGAATTGAGATGATTGATCGAAACGGAGGAGAGAGAGAATGGTTGTTATATAAGAGGCGTGGACAGTTGCAAAAAACCCTAGCATTCACCACCCACTTTGTTATTCAGCAAACTTAGTCTACGAAGTCTTTACTGGGCCAATATAAGCCCATTATTTGGGCCCAAATAGTAGTTATGAAAACGACTTGCCCTTGTATAAAATTTTAGGGGAACAAAAAACTTCTATGAGAAAACAGGTGACCACCAACAACAATCATCATAACAAATACGTTCATCAATTTATATATTGTATCAAATTGCTTCTCTTTTTTTTTTGCTACCCGAAATTTTATTTACGATGATTAAGTTTTTTGAACACAAAGTATGGGTATATAAAATTTTGTTAATCTAAATTACTTACCATCCACAAGAACCATTCAACAAGTTATCTAAAATAGAAATTACTATATTAGGAAGCTTGGCTAAATATATAAATTCATTGATAGCTAAACACATAATCAGCAGTCAGTTAAAAAAACAGAAAAACAAAAATCTACAAATAAAAAAAAAATGGCGTTTGAAAGGAAAACAGCGGTTATTTTGATCGCCATGGTCTTAATGATAGTAACAACGAATGTGGCTGAAGTTGATGGCCGAACTAATATCCGACGAAGCTTAAATGATTTTGGTGGAGCTTGCTGCAACGTCTTCATTCATACTTGTTGTTTCCCTAAACATTGACTTAATTATATATACATGTTGCTGGAACAGTTTTTCTTTAAACGTCATGTAAAAGTTATTATTATCGATTTCATTTTATTAAACAGTATATATCATTTTCTATTTACAAAATATTCAATGGTTATGTTATTTTTATTTTTTTACCGAAAGTCAAGCTAATTATGAAATTATTAATGGTTATGTAAATTTTGTGAACATCAACCAATGAAATATCAATTTTTAGTTATAAATTGTCTAATTCCATTCATGATTCTAATTATATACATACAAGACAAGAAATTGTAAATCACTCAATAAAATATCCAACTTCAGTCTCACGAAATTCAAACGAAACTCTAGTGAAAAAGACATATTTTACACGTGTATATATATGTATGTAAAAGCAAGACAGATCGATAAATAATTTATGATTTGATTACTTACTTCATGGAATGATCTCTATGGCCCAAACAAGAAGTAAACCGTCCTATACTACGAAGAAAGCAAGAATAGAAACCAAGTTTTGTCCTCAAAACTCTAATCGCAAAACGTCTTTTGGTCGCACCTTGCCGCACTTCCAGAACGCACTGCTCTACTGCCTCGTTTATTCCTTTCACCGACTTCCTAAGCTTCTCTTTGAAACTGAAACTCTTTGATCCTGTCAAGTCGTAGTTTGCCAACACCACCCGTCTTCCCTCCCGATAACACTTTCGTGAGTACCATTCGCTCTGGTCATGCTGAGTCAGTGTTACATATGCGTACATGTATGTTTCTTCCGACATTATCTATAAAAAACAACGTAAGAAAAAGTTATTTCGTGTGCTAGCTTGAGTTCCTCGTAGCATATGTTTGTAATATATATATATATATATATATATATATATACGAGACGGAGAGTTAGGTGGGATTTCGGTTGAACAATTTTGAAATTGCGTTTGATAGTAGTTGGTGACTGTGTTGCACCAAATATAGAATCTCATAGGAGTCATTCATTAAATAATTATACTTCTGATATGGTCATACCAATGTGACCGTTGTGTGGCATATCGTAATCCTTCGGCTTCATGTGTAATTTTTAAATCGAAAAAACCAAACGTGATACAAAACAAATCATTGATTATATTGTTGGATTATTGTGAAATAATGGAAATCAAAACAAAATCAAGAACTGTCAAAAGGAAAACCAAGAATCCTACATGCATGTGTCACAAGAGATGTTTCCATCATATTACAGAAGTATAATTTTTTTTAACATACATTAAAATGTATCAGGGTAAATGCAAAATTTGATTGTACTGTATCAAAGTTAGAAAATCTCAAATAATAATTACACATCATATCTCATATAGATTAGAAATCAGAATTCTTTTTTGATTGTGCCATAATGTTATTACTTATGCAGCTAAACCAAAAACTATTTAAAAGACTCACATACATGAAATCTAAAAGAAGCAGAAAATATCATTACGTAAAGAATGTGAGAGTACAATATGCCCACGTTGCAAGGATAATGTGACGATTATTAGTGGAAATCAATTGCTATTGTGAAGTGATAAAATGAATAAAAACTGCAAAGAAATTAATTAAGCTCTATAAATAATAAACAAGAAACAAAATAAAAATGTAAGTTTTCAACAAACATACTTGCACGTTAAAAATGCTTGAAAGAGAGACCAATGAAAGGTTGACCACATACATCGTTGCCGATTCATTTCGAAGCTAAATAGAGTGAATGAATGCTTGTTCCTAATAATCATCCATTGAGAAACTCCAGTGATCATGCATAGATTCCTTGTAAAGCTTTCTTCTTCTTCTTCTAATCCATTGAGAAACTCCAAGAGTCAGCGTTTGATTTTCCCTCTTTTGCCTTCATCAACTACGTCAGATACGTTGACCGCGTCTGGGTCTCCTCCAAGGACTTCGAGCCCTACCAATCGATTCCTTCCTCCACTTGGGTATCCTTATCCCGTCGATTCGTTTCGAAATTCGCCAGCTTTAAGCTCAAATTCAAGGACTTTAGGAGGGAATGGGAGTAGATGTATCAGCAGTGAATCCGGAAGAGAGTCGATAGAGTACGATGTTCTGATTGTCGGAGCTGGACCGGCCGGTTTATCTGCTGCTATACGATTGAAACAACTGTGCCAGGAGAAGAACACCGATCTGTCAGTGTGCGTCGTTGAGAAAGGAGCAGAAGTAGGTCAGTCTTCTCGTCTCCCTCTCTCTCTCTCTCTCAAAGTATCAATCTTGCGGTTATCTCGTCTCTGCATCTATCTCTTGGATTCTTGAATTGAGTTGTCATCAATTTGTAGGAGCACACATAATTTCTGGAAATGTCTTTCAACCTGTGGCACTAGATGAACTTCTACCAAATTGGAGACAAGAACAGGTTTGTCTCTCTCTCGCTCTCTCGTAGAAACTAATCAGAAACCAAATGTCTCTTTGGAAACTAACCCCAAAGGCAAATTATTTCTGTTTCTAGTCACCCATTGAGATCCCTGCTTCTTCCGATAAATTCTGGTTTCTGACGAAAAACCGTGCAATTTCACTTCCTTCTCCGTTTGATAACAAGGGAAACTACGTTATTAGGTACATGTAGGATGAATATTTATGTCCCCATGTTTAAGTTTCATTTTCAGATGTTTAGTGTTTGATGGTGCTTTTGTATATATATGCAGCTTGAGCCAACTGGTGCGTTGGCTAGGAGGAAAAGCTGAGGAGCTTGGAATAGAGATATATCCTGGCTTTTCTGCTAGTGAGGTAGTAATCTTGTGCTTCTACGTTGTGTCTTTTTTTATTTATTCTTAAAACCATTTTGATGTTTTGCATACCGAACGTTCTTTTGATCAGGTGTTGTACGATGCAAGCGATAAAGTTGTTGGGATCGCAACCAAAGATATGGGAATATCCAAAGATGGTTCCAAGAAGGAGAATTTCCAGCCAGGCGTAGACATCAAAGGTCGCTTTGTCTCCTTCTCTCTCTCATCTTCTATAGGAGTCTCTTGTACTAAGATGAGTATTTCCAATACACAGGACGAGTGACACTATTTGCAGAAGGATGCAGAGGATCATTGTCTGAGGTCAGGTTCCGGTCACAAGATTCATGTTATTAACACGTATCTACTGGAGATGCTAACCATCTCTGTACTTTATTCTGGGCAGAAAGTAATCAGAAAGTATAAACTAAGAGAAGAGGTTAATGCACAGCATCAAACATATGCTTTGGGAATTAAGGAGGTAACTACTTTTATCCTCGATCGATCTAGTTGTAACTCAAATCCATGTTTGAGTCGACAGATATTTTGGTAATTTGCTAAATAGATTGTAACCTCTCTATAGAAAAGGTGATCATAGGGGTTGGAGATTTGTTCTCGGTATAACTATCTAGCAAATTACCAAAACATTTTTGAGCTCAACAGGTTTGGGAGATAGATGAAAGCAAGCATAACCCCGGAGAAGTTGTTCACACTTTGGGTTGGCCCTTGGATCACAAGACATATGGAGGTTCTTTCTTGTACCACATGAACGATAGACAGGTAACTCATTTCTCCCTTTGGTAAATACTGTCTTATCTTCTTCCAGTGGCGTCTTAATCAATTCCAGAAATCTACCTTTCAAATATTGGTAGCTCAGTTTGGAGTTTTCTTTTGAACCAAACAGGTTGCGCTTGGCTTAGTTGTTGCCTTGAATTACCAAAACCCTTTCTTGAATCCATATGAGGAATTTCAGGTATGTCAGTTTCTCACAACGATACAACTTTTCACCGGTTACTACGAAAGTTTTCTAATAAGCCAATTTAAAACTAAGAAGTTTGATGAATGCTATCATTTTATCCTCCCAATAGAAACTCAAACACCATCCTGCCATTAAACGCATCTTGGAAGGTGGTACTGTGCTTCAGTATGGAGCTCGTACTTTAAATGAAGGTGGTTTTCAGGTGAGTTAAAATCATTTCCCTTTAGATTTATCTGGTTCGTTTATTCTTTGAAAGCACAAGAATTTCCGTTTTTGATATAGCCATCTTCTAAAGCATGTAAATACATGTAGTTTGGTTTTATTGACTGGGAAAATGAGATTTCTGAAATATCATCTTAAAATTTCAGTCCATTCCCTATCCAGTTTTTCCTGGAGGAGCAATAATTGGATGTTCAGCTGGTTTTCTCAATGTACCCAAGATTAAGGGAACACATACCGCAATGAAATCAGGTCACAATATATCATGTTTTTTATACATTATCCCATCATAGAATTCTCATCTCAGTTTCATCATTATCTTACAGGAATGTTAGCAGCAGAGGCTGCATTTGGTGCGCTTCATGAAGATTTAAACATGAACACATACTGGGATAACCTGAAGGATTCATGGGTCTGGAAGGAGCTCTACGCAGCTCGAAATTACCGTCCGGTTCGTAATATCATGAACATATATCAATCAATGCATATGGTTTTCTATCTAACCGAACTTTCCTGGAAGATAAGAACTTAAATCTCATATCCTTGCAGGCATTCGAGCATGGGCTACTCCCTGGCTTGGCTGTAAGTGCTATGGAACAGTAAGACCCGGCATTAGTTCTCTTCTTTTCGCTGTGTTATGTATGATCAATTTCTCTTTGCTATAAGTGAACTCTTTACGTTTGATTATGCAGCTATGTACTTAAAGGAAAGGTCCCTTTCACTCTCAAGCACGGGAAAGCAGACCACGAAGCAACAGATGTAAGTATACAAGCATTCGGATAAACCTTAAATGTCTCAACTATAATCAGATCAAAAACTGTCCACTCAACACACTAACACTGATAAAAACACTGACCAAATGCGGGCTACATCTTTGTGCAGCTTGCTCGGAAATGCAAGCCAATTGAGTATCCAAAGCCAGATGGTGTTTTGTCGTTCGATGTGCCAACTTCTTTATACAGGTTTGTACAATGACACAAACTGCAATATCTTGACAACGCAAAAGTATTCTTCCTATAAGTATTAACGAGCGGTTTCATCTTGAATGATGATGATAACAGGAGTAATACCAATCATAATCATGATCAACCAGCTCATTTACGTTTGAGGGATTCCAAGGTTCCAGAAAATGTAAACTTGCCAGAGTATGCTGCACCAGAGTCACGTTACTGCCCAGCCCGTGTATACGAGTAATAACTCCCCTTTCTCTCTCTCTCTGCATATGCCATTTGATCTAAAGATTAACTTCCTCGAACAAGATACTAATCCTCGTTTTGTGTATTGATTCAAAACATAAATAAAGATACGTGGAAGATGAAGAGGGGAAGCCGAAACTGCAGATCAACGCTCAAAACTGTTTGCACTGCAAGGTACGCATCACTCATATGTACTGTTAATGTGTATTCATGTGAATCAATCGATTCTTGAGAAAAGCTTAATCGTTGGTTTGGTCTTTGTATCTAAAAGGCATGTGACATCAAAGATCCAAAGCAGAACATAGAGTGGACAGTGCCTGAAGGCGGTGGAGGCCCTGCTTATTCCCACATGTAGTACCCATGAGACTCAACAAAACCACAGGTGTCCCAGATACAAAAAGCTCTCACAGCGCAAGTACAAAGTTTTCATTTCTTTGTATGATGAGTTTTCATTTCTTTTTGTATAAACAAGTTCTCCGCATGATGTCAAAATTGGTTTTCTTTCTTTCTTTCTGGTTTTCTTAATTTTCTTCCGAATCTACCCATTAATGTCAAACGAAAGGTTACATACAACGAGCGAAACGAACGAAACAGGATTATATGATTACCCATTGAGTCATTGAAGGTTGTAAAAAAAAAATTAAAATCACATTCATCTTTTTGTATTTGAATATTTCACGCCTTATCATGGTTAATTTTTTGGGTCCTAATTAAATTATAAATAAGTGAAAAGAGATAGTTAATAAAATAAATAAATAGGATTAAAAAAGCCTATGTGGGGGCAGCTCGTGTAACTAAACACGTTGGTACTCACTATTAAACATTTTTCGTTTTGTTTTTATTTCTCGAGACACCGGAGCAGAGCAACTTCCGGTTCACTTGTTCTTCTGGGTCTATGAGTGATCATGCATAAATATGTTCCTCGATTTGGGTATCCTTATCCCGCCGAGTTGTTTCGAAATTCTCGAACTTTATGCGCAAATTCGAGGAGTTTTGTAGTAAATGGGAGTATATGTGTCAGCAATGAAGCGGCAAGAGTGTCGACAGAATACGATGTTCTCACTGTGAAAGGAGCAGAAGCAGGTCAGTTTTTTTTATTTGTCTATATTCTTGAAGTTGGTTGTCATATTCATTTTACATTAACTGTCGAATTTCAATTTATAGGAGCACACATCATATCTGCTAATGTTACACTTGATGAACATCTCCTACATTGGAGACAAGAACAGGTTTGTCTCTCTTCCTCTGTTTCTATCCTCAGATTTTCTTTTCTAACAAATGCAAAATGAAAACCGACCCAAAGAAATTGATTTGCTTTCACTTCCCTCATGTCGTTTCTAAACGTTAAGTCTTCTCCATTCTCCCAAGCTCTGATTGCGAATCTTCTTTCTCTTGTTTAGAGCTGCGTTGGGGATAGAGGAGGTAAACTTATTCATTCAAGATTGTATAAGAATGGGCTTGAGGAAGATGTGTACTTTTGCAACAACCTCATCAATGCTTATCTTGGAACGGGTGATTCGGTATCTGCACGTAAGCTGTTTGACGAAATGCCTCAGAGGAACTCTGTTACATGGGCGTGTATTGTTTCAGGGTATAGCCGGAATGGAGAACATATGGAAGCTTTACTGTTCTTGAGAAATATGGTCAAAGAATGGGTTTTCTCAAATCAATACGCTTTTGCTAGTGCGCTTCGAGCTTGTCAGGAGCTAGACTCTGTTGGGAATCTTTTCGGGAGGCAAATTCATGGCCTAATGTTCAAACTTTCCTACTCAGTGGATCCGGTAGTTTCGAATGTCCTCATATCAATGTACTGGAAATGCATAGGGTCTCTTAGTTGCGCGCTTCGTGCTTTCGATGACATTGAAGTCAAAAACTCTGTTTCATGGAATTCAATCATATCTGTATATTCACAGAGTGGGAATTTGAGATCTGCGTTTAAGATGTTCTCTAGCATGCAATGTGATCGTTCTAGGCCAACCGAGTACACTTTTGGTAGTCTTGTGACTGCTGCTTGTTCTTTGGCTCAACCAGATGCTAGTTTGCTGAAGCAGATCATGTGCACTATCCAGAAATCTGGTTTTCTCTCGGATCTTTTTGTTGGCAGTGGATTGGTGAGTGCATTGGGAAAGTCTGGCTCGTTGAGTTATGCTAGGAAGGTTTTTAATCAGATGGAAACAAGAAATGCGGTGACCTTAAACGGTCTGATGGTTGGTCTGGTGCGACAGAAACGAGGAGAAGAAGCAACGAAGCTCTTTATGGATATGAAGAGCATGATTGATGTTAGTCCTGAGTCATACGTAAATCTACTGAGCTCATTCCCTGAGTACTCTCTAGCTGAGGAAGTAGGTCTGAGAAAAGGCAGAGAGGTTCATGGACATGTAACTACAACTGGCTTACTCGACTTCATGGTGGGCATTGGAAATGGCCTTGTTAATATGTATGCTAAGTGCGGCTCAATAGATGATGCAAGGCGTGTTTTCTGCTTCATGATGGAGAAGGATTCTGTTTCCTGGAACTCCATGATCACTGGTCTTGACCAAAACGGCCGTTTTATAGAAGCTTTGGAACTCTACCAAAGTATGAGACGAGATGAAATCTTGCCTGGAAGTTTCACACTGATTAGTTCACTAAGCTCATGCGCGGGCTTGAAGTGGGCAAAAGTAGGGCAACAGATTCATGGAGAAAGCCTAAAATTGGGGATTGATTTGAATGTTTCGGTTTCAAATGCGCTAATCACGCTGTATGCAGAGACCGGCTATCTCAACGAATGCCGTAAATTATTTTCCTTGATGCCAGAGCATGATCAAGTTTCTTGGAATTCGATGATAGGAGCTTTAGCTAGTTCAGAAGGGTCAGTACCTGAAGCCGTGACATGTTTCTTGAATGCCCTACGAGCGGGACAGAAGCTTAACAGGATAACCTTTTCAAGCGTTCTTTCAGCTGTGTCATCCCTTTCATTCGGTGAACTGGGCAAGCAGATACACGCACTAGCTTTAAAGTACGATATCACGGATGAAGCAACCATTGAGAATGCGCTTATAGCTTGTTATGGGAAGTGTGAGGAGATGGAGGAGTGTGAGAAGATATTTTCTAGAATGTCAGAGAGAAGAGATGATGTAACTTGGAACTCGATGATCTCGGGATATGTACATAACGAGCTCCTTCCCAAGGCCTTGGACTTGGTATGTTTTATGTTGCAGAAGGGTCAGAGATTGGATAATTTCATGTATGCGACGGTTCTTAGCGCGTTTGCTTCGGTTGCAACGCTAGAGCGTGGCATGGAAGTGCATGCTTGCTCGGTGAGGGCTTGTTTAGAATCTGATGTGGTAGTTGGGAGTGCACTCGTTGACATGTACTCCAAATGTGGAAGACTAGATTATGCTTCAAGGTTTTTTAACGAAATGCCTGTGAAGAACTCATATTCATGGAACTCGATGATTTCGGGCTATGCACGACATGGGCAAGGAGAAGAAGCTTTGAAGCTTTTTGCTAACATGAAGCTCGATGGCCAAACACCACCTGACCATGTCACATTCGTGGGGGTCTTGTCAGCTTGTAGCCACGCGGGTTTGGTTAAAGAAGGGTTTGAACATTTCGAATCGATGAGTGATTCTTATGGCTTAACTCCACGGATTGAACACTTCTCATGTATGGCTGACTTGCTAGGCCGTGCAGGTGAACTCGAAAAGTTGGAAGAATTCATCGAGAAAATGCCGATGAGGCCTAATGTTCTTATATGGAGGACCGTACTTGGGGCTTGTTGCAGAGCAAATGGTCGAAAAGCAGAGTTAGGGAGGAAAGCAGCAGATATGCTATTTCAGTTGGAGCCAGAAAACGCTGTAAATTATGTGCTACTTGGTAACATGTATGCTGCTGGAGGAAGATGGGAAGATTTGGTTAAGGCAAGAAAGAAGATGAAAGATGCAGATGTGAAGAAGGAAGCTGGTTATAGTTGGGTCACCATGAAAGATGGAGTTCATATGTTTGTTGCTGGGGATAAGTCACACCCAGACGCTGATTTGATCTACAAGAAGCTTAAGGAGCTCAACAGAAAGATGAGAGACGCAGGTTATGTGCCACAGACGGGATTCGCCTTGTATGATCTAGAACAAGAAAACAAGGAAGAGATTCTGAGCTATCACAGCGAGAAGCTCGCTGTAGCTTTTGTTCTCACGGCACAGAGGAGCTCTACACTGCCCATCAGAATAATGAAGAACCTCAGAGTCTGCGGCGATTGCCACTCTGCCTTCAAGTATATATCAAAGATCGAAGGGAGACAGATAATCCTAAGAGATTCAAACAGGTTTCATCATTTTCAAGACGGTGAATGTTCTTGTAGTGATTTCTGGTGATTTCATGAGTCTTAAAGGTGAGAAGACAATCAACCTCAAATTTTGATTAATAGACTCAACAAAACCATACTTGTTTTAAGCCTTTTAACAGAGAATGTAAATAAGCATTAGTTAGTGTTTCGTTTGTTGTAAGCTTTCAGTTACACATAAACGGGTAGACGAAAAAGTGGATTCGCAAGTGACTTGAGAAATACTTAAAAAAAAAAACTTTGGTTTCTCAACAGAAGTATCATTAACAATTTTGACGTCATGCTTGTTTTGTTAAACAAAAATAGAACTAATTAGGAAAATAGAGAAAGAAAAATCCAAAACCACATTCACTTTATACAGCCTTTTCTTCTAAATGTCACAACCGAAGATTAGTCGCATCAGTAGGACGCAGTCTGGTACGGACACTTGCGTCATCTTACAAAGCCTCCCTCTTCGCCAGGCAAGATTTAGTGTGCTAATCGGGCTTTTGGCTCAAATCTACACAGTTTCACAAGAAGCATGAGTTAGCCACACGCATTTGTCATATGCCAACTAGCAAGAACCAGACTAGTGCTTATCCTCATTCAACTCAATGAATCAAGAAGCGCATAGAAGAAAGAGATGATTACCTTAAAGATTATGATGGCGCGTGTAGCTAGTCTCAAGGACCCTGTCCAGCCGGTGGACCTGAAGACTGTTGCTGCTGCTGGTTCTGCTGAATCTGGAGAAGAAGGTTTGCTGCAAACTGTAGTGTTTTCTGGTATCTCTGCTCCTGATCGACATCCCCATCTGCTGTACCCTGACCAGCCCCAGAGAGCACAGACTGCGGCTGTGGTGCTTGGCTTTGTGGCTCTATGGTTCCTTTGTCGGCTGGTGGCTGCATGGCAGCCTGGAACTGAGAAGCATTTAAATTATGCGCCTGGTTTGTCGTTACACCATGATAATTAGCTTGCTGATAACTTGGAACTGGACCATAATTTTGGTTTGGCACGGAAGCTTCTGGTTGGTACTGCTGTGTCATGGGCTGAGAAACAGGGTGATTTGACGAACCCTGAGTGTACATGGGGTAATTGTTCTGAGGTATATTCGGTAACGGAGACAGCTGAGGCATGTTACCAGATTGGCCTTGGTATTGCATGTTTCCATTAGAGTAGTTTGGGTTGTTTGAAGCCGGAGGGTAACGCGGAGGAGGAGGAGGTAGTTGCACAGCTGGAGTGTACTGATTCCCATATTGTTGGAACGACTGATTCGACACATTGTGGAGTGTTTGAGGATCTCTTTTCCAACCTTGAGATTGCGCTTCCCCATTGTACAGTCCATTGGATTGAGGTACTGTGGAAACGACTGTTGAATTGCCTGACATAGGCTGGTGGCTCTCGGGGGCAGCAGGTTGAGAAGTTGCGGGGAGAAAAGATGCCAGAGTAGCTAATAGTTCCGGAGTTAAACTAACCCCACCTTGAAGCGCTGCATCGCTAACCGATGGTTTTGAAAGAGCTGTCTGCTGTTCTGGTGCGCCCCTACTGTAATTTTCCGTTGGATGATATGAACTGTGACTGGCATTGGCAGGTGAATGTCGGGCTTGATCCATATAAGGCAGAGGATTGGTCTGAGGTTCTTGTCTGTACGGTGCCGGAACAGGAACGGCAGGCGGGGGCAGCTTGAGAACAACACCGTATAGCCGCTCTGGACCGGACACTTTGAGTACGTCAGTTAAGAAATCTGATGGAGGCACCAAGAATAGAGTTGTTCCATCATCTAATTTGGCAACACCTGCTCGATTTTTCGAGCCAAGGTAGCGGAGGAATTCAGTGTAAGACGCAAAATCTTCTTCACTGTCTGGTAAGAAGAAAACTATCTCAAATCCAATGGCTTCGGTGTAATGTTTGGCGAGCATATCCAAACCAGTTCTTGCTGAACAATTGACGACCTCAGGGCTATAAATCAATTACAAAAAAAAAACAAAAAGAGACCAACGTCAGCAATTACTAGCAATGTCATCAAATCAATGCATTTCAGAAACTATACAAGCAATCGAATATAATGACCTCTAACTTCTATCGAAAATGAAAAGAAAAGATATGGCTCTCAACATTACAAAAGTAAGAGATGCGTGTAAATGGTACTCACAGTTTGGTTTCGATCCCCTTTCCAATAGGTACACAACGAGCACAACAGACGGGAGTTCCACCTTTGGCAATCATTCCTCTCCACATGTAATCAGAGTCAGGGTAACCACGGATAGGTCTCGCAGCAACTGAGCCACGCCCAAATGACCTCTCATCTACACCCATTGGAGTAAAACCGTCCACGGATCCATCTCTTCTGGTTCGTTTGCTCTCTCTTTCCAACTGAGCAGGGTCATATCCTTCCCAAGAACCCTGATTTGACCTCGTAGGCTGCCTCATACCTTGTGCAGGAGATGGGAGGATTCCTGGTCCTGTCGGCGACGGGAGTATTCCAGTTCCATTTGGAGACGGCCTCCTCCAGTTTGGCTCTTTACCTACAACGTCGTTGTATTCCGAACCATTATATGGACGCTCATTGCTACCTCTGAAGGGGGTCATATACGTATCTGGCCTTGACCGTTTCCCACCAGGATAGAAACCAGTATCTTCTTGCTCAGGAGGCAGCTCGTCGTTTGAGTACATAATTGTGATCCTTGGATCCTTGAATAGCCTCCCCTGTAGCCCTTCCTTGGCACGGCGAGCTTCCTCCACGCTCCTAAACTCAACAAGTGAAAAATGCCTTGATGGGTAACTTTTTTTCCTCTCGATCTCACCAAAGAGTATCATTGCATTGTGTAGCATTTGCTCGTCTATCTGAACAGAAGGAGGGTACCCAATCCACAGAACTTTACTTGGCTGTCCATCTCCATTGGCATCTTCATGTGAGTGAGGATACTGTAAGCATATAACAAAGCGTCAAGACCAATTAACATATACATATCAGCAGTAACAAGAAATAAACTATTTGTAACATTCAAGACTAACCTGCTGTTTATGATTCACATTGCCATTCCTGTCGTAAGAGCCAGCCCATTGTTCCTAAAGATAAAGAAAATGTAACTTAGTTTCAGACTAGAAAATTTGAGTTTATGAAATGCTGCGATTAGGCTGCTGTAAGAGTTCACTGAAAAATCAGTTGATTCGAGTAATTACTGATCCTACGTGAACAAAACAGAGCTCAACCCTGAAGATCGAAGATCAAAGAACTGAAAAAAAAAGAAACAAAGCAAATGACAGAAGAATGCTTACTTTTCTTGGCGCTTGTGAGCGGAGAAAATCAACACGCAAATAACCACCACCCATTCGCTTGCCGTTCATGCTCCTTGCCTGTAACGCATCGTCAATCTCGTAATAATCAATGAAGGCTGTCTTGCGTTCCCTAAGAAACCTGAAGTCCTCGATTTTTCCGAATTTACTGAATTCTGCTTCCAGGTCATCCTTTGAGACACTCGGGCTGATTCCGCCCACCCAAAGACTCTTGCAAGGTTTTGCCTGCAAAAGCAAAAAGGTCCATAAGAAGGCAATACAATAACATATACCATAAAACTACACGATATGTTGTCAGGAATCAAACTTGGAATATATCAAGCAACAAACATCAAGGAATCTAAACACACACCAAACAAAAATGTCAAAAAACATTATGGAACCAATTCATATCAATATCCTAAAACACACAACATTCCTGCAAGAAAAACATATCATCTTCCTCTATCCACCGGTGTTAATAGTTATCCCTGACTAGGCACACATTTTGTCGTCCCAAATGCTGGTAGACATTAAAACTTTCTCCTAAGCGTTCTTGTCTTCATCATTGCGGAATTGCCTGAGTACCAATTAAACCAATCCCGGTCTCGGGACATTCATTTCAAAAGGTCAAAGCCGACAAGACCTTAGCACACTGTCTGGGAAAGATTCCTTTGTCTTGACAACTGTAGAATTGGCTCCGACCGAATCTACTAAACCCAGGAATTATCGTGAAGAATTCAACTCCTAAAGGAACTGAGCTGGGAAAGAGGAGATTTACGTACGGCAAGACGCATGGTTAAGCCAAACAGGCCCCGTTTCAGGAGACATCACTTTTACTGTTTTGAGTCTATCATCATCCGAGTTTTTGACTGGTTGAGGAAAGAGAGTAAGCCGCTTAACAAGCACGACGCAATATTTGTTACTGAAGCTTCGAGCCATATATCTCACCGCCATTATACAAATTTCTCCACATGGTTTGTTATAAACTCCCAAATTTCTGATTTGTTTGGCAATGATCGATATGCTAGCTTCCGAGTTTTCACCTACCATTTACCTTGCAAAAAAATTTCGGGAGCTGTACGCAATTCATTCATTCTCAAGCCTGTGAGATTAACATATAGTGGACTGATCTGGAGCAAAGCTGAAACTCAAGACTACTTTACGCGGATACAAGTCTTGAGGATATGTCAATGATGTCGCGGACCGAAGCAACGACAGTTGAATCAACCTTTTGCTGCAAAATCGTGGAGGAGAAGAAAACATGTGTTTGATACATTCGTTTGCAGCATCTCATTCGCTAATAAGAGTTATAAGCTTTTGACACTCAAATTCTGCACAACACTCGAGTATAAGCTCTCTGTGTTTTCACTTGGCGCGAGTTTGATTAGAGATCGTTGAGATAAAAACAAAAAGTAACTTGAGGAATGCGTTTCTCTTTTCAAGACCCTTCGCCACACACAAAAAAAAACACATAAATCTAGGTTTTGGTTTTGGTTTTTGATTATGATCTGACTTGTACGAGGGGGAAAAACTCAGACTCAACAATTAATTTGACTAAACAAGCATCAAACAAGATCAAGATATCTGAACCTAAAGAATGAATTCGCAAAAACAGTAGCAGTATCGTTGACAAAAGACTATTAGAGTTAGGGAACAAACGACGATATAAGCCTAACGAATCAAAGAGATAAGAACAAACCGGTCGCGCGTATTCGATCTTAATCTGACTTCCGTTCAAATTCGCGCCTTGAAGGGCCTCCTTCGCTGCGACGGCTTCCTCGACGTGTCTGTAGTAGATAAACGCGAAGCCGCGGGAAGAATACGCCGTGATTCTGTCAATATCGCCGAACCTTCCAAAAAGCTCCGTCAGATCTGACTCCGCCGTATCCGTCGTAAGGCTACCGACCCAAAGATTGTTCGATTTGAAATCGGATTCTTCGGCTTCACGTGCTCTGAATGGCTTCATCACTGACGCCATCGCCGGAATTACCGATTGCCAATCCTCGAGCTCAAAATTGGAATCCCCGAATTGATTGTTTACCTTGGGATAATGAGATTTCGATATCCCCGAGAAGAATACGAGAGACGGATTGTCCGATGAAGCAATACTACTTTGACCAAGAAAATTTCAGAGAAAAGATGCGACTTAAAATCCTACCAACAGAGAGGAAACGAGAACCCTAGAAAAGAGATAGAAGAAGAAGAGATCCAGAGAGAAAGAGCGAGAGCAATTTTTATCGAAGCGGCGGCTCCTAAAAGGATATAGAGTAATTTTTTCTTTGTTATTTTTTTAACATTATTTTCTTTCCGGATGACTTCGTATTTATGACCAACACGGTGCGTTTTAATGTACTTGTGGCAAATTTGTAAATACCACATCAGCAACTACTCTGTGTACATCACCAAAAGATTACAGTCTGAAAATAAGGATTTTTAATAGCATCTTTGTCAGTACACAGGCATCTAATAACTGCGGTCAGTATCTGAGATCGCTGAGTTCGTTTTCTGGACTTGGAAGCTTCACATAAACATTGGTTTGGATGAAGCATCAGGAAAAGGCAGATTCTTCAGCACCATCGTTTTAAGAACTGTTAAGCATTCGATGAAGATCCGGGATAGGTGATAGAGCTCAAGCTCGTATTGCTCATAGATGAAGAAAGCAGTGAACGAGAATGACATCGCTGTCAAGTAAAATCGTTCAATGTTATGGTCAGGAAGAGTAATGGGTAAAGTTATGTAGGAAGAAAACAAAAGTTTTGTATTGAGTACCTGTGAAAAGAAACGTTGCTAAGGAACGCGATAAGATCATTTTGAGGAGATATAGTGATCCCGCAATCTGTATTTTGGTTTGAGGAAACAAAGAAAAATTGAGGTTATTTCAAGTTTGGTGGGCATTAGAGAAGTGTGGATAAGAGTACATTTGTATACCTTGAAGAATTTGATCCAGTCTCCTCCTCTGCTTAAGGATTTATAACTGCGAACTCCGTGGTTCCATGCAACTACGATATCTCTGCTAAGATCTCTCACTGCAGACTCTGAGATCTCAAATCTCCACAGGGGTATTTTCTTGACTTGAAACCCAAAGCTGCCGAAAATATAACCAAAAATATGTCGCTTAGTTGAATAGATTTCAAAGAGAAACATATATACATAGTTTGCTAGGACAATTATAGCATCACAGAACACGTTCACTGTTTTGTGTTTTCTACAGTTTGTAAAGAGAAAGCCGCTTTGTGGAACTAATACTTACATGTTTGACGGCACGAAAGCGAGTCCATAGAGAGCAACAGCAAACAGAAACAGAAGTTGGGCTGCAGACGAAGCAAATGTGTTTCCAGAAAAGAAGAACCAGTAATATAACAAGTTGAGGAAAAGAAAAGAAACAAATGTATCCTTCTCATTTCTCCACAGCAAGATGTCTGCAACTGCATCAATATAAAATGAATTTTTGGTCAGTTTAAAGAGATTTAACACTTGAATAGACCAGGCTCGCATAGAATTTGTTTATATGTGCTAATGTGCATGAAATGCAGTTGGAACTTGCATAATGTAGACGGACTGGGCAGCTACATCAGCATGTTCTAGATATCTAGACGCAAGATATCCAAGTTAAGAATAGAGATAGATTCTTTCCAGATTAAGCCTTGTTAGCAATATCTGTAGCTATATAAGAAATATGTACTTACCCAAGAGGCAAGAACACATCAATAGAACATTATTTAATTGTTGTTAGGGAGATGGTTCTAACCTTTTCCACAACCAAGAAGCTGATCTGCTTTAGATTGAATGGTTGTATCATCAGATTTCTCAAGATCGCGAGAGAACCACTGAACAGTTGATGCAATACCATCCTACGAATTCAACAAGAGCTAATATAACCAAGGGTGCTATCAAGCAGCTGAATATGATGAAACACAATAAAATCTAAATTAAACGCACTTCAAGTGTCACAACAGGTGTGTAACCAAGATGCTTCTTAGCTGAATTGCAGTTAAAAGTTCTCGTTGAGGAAGCCAACAGAGCAAACTGATGAGCTGTGTCATAATAACTTCCAGTGCCCTCCTTTTCTTGTGTCCATTTAAGAAGTGACAAAACAAACGAAACCGGCCGAACAGGAAGTTTAGTGGATGGCCTGCAATAAAAGACAAGAAAAGTATCAAATTAGGCAAACCAGAAACTTGGATTTACGAATCTGAAACTTCTCAAATTGATCAAATTACCTAGGAAATAAGAGAAGGAAAAATCTACAACCATGTACAAGATAGTAAATATAACACAGAATCACCATGTAAATATCTGATAAAAAAATCATAATAAATATGGCCCTACTCAAAGCAGTTCCACTAGAAAAGGTAGCTCATGGCATTTATCAACAGAAAGATGACAAGATTGCACAGATAAATTAAGAAGGTAACATTCAGGGTAGGTTCAGAAATTCTGAGGGGTTTTTGTTAGCGCTGTAGCAGACACAGGATAATCAGGAAACAGCATTGTAGAGGAATTCAAAACAAGTTTCCTTTAAATGCTCATTTACCTTGGGTATCCCAAACCTTCAACAATGCGGCTTACAAAGTCCCAAAATTTGACAGGCTTGAGGTTAGTGATAAAAAATTCCTACAAATAATCGGCACAGAGAAACTTAATCACATATAAAGGTTGCGCTTTTTCAGGAGTTATTTGGCAAATACGTGTGCACCATGGTTACCTTTCCACCCACAGATTCCGTATGTGAATCTAATGCTTCTGCGGCACAAATATGTGCATGAGCAACGTTGTCAGAGTAAGTGAAGTCAGACATATTTTCACCATTCCCGATTATAAACTGCAATATTAAAAATGAAGACAGTCATTCTCCCCAAAGATAAAAGGAAAACCGAAAGATTAAGGCTGACGAAGTGTCTGTTATGTAAGACCTTTTGACCAACTTAGAATATAAGACACACGTACAGTTAAAGGGCTTCACAACCAACAGATTCTCATGACCCAAACACAAACATCAACGCAATAATGGGATGAAAGTCAAACCTTTGCGTATCCGGATTTGGCTAGATTCACGAGGAAAGGTACAAACTCCGTGTCACCAGGTCCAAACACAATGCTAGAGCGAAGTGCACAAGTTAAGAGACCATCACGGTTGTTAGCAAATTTGATCAAACCTTCCGCTTGAGCTTTGAAGTCTGTCAACATGGATTGGAACTGCAACACAATCAGAGCAAAACAGATATCATTCCTGAGCAAGAGCAAAAGTAAAAAAAAAAAGAATAAAACAATTAAACAACCATGCCCAGGGATTACCTTCAAAGGACGTCTCAAGGATTCATCACCATCACGTATAGGTTGGGAGCCATCAAAGACAACATCAGCAGTACTGTTGTAGATAAGTTTTCTGACTCCAGACTCACGACAGGCGGAAATCACATTTCTCGTACCTGTTTGGAATCAAAGAATCAATATGAGAAATCGATTAAACACCCCACTAGATTCAACTACTATATTGGTATAGCATAAGTCAAGAACATCACCTTGAACTATGACCTTGTAGCAAAAAAAGTAATCATGGGAACGTAAATCAGCAGCTCCCATGTAGAATACAACAGAGGAACCTTCAGTAACTGCAAGGAACGAAACAGCCATATGACGTTAACAATCACAGCACAAGCTCAAACGCATTTCGCTCAATCAGAACCCAAAATCTCATATCCAAAAATTCTCCCACAGCATTTTCTCAGATACCAAAACACCGATCTGTGCAAGCATCCAGAATATAAAACGATAAGTACATAGGAAATTAAGAACAGATACCTTTAACGATCTGAGGTTTATCACGAACATCGACGCATTGATACGAAGCGCGCCCAGAGGAGAGAGCATCCTCGAGGACCGAATCGGACTCGTCAAGATGGAGAGTCTGAGCGGAATCAGCGACTCGGACTGCCCAGCTTCCGAGTCGAAGCAATCTGGCGACTAGCGATCGGCCAATGAACCCTCGGCCGCCGAGGACGACACAGGTTTTGAGTCGAGAATCGTCATGAACGGCACCTTCCTCCATTTGTTATCGTCGAATAAACCCCAGCTTTTGCTCTATCGGCTTCTCTCAATATATTAACTCGCGAGTCAACTCAGAGAAAAAGGCCGAGTGGGGGAGGTTATCAGTGGGTGCACAATGCAGAAAAGGCTGAATAGTATTGGTGTCATTTGCTTACAACCTCTCCAATCGCGAAACCTTTTGCGTTTTCATTTGTTTAAGTTAAAAAAACGACTAATGTATATTGAAATTTTTGCAAATTTATACCTAAATGACTATATGTTTTTGCTGATTTCTACAATAAATTTATCAATAAAAATAAATCATTGCCGCACGCCTGACTTTTCAGTTTTTCGGTTTGGTGAGCCAAATCCATCAACCCACCAAACAAAAGATTTCTAAAATTAGAAGTTTGGTTAGCGTTTGAAGAGGTAGGGACTAAAAACGTTATATCTCTCTATCAACGAGCACGTACGTATGTTGCAGCAAAACAAATATATTACACTTGAAAATTCATAATTTAATTATGGGAGACCCCCAACTAAAAATATGTTGAAACTTTTCTGTTTTGAATACGAATTCAAATGATCACTGAAAAAAAAAAGCCCAATACATATAAATTATTTAATCTTTGCAGCTGATGATGGCTTTCCAACTATACAATAAGAACGATATCCAAGGTTTTTAGAAACGATCTCTGGCTCTCTGTATACGACGCAGTGCTTCCGCTTCGTTTGCTGAGTCTGGAATGCTCAAAGCTTTACGGATGTCTTTGCTCGATGTTCTCAGGAACGGGTTACACGCTTTCTCGACCTTAACAGTCGTTGGAATCTACAGACAAAACCTCCGTAAATGAGATCCAGAAAAGAGGTTTCAAGAGAGAGATGAGAGAGAGAGAGAGAGAGAAGAAAGAAGATGTCTTACTGATGGGAGTCCCTGGCTGCGAAGATGGGCGACTCGGGTTGCATAGGACTGAAGATTTTCATTCTTTGGTTCTACGGATAGTGCAAACTTGAGATTGCTCTGTTTCATGGAGGACATATAAAACAGTTTACTTCCCCAAGTCGCTGAGAGTTGAACAATGTGAGATTAGACAGTTTTCATGTGTGAAGAACTTACTGCTGTGTTTTCGCGACCGCAGTATATATTTGTATCATCGGGTAAAGCCACAATCTTTTGGAGTGATGAAAGCATCTGAAACAAGCAAATATCGTTAAAAGAGGACAATCATTTTTCTTCGGTGAAAGAAACGTTGAATCACGGGTATTAGCGTACCAACTTGCTCTCTCCAAAACATTTATAACATTGGACTCTTTTGGTAACACGATTTCAAAAACCGCAAATCACTTCAACACAATTTCTACCGCAAGAAATTAACAATAACAGCTTTCAAGTAATGTTACCTGCTCGGGGGTACCTTCTGAGAGGGTACCACATGATAAGCTATATATCAGGTCTCCTGTGAATATTGTGGCTGACCCGGGAAAGTAAAAGCTGATATGGCCTGCTTGAGTAAAAAAAAGAACAGTTTAGAGAGCAAAGCATAGCACCAAGTATTCATGACACAGTGATGGATCGAGAATGACAAATAAGTTACTAAGATGCAATCCACTAAACGCTTTTTTTTTAGGTTGACAATACTTAAATGTAGAGATATATATGTTCATAGTTTGTTTCGGTAGTGGTCTATGGCAGAGCTACAAACCTTGTGTGTGGCCAGGAGTCTCAAGTACCCGAACCTCATGGCCAGCAAACATCCACTTATCACTATCCTTCAGAAGTATATCAATTCCGGGAATTCGATCCTTATCCACAGCTGATCCAATCACCTATAGGAAACAAAAATCCACATGAAAACGCTTTAGAATATATCACAGAAGGAGTAAAGCAAAGAACAACTAAACAAAGTTGCAAAACAAATAGCCACAAATACAGATGGCTAGGAAAGTAGAAGTCAACTTCAATCTCCTTTTTCCAAATAAAGGGCCAGTAAGACATCGTATTGTAGATCTCTGTGTTATTAAGCTATCAGAGGCAACGGATAATCTATCCCAGGGAACAAGTGATGATAAAGGGAGGGCTAACTTGCGCAAAGAGTAGAAAGAACAAAAAGGAAAAAACCAAAGTAATACAATTTTTAAACTGAAGAAAGTGTCCCATTACCTTTGCGCCATACCTTTCTTTCAATTCAGTATTCCCACCAACGTGATCATCATGATGATGAGTATTCAATATGTAAGTTAAATTCCAGTTTTTCCTGCTCAATGCATCAATAACAGGTGCAGCCTCAGAAGGATCAACGACTCCAACCGTGCCGGTGTCTTCATCGTGCAATAGATAAGCATAGTTGTCCTTACTGCATGGCACCTGAAACATCCCAGAAAAATAAGACAAATAGATCGTATTTCATGTCTTCAGGTCTAAGCTACAGGCTGAAACAATTCTATAGACTAGACAAAAATGTTTTCACTTGGCATAAGAAAACAGAAGATGAGCAAAGTCAAAAGAAGAGGCGTGTGATATTATAATGAAGACAAGCATACTAACCAGTTCGATTTTTAATGAAGATGGCATGTTGGAGATGCTACAAAAGTGGGTAATTTTAAGGGTTTTTCTAGCTCCACGCAATGTTTTCAGCGGCATGGATAATAACCACATTACTCCGTATAATAAGCTTTTCCTGAGGCAAAGTTGTCTCAAACCGGGCCACACACAAAGCTGGCCTCCAATCTGTTTCATGGACAGAACAACAAACCGTAACAGAGCTTCCCCAAAAAAAGACTAAACACATTTGTCAAAAAGCAGACAATAGAAAGGTTTTAGATAATTCATATCAATATATGACTATTTCAGCAATAGAGATTGACTCTTAAGGGTGAAACAAAGCCAAAATGAATCGGATTTACTAAGGCTGTTCAGTTCAATACACGCAACACTAAACCAAATCAAGGAATCTACAAACCATACAAACAAAGATCAGTAAAGTTGAAAACTCTGAACTAAGAAAATTCTCCAGCAACGAAATCTTAGATGTATATATATTATCTGAATAGTCCCCAACCACAGAACTAAAAAGGCTAAATCTCGTACCAACCATCATCAAAACTGGATCGGAGTTATCTCTTTCGGTCTCAAATGTTACGAACAACGACTGAATCAAAGATAGCAGCAAAATAAAAAGGGGAGGAGAGATATAAACCCTAGAACAAGAAGGAATCGATGAATTGTTGGTAGATGAAGCTTTGGAGATCATTGGCATCCTCTATCTCTCTCTCTCTCCCCCTCTTCTCTCTCTCTATACCTCTCTCTCTCCGATAGATTTCGTCAGATGGAAACGAGAGAGATTGTCGATTATACCTTGGAAGAGAGATTTTGCGCGTACAAAGCTCAGAATTTGGCCTGAGCTGTGATGACGAGTCTGCGACTTCGACAGGAAAGACGTCAGAGCTAGAGACAGCTTTTTTACTCGTTTTATTTTTATTTATTTCTTCTCTCGCTTTTAAGTCAAATTTATATAGCTCAACTACTAAATCCCCCCCAATTAATCGTTCCGTGCCATCGCATTTATTCATAAAATTGTTATAAATATTCCAGGATATTCACCTTTTTCAGAATTAAATACTCCAAAAGGGTAGTAAATATGTTTGTTATGTTTAGTAATAGTTTTTTTTAATTACTTTAACGGTATTCACCAGTAAATTTGTAAATTTTACTCATTTTGCTAGATTATATTCCCTTTTCGAAAGACAGGAAAAAACATTTTCTTTTGGGTCGAAGCCCGAAAAAAGAAAGAAAGATAAAGATTCTATTTGCGTCAATGATTTGCTCATTTCGTTACATGGTATATTACGAGTGCGTATCATTTGGATTTGGGTTTTTTACATGTGATCTTATACTTTTACTACTTTTGTGAAAGTTAATTTGAGTTTCTTTTGTTTTATTTTCCTTAATCGATTTTTTTTTTCACTTTTGAGTTTTCCGTAAAAAATATCAAGTTTATTTTAGTTGATAATGATTGATAATATCAAAATTTTGGTATGTGTATATTTTGTTTTTTTATGTGCGTTATCTTCTTGACCCTTTTATAACTGCTTTTTCCTAGAACTGAGATTCCCTTTAATCCAATATTTGCTATTTTATAGAAAAACATACAATCAAAATTATCGATTTTAATAGAATACTTAAATAAAGCAATTAAATGTAGAAAAAAATGTGTGGCGAGACAATTTTAGATTAAAATGGAAAAAAATAGTCTTTGATTTATGAAATTAATTAAAGACCATATCATGTGTGTCAACAACACCAAATAGTCCCCCTTAAGAGTTATGCCTATCTTATTGAAAATGAGCCACTTGTTTGTATAGGACCTCACTTCATAGTTCATACCCATTTTTTCAAATATATGATTTGGCTTAATTGGTTTACATTTATTACATATTTGTTTGACAATTCATCATATGGTTTAAACTTTAAACTGTATCTTCAACCAAGCCTTCAAATTGCTTTTGGCTGAAGTGACTTTTTCTTGCATCCTTTTCATGACAAGGCATATGTTAAGTAAACAAAAAGGGATATAACATGTACTTATTACTTTTGTAATGTCATTTCCATTGTATATCAAACAGTTATAATATGAAGTTGTAGTAATTCTGATTAAATAGGGTTACATATGTTTAACTCGCCTAATTTCTACGGACACCAAGCTATGAATCTTTAATGATTCTTTAAAAAAAAAAACTTTCAATTCAACAATTTGGTTACTATTATGCGTATTTTGGTTAATGATGTGTTCTACCGATCGAGGAGGATGTCAAATTTGTTGTCGCTGACCTTTTTCGAATTGGATTAAGTCTAAAGTACGATACTAATTTCGACATTAATCAATTTCGATATAAAGAGAAAAGAAATAAGCACACATGAATAAGTGAATGTTAACAGTATAATTGTGACCGACACATGTGCTTTTGTTTCAATCCTCATTACACGCGCGCAACTAAATTCAAATCAAATGTCTTTGTGGGTTGTCGTAAAACTGGTAGTTTAAGTTAGGGTATTAATTAGACCAGTCCAGTATATTTCAGAAAACATTAATGAATTCTGAATTTCTGATTCATCTGGCTTGTTTATTCTATGATTTTGAACAAAAAGAATTTAGATCAAAGTTGGTTAAGTTCATACGTAAGAGTTGATCTGGAGCTACGCTAGCTAAAAATCACGAACGAGAAAGATAAAAATAGAGAAATCATTTTCGTTTAAAAACCGGTCCAAAGGCTATAACAAGCATCCCGGAAAAAAATCGACCTCTAAGTCTCAAACTGGTCCTGGAGGATGGATCGTTCCTTCTTTTTATATTGACCCCAAAAAATAAAAAGGACCTCAAGGAAGATATTCCACTTGCAATTTTTGAAAGTTTTGGGGATATAATTAAATTTCCCCAAAGATTCATATTAAGACAGCGAATCGAGGTTCATGTCAAGAACCTAATAAGATATATATCGTATGCATTGTTTTAGTTAGAGTTTTGATGGTGGAATGAACAATTATAAATTTGCTATTACAGTGTTATCATTTGTTTATATTATAGCCCTATATATCTCATTAGAAACTTTATTAATTGTCCTAGACCAGAGAACAAGCTCTGTGTGTTACCCTCACAATTCCTCAATACATTGCCTAAATGTCTAATGAAGGCTATTCCCTCTATTAATATTTTCAATGACCATAACCGTCTTTTCTTCTCTTTACTTAGCTTTCAAGTGATCTGTATCTGTAAACTGTTAAGAGAAGCTAATAAATATTTGAGTCGATACTTTCTGTTGATTTTTTTGGTTCAAGTGATCTGTATCAGTATCTGTATACCTCTCACAATTAAGCCCTAAGTATATCTGACGTAATTAAGTACTTTCTTAAGATACTAGAATTTGTGTATTTTAGTTGTCAATTTTTTTGCCGTTAACTTTTTTCTAAAGGTAATTGGATTATAAGTCTAAAAGTACAATTCTAACATCGACATTAATGACAAAAATTTCTCTTCGTTTCGATTTTTAGAAACTAGAACCCATGAAAAAGTGAATATTACAGTCCTGATCTCATGATTGTCACCGACGTGAGCTTAAATTTGTTATAGTAGTTAAAGGACCCAAGGTATCAATTGGACCAGCTCAGAACACATTACTACTGTATAGCGTAGACTTGACTCGAAGCTAATTAATTATGCATATTTTCCGAAGAATGTGATTAAGTACGGTGGTGATTTTGATGAACCCGACTGTGATTAATAGCATAGGTACGATGAATCCAGAAGGAGACCGTATTTGATTTTAAAAGCTGAATCAAAATCCAAAAACACACTCATGCTGGAAAAGTCTGAACATGATAAATTTTAACGACACAAAACATATTCTCCTAAGAAAATTATAAAATCGCGCAAGACTTCAATACCACAGATACTTGGCTTCATTATCTTCAAAGGTCTTGAACATTCAAACCTAAAAAAGTGCAACAGAGTCCACAATTCAGAATTCAGAAACCACAAAACATATAATACGTTTATAGGGGATCGAGATTCTGTAGTAAATATACTAACAGAGCAAATCTATGCTTAGGAACTAAATGCCAAAGATCAAAAACTTTCAAGGTTTCAAAATGATTGAAAGAGTGAGAGTTTATGTTTTGAATGAAAAGTTTGAAAGAGGAAAAGCTAAGTTAAGGACTCAATTAGCCAAAATCTAGTATTGTTTAGGTGATACAAATGATTCAATGAGCGACGACTTGTGAAGTGTAAGACAATAGAAGAAGCAGAGCTGAGATTATAACCTGGAGGAAGAGACTGCTTGAGCTTGTCGGCTTTCTCTTGGTCAAAGACGCAGAGCGTGTAGAGGTACCTTGAACATCTGACCTTGAACTTGACGATGTCCTTGCTTCTCTTGATCTTCACAGACCGAGCATCTTTCCTTCTTGCTGTCAGAAGGAAGTCCTTGATCTCGTGGATTTGCTTAGGCTGCACAATGTACATCACATCATCATCAGTGCACGAAAATTCAGATACCCAATATTAATCGCAAGCAAATTTCGCAGGATAATGATGAACATCAGAAACAGGGCCAACATACTAAAACGACATTAACAGATCAACATCACTGAAACCTACAAGTTTTACTAAATTCTAAGCAGAGTAACAAGCAACAATCAAGCTGAGATGAAAAAAAACAAAAATCGTCATTTTGAGATATAATCAAGACAAATGAGCAACGATCATAATCTATGAAGGTAGCAAAAAAACTTTTAGAGAGTGGACGATAAAACGAGCTTCGAAAACTAATCCGTAAAACATCAATAGCTAGCTAGCTTCTACACAGATGAAACGAGATCGAAAGTCCGAGAAAAAGTACCATTTTCGGATCTGTTGTTGTAGCTAGCCGCCTTCTACAGAGAGAGCAAGAACAAAACCGAGAAACCACCGTCGCCAAGATATAAAGAGAACTCCTAAAACTTGTACCAAGAAGAAACCCTAGACTCGCATATCTGAAATTTCAGATTTACCCTTCAGCCCACTTTTCAAACAAATTTTTCTTATTGGGCTTTGGATAGCCCAATCATGTATCTGAAAGGTTCTCACATTATCATTTTTGACTTAGTTTACGGTGTTTCTTACATTTTGGTCCCTTTATTTTCGTTTTACGATTTCATACCCCAATGGTTTTTACTTGTGCAATGTGTTTGGTAGATAAACAAGATCAACCACAAAATTCATTAGAACCACACTACTTCCAAAACTTAATTATTTGTTTGTCACAAGAAAAGAAGCATCAGATTCGTGAAAGAAAAAAATGATTGAGCTACAAAAGAAATGTTCAAATGTGATCTAATGCTTCCAAGCCATGGAGTGACAATCCTCACTGTAAACCTCAAGAAATCTAATGAACTGCAAAAACAACCAAAAAACACAACAATATCACCAACAATCTATAAGTCATTTCAACAATTGTTGATCAAACATATAAGAGATAATGTCTAAAACAGATTATTTCAGATTCAAAGCTATATGATTCAAAGCTATATACTTTGGTTCCATCTTGAGATCAATGTGCTCCATAGGCTTGAGGGACTCTTATCTAGAACACGTCCACCTGTGGTGGAACCATATGTATGTTCATCCAGCAACAATGGCCCACAAAATTGGTTATGTATCCATCATTTGAAAAAAAAAAAGAAGTTTGTGTTCGAGTGGGGAGAGAGATTGTTGGATTTTTGGCTTGTATGCGTATTAAGAGTAAGCATGGTTTGACTTTTAAGGCGGCTTACGTCTGCCTCAACTTCTATAAATGGAATGAATTGGCTCCCTCGGCTGATATAGACAATGTTGACAATATATGTGGCTGCAACTTTGACCAAGACTTGCACTATTTCTATAGTGAAAAAAAAATTTTGTGAAGCTTAGAACTATAGATGCAAAATTATAGAAAGCAAAAGGCAAGAAACTTACAATTTCTTCAGCCATATCATGGTTATCGCCAAACACACTTCTGCGGAGATAGAAACTTCAGATTTGTCAAAAGCTTATGAAATCAAGAACCGATTTCTGAAAGAGGAGATAGAAACTGACATCTGATCTTGAAATCCAGAAAAACTTATGAAATCAAGAACCGATTTCTGAAGGAGGAGATAGAAACTGACATCGGACCTTAAAATTTGCGAAAATCGCACAATCCAACAAACTCTACGCATCCTATAATCTAGATAACTATGAATCCAAAATCCTAACTAAGTTCTTATGAAATCAAGCACCAATTTCTCAAAGAGGAGATAGAAACTGACCTCTCCTTCCTTATCCATCGCTAACAGACACCTCGAAATTTGAGATTATCGCACAAGGAAGCTTCTTCTCTCTGAGAGCGCGTCTTCTTTCTATTCTCTCTGCTGCGAGCGCTTTTTGATTTTCGAATTTTTCTCTCTCTCTGATATTCCTTCAGTTCCTGGGCTTTCCACAATGGGCTTTCGGGCGGCCCGGTAGATATGTGATCATCGCCGAATGGATTTCAAGTTTAAACTGAAAAAAAAAAATGAAGTCGAAATTTATTTCAAATCGAGACTTCTTGGTAGTCCACTCACCTTTTTCTTTCGGTTCGGTTTAACTTTCACTTTATAGTTCAATTCGGGTTTGGTTTGGAAACTGATTCCCGTTTACTTACTCTTCACTTTGTTAATTCAGTCGGTTTAATTGAAGTGAACCTCTTGCATTAGGATCGGTTTAATTGAAGTGGACCTCTTACTCTTACATTAGAATCGCACTCGGTTTAATTAAAACGGAATCAGTTTTTACAACGTTCAAATCATGTTTATTGATTTTCATGGTTTCATTACTGTAAGTCTGTAACCACTGGCAGATCTATAACAAGTGTATTTTTGTAAAGAGTTATTAACTTCGTAGTTATAGTCTACAAAAACAATTATTCTAATGATATAAAATATGTATTTTCATATATTTTTCCTTTGTAATTTTTTAAAATATTGTTTTCGTACTGTAAGTAAGACCGACACGGTGCGTTTTACAGTACTTATGGGCAAATCTGTAAATATCGCGCGTATTTTATCTGCGAGTCTGTGACTCTCACAGTCACAGGCTCTATGCAACAACTGTTCATCACCACCAAAAGAATTCAGTCTAACAAGGATCTTTTTGTCAGTACACAGACATCTAATAACTACATAGAGATCGCTGAGTTCGTTTTCAGGACTTGGAAGCTTCACATAAACATTGGTTTAGATGAAGCATCAGGAAAAAAGCAGATTCTTCAGCACCATCCCTGTAAGAACTTTCGAGTATTCGATGAAGATCCAAGCTAGGTGATAGAGCTCAACCTCGTAACGAGAATGACATCGCTGTCAAGTAAAATCGTTCAATGTTATGATCACGAAGAGTAATGGGTAAAAAGATATGTAGAAAAACAAAAGCTTTGTAGTAGCTGTGAGAAGAAACGTTGCGATGGAACGCGATAAGATCAGTTTGAGGAGATATAGTGATCAGTATTTTGGTTTAAAAAACGAGACGAATCAGGTTTTTTCATATTTAGTGGGGCACTAGAGAAGTGTCGAATAGAGTAAACTTGTACCTTGAAGAACTTGATCCAGTCTCTTCCTCTGCTTAAGGATTTAAATCTGCCAACTCCGTGGTTCCATGCCAATACAATATCTTTGCTAAGATCTCTCACTGCAGAGTCTGAGACATAAAGCAACGTCGCGTCATACTTACCCAAGAGGCAAGAACACATCAATGGAGAACACTATAATTGTTATTAGCGAGAGGGTTCTAACCTTTTCCACAACCAAGAAGCTGATCTGCTTTAGATTGAGTGGTTGTATCATCAGATTTCTCAAGATCGCGAGAGAACCACTGAAACGTTGATGCAATACATTCCTACGAATTCAACAAGAGCTAATTTAACCAAGGGTTGCTATCAAGCTGCTGAATATGATGATGAAACACAATTTTATCTAAATTTTATTACGCACTTCAAGTACAGGTGTGTAACCAAGATACTTCTTAGCTGCATCGCAGTTAAAAGTTCTCGTTGAGGAAGCTAACAGAGTAAACTGATGAGCTGTGTCATAATAACTTCCAATGCTATCCTTTTCTTGTGTCCATTTAAGAAGTGACGAAACAAACCAAACCAGCCGAAACAACAGGAAGCTTAGTCGATGGCCTGCAATAAAAGGACAAGAAAAGTACCAAATCAGGTAACCCAGAAACTTGGCTTTAAGGATCTCAACCTTTTCAAATGATCAAATTATCTAGGAAATAAGAGAAAGGAAAAATGTACAACCATGTACAAGATAGTAGATATAACACAGAATCACCATGTACATTTCTGAATATGGCCCTACTTAAAACACTTCCACGAGATAAGGTCGCTCATGGCATCAATCAGCAGAAAGATGATAAGAATGCAGATGAATTAAGAAGGTGACATGGCATTCAGGGTGGGTTCAGAAATTCTGAGGGAGTTTTGTTAGCGCTGCAGCAGACAGCAGACAGCAGACACCGGATAATCAGATAACAGCACTGTAGAGGAATTCAGAACAAGTTTCCTTTTATCAACAACTGTTTAAATGCTCATTTACCTAGGGTATCCCAAACCTCCAACTATGCGGCTTACAAAGTCACAAAAATTTTCAGGCCTGAGGTTAGAGATAGAAAAAATTCCTACAAATAATCGGCACAGAAAAACTTCATTACATATAAAGGTCGTGCGCTTTCAGGAGTGATTTGGCAAATACGAGTGCATCATGGTTACCTTTCAACACACAGATTCCGTACGTGAATCTAATGCTTCTGCGGCACAAATATGTGCATGAGCAACGTTGTCAGAGTAAGTGAAATCAGACACATTTACACCGCTCCCGATCATAAACTGAAATATTGAAACTGAAGACAGTCATTCTCCCCAAAAATAAGAAGAAAACCGAAAGCTTATGGAATATCCCATCCAAAGGGAAAATTACCAGGCATCATAAGATGATAAACATGGTAATGTATCTAGCTGACGAAGTGTCTGTTATGTCAGACCTTTTGACCAACTTAGAATATAAGACACACGTACAGTTAAAGGGGTCTTAGCTTATTATTTTTACCCAAAATACAAACATCAACGCAACAATGGGATGGAAATAAAAGTCAAACCTTTGCAAATCAGGATTTGGCTAGTTGGAAAGGCACAAACTCCTTGTCACCAGGTCCAAACGCAATGCTAGAGGTCCAAACGCAATGCTAAAGGCACAAACTCCTTGCCACCAGGTCCAGTGTAGAATACAACAGAGGAACCCTCAGTAACTGCAAGGAACGAAGCAGGCATTGGACGTTACAATCACAGCACAACATCTCAAACATCAAACCTCAAATGCATTTCACTCAATCAGAACCCAGAATCTCATATCCCAAAACTCTCCCACAGCATTTCCTCAGATACCAAACACCGATCTGTGCAAGCACCCAGAATCCAAACGATAAGAAAGGACAGCTTCCGAGTCGAAGCAATCTGGCGACTAGCGATCGGCCAGTGAACCATCGGCCCCCAAGGACGACACAGGTGTTGAGTCGAGAATTGTCATGAACGGCACCTTCCTCCATTGTTATCGTCGAATAAACCCCAGCTCTTGCTTTATCGACTTTTTCTCTATATAGAACTCGCGAGTCAACTCAGAGAAGTAGGCCGAGTGGAGGAAGATCGGTGGGTGCACAATGCAGAGAACAGTAGGTAGCCTAATGCATGCTATGTGGGATAGGCGCAAGGCCGGCCTGATCTATAGCATTTGCCATCTGCTTGGTTAGCAGATATATGGGAAATCCAGAGAGAATCATTGGTCTGCGGTTCAGTGGATTTTGAAGTACTTAAAGGGAGCTACAGGAGTGTGTCTCACGTTCACAAAATCAGACAGGTTTGAGATTGAAGGATTTTCTGATTCAGATTTCGCTTCAGACATGGACAAAAGAAGGTCCGTATCTGGGTATGTTTTCAAAGTTGGTGGTAACACGATGAGTTGGAGGTCATGTCTCCAGCAATAAGTTGCATTATCAACGACGGAGGCTGCGTATACGGCACTATCGGAAGCTACTAAGGAAGGAATCTGGCTTAAGGGATTATGCAGTAAATTGGGGTTTAAACAAGACTATTTTGAACTCAACTGTGATTCACATAGTGCCATCTGCCTAGCAAAGAATAGTGTGCACCAAGACAGGACTAAACATATTGACTACAAATATCACTTCATCAGAGATAGAGTCGAGGAAGGTTCGGTCAAGATTCTCAAAGTTCACTCACACTACCAATAATCCAGCAGATATGCTTACGAAGTGCTTGCCTGGAACAAGTTTTGAGAAGTGTTTTGTGCTTCTCAATGTTACGCCATAATTGTTTCCAGGGGGTGTCGAGATTGCTCTTGGTCGATTGATCTCGCAAAGACAAGATATTGAAAGGAGTCAGTAGCAGACAAAAGTGGAAGGCTATTAAGCAGTAAGTGTTGAGCTGGGTTTAGTCGATTCATCATCACAAGAGGAAAAGAGAAGACATGCGTTTAATAACAGTTTGTCATCTCAAGGGAAACTTCAGATGGTCAAATTTGAAATCTTCAAGTATAAAAAAAAGTTTTATGGTTTTACCTGACAATCGGAGGTAATCTATTCGATTCTGTTTATCAAACATTAAGGGAAATAGACCAATCATTTTATATATGATTTGGAATCAACTACTGAATTTGGCGGCGGCGGAATTGACTTGCGGTGAAGTCAGAGAAAGTCACGGTGGTTCACTATCGGAGAGGCGGAAGGATCGAGAAAGTCGACGATTCTCGCATCTAACCGAAATCAATCGTTGGTGAAGATTTTTGGCTTAAACGGCGGTAGAGATGAATGCCCGTAGCAGCGACCCAAACGGCGGTGAAGTCGGAGGAGGTTGCGGTGTACACTAGCAGAGTCGGTGAGACTCGTCGGCTCATTTCAAGCTATGATTTGTGACAACGGTGTGTCACGTTGGCCGTCGAAATTGGAGGATAATTCGGCAGAAGTGATCCAGTGGTTGAAGCAGAGAGAGCCAGTGAAAGGCTTGCCGGAGACACTGAACAACTGAGAGAGATGACCAAAGTGACCGAGTCGTCGAGGTTGAATCGAGACATAGGTGGAGATTGAAAGATAATGGGTTGATTAATTGTCTCCATTCTCACTTGGACAAACACAAACTCTCGGTTCATTCAAGTAATGGGCTTCAGGATGAAAAGCTAACAACGTATACAGACAGTACCTGATTACCTGGAGGCTCAAGCCATGGATGACAATTTATTTGTCGGGGATGCATGATGATGTTTCACGATGAATGAGACGATTTTATACACATCGATGTCAATTAAAAAAAAAAAAAAAAAAGGAAAGAGCAGAAAATTGTGTTAGGAAGTTTCGGGAACGAAAAGAAAGTCAAATAAAATACAGGACCCTAATTGTAACAAAAATATGGTTAACAAGTTTCGGGAAAGAGAAGAAAGTCAAATAAAATACAGGACCCTAATTGAAACTGGATATGGTTAACAAGACTTTTGTAGGTTTGCATATATCTCTCTCTCTCCGATCTTCTTCTCTCTCTTTTTTTTTCTGTCAAACATATATACAGTATAATATTAAAGTCTGGATTTTTATCATTCACAGAGCACCAAAGATGATGGGAGATTCAAGCCTACTCAATATGTTTGGCCGATGTTGCTCTCACCCACCCAGGGTATGTTTGGTGGTTCACGCCAGTGATGGTTTCCGAGGAAGGGAATGTTTTGATGACCGACAATAAGAAGGGTTTATTCAAACATTATCCACAGCTCAACGTCACTCGTCGTCTCGCATCACCTTCTACTTGTTGCGTTATATCTCCTTATCTCGAAAATTTGGCCCGGCTTTAGACCTAGTTCATCGAATCCTTTTTTTATATATTTAAAATGTTATTTCTCTCTCGACGATGATGTTTTAAGAAATACATTGAGCCTCTTTGTTGGAGTCTGAAAGAAATCAAGAAACACTTGTGAAACAAAATGAGACAGACTTGATCAAGAACTCTTGCCACTTTTCACTTCCCCATACCTATAATACCCGGCTTCAAAACGCCTTGCCTCGATTGTTTTGATTCCATCTAATGTATCCATTCAAACAAAGCAATCTGATCATGAACTCTTGTCACCTTGATGTTACCTTTCAGGAGGGAGAATAAAGGTTCTTGAACTTGAAGCTCCCAAGCTGTATCATTCAAGACCTGTTAGAATATTGCAGAAAGGAACGGTCAAAAGCAAACAAAAATCGTAGCTTTTGATTACCAATGATTATCCCAATTTCAACCAAATTCATAGGTCCCACAGAAACAACCAGAAGCAATTGATTTCAGCAGACTTAAAGCAATAGGCTTGTACAAAGGATGCTTAGGAACACCTGAATATGCTTCTTCTAAAGTATCTACATCGAGAGAAGAAAACCCAGATAGATTCAATGGGATATCGAACCGGAAACAAATCGGTTTAGCAAAGCTTGATTCGATCACCGGCGGGAAGAAGCGGGTCGCCGGAGAGAAGGCCGGATCAGAAATCATCGGTTAGCCCTGAACCGGAATCCGTACGATTATCGAGTGTGAATTTCACCATTTCCTCTATGCAATCTCTCAGTCTTTCCATTTTCGCTCAATCGGGACAAGTTCAATACCGCTTTATCTCGTAGACTCTTGTGATATGATTCTTAAATCTTAAAATAAAAATTGGTCCTTTTTTTAATCTCAACATGAAAAATTGTATTTTTCTTTCTTCCTTTTAGACATTTAACCCAGGAAGAAGCTTTCTATCAAACGGTCATTGATACATCAACTAATTACAAAGATCTAAACTTGTGCTCTAAGCTAGGGCTTTCCTAAGGAGAATCAAGAAAGTTTAAAAACTGAAATATATAATAGAGAACAGTTAGAAGTTCCTGAAGAAATAGAATTGTAGAGAAGGAAAAACAAAAAAAAGAGTCATTATGGTAGCCTTGGTAGATTTGAGGGAGTAAGGATTGAATTAAGAAGCCCGTGATTCAATTCCTCCGGCGATGGCATATGCTTGATCAGATCCGGCGCATTCTCATTCAAACTGTAATACCAAAAAGTTATGATGATATACACTTGAAGAGAACAACATAGACACAAGCCATTTTGGAGAATTGATGAAATTTTCACTATCCACAGAACAACGTCACTCGACGATGATGTTTTAAGAAATACAGTTTTATTTTAAAAACGATCACTAACATATAAGGATTAAATGTGTTTGGGTGGATGGAAGTTCATGTGTAGATGCTATAACTGCCACTCTTGCTCTTCTTGCGGAATAAGAGCTTGACCTCACAATGTCACAATTTGAATCATGATGCTGATTTGTTTGTTCGTGACTCTAGTCTTAATTTGCATATCAAGCCATGTTTCAATTTTTGATGTACGTGAGCAAGATCAGATCACAAAACTTGAAGAGGGTCAGCAATGTAAGTGTGAAAATGGCCTTTAGACATTTAACCCACGTTCTTGATTGATACATCGACTAGTTACAAAGATTTATACTTGTGATATAAGCTAGGGATTTCCTAAGGAGAAACAAAAAAAAACCTAAAATCTGAAAAATCAATAGAGAACAATTAGAAGTTCCTGAAGAAATAGAATTGCAGAGAATGAAAAAAAAAAAAAAAAAAAAAAGAGTAGTCATTCATGGTAGCTATGGTAGATTTGAGAGAGTAAGGATTAAATTAAGAAGGTCGTCGTTCACTTCCTCCGGCATTGGCATATGCTTGATCGGATCCGGCGCATTCTCATTCAAACTGTAATATCAAAATAAACAAAAGTATTTGATATGCACTTAACAATGAAGAGAACAACATAGACACAAGCCATTTTGGAGAATTGATGAAAATTTTACTTACATTTCGGTAAGTTTGTTGATGTTTTCTCGGCTTTTGTAGAAGAGTGTCGAGTTTTCTGTTAACTGTGAGGAACAAAAAAAAAGTTAAATAGTTATCCCCTCAAGAGATCTGAATTGGTGATTTTGAATGGATCTTTACTTTACCCTTGAGGATGTGAGATTTACAGAAATCAGACTGAGGAATTGCTCATTCTGTTTAAGAAGCTCATAAGTGATCACTGCATATATATCATTAAAGGAATCTTTATATCTGTTTTTTAGGATAAAATCTCGTTTGTCTGAAATCTTGAAGTGTATTTCCATAAGAATCGTTTGGATCAAAAGATATGTTACTTACCATCTTCTTCACTAAGAGAAGGTGATGGTGCAAGCAGATGTGGAGCTGAGTTTGAAGCCACAACCATATCAATAATCTCCTGATGAAATCAAAGCATGAAACAAGATGCAGTTAAGCTTAATTAAACCTGGAAGATTTGGATAGCATCAACAGATCTGCGCAGATGAAAAACAGAACAGAGAGAGGTTACTCTGTTTTAAACCTTATTGTCAACTCTGGCTCTTCCAGACCCATTATGATCTTCTTTTCTTCTCTTGTTACTTTCCTTCTTCTACAAGGTGAAACAAAATTAGTGATTAAGAGAAACAGAGAAAGAACATAACTTGAGGAGGAAGGAAAAGGAGAAGAAGACTTCACATAGATCCATTTGTAACGCATAGCAACGTCTCTAATGGTCTTCCTCTCAAGCTTCGACGCTATTTTCTCGTAACGTGAAATACTCGGTTCAGACGAATAACTTCATGAAAGGAAAAAAGATCATCAACAAATTGGGAAACCTAATATTGAATAGAAACAGAGAGAGAGAGAGACCTAAAACGACAACGAGATCGGAACAGAGAATAATAACGAGAGATCAGTAGAAACTTAGCAGGATTCACAGTACGCGTGGGATTAATTCAAGCTTTTGGATGAATAAAAGAGAATTCAGTAACCTGGCAAGACCATCTTCGAGAATTTCTTGTTCTTCTGAGGTCCATTCCATGGCGATTCCCGTTTGATGTTTCATCAGTGGCCTCTCCGGCGCCGTCGTCGAGTTGTCGAAGTGTGTATTATGGTGCTTTCTCTCTTCGTTTGTCCATGAATGATTCGCCATCAAACGCACACCAAACTTCCTCCTCCAACCCCCAAAACAAGAACGGTTAAAAGAAACAGGTTTCTAACCGAAAACAAAAAGTTTCAGATATATCCATAGCTCCGGAAAATAAGCAAGATTTTATATATACAGTACATGTATTAAGATTAAAGTACAACAATGTAACCGCGTATGAGATATTGTGAGATGTACGGAATTCTTTTTATTGGATAACAGATTTTTTATTTTATTTTCGTGAACAGAAATTCCTTTTATTTTCTCTTTTTTAATGCATTAGTTAATAATGCAATATAAAATATATCTGGAAGCTAACAAAGATATAAATTACATAGGCAAAAAAAGATATGTGTACACATATATAAACACAGCTTGACACACTTTGTTTGTCAATTAGTTAATTCTCTATGATTGCAGACAACTATATCATATTTAATTTAACCCCCCCAAAAAATTAGTTAGAGGCTACGAAACCATCGTGTATTATTATGCAGACCGTAAACACACATGACACCTATATAATATATATTCACCTATGTGTACAAGTGTACAAAATACAATGAGACGACAAACATATATATATATATATATATTATATATATGAGAGTGTACGTTATCGAAATACTAGAGAAGAAATCTCTAATACCACTTAAAAGTGCATTTTATTTTGTTGTGTTGCATTAGTGTTATGTTCTACAATCAACCACAACTATTTTAGTTTTCGCTTATTTTGTTCATATTATAGTAATTTTTTTCACAGTATATATATCAAAGCAAAAAAAAAAAAAAAAAAAATTCGAAAAGACTAACCAAACCATACATGTAATGGAGAGAAGGTACAACAGACAAATACAGTAGTGTACTAGTTATTAATCGGGAGTTTCCAGCTGTTTTAATTCATATCAATATGACATCCTCTCATGTCTTAATGTATTTCTCTTTCTCTTTCTTTATATAATTAAGAAATTATAGATCTTACTATATATAAGCAGAGGTTATTATTAGTTCAACACTACATTGAAGTCATTTTCGAATCTATACCAAAATATTCACTATCCATATAAAAGGTTAATGAAATTGAAATTTCATGATATAAGAGTTATTACCAACTGTAAATTTAATTTTATAAAAACTGTAATATTTGTGTGACCACATCTGTGATAGATGAGATCGTAGACCAATAGACCATTCATTTTTGTATCTTCCTGTTTATACAATTAAATGGGATATTTCTAAAGTTGTGTGAAACAAATTTAATTTAATCTCTATGATATAAGCACGGTTCAAACATCTTTTTATTTTTATAAAAATATCCTATTTAGGTCTAACTTACCTAGCTTGATACAAATTAAGTTGAAATTATACTGTAGTTACTAATGAGAGATGTCTTAACTTGCACGAATTCTAAAACCCAAAGAAAAATAAAAATAAAAAACTTGCTCGAATTCTTGCTTATTTATAGATCACTTCGAAGAGCTTCCATTCATTCGCTTGGCGGGAGCCAGCACATTTCTCATTTGGTGGTAATTAGTATTTAGTAAGTTATATATATCGTTATCCTAATAAACAAAAATCAAAATTTCACATCCATAAAAAAACCGACTCGTGAATTTCACGGTACGTAGCGAAATATATGCATCAATAAGAAATTGGTCACCGACCTTGGTCTAATGGTAATTGTGTGCATTTAATAATATACGAAATGCATTGTATAATAAAAAAACCATAAACTATTGATTATAATTTGGTCCAACAAAACCTATACATTACAATACAGATCATGAATTTGAATCAAAATAAGACTGTCATCGTGCACGCCTTTATTCGTTAAAATATTTAACAGGCCATGATATGGTAACGGTACTACAAGGAAAAGGGTTTAGTTTCAATTGAAAAATATTTCGCTAATGTGAAATGACATCGGATACTCTTTGTTTAATTTATCACCATATATGATCATTGCTAATTATTTTATATCGCCATCAACCAAATCATCGTACGACCTAATAACGAAACCCCTAGTCCTTTTGCTACAAACATGATCAGTCTTTTAATTTGTGGAATATTAAATTTTAATCATCCCTTCTATATACAGGTCAGAAACAGTCTTATTCTTATACATGATTAATAATAAATAACAATCAATAAAAGATTAGAGAAATGGGATCTCATATTATATTATATATATATATAGTTTTTTGTGAAATATATATATAATTCTGCATGGGAAATTAAACAACGCGCAGAATCCGATTTAAGATCACATGATAACACGTTGCTTCACTATCTGATCATCGTAAACTATTACACATTATATACGCATGCAGTTAATTATTAACTTTTAAGATATCATACGTAGTATAATATTAATTTTTCAAGAAATTCATATTTTAAAATCTAAACTTCCAATCGTGTTAAAGTCTTTGTATTTTCTATTTTGACCTTTGCTTCTTACATGCACGGTCACATTCCATCTTCATTCACAAACCATAATTCATAAACTCTTAAAATCGAAATAAATTTTTAACCCAACCGATTTGATTTATTTTTCTTCCATTTACTTTCCTCATGATTTGATTTTGCTTACCATTTGTTATTTCATCTTTGCATAGAAATTTCTTGAAAATTTCTACTTCTCTAGTTACGAAGAAATTGCATTTTTTTTTTTTGGCATTGGTATATTTTTTTTTTCATGCAAATCATTTCTCTAAAAGTAATAAATGACTAGACGACATTACGGGCTGACAACTTACCTTGCACGGTACCTAAACAAACTCAACAAAGATCCGATTATTATGCTTGGAAAACTTGTTTTTAATTAATTTTTAAACCACTTAATAATTAAGCAAGCGCCTTCAAAATCTATCAATACAGTCTTAATTATATAAACCCTCACTAGTACTCAACAACACACCTCTCTTTGGTTTTCTCCACTCAAAACTCAATATATAGCTTCACCGTAAGATGGTTAAGATTCAGATCTTACTCACGGTGGTGATGGCTGGAGCCGTCAGTCTCGTCCTGGGGACAGCAGAAGCCGCCGTGATGATGGGACCGTCGATGCAGAAGCTGACGTGGCATTACTACAAAGTTTACAACACTTGCGAGAATGCCGAGAATTTTGTGAGGCACCAAATCGAGACGTTTTACAAGAATGATAAAAGCATTGCTCCTAAGCTCCTTCGTCTCCTCTACTCAGATTGCTTTGTCTCCGTTAGTTTTTTTCTTCTCATTCTTGCCTTACCATTTAATCATATATATATTCATATGAATCTAAGGATATATGATAAACATGAGTACTCTGTGTGACACTACATTGATAGGGATGCGATGCATCGGTTCTTCTAGAAGGTCCAAACTCAGAGAGAATGGCGCCACAAAACAGAGGACTTGGAGGATTCGTGGTCATAGACAAAATCAAAACAGTCTTGGAACAGAGATGTCCCGGTGTTGTCTCTTGCGCCGACATTCTTAATCTTGCAACCAGAGATGCTGTTCATTTGGTATCTCCTTCCATTACAATCTCTCTTTCTTTTCAATCTATAGGGTCTCGCTAAATGGATCATTATATAGATAGGGTTGAGTTTAATGGTTTCCTACAGGCGGGTGCACCATCGTATCCTGTGTTCACAGGCAGGAGAGATGGCTTCACGTCTGATAAGCAAACCGTGGACCTACCATCACCGTCCATCTCATGGGATACAGCCATGGCTTACTTCAAATCCAGAGGCTTGAGTGTTCTTGACATGGCTACACTTTTAGGTCGGTCACACCCTTTTCTTTCTGCTCGGCTTATTTTTCTTTTTCCGGGTTTTGTCCTTTTCAGTTTGATTTTTGCATCGGTTAAACTGAACTGGATCTCTTACAATCAGGATCACATTCAATGGGGAGAACACATTGCAGCTACATCGTTGACCGTCTCTACAATTTCAACAAAACCGGTAAACCAAGCCCATATATGAACAAGTCTTTCGTGTCTGAAATGGCAAAGCAATGTCCACCTCGAACCAGGAAAGGCCAGACCGACCCGCTCGTGTATCTAAACCCGGACACAGGCTCAAACCACAGCTTCACAAGCTCGTTCTACTCGCGGATTCTATCGAACAAGTCTGTACTTGAAGTAGACCAACAACTGCTTTACAATAAGGCCACCAAGCGAATCTCTGAGGAATTCTCTCAGAGTTTTGAGGATTTTCGAAAATCATTTGCTCTTTCGATGTTCAAGATGGGAGCCATAAATGTGTTAACTAAAAACGAAGGTGAGATACGAAGAGATTGCAGGCGTAGAAACTAAACACAAAAGTCACATTCTCTCTCTCTTTAATTTCTGTGATTGCAAGAAGAATAAAAACAAAACGTATAAACAGGAAAAAAATATTGAAAATCTATCTTTCAGATATAAATTTTGTTCATTTATTACATTGTTATCGCCGTGAAAGAGACTTCTCTATAGCTAAAAAAACAGATTGATTCTTTTCGTGTTTCTATAAAGTATAATTTTTTTGCTGATATTCACATAAGTATAAAAGGGTATGCAATCAAAATTGTTCCCGCAAGAAAGAGAAAATACGATTTTATTTGCCAAGGCTCTGCAGTCTTTTAGACTCTTCTTTTGTGAAGTACCAAGCGATTGAATCTCACAAGCTTCCCAATCTCTTGCTATTTTCTTCCTGATAGCTTCAAAAAGTGGCCAAACAACAAAAATGCAGAGGCTTTAGCGATTAAAATTCAAGATTTCAAACATGTTCTCCAGATGAAATAAAGAAAAAGAAAATGGATACCTCAAAATAGTTGTTAAACATGTCGTAGACACAGAATCTTCAAACAGAAACCCTTTCCTCGAAACTCTCTATCAAAGATGACCTACTTGTGTAAGCTTCTTCTTCTTCTTTTTGGTTTTATCTTATTATACTGTTATAAGTGGAATCTGACTAGTCACCATTCTGAGCGGCAGGACTATGATGTCGACTTGGTGTTTGGCTCTGGCTCTCACCATGGTTCTGAATCTCTTCCAGCTTCTGGCTCTCCATATGGGTTTGATGCTGGATTTGAACCTGGTTGTGGTTCTGAGATTGAGTGTTGCTCTTGGTCTTGATTACCTGACTCTAACAAGTGTTCAATAGTTAAATGGCGAAAATAGAAGATTCCAGCAGCAGAAACTTTCTTTGTTGAGACTCTATCTAACCTTGTACATGTATTTCCTACGAAGTTTCATGGCTGTGCGTATGCACCTTCTCACGCGAAATACAAGAACCTTATCATTGAAGATCTGCAAAATATCTTCTGAATCAGTATAGATGCATCTCATCAATCATTGAGCATGCAAGGAGTACAAATGGAAAAACTTTCTACCTGTATCATGTCGTCGATCGAGCGAGTTTCTTTCATGATCTTATGTCGGTTCATGATTAAAATCGCCGCCACACAAAAGACAGGAAGAGCATCATCCCCTTTTTTGATGGATGAAATTACACTAGGGACATGTGTTGTTCTATCGGTCCTTGACCATAGACTTCTTGTCAAACCACAGAAGTGATATGTGGAGGAGGATGATGGAGAGGCTGACTTTACCCCACTCTCGTCAGAGAATGGACTAGTGGTCTTTGGCAACGGACCACTCTTCGGCAGCAAACCGCTCCTAGACAACAAACCGCTGCTCTTTGAAATTGGCCCACTCTTTGAAATTGTTTGTTCCCTCTTTGTGCTATTACCAATTCCATCATCTATTGTTTCTTCACTCACCTCAGCTTCAGGTTTTCTTGGTAGCTGAATCACCAAAGGCTCCAAGCAATCATTCTCCAAAGTTTCAGCAACAGATTCATCATAATCAGCTGCCCACATCATCTACATCAAAGACAGAACCCATTAATAAACATGACTACTTTGCATGGTTATGTCAATGTAGCTAAAAAAACAGAGACTGAGCAAAAGACTACAAACCTCCCACATTCTGAGAGCTTCATTAAAAGACAATTCCCGTCGGAACAGAACTAAAAGCATGCGGAAGGCAAAATGAAGACTTTCAGCACCAATACGCGTTAAGTGAGAAAAGATATCTTTATCTGTGAGTTGCAATATGTGCCACAGTGATTGCAATTGATCCATCACCCCTGTTGGTCCCTCCATTTGGAAATTCGCACGCTACACAAACAGATACATAGCAAAATCATAAATCATCATGATTCGAATAAAGGCCAGCAGAGAAAAACATATGAAACATTAAGCGTTGGACTTACCGTTCTTCTTATGAGCATTTCAAAGCACCAAAAGGCATCCGCATTATCTTCAAAAAGAACCACAAAAGGAGAGACTAAATCACTCATTCCTATCAATAGATTTAAACCCAAAGAGTTAGTATCCTAAACCAATTAAACCTTCATAAGTTATAACAAATCAAAGAAATCAAGCTTAAGAGATATATGGAACCTTGGCAATAACCAGTTGCAGGATCAACCCAAGCATAAACCGCAAGGATATCCGACATTCTTCCTAGGTTTCCTGGATCCTCGTAGAACTCAAGGTGGCTATCCGTCCTTACCACATCAACAACTGAGGAAACGAGAAAGTTAACTATGGAAGATGCAATCTGGGACAGATAAAGAACAATCTGGGACAACTTCTACCTATTCGATGCAATGTCCAAAGCCATTCAGACACTCGATCTTCTGTGACATTCCCAACACGAAAAGGAGTCTCCTTTACTGATGCCATTTCAGGGACATCTGATATTCTCAAGCCATTAACAAACTCTGCATTGCAACCAGAATAAGACGATGGTCCAACAGAATCCGGGTGCATCACTTCGATCTCTGAAGTGGACCTATGTTGTTCTCTAACTAAATCAGCATGCTTGTCAACTCGAAAATGGTGCAATCCCTCATCCTCGGATCTTAACTCATTTTGCAATGAAGCCTCCTTGTCTGGCGTAGAAACCTCTATCTTATCTAAACTATTCCTCCCAAACAAATTTGTAACCGGCAGCGAGGGAAAGTCGAAATAACCGTCAGGGGAAGTGAAGCCATACGGACTAGAAGCAGATACAAAAGAGGAAGTGTTGTATACTACGCTCTCCGGACTTTCTCTTCCGCTTACTAAATCGACAGACTCACTGGAACTTCCCCTTCTGTGTACATGAGATGTATCAGTACCATTATTACTCCAATCGCTGTGATGGTTTTCAGTATTAGCATTATCGTTATCATCTATACAAGCTTCTCCTCTGTTTTCATCTGTAGTAGCAACCTTTACCGCCTCATCTCTATAAGACTTCCGCATATCCATGACTTTAGACCCAACAACATAGGCAAGTGAACCAGTTCCGACACTTGAATGCATCGTCTGGCATTGCTTGAGCAATTCATTGTACCGCTTCCTGCGTGAAAATTCAAATAACACTTTCAAGCTTATATTGATTAAAATCAACTTTTCCTTATTCTCACTCTAAGCGGTGACACAACATATTAACTCAATGAAACGGTCTTACCTTCGAGCTACCCTGAGTTGCTTACGGTGCTCAGAGGTGCTGCTCAATGCATAACAGCCAAGGAGAAATTCCCAAACTTCAGCTCTAATAGACGGATCGATTCCCTAATAAGAATCAACTTCATACATTAGAGCATTGTATTGGAAGTATACACTGTTACAAATTTGTTCTGCCAAAAAGAGAAAACATACCCCCAAAATAATTAACTTGAGCGCCTTTTGGAAACCAGAAACTCTTCCCTCGCTATCAAAAGACGCCTGCCACTTCTCTGGCTTAAGCATTTTGCCGATCTGTGTGTTTTGGTTTTAAAAAAGAAAGATTTTTTTTAGCCAGAGGCCTCGAAAGCACAATGTTTTAGAGAAGATTGAACAACAAAAAAGAGAATCAAAAAAGGGGTAAAAGAGAAGATCTTACAGTTATAACAACCTGAATCGGTGATTGTGAAAGACAAGGCTCGCTCAAATCTCGAACCAAAGATCCAACTTTCTGTAAACTCACTACACCCGCTTTTCCACAACTCCATTGTCTTCCCTCTCCACCAGAACACATCAGTCCTCACTTCCCAGCTTTTCTGCAAATATCACTTACATTCATCAACCAAAATTGGCAACACCCAAAAACAAAAGAAACTTACATCAATCAGAAACTAACGGGTTTAGATCAGAATCACAGATCTTTTAGCATCACCAAATTCACATTTCAGGAATCTATTATCTAGATATAGGGATTCGAAATTAAAAAAGCTTGCGTCATATCTAATCCAAAACATGATTCAGATTTCAGACAGGAGACAGGTAAACAAGACGAATGAAACCATCGATCAGATCACTTGATCCGGTCGGAATGAATTGCCATTCATTCACAATATACGCTATAAACAAACAAAAAAACAGAAACTTTCCCAAAGCATTACATACATTTCGCGCTCAGATACATATGTTAAATCATTTCAATCGACACAGAAAGATGAGAGAAGAACCTGAAGATCAATGGTCATGGAGGATATTCTTCTCCGATCTCCATTTTTCCATCGACTGAAAGTTTTCTCCTTTTTTTTTATTGTTCTTCTCTTCTCTCTCTCCTTTTTTTCTTCTGATGAAATGTCTTCTCTTTTTTTTTTCCCCTCGAGTTTCTGATTTTTTCTTTTTTTTCTTCTGATTTTCTTTAGGCTTTTTATGTTAACCATCTAATTCATTCATACATAATCATTAATCCATATAGACATCAATTATAAACAAACCTAAATACACGTCCATAATTACATAACCAAACATTAGTATTTTCTAGTAAACCCGTTTCTTTTCTTTTGTAGAATCAACCCCAAATTAAGATCATCGTTCTTGACTATTATATCTCTTGGACGAAGACTACCCCAAATTTATTGACTTTTCATAAATATGTTATTCGAAACACCATAAAACTCTTTGGAATTGGGCCTTTCGGCTCTCTGTTGGGTTTCCATTATGTTTATTAGGCCCGGATACTTTATTGCATCAAAAAGAAAAAAAAGACATTTGACAATGCAGGTGATAATCAAACGTCATAAAACTCTTAACTTTGACATTAATAATTAACATTTGAATTCTTCTCTTTTACGACCTAAATACATAATATTTTGGTTGACAATATTAGACTTCTTTGATCTTTTTTTTGTGAGTGCAACAGGCTTCTTTTAATCTAAAACTTACTTTGTGAACCCTAATGGATTGAATATATGCATCACTCATTCACTCGTTACATATCAAATTCGTTTATTCTAAATGTTTCTTTCTGGTCGTCTAGTGCAGTTCTACAGTTTTTTTTTATGTTGTCATCGTCTTATACAAAAATCTTTTAAAATAATTAATAATAATCATATACGTCATGTATAATAAAAGATGAAAAGAACTTAAAAGATACAGCAAATAGGGAGACAGGCAAAGTCCTGGAAGATACATATATTAGCTAGCCAAGCTGTCTATTGTTGAAGAATCTTGAAAGCGAATTCGAATCTCGAAAGGAGAATCTAATCGGACGGTAAAGATTCACCGTATAATATCAAGCTTTCGTCATTTGTAAGTTTTTTTAGATATGGAGAATATGAAAGAGGAGAGGAAGTGGGTCATTCATGACATCAGCAGAATAATAAAATATACTTAGACATGGATATTAACGTGCAATGATGGTTTAAGGCCAAGCAAATGATTTAAAAGTGGATCCTCTGCATCTCTTGTTGATCTCCCATAAGATTAACAAATGATCATTTAGTCTTAAGGTTTTTAATGTATTGAGTACTAATTTGCTACATTGAAATCGATGTGAGTACACGAGTACCAATTTGATGATTGTATTATTGGTATTGCAATAATTTTTTAAGGTCTGATGAAACCAATCATTGTAAAATGTTTAATCTACCTAATTTCTTCTCAAACAGAAATCTATATTCAAGTTCAAATTGTTATATATTTCCCGTTTAAAAACTGTTAATATCTTAATTTCGTAAGAATAGCAAAGAGAAAAAAAGGAAGAAATACAAAATAAGATTTTATTTGAATAATGAATTTGTGATTGTTTAGTTTGATCATCATATTTGTACAGTGTAGTTAGTTCTGTTACATAATGGATGTAATTATTTGTATGTGATCTTATATACAAATGAATTACATATTTGCATTCATTTCATATATTGAAAGCTCATGCAAATATTTGCATTTGATCAACTAAAATGTACAGAAATAAGTATATTACTTATATTTTATTAATAGTAATGTCGGTTCTGTAAAAACATATAGACTGACATCTGAAGATACCGTGTCCAAGGATTCCGAATTGAAAAAAATATCATCTTTTTATTGGATAATAATTAAAAGAAATATCACTCCCAGTTCCTTTCACGTCGTCACACGTGGACGACCCGAATTAAAACGCATCGTTCTGTTGCTTACGCACGCACAAAAGCTCTAAACAAAACAAAGAAAGAGATAGAGAGAGAGAAAGAGCGATTCGATTCCGTCTGTGAAGAAACCTCTCTCCTTCGTTGCAAAGCTTACGAGTCTTCCAGAAGCGGCCATATTTCACTCTGCTGATGTAGCTTCCACGAGCTTAAGTGTAAGCGTTTCGCCGCAATATCCGCTAATGGAAACAAAACCCAAATTTCTACTTTTTAGCTTAAAGCTCAATTTTTTACTTTACTCCCTTCTTTGTTTTTTTTGCTTTGCCCTTTTCTCGCCGCAATGTCTCTCTGGGGAGACCACTCGTATAGTGTCGTATCTGTTTTGAATTTTGCTGGACGTCTTTCGAGTTCGATTTTCTAGGTCGGAAACTCTGAACTTTGGTCTCTTACTAGACTTGTAATGTTGTGGAATTGCGTTTTTGCAAGTTTTGGTTTTTCTAGTAATTTTGCAATTTGAGATGGGCGTGTCGCTTGCTGCGGAATGTGCTGCTGATTTCGCATTTGTGGATTTTTGGGCTTTTGTCTTTCCTTTTTTTTTCTTGCGGTGATTTTTGTCTTCTTCAAAGTCTTCCCTTTTTAAAAAAAAAAAGTTTGTGGTTTTCTTCTTGCGAATTTTCAGAGCTAGTTTATTCTTTTTTATAAACTTATTGGGAACAGTTCGTGAATTGATTTCGTGACGTCTTCTCTGGTGTAGGGTACTCCTGGAGGTTTGATTCATTAAATTTGCTAACTTGGGGGAGTTTTCAAGAATTTCGAATGAATGATACTGTCTCTGATCTCCTGTTCTTGTCATACTCTAGCAGTTTGAATCGAACTCCATAGCTGTCTTTTTGTCGCTGTAGAAGAGGTGTTTTGGTCAACTAAGCATCAACGAAATGGAAAACATGTTTGCTTCTAGAGAAAAGGGGTTTGGTTATCCAGATATTCCAACGGATCAAATGGATTGTTCAAGCTTTGGTTCTGGTGTTAGGAGCTTGTTCTCCGATGATATGCTTAACTCGGAGCTTATGAATTTCGACTCTTTCGCCACTTGGTGTAATACACCTTCCGCGTCTGATTTCTTGTTCTCCCAATATGGTCTCTCGTCTTCCCAACCTATGCCCTTTGGAGCTGAGCCAAAGGCTGCCACCTTTTCATTCCATGACTTGGAAACATCTTACTATGGTGAAGAAAGGTCACAATCAGTACAGGAGATGAGCTCTGAGTTTCATGGATCATTAGATAGCGATGAGTTTAGTGGTAAACGGCGCAGGGTTACTAATCACAAGAGTGGGTTTCCCAACGTACTGAACTGTACTGTTCCCAGGTCTCTGAGCCACTCACTAGATGAGAAGATGCTTAAGGCGTTAAGCTTGTTTATAGAGTCGTCAGGTTCAGGGGAGGGGATTTTAGCACAAATTTGGACCCCTATCAAGACAGGAGACCAGTACATGCTCAGTACTTGTGATCAGGCCTATTTGCTTGACCCGAGGCTTTCTCAGTACCGTGAAGTGTCGAGGAAATTCACGTTTGCCTCTGAAGCGAATCAGTCTTCTTTTCCGGGTCTTCCTGGTCGAGTCTTTATCTCGGGAGTACGCGAATGGACATCAAACGTGATGTATTACAGGACGGATGAGTATCTGCGTATGAAGCATGCAATAGATAATGAAGTCCGTGGTTCCATTGCAATACCTATCTTTGAAGCATCTGGCACATCTTGTTGTGCTGTCATGGAGCTTGTCACATCCAAGGAAAAACCCAATTTTGATATGGAGATGGACTCTGTTTGCCGTGCTCTCCAGGTTGATTCACCTTCTCTCTATCTCTCTATCTCTACTTGTCTTTCTCTTTGCTTATATGTATGCTTGCGTGTATTACTGCTGCAAGTCTAGGATACAGAAAAGTGATCGTATAAAAGTATCTTAAATACAGAAACTTAAGAAATACAAAGTTTCTGATTTCATTAGTTGGTTCCCCAAACTTTTTGTTTCAGTTATCTACTTTCTTTGATTGGAAAATTGAAGGTATTACACAGATATGGGTGATTTTTTTTCTCTAAAGTTGTCTGCAATTATTTCATTATCTTGTCGGAACATTGTCTTTATCACGCTCAACAAATTTAAGTCAATAAGCAAAAAGAGCAGATTTCATCTGGTAGAGTTCTAGGCTCTTCCAAACATTCTAGGCAAAACCATTGAACATAGGGAACTTGTGTCAATCTTGTCTTAAACAATCTGGATTTTGATGTTTTTTTGTCAGCAGCAAGTGCATAAAACAACTTTTAAATTTTATGCAAGCTTGATTTAGGTCTGAGAATCTTTGTTGGCTTAAGACCTGCCCGAGTCCCCTGCCTTTGTCAATGAAAGCTTCCAGGTCAGCTCTGGAGACAATTTGTTGTGGTTCCAAGCTGAGGTTACAAAATGCAGTTACTGATTCCTTGTATTGTACCAAATATGTTGAAAAAGTGATCGTACAAAAGTATGATTGGCATAGAGATTCATGTTTTTTTTGTTTTTTTTTTTCAGGCTGTAAACTTACGAACATCAGCGATCCCTCGTCCTCAGGTAACATCTGAATCAAACAAAAACTTAGCTATTTTACAACCCACCCATCATTTCTCGTTATCTTATTCCTCAGTCTAAGTCTAACGGTATTTCTGTGTTCCAGTACCTTTCAAGTAATCAAAGAGACGCCTTAGCTGAAATACAAGATGTCCTCCGAGCAGTATGTCATGCACACAAGTTGCCTTTAGCTTTGGCCTGGATTCCTTGTAGTTACGGCAAGAGGGGAAAGGATCAATCTGTGAGAGTTTATGGACAAAACTCAGGTGAAAATTGTGTTCTTTGCATAGAGGAGACAGCTTGTTATGTGAATGATATGGAGATGGAAGGCTTTGTGCACGCGTGTTTGGAGCATTGTCTAAGAGAAAAAGAAGGAATTGTTGGCAAAGCTTTTGTATCTAACCAGCCGTTCTTTTCTTCTGATGTGAAGGCATATGACATCAGTGAGTACCCTCTTGTTCAGCATGCTCGGAAGTACGGTCTAAATGCTGCTGTTGCTATAAAACTGAGGAGCACTCACACTGGTGAAGATGATTACATTCTTGAACTTTTCTTGCCTCTAAGTATGAAAGGAAGCTCGGAACAACAACTTCTATTAGACAGCCTTTCGGGCACTATGCAGAGAATTTGTCGAACTCTGAGAACTGTTTCAAATGTGGGGGCAACTAAAAAAGAAGTGACTAGAGCTGGATTTCGAAGTGGCGAGATGTCTAATTTCCTGCAGACCACATGTTCAGGAAACTTTCAGACAATAGTATTGGATTCCGAACTTAACTGTACTAGAAGCATGTTTTCGGAAGTGTCCTCTGATAAAGAAAACGCTAGTACCGGATCTCAAGGCACTTTTGAGCAGGTGTGTTAAGTATGCAACTTGGTTATTATGTAGATATCGCGACACAACTTAGTGGCTTGAGCACTGATTCTTTTTCTCTCTTCTTCACAGGATATGAGCAAAGCTAAAACACCAGAGAAGAAGAAAAGCACAACAGAGAAAAATGTGAGCCTAAGCGTTCTCCAACAACATTTTTCTGGGAGTCTAAAGGATGCTGCAAAAAGCCTTGGTGGTGAGACTTCCAACATGTTCTCACGCATAGATCCATTTCTGTTACCGGACAAAACTTTCTAACGCTTGACTTGCAGTTTGTCCCACTACACTGAAGAGGATATGCAGACAACATGGGATCATGAGGTGGCCATCTCGTAAGATTAACAAAGTGAACAGGTCATTAAGGAAGATACAGACGGTGCTTGACTCGGTCCAGGGTGTACAAGGAGGTCTGAAGTTTGACTCAGCAACGGGCGAATTCATTGCAGTTGGCGCTTTCATCAAAGAATCTGATCCCCTAAAAGGTCCATCTTCTAATGGTGACGATGCACATGGAAGAGGTCAGGAGGATATGGCGGAAGATACCTCCTTTGAGCTCTTGAAAGCTAAATCCGTCGACAATGCAATTAAATTAGAAGATGATATCATCACGAACGGTAAGAATATCTCTATTCCATAATCCTTAGATGGAGCGACTAAAAATCTTAAGCCACTTTCTTTTTGGTGCAGAGTCATCATTCATGGAGGTTAATGCTAGTGGTCAGCAATGGGCTTGGATTGCTGAACAGTCTGGCTTCAATGGCAGTGAAGGAATAAAGAACAATGTCAACTCAAGCTCTCAGGCACTTTCAGATGGAAATGATACAACAATCCGATGCAGTGTCGAACCTAACCGATCCATGTCAGGCAGCGTGTCAGATTCATCAAATGGCACAGGCGCAGTTATGCTCGGAAGCTCATCTACTTCAATGGACGATTGGAACCAAATAAGAACCAACAAAAGCAATAGCAGCGAGAGTGGAACAACAACTCTCACTGTAAAGGCCACTTATAGAGAAGACACGATACGTTTCAAGTTCGAGCCATCGGTTGGGTGTACTCAGCTCTACAACGAAGTTGGGAAACGCTTTAAGCTGCAAGACGGGTCGTTTCAACTGAAGTACTTAGATGATGAAGAAGAATGGGTGATGCTGGTTACAGATTCTGATCTCCAAGAATGCTTGGAGATATTATATGGTATGGGAAAACACACTGTCAAGTTCCTCGTTCGTGATTTGCCTGCGCCTATAGGCAGTTCTGCTGGGAGCAACTGTTACCTAGGAACAGGTTTATGACATAAAGACATACACGACACAACAGTGTTATGTTTTCACTCTGTGAAGTGAAAGAGTGCTGTTTATTTCTCCATATATATTATTATTAGTTTGCTTATAAAAAGGCATGAGGGAGAAAGACAATTTTTGTATAGTGGGATCCTGTATATGTTCATCGTTTTATATATAATCATAGAATAAAAGTTGGATGTTTAGTCCAAACTGCTAATGATGTATGTGCTACTACAAACACCTGTTTTCGTTAAGTATGCAGAATCGTGTTGATATTTGATATGGTTAATTCAGTCCATTTTAGACTAAATAAATTAGAAATAATAGCATCGATTTTATCCATATCTAAAATCATGTCGTGGACGGTGGGAAAAGATTCGAAGTCAAAAGTCAAAAATTCAAACTGCAGTATTATTTCTTAATTTATGGTCTAAAACGGACTGATATGGTTCGGTTCTATATCATTACGCAAAGCGGTTCGGCGATAAAGATAAATAGCGCCAACAACAGCAAGTGTTCAACACATATCAAACCCAAAGTGAGATAAACAGAGAGAAAATGGTGAAGGCAATAAAACCCGTTTCCATTTTCGTGGTCTGCTTCCTCTTCTTCTTGGTCATCTCTGGTAAGCAGACTTACCCTGCGTTTCTTGAAACTTATAATATTAACGCTTGCATGTGTTTTGTTTACAAATTAATTATCTGTGACCATGGCAAATTCATGATATGTGTTTCTATAAATCTTGTGGTGTAATAGACGTGCCAGAGATAGAAGCACAGGATAGCAAGTGCTTGAAAGAATACGGTGGTGATGTTGGTTTCAGCTTTTGTGCGCCTCGGATATTTCCGACGTTTTGTTATACAAGATGCCGTGAGAACAAGGGGGCTAAAGGTGGAAGATGCCGTTGGGGAGAGGGCAGTAATGTTAAGTGCTTGTGCGACTTCTGCAACGATCAGCCGTAATCATAATTTCCAAAAGATCGCTGATACACTATGGCCGCAAACGCAGACTCTAGCTACCACCGTATGTTTGAATATTTTCTCATCGTTTGTGTAATAATGAATGTGAATGGTCCTCAAGTAATAATATAATAAATGTAATATGAAATAAAGAATAATGAAAAATACGACTTATACTTGTGTGTAGTTACATTTGTTTTGGTATACTTTGACTTATAGAAAAGAAAATGTGCGACTTTCGTTGGCGTAGTTTTTTTTTTTCTGGCATCCATGTGTTAAATTAATGCTTACTATTCTCTCTGTATTATTGTAAGTATTATTATATAGCCGTCCAACTGTTCTGCAGCTAATCTAGTGGTCAAAGATGATTTTTTGAATGTGAAACGTGAAAATGTACAAAGTTCTGAATGTGACACCAAATAACAAGAAACTTATTAAAATAAAATATTAGCTTTTATATTTGGCAACATCCTAGAATTAACTATTAAGACTCATCCAAGCCAAATAAAATCATTACTATTAAGCATCCACACGTTACGAAGCGACACCAAATGACACGTACACATGTTTAATGTGTCTGACTACTGTCGACTGCTGTTCGACTAGTTTACGGCTGATCCAACGGCCAGAAATGAAATTCAATTGTGATAACAGATTATAGATTTCCGTAAACTCACGTGAAGAGAAAGAGAGAGGGAACAAAGTGGGATGTGGGATACGAGGGGGTTCAAACTTCAAAGCGAGTCAAGACGGCACTAGCCAACTCGCACGGTTCGACTCGGCTAGTGACTGAGCATACGAGGAGTCTCTCCCTCTTGCACAGCATGCTTTCGCCGGAGTTCATCCTTACATCATCAGGTGGGTCCTTTCCACTCATAGTCAAACTCAAGTCGACTCAGCTCTCCGACTCACGCTTTTGTTTTTTTTCTTGATGACAGCTAATGTGACTCGTGTTATTATTTCACGATATATTTTTAGTTTTTGTTTTGTTTGTCCCAGTGATAAAGATAAATAGCACAGAACCACAACAAATCTTGAGCCTGCATGAGTCCATTTATACATACATTAACTCCAATGTGAAATAAAGAGATTTGAGATTAGAGAGTAGAGAGCGATCGTCATGGCAACGAAGTCAGTTTCTTCCTTCGCCGTATTTTTCATCCTCTTTCTGGTTATGTTTGGTAAATTAACTAACTCCATATTTCTCACATATTTTTTTTAAAAAAATTGATTCTCAGGATCCATTTCCAGAGAGCATACGTCTCTCTCGTTATCCCATGCAAGTTTCATTATATATGTGATTTATCTTTTGTTAAGTCTCTACATATGAATTAAGCAGAAGTGCCCGAGACAAAAGCGCAGGCTAGCAAATGCTTGAAAGAATACGGCGGCAACGTGGGTTTCAGCTTCTGTGCGCCTTTGATATATCCGTCCTTCTGTTATCGGAGATGCCGTCAGAACAAGGGCGCGAAAGGTGGAAGATGCCGTACGGGAAAGGCCGGCGCTACTGATATGATATGCTTATGCGACTACTGCAGCGACAAGCCTTGATAAGATTCCAAGCGATCGTTACACGGTTTGGCCGCAGCCGCAGACGTTTTGTATCTGATCACCTTGTATGTATCATGTGGTTTGCGTAATAATATAATCAAAGAATAAATCGAATAAAAATAAATAAAGAAGTAACTGAAAATATTTTACTTGATTAAAGTAGTGGTATTTCACTATTTTGTTTTTAGTGGTTTCCACTTGATGATTGAATTACTCTATAGATGTAGGTCAAAAATTATTTTTCCTCAAATGTGAAATTATCTCATTATTCGTATGTCTAGTCAAAGTGATATCATGTATGCTTTAGGTTCATTAGAAAACTAGATAAATACAGTAGGTTACTTGATGAGGACCATATTTTTACATAAGAAAATTAATCGGATGTTGAAAATTCAGATTAATTTTTAGTTATATAAAATAAAGGCCGACTTTGTTTTCTGTAATTTTGATTTAAGCCTTTAAGGTCACTGTCTCGACATTTCGGGTATTAATCTTGAAACGTGTGATGGATATAATTAAGCTTTTTTATTTTTATGTAAAGAAAAACCATTTCGAAGCTGAGTGAATTTAGCGTTGCATAGCATCCACGTGTGACTACCGTCCGATAAATTTACGGCTAATCCAACAGTTAGAAATGAACTTCAACTGTGACGTGTGTGAAGAACATAGATATCGGGTTCAAAGCGAGTCAATACAACTCATCCATCTCGCCGGAGTTCGATTCGGCTTATGAAGCATACGAGGAGTCTCTCCCTCATGCACAGCATGCTTTCGCCGGAGTTCTTCCTTACCAGCTCCTCTACATCGCCGCCCACATCCACCGAAATCTTTCTTATCTCCTCTCCGATTCCCTCTCATCATCACCCGGTGGGTCCCTTCGCCTGTCCTAGTCAAATCCCAAGTCGACTCAGCCCTCTGACTCGCACTTTTGTTTTGTTTTTATTTCATGATCGATGACAGCTAAGTGACTCGTGTATTTTCATGATGGTTTTTTGTCGCAACGATAAAGATAAATAGCATAGAACCACAATAAGTGTTGAGCATATAAGTCCATTTAGATATACATTTAACATATTTTTTTCTGGATCAAAAGATATACGTTAACTTTGAAGTGAAATAAAGAGAACAGAGAGAGAGAGCCATGGCAACGAAGTCTGTTTCATCCTTCGCCATATTTTTCATCCTCTTTCTGGTTATCTTTGGTAATTCCGTATTTATGGCATATTTGTTAAGAATAAGTGATTCATAGGATTCAGAGAGTATATGCACTCTCTCTCGGTGATCGCATGCAAGTTTCAATATATATGTGATTTCTATTTTGCTAAGTCTCTACAACTACATATGATTTGAGCAGAAGTGCCGGAGATAAAAGCGCAGGCTAGCAAATGCCTGAAAGAATACGGCGGTAACGTCGGTTTCAGCTTCTGTGCGCCTCGGATATATCCGTCGTTCTGTTATCAGAGGTGCCGTGCAAACAAGGGCGCAAAAGGTGGAAGATGCCGTACGGGAAAGGCTGGTGCTGCTGATATGATATGCTTATGCGACTACTGCAGCGGCAAGCCTTAATCAGATTCTAAGCGATCGGTTTGGCCGCAGGCGCAGACGATTTGTGTTTGAATCTTGTATGTGTTGTGTAATAATTAAAGGCTTTGTGTTTGAATCTTGTATGTGTCATGATACATTTGTGTAATTGGCAAATGGTCCAAGTAAAAATAAATAAAGAAACGTACGACTTTTTGTTTTCTGTAATTCTGATTAGCACTAAGAATAAAATTTAGAATGATTTGTATTAAAATTATAAGCACTCTGTTATTGAATCATTAGTATTGAACTAATGATTTGAAAATGTATTTTTAAATTTATTATTATTGGAAATAATTTAAGTAGTGGGTTTAAATTTTTTTGAAGTGGTTTTAAGATGTTTTAATGAATTTTTTTAATTGAAAATATTAGAATCTAAATCTCATAATTTTATAATTTTATGTGAAGTTCAAATCATAATAATTTCCATAATTCAACCAAATCATATAAAAATTTATTAAAATTCAAAATTTTCCAAATCATTTAACAGAATAGAACTTCTCTAACGAAAAAGACTCATATTAATTTAATAATATTAATTTTAATATAGTTTAATTATATTATTTAATTTTAATTTATGAATAAATACATGAGATGAGATGAATCTCTAAATGAATATTTAATTTATTCAGTTTGATATTTTTTCATTTTATAATATACTTAAAAGTAAAAAGTATATAATTTTTCTTTAAAACAATTTATTTACTCGATTTATTTCAACTACGGGCTGATGAATCCAACGGTTTGAACATTAATCGTGACGTGTGAACGAAAAACCTAGATTATCCCTACCCGTAACTCACGAGAAGAGAGGAGAGAGAGAGAAATGGGGATATCGGGCTCAAAGCGAGTCAAGACGACTCTATCCAACTCGCCCGAGTTCGACTCGGTTTGTGACTCAGCATACGAGGAGTCTCTTTCTCTTGCACAGCATGCTTTCGCCGGAGTTCGTCCCTACCAACTCTTCCCCGCCGCCGCTCACATCCACCGGGATCTGTCCGCTCTCCGGCTCCCTCTAATCACCAGGTGGGTCCATTCTCCTCCGAGTCAATCCCAAGTCGACTCAGCTCTCCGAGTCACCATGTCCCGAGTCGCGGTGGCGACGGAGGAGGAGGAGGAGATCCTCGGGCTGGAGGAGTTCAAGGGATGGGCCGTCGAGGTTTTCACGGAATCCGTAGTGGGAAACGCGAGGAAAGCGATAGCGAGTAGGATTCCAATAGGAATCGCCGGAATCGCTGGGATCGGCGCGGTGACTCGGTCAAGTCAAAACCTTATCGGAGCGGCGATTGGTGTGTACGCAATTGGAGTTGCCACTTCCGTTTTTCTCAGCCTCTCTGATTAAAATAATATTATATTACAAGAGATTTTCTTTGTATTTTGGTTTTTAAAATGAAATGTGTTTAGTTACTGCTGTCTTCAAATGTTGTAATATATCTGTACCCTAAATTTTAGCAATATATCTGTACCCTAAATTTTACTGGTCGGTTGTTAATTTCGTTTATTATTCGTTCTCAATATATGATTTTTAAAATATGAATCGCTGAAAGCGTAAAAGCATTGAACTTCAAAGTAGCATACATAACCAAAATATAGATCAAAGTTATTCATTATCTTATCTGTTTTTCCCATCCTTCGACTCCACCCGTTTGATGTTTGATATTTCTTAAGCACACATATTTCACATGGAGAATATAAAGTAATGGAAAAACTCATGAGCCATATAGATTACTGGTATAAAGTGGGGTATAGTTATGATTTATGAATAATCGACAAAAACAAAAACAGTGAAGGATTTTTGCTTTGTTTTGTTAAAGGATTGATTAGCTTCTATGGTTCGCAGCTTAGCTTGCATAAAGCCCTTTGTCCATATATCTTATTATACATTTTTTTGAATGTTTTAAACTATATAATATTGCCGACATAAAAAGTTAAGTTATTATAAATGTATTATACAAAATTTACAAAAAGAATCCCAATGGGTTGACATTATATTACTATAAAAAGGAGTGGCTGGTACATCCCAAAAGTGGCAAAATAAGCAAAGGAAAATGAAGTCTGCGTCCATATTCCTTGTGTTGTTCGTTTTCTTCTTGGTCGTTCTTGGTAAGTATCTAGATAATTACTACATAATTTTTAAACTAACACTTTTACAACTCCCATAAGATTATAATTACAATACGCAGAGTCGCCGGAAAAGATAGAAGCCGACGAAAAGTTCAAATGCCTGGAGGAGTACGGCGGAAAAGTGGGAACGTTATGTAGCCCTAAATTCTTCCCAACGTTGTGCCGTCAAAACTGCCGTTTTATGAAAGGCGCCAAAAACGGTAAATGCTTGAAGAAACACAAACATGTCAAATGCTTCTGCGACTTTTGCAAAGACGACTAGATTTACAAGAACGCATCAGCTTCTGGTTCCAGCTTGATCATCGCATCAAATAACAGACCCCTGTTTCTCTATGCGTTTCTATTTCCATAAAATAATAAATTTATGTGTGCGTGTAACAAATGTTCCAACGTTTTTATATTCTGTCGACTGATATGACTTCGTTTATGTATGTGTTTGATTATTGTATCACTTTTTATATGTTTGGATTTTAAATTTATAACGATCATTTGCTAAAATAAAGGATTTTCCTTTTATGATATTAATCATCTTGGATAGCTTAAAAATCGCAAAAATAAGAAGAAGCTGAATCCCCAATTAGTCTAGTTGATGGGCACATGTGCATGGATGTCACAAATCGTCGGAAAATAAAACTCAATTGTATTATCAAAAGAAAAAAAGTTTCTATTTAATGTATAACTCTTCAGTGAAATGAAGTAGAATAAGATAATATATAATACAATCTTGTAATTGTATGTATTGCAGATTAATTACTTGCACTTGAAAAGAGTTTTGTTCTTCGTCTGACTCGAGGCGAGGCCTGATGTGTACTCGAAGGAAGCTCACGTAAACTACCACTAGGCTGCTCGGTACAACCCTGAAATAACGCCAACTTGTGGTCTAACATCCAGAATTAAAGAGAGATATATCAGAAGCGCTCTCTCTTGCACAGCATGCTTTCGCTTAATAAACCCTCGAACGAATTGTATTCAACATGTTTACTTAGGCTTAGAGAGAGATTCGATCAAGGACACTTATTCTTTACTAAGTTTTTTTTTTTAATGTAGTTAATTTGACTGTTGCTTTTTGTCTTCTCTTCCTCGTCTGCTTTAAAGATGTTCGGGCAGATTATTATCTTGTATGGTTTTGGTTGTTAAGAAGGAATGTCTCTGGCTGAACTATAACATCATGGTTTTAATAATTTAAATCTTGGATCTGCTAGAGATTGACATAGGCCACATAGGTATTCTTTTTGGTCCGTTGTTAGTTTTATTACTCGTTTTGATGAACTGAGCTTAAAAACATCTCAAAATACGATTAAGAATATTTGAATTGCTAAAATTATCGAACTTTAAAGTATACCAATGTATATATTGTAGTATATACCAGCCACAATACTGATCTAAGATACTCAAATTAAAATGATTATATAGAGACTTTTAAGATGGGGCATTGGGGCCGGGTACGGCATAAAAAAATTAAAGTGATGGACAAACTCATGAGCCTCGCATATATTATTGGTACGAACTGGCATAAAAGTCTTGAATAATTGAGATTGTTTACGATGGTACTTTTCTTTTTTTTTTGGGTGCTAAAAATCCCTTCAAAATTCAAGAATTTTCATATAATTTTGAACATAATTCTTGGTGATAGAGAACTAGTGATTATTATTTGCCATTTACAATCCACTGTCCATCATATCATATCTTATGAAAACAGGATAAACTTGAGTTTTTAAAAAAAAAAAAATAACGAAAAATACATTTAAAATGTTAAACCCCAATGTTAAAAACTCATTTCAAAATTCAAACTCTGTGACCTCATTTTAAACCCCATAAAATACATTTTTTTTTTTCAAAATTAAGCTAAAAAAATACATTTAAAAATTTAAAACAATTAACCATCAAACAGCTTATTTTTTTTATCCACGCACTATAACAAAACACATTGTAATGTATAACCTCTGAAAAGTTGATAAATACTGTTGCACTAGTAACGATTGGTTAAAATAATGACCACGTGGAAAATGTTTATACCTATAAGGGCCATTCTGACTAAACATATCCAAAGCCATTGATCCAATTCCAAGCCGGACAAACGCAGAATAACTCCAATCAACGCATGAGGTTTCAGAGACTCAAAATGAAGAACATCGATACAAGAAATGTTTCCTGTAACAAAGAAACAATCCTAAACATATCCAAATCCCTTACGCTGAGTTTTCAATTCAAGAGACGAAAAAGAACAAACATGTTTCTATCACGAAACCAAACAAACAAGTGTCCACAATGTATGAAGCAGCAATATACGATACGAACAAATTCGATCGATTCCAAATATTAACCAAAGAGATGAGTGGTGATTGGATAATCGAAAAACCAAACCTGGCTTGTAGAAGACAGACAAACCAAAATCAAAGAAAACATCGTACCAATTAAAGTCCCTATTTTGCTCAAAGGTTCGAATCCAAACGATGATACTCTTCCCGATTTCTAAAAAGTCTCTATTTTTAAAACCAGTTAAAGGAATTCGATCGAAACCCATCAAAAATCAAAGGAGCATCACCAAATTATAAGAAATTCAGAGGCGATGACAAGGAATTGGACTGAAATTATAAAAAAAAAAAGCATCAAAGGAGCATCACCTTCGCTTCGAGAAAGTCACCTGAGGGCTCGATCTTCTTAATCGCAATCTTTCCCCCTTCCACGATCCCATCCACCAATATCGTCAACTTAATCTGAATCGCGAGAAGAAGTGTAGAGGAAGAGGAAGCAAGAGATCAGTGGAAAAAATAAATTGTTGTGTTCTCTGATCTTTTGTCAATCAGATATAGACACGTAGCAAGTAAAATCCGTTTCTTAAACACCTTAATTAGGATACGTCTCCTCTCTTTACGTTTAATTTTTATTTATTTAAACACATAAATGTCTTAAGAAGCTCACTTAAGATACCGCGTTGCAGGTGCTCTGATTGATCAAATCTCTTCTTCTTCTTTTTCTGATTCGTCAAAATCTTGATGGACCCGTCTGTGTCTCGAATTTATGTTTTGATACAGTATTATCCCAATAAAGATGCATGAAAAAAATGAGGTCCAATCATTTCACATCACTATAAAACAACAGTGGCCGATACGATACATCACCAAAAGTGAAATAAGAAGTTAACAAAGAAATATGAAGTCTGTTTACATCTTCCTAGTGTTGTTCATCTTCTTCCTCGTCGTTCTTGGTGGTAAGTACATATAGAAACTACATTATTTTACGAAACTGCCACTCTCACGCAACTCAATCTTTATGATATGCAGAGTCGCCAGGGAAGATAGAAGCCGAGGAAAAGTTCAAATGCCTGCAAGAGTACGGGGGTGACGTCGGTCCCACGTTTTGTAACCCTAAGTTCTTTCCAACGTTGTGTCGTCAAAACTGCCGGACTTTCAAAGGTGCTAAAGGCGGTAAATGCGTGAAGAAACACAAAAGCAAACCAATTAAATGCTTCTGCGACTACTGCAAAGACGACTAGTTCACCAGAGAGCATCAACCGCTGGTTGCAGTTTAAATCGCTAAACTCAACCACCCCTTTTCCCTGAGTGTTTTGTACTTTTATATCAAATTATAAAATAAAATGTAATAATGTCTCAAGTCGTCTAAGTATAATGTTCCAAATTAAAGCTTTGTGACTAACCATCTCGTACGTGTGTTGGAATTCCACAGTGAAAATGTTATGAGTTTTAGAGTAATATATAAGAAATATGACTTATTAATCCACTAGTTGCTAGAATAATTAGAAGCTCATGAAACTTAATATTATTATATTCGTATTGAATCCGAATTCGAATTGTTCATGAGTGTTCTTGATTTTTGCCACACAAAAGAAGGGAATGAGGTCCTACTCATTCGTGGCCGGATTAACCTAGAGACTTTTGGCCTATTGGGAAATATCTACTCTCTAGATCTTAGTCTACGACAACCACTAGACTATTATCACTTCATATACGTTGGATAATGTCGATCCATCTTGGTAAGAAGCATCTTCAACAATTTAAAATTGCAAAATTAATTAGAATTTGCAATTAAAAGTGATATTCTTCAGTAAAATAAATTTGAAAAAATGAGATATCTTAGAGTCTTGTAACGTTGTATTGCCAATATATACTAAATAAAAGGAACTATTTGGGGTTCCTTAAGCTATCCACCTCAGTTTTTCAAACTACTCTAAAAGTATGACACATCAGCAAAAAATAATAATACAAATTCCCACTTTAGATTTTTTTGGAATACACATAAAGTAAATAAATAGAACCAAAATTAATATAGTTAAATACAAAAGTAAATAAAAATAAATTATTATTTTTTGAATCAGTAAAATAAATATTATTTAAATCTATAGCATCAATATATACTCTTTTGTTTGTAATATAACAAATTAACATTAATGAAAATTCTCACTTTAGATTTTTTGAAATACACATAAAATAAATAAATAAAACCATTAAATTAATATAGTTATTAGCAAAAACTAAATAAAACTATATATCATTTTAATCAGTAAAATAAATATCATTTAAATCTGTAGCATTAATATATACTCATTTTTGTCACTAAAATTAATATAGTTACCAACAAAAATAAATAAAATTAAAATATCATTTTTTGAATCAGTAAAATAAACATCATTTAAATTTATAGCATCAATATATACTTCTTTTTTTTGTAATATAAAAATAATAAAAAAATTCACTTTATATCTTTTGAAATACACATAAAATAAATAAATAGAACTACTAAGTTAATATACTTATTAGGAATAATTAAATAAAACCAAATATCATTTTCTAAATCAGTAAAATAAATATCATTTAAATCTGTAGCATTAATATATACTCTTTTTTGTAATATAGTGAATATATTGGACAACAAATTGCTCTAAAAAACTTAAATAATAGTTAATAGAAACAAAATTACAAAATAATAATTTCTAAAATAAAATTTAAAATATTTGTAAATTATAAAAATCTAAAACATTCAACTTTTAGAAACATACAGATTAAACATCATAGTACGTTAGATTTATGGCAACCAACAAGACAACATAAATTATAGGAAGCTTTTCAAAGCATCTATCTATATGAAGATTTCGATCATTGTTACTATTTACATTGCAGAAAATGATAGACAAAAGAAGAATTTCATGCACTGATATTTATTCAATGTGTGTCTTAGTTGGCTTAAGGTAGTCAAGTTACTACAAGCGATACATGTCAACACATGAGTTAAACAGTTTATAAACAAAAATTAAGTTTTAAATGACAGTTAATTTTTATATATATCAAGTTAATAAATTCTTAAATTAAATAATTATGCATTTTTGAAAAAATACATACACATTTTAATGTAGAAGAAAATGTTATAAAAAAATCTTTAATTATCCACATCAACAAAATTCCTTATAAACCCAACTTGAATGAAAACTAATATAGTTTTTTTACTGGGTTAAGAAACTTCTTTAAAAATAATATAATATATATTATTAGTTTAATTATAAAGGCTCATCAAAATATATATGTGTAGTTTAAGAAAAAAATGTTTAAGTTAAATTACAAGCAAAATGTTTTACATCTTTTGAGTTTTGAGAAACTCAACATACTTTATTTAACATAATGAGTTAGTATGAAATTGTATTTGTATATGTATTATTTACCTTATTCATCTATATTTTTTTTATAGTTTACGTATACTTCATAGACTAAATCAAAATTGCATTTTATCAATATGATTGTGATTTTTTATACTATGTAAATATTGTTTTTATTTATATGAATCATAGTTATTTTATAGATTTATAAGAGATTAGAACATTGAGTGTTGTTTGTATTTGAGATTGCTAATTAAATAAAAACACTACACGAACACAGTTGAAATAAAAATAAAAATCTAAATTAATTAGAACAATAATAATCAAATTTAGTCAAAACAAAAATAATTTTAATAATATTTTGAAAGTTAATAGTGAATAACAGTGAGTTTATATATAAATATTAAGTTTTAGATTAACAGTTAATTTTAGCATATCAAGTAGCTAATTCTTAAAATTATATATTTTTTGAATATGTCAAAATATTTTCGATGTATAATCATATCAAATTTTTTTTTAAAATTAAATATTATATTTAAAATATTAACTTAAAGTGAAAATAATAAAACTTAAATAATAATCAAATATCTATATAAAAACAGTTCGTGCGTAGCGCGGAAACATCCCTAGTTAAATGGAAACGTAAAGATAACTCTTCGTCCGACTTCGTATTATTAATTTATTAAATCCAACATTCAGAAACGGATTATGATTATGATCACGTATTCACTTGCGAGAGAGAGAGTCTGATATGTGTATTCCTGGTTGTGTTACAACTTACAAAGGGCCTTGGCTTGAATGATAATTAGGTATATAAATAAGTAATCATCATCCTCAACAAGCGAAAGAAATTGCGAAAGTGAAAAAAAAGTTGGTGACCTAATGGTGAAGGAACTGAAAAAGCTGAGGTTATTTTTGTTTAACTATAAAACATAAATGTAGAATGAGAGATATATCATCACAGAAAGTGCTGTATTGTTTGCACTTTAAAAGAAAAAAAAAGGAGTATTCACTCTTCGTCAGATTCGAGCCCTGGTATGTACTCTAAGCTCACATCAAACACCACTGGACTGTTTGGTGCAACTCTCGGCCTCCCTGGAGCTGAGGTTAGACCCTTTGGAAACGCCAACTTATGGTGTAACATTCACAGCACCAAAAAAATTCATAAATTATATGCTCTGTTTGCAGTAATTAGACAATTAGTATAATCTTGATAAGCACTTACAGGCCCTGGAATGTAGAGTCTGCGTTTGCCACCAGCTTTCATGCTCAAGATCCCTTCATCAAGCCCCTTTATCACCTGTTCAAAAAGTATCAGAAGCTGCTTTACTGTGGCCAAAGCTAAAATCTTTTTTTTTTCTTGTATCTCTGTTTATATGAACTTGTAGATATCTTCATTTACCTGACCAGACCCAACGCGGAATAAATAAGGTAGACCTTTCTCCAGAGAACTGCAATTGAGTGAATGTAACCATTCGATTCAGCTAAATATGATTCCAGGATTTAAAAAAAAAACTAGATCAGTAAAGAAGATCAAACTGTTTCGGTTTTTTGTATGGATTGAGAGAGATCACCTGTCGAAAATTTGCCCTGAAGGAACCATAGCCACATAATTAGCAGCAACCTGGAGCATTTTTTGAAACATTTTAACATCTATGATGAGTATACGGTTTCAGTCAACTATACATTGGCTTGAGTTGACTGAGTTCTTACCTGAAAACCAACCGGGGGACTCGGGCCTGTACCGACTTTGATATCTTTATACTGAAGCCCTGATTCTGTGGTTACCATTGGAACCTTTTATTCAAAAAAAACAAACAGAAGATCCAAAGGTTGTCAAGTCAAGCCCTCAGTGTCATGAATTTAAAGATAGCCAAAAGGTGTTTGTGTGATCATCTCACCATACATTTTCAAGCTCTTTCTCGCACTCGGCTTCACAAAGTCTCGGTTTATCTTCTGGAGGCAAGCCGGCTGCATAAGCCCCGACCGAGTTCATCGACAATCCTCCTGACACGCCGAGCAGCAACAGCATTGCGTCTCTACGGCTAGACAGAGTATTGGTTTTACAGCTTTTGTCTCTTGTTTCTGAAGCGATGACTCTTGTAGCTATACATCTTGATACATTTGGGTTGTTGATGGTTGTTGGACCATTTCTAGATGTTGAACCTACAATTCATGACCAGAATCTCAGATTCCCAAAACCCAACAGAAGTAAACAATTTGAGGAGTTTCAAGAAACCTACAATTCTAACTGCACTTGTTCAAGCCATGGATAAAACTGGATCAATCTAAACCAAGAAAGACGAGTTTTTTTTTCTAACGAAATGAGAAACCCAGAAACCAGAACTCCAATTGGATAAGAACAGAAGAAAAATGTCGTCTTCGAGAAGAACATGAAGAACATCTCCGAAAACAATAGCATAGTCTCTTACCTAGTTGTAGAAGGAGAGATGGAGAAGAAGCTGCCATTTTCTTAGCTCGAGAAAATTCAGGATTTTGCAATTTTGGCAGAAGAAGCTCACGAGTTTAGTGGATAACGAAATCTCTCGTTTTGTTTGTGTGTTCAGTTCTTGTTGATTTGGCTCGTAATTCACTCTTTTTTTTAATTATTTTTTTCTCGTTTTAGGGATATAGGAAATACAAACGTCAAAGCGTGGAGCTTTCGTAAATAGAAACGGCAAGTAGTTCTCTTTCCCACACATCTCAGTTGGGACCCAGTCCACCTTCTGCGAAACGCCGTCGTCTTGATTTCTTCGCCCGACGGTTGAATTATTAATTTATTATAATTTGAAAAGCATACGTTTATTGTAATTTTTTTGTTGTTGTTGGTGTTAAAACTTATAAGGGTTTATTATAAACTTATAACTAAGTTACTAAGACAACGTATAGTTTCAGTTATATATGTGTTGACTTAACCAACATATATCAACTACGTGTAAATGGAAAAACCAAATGGTGAGCATACTACATAAATAGTTACGAATATCAACTTGATTAAAACGGATCTTAATTAACAGAAACAATGGCATTGTCTTCCATGATGAAGATGCTTGCAGAAACCACCTTTGCCATTATCACAACCTTTAAGACACCAATTGTTGCATCTGACTTCATCTTGAGCTGTATTGCATTTTCCGAATTTTGGATGAGTATTGCAGCACAACGAATTACTTTCCGTAAAAGCAGATCCTTCAACTTCTATTAAAAAAAAACAAAATAAATGATGTTAGAAGCTATTTAATAGCTAGAGAACATAAAACAATACTCCTTCTGTTTTATAATAAGTGTTATTTGGAGAAAATGTATCTAAATTGTAACTGGATGTATATAGATGTGTGTTTGAGTTTAATACATCTATATACATTGCAGATACATTTTTTCCAAATGACACTTATTATGAAATAGAGGGAGTATTACATAAGTATATATTTTCTAATATAAATTAATTCAGGCACGACAATATAAAGTTTGTAATGAAAAGAATTCAAAATATAAAAAATTGGCCAAAACTAACCAACAGAGAAAATAAGTGCAAGCAGCATAGCAAAAGAGACGAATTTCATGGTGGTGGCCATCTTATTCTTCTTGGATATGTATACTCTTTACGACTGTAAAAGAATGAACTCAAATTTGGTTTTCTTTATGTTTCCTGAAATGCTATGATATCTATATATATATATTTGATTTCGCCCATATATATATCCCACGCACAAATAAAGTATTTACGTTTGTTAGAGATTCAAATTAATTAATTGACGTTATTCCTAATTGATTGGACGGTAATTATTACTATTACGTTACTTATATCTCCATTTCAAAGGCTATGGAGTATTCAGAAGCACTAATTAATGTTCTCTATCCATTTCAATGTTGAAACGTTTTTAATTCTGAGAGTCTGACTGGTATGTCAGATGAATAACATAATAGCGGAATAACTGAAAAATTACTAGTGGAATGAACTGAACTGAATAATATTTTAGCTGAATAATTGTGAAACGCTGAAAAGCTACTTTTAGTAGATTAATCACGTTTTGTTTTTTTTTAGTTATATTTTTAACATGCTAGCGGAATCACGTTTCAAAAACATAAAAAACGTGAAAACGTGATGAATAATATAAATGGTAAAAAATAACAAAATCAAGTTTCCAAAACATGAAAACGTGAAAAAGCTGCATACCATTCAAACCCTGAGTGTTTTCCTTTGGCTGTGATTGGTAAACATTGGTCAAACAATTTTTTCTCCTTTAAAGAGATAGTAACCCTAATTCATAAATTTTTAAAGTTTAGGGTAAGATATTTAACCGCGGGAAAGATGATAAATATGTTCTAAAGTCCGTCGTGCCTATGCATAAATGAAGATCATTTCGCTACATTATTACAACAACAGTAGTATAGACTATAGAGTATAGTACGTAACATGATACTCTCTCGTATGTGATCTCTTATTCTTATATTGCGAACATTGGTTGTTTCGGATGGATAGAGAGAAAACCTTAACAAGAGAGGTCATTCCCAGGTTCAACTCCAAGCTTGCGACACAAGTCTTGGAAGTACTTAATCCTGTTGGCGGCTTTCTCTGTAGAATCTCCTCCGCTACATTCCCTACTATTCACAGCCCTGATCGTGGCGCCAAAGCCCGATCTAAAGCTCGTGCGAACATTAGTGGTCCAGAACCAGAAAGCGGTCTTGAAGGCAAGAACCTGGTCTTGAGCCACTTTCTCTGGTGAAGCCAATAAGTCCTCTTTCAGGTCTCTGCCACAGGGACCATAGTTGTAGTTCCAAGAGAGCTGGATCGCACCACGACCATAGTAGCCCTTTCCCGGTGCACATGGGAAGTCTGTGTTTGTTATGTTACAGTAGTCTCCGGCTGCGGCCTGGGCTGGTCCACCGACTTCCTCAATGGAGCACATGACTGTAAAAAGGTATTATATTAAATGATTACAAAAACGAATCCTAGTGGTGAGCATGTAACCAAAATTTGTATAAAATGATTTGAAACTGAATTTAGTCAATTACACCGTAATTATTAAAAAAATCAATTGTTATTATCTTTTTGAAAATAATTAAGTACCTTTTAATTCAAATATGAAAATCGAATTGAACCAGGGGTATTTTTTTTTTTGTTTCAAACTAAACCGTACAGAAAATTTGGAGGTATAATTCGGTCATGAATTCTTTTCCAAACCGAATAAACCAAAAACTAAAAATAATCGAATGTCTAAAAGTTGAGAACTGGAGAGATTTATTTTTGTTAGATTAGATTACCAAAAACTATAACCATCGGAAAAATTACTTACATCCTGTTTCCTGGGAGACGTGAGCGAAGAAAGCAGCGATTTCGCGTTTGGAGATGGAAGAACCGAAGCTAGGATACGAATTAGCCGCAGCGATGAAGGTGTCGCGAGTGTAGAATCCTTTACCTGCGCAATCACTACCTGCTGCTTGGTTTATTATAGAGTTAAAGAACTCAGGTGTCACGGTTCCTTCAAGCGAAACAGCAGGGTCTCCGCCACCACCGCTCCGGCAAGGTCCTTGTTGGCATCCCACGCCGCAGTATTCGTCGGTCGTACCACAGTAACCGGCTGAGCTGCAGCAGAAGTCAGAGGCGCAGCCGCAGTTCTGAGAGGTGACCGTTTTGGAAACGGTTAGGACCAGAAAAAAAAGAGTAGTGATGAAAAGGGCAAATTGGTCACTTCGTAACGTGGTTTTAGCGTAATTCGCCATTGTTTTACTGTGTATGTGAGGTAGAGAGAAGTGTACTAGGTTCGTGTTTTATAGTGGAGAAGGAGAAGTAAAGAATACGCGTTTTTTTTTAAGTACATCATGTAATTTCTAAGTCAGCGTCAACGCCACGTAAACATTTTAGTTGTAGCCCATTCGCCACGTTACCTAGAGAATTTTCCAAACAAACATCGACATTTTCGTTTACATCTATAGATGAAATTGCCACTTTTTTTTTGTTTGGTTCTGAATATCATTTACCATTAAACAAAAAACAAAAAGCAAGAAATTAGTACGTATTCTTTTTTTTCGTTGAAAATATTCGCACAACAGTTTAAACTATGGTTTTACTTTCTTATGAGCCAATCTCAATCGATAGAATATTGCTTGTAGTCAATTGGTTTTACTAATCCAGTGTTGTGTGATATCACAAATTTAAATTCAACAATAGACGTGTGAGGAATTGTAAACAACAGAAAAAGTCACAATTGTTGGCTGCAATTCGGTTTGGTGAGTTGTATATTTTCCCTATGAAATTTTATTGAATAGGTCTTGTAGAAAACGATAATCCCAAGACACTGGATATACAGGAATGAATTATGATGTTAACTGAGGAAATGTAATATATCCGAAGGTTTGTTGAGATCTCTCTTTCAAGGATGACTTTTCAAACGATATTAGGCAACTACTTTTCATCACGTCCCATTCATATTGAAGTTTCCATTGATCCCACCGGCACAGCTGGCACATCTCTGATCTACAATGGTCGTCAAAACTCAAAAACAGAAGACAATTTTCATTTGACTTCTTCCTTGGCAAGATATTTTTATTTTTCATCCTTGAAAGTTCTTTATGGATGGATACAGAGGAGAATCAAAGGGTAGATAGATTATTAACTAGATAAATTATAATCTTCGGATCCTTAATCTTTGTCAATGGCAGAGAGATTTCCGTTGCTTTTCCTCCTTGCTTCACATTTACTGGTCTCAGGTACGTTTTAATTTTCCAAATTTCGACCGTGCATGCATGGATCTGGTTTAATCACTATATACAGATCTGTTAAACGTTTTGTTATTTGTAGTGATGTCGAGGAGCTTCACAATAGAGAACAAGTGTGAATACACTATATGGCCTGCAAGCTACAGTTACGTGGGATCCTTGGACACAACCGGTTTCCGCCTGGAGACGAATGAGACGCGTACCGTCAATGCGACGTCGTCATGGATAGGTAATTTATGGGGTAGAACGGACTGTGACACCAACTCAACAGGATATTTTTCATGTGTCACCGGAGACTGCGGCTCCGGCGAAATCGAGTGCTCGGACCCCCTCGTGCAGGTGCAGCTCGTGCCTCCCGCAACTCTGGCGGAGTTTAACCTCGCTTATGACGGTGGTGATGACTATTACGACGTCAACGTCATCAATGGTTACAACCTTCCTATGCTTGTGACCCCCGAGAACCGAAAGTGCAAAAGCATTAGATGCGTTGTTGACATAAACAACACGTGCCCATCGGAGCTGAGGATGAACAGTAGCGACATCAGATCGAACGATCCATTCGCCTGCATGACCTCATGTCAGAAAAACCAGTTGCCGGAACTTTGCTGTGTCGGACTCTACGTCAAAGACGAAGACGTCGTTGGACCGGAAAAATGCAAGCGCACCATTTACTCGCAGACTTTCAACCGCGCGTGCCCAGGCGCTTATAGCTACGCCTACGATACTAATCTCAGCACCTTCACATGTCCATACTCTAACAACTTTGTCATCACGTTTTGCCCACCAAAACCAGGTTAAATTTCCCTCCACTCGCCTCCATTTCCTTTACAAAATATTTTTATTCATCCCTCTCATCCATTAGGGTAGTGAGTAGGCCGAACATGAAAACGCTAGACATGCAGTGTGATATTTTTAGGTTACTTACTTACTTACATCAGTTAAATGCGTCACAGTCTCACAGAACATGTAGCTTAGTATTTGTGTTTCAGTATTTGTACTGTGGATGAGTAATATCCGTATTCAATGATTGGTAGAATGCATGATGCTGACAAAAAACAAAAAAAACGCACCATGCATGTTTTCTGGATCTATAAATAATCACTATGTGAATTCTCTAGCGGGTCAATAGGTTCGTACACTAAAGCAAATCATGAGTTTGCTATTTATATGTATATTTTGATATATAAATACAGTATGTATTTACGTTTCTTGTAGCAAAACGTTACTTTATACATTTTCTTTCACCTACAAAAATGTATATTTTATTCCTTTTGTTAATCGAAATCTTTGTTTGATACATTTGCAGGAAAATCTACATTGAAGTTAAAACTCATACTTGGTACATCCACTTCAACCGTGTGACATTACTCCGAACTGTCTTACTCAATAATTTGGAATGTATATAAAACTTAACTTTTGAGGCTTGGTTTCTTGTAGGAGCTTCATCAGTTTTTGCAATGATTATCATTATTGCGATCATTGTGGTAAAGGTGAGAGAAAATAATATGAGAAAGAGCGATCGGAATAGGAAAGACATGGAAACAGTGGTAATGTTGAAACGATTTAGCTATAAACAAGTCAAGAAGATGACAAGATCATTCGCGAATGTTCTTGGGAAAGGAGGATTTGGAACTGTCTATAAAGGGAAGTTACCTGATGGCGGCCGAGATGTTGCAGTGAAGATCTTGAAGGAGTCAAACGGGAATGGCGAGGAGTTCATCAATGAAGTAGCTAGCATGAGTAGAACATCTCATGTTAACATTGTTTCTCTTCTTGGATTCTGCTACGAAGGAGACAAGAAAGCTATAATATATGAGTTCATGCCGAATGGATCCCTCGACAAGTTCATCTCCGAGAAGATGTCGACAAATATGGAATGGAAAACGTTATACAACATTGCCGTAGGTGTGTCTCGTGGCCTAGAGTACTTGCACAACCGTTGTGTATCGAGGATTGTGCATTTCGATATAAAGCCGCAAAACATACTCATGGATGGAGATTCTTGCCCCAAGATTTCAGATTTCGGTCTTGCTAAGCTATGCAAAAATAATGAAAGCAAAATGTCAATGCTAGACGCAAGAGGCACTGCAGGGTACATTGCCCCAGAAGTGTTTTCCAAGGCTTTTGGAGAAGTTTCTCATAAATCGGATGTGTATAGTTATGGAATGGTGGTTCTTGAGATGATTGGAGCAAAGAACATAGAAAGAGGTCAAAACGCTGGATCAAACAACAGTTCAGTGTACTTTCCAGACTGGATTTATAAAGATCTTGAGAAGGGAGAGATCATGAGTGTTTTCGCAGATCAAATAACAGAAGAGGAAGACGAGGAGCTAGTGAAGAAAATGGCAATTGTGGGACTGTGGTGTATTCAGACCAATCCATTTGACCGTCCCCCAATGAGCAAAGTCGTTGAAATGTTAGAAGGAAGTCAAGAGGCTCTGCAGATTCCCCCTAAGCCTATTTTATCTTTACCAGCAAGAACAGTTCAAGAGACTTCAAGCTTCTCGATACCAAGTCAGGATACTTTTCACTATTCCGAAGAAGTTCAAGATATTGCACAAGAAAATCAAGATAGCATAAGCTCTTCCTAAACCAAGTCCAGTAGGTAAGATCTGCTTGTTACAGTTACCGGTTTGTTGATGATATCCAAATTAGATGTTAAATATATCCAAATTAGATATTGTTGGCAAGTCCAAACATGGACAATATTTGTAAAAGTACGGTCAAGAGAGGATGCCTACACAGCTACACTGGCATAACTATTCCTTAGTTGAAAATGTTTAACGTGATGAAGGGCCCAAAAGAAAAATGTAACATAGGTTTTTAAATATATGAATACGTTGCATTGACCTGAATGGCTTTGACCTGAAAATAACCACAAGGACAGCTGTTCTTCGCGGACCCATCATGTTTTTTGAATTTTGAGGCTATAAATGTTGATATTGAAAGAGGCGGAACAGTGCGGTTGAATTGCTTGTTCCAAATCATACAATTTGACCACCCGCTATGTAATATGTCTATTTATTGGTCCAAATTGACCACCCGGTACGTATGTTGATATCTAATTCAGACCACTTTGACCGCTCGGTTCTGTTTTGACCACCGCACCGCGCGTGTACACTATTCGAAACACATTTTTTTCTCTCAAGTAATCAAATACAACCATATAGAACCAAATTACCAGTTCTCGCGATTTGCGAATATTACAAAGCAAATACCATAGATGTAAAAATGAAATATTTTTTTTGTATAATCTTTTACTAATATTTTATTAATTTGATTCCTTTTTAGAATATATTACTACAACAACTTTTTACATCAGTACTTCTTATTTAATTTCACCTTTAACTCGCGTGCCAAGTCACGTCATGTGTATTGGAAGCACGTTTTAGCAAGTGTTATTGGCAACAGGCTTTATCACACCAAGCTGTTTACAATACTCTGTATAGTACTCAACCCTTGCATTGACCGCACCAGGATTCCCACCGTTACACTCCATACGATTGATGGCTCTAATGGTGGCTCCAAACCCTTGGCTCAGTACAGGTCTTACGCTATTAATCCAAAACCACAGACCGGTCCTGAAAGCCACAGTTGGGCTGCTCCCCACTAGCTCCGGCTGGCGTAGGAGGTCAAGGCCGAGACTTTGGCCACATGGTCCATAGTTGTAGTTCCATGATAGTAGGAACGGACCACGACCATAGTAGTTCTTGCCCGGTGCACATGGATATTGCCTGTTGTTCTCGTCGCAGTAGTCACGTGAACTCCCGTTCACCTCCTCTATGTAGCAAAAGTCTAAACATGGAGAATTTTATGAAGCTAATTAAGGGGTTGGCACCAATTTTAGAATATATATATATATATATATTTGTTTTCTTCAATACTATAAGAATAATATTCTAAAACCTAGACCTAATTTTTTATGTGTGAATTAATCGGAGAATAAATCTACAGATTTTTCAACTGTTAATTATTTCATAATTAAGTACGTTCTATACGTATATTAGCCTATTTCAGACCGGAGTAAAGTCTAGAATTTTTGTTCCCAAACAGAGTAAAGACTAGATTTCTTTATATATCGCAGAAAAAAAAAAGAGAATGAACCTATAAAAAGGAGGGACAAGTTCTTACGTACGTTCGGTCTCGTGGGTGAAATGAGCAAACATGGCAGCGATCTCGAGCCTGGTAGTAGAACTATTGAAGTCAGAGGTAGTATTAGCGGCTTCAAGGAAAGAGTCACGGGTGTAGAATCTTTTCCCGCCGCAGTTATTATTGGCTTGGCTAATAATTCTGTCAAAGAATTGTTGTGTAACAATCCTGTCAAGCGGCTCTCTACTTTTTCTGCAAGGACCTGATTGGCAACCGGAAAAACAGTAATCGTCGTTGGCACCGCAATAACCATTCTTACTGCAGCAGAGAATGGGAGAGCAGCCGCAGTGTTGCGACTTGGCAGTTTCCAAGTGGAAACTGAAGATGCCGATGAGAAAAACTGAGAAGAGTTTTATGAGAGTCATGCGTTTGTCGTATGGTTTGTGGATGAGAGAATGAAGAGTAGGAAGAGTTTGTGATTGTTTGGTGGTGGTTTGGTCATTTGGGAAGAGTTTGTGATTGTTTGGTGGTGGTTTGGTCATTTGGGATATCTTATGGCAATTAAGTCAATCGGAATAAACATTTTTTTGTTTAATATATAACACACGGCTTTGACACTTTGACTCTTCTTCAGTTTTCCTCAAAGATTATTCTATGGTCTAGTAATTCAAATTTTCGTTTCTTTTTTCTAATAGGACAACAACTATGGTATACTTCTCACGTTTTGTATCATATCTGAATTATATTAATATTATTTTAATTTTAAAAAAACTCATATTTAGACCTGGAGCAATGTTTTGGAATTTTTTTGGTTGAACAATTGTACTTTATTAATAGTGTAACTCTATAGAGTTCACATTTCTGTAAGTAAAATTTATATTGAGTGGAGCAAACAAGTACGAATATGATACGAATACTATATATATTGACTTTACCTAAGTCATCGCAAATTTTTGTGTGTTATTGCTACTAACATCATGTACATACATGAGATACCTAATATTTTTTCAGTTTTATTTCAACCAAATAAAACTGTATATCAGAAATATTTACCTTTGGAATTTTTGCAAGGCATCAAGGATTCAGAGCGTGAAGGAAAAATTCATAGAGTTCCAATGAGTCTGATGATACCCTACACAGCTAAATTCTAAAAGTCTATATATATTTTTTTATATAGAAGTTTTAAAATTTTTGAACAGTTGTCACACTAAATTATAAACATAGATATTGGTTACCGCTCTGCTTGGTTTCTTGGCACGGTTCATTAAGTTCAGTGCGCAATCGACTCATTTAGTTAAAGTCGTTCATGTCGTTACAATAATAGTATCATATGATTTATATATGTATTAATTTTTCTTTATGTTATCTCTTATTCTTATATTTCGGATGCATAGTGAGAAATCCTTAGCAAGAAAGGTTGTCTCCAGGTTCGACTCCAAGCTTGCCACAATAGTCTCGGAAGTATCCAATCCTTTGGTTGACGGTTGCAGAATCTCGTCCGTTACACTCCATACCATTTATAGCTCTAATCGTGGCCCCAAAGCCTTGGTTAAATTTCCCGCGAACATTAGTGGTCCAGAACCAAAAAGCGGTTTTGAAGGCAAGAACCGGATCTTGAGCCACTTTCTCTGGGGAAGCCAATAGGTTCTCGTTCAAGTCTCTCCCACATTGACCATAGTTGTAGTTCCAAGAGAGCTGGATCGGACCACGACCATAGTACATCTTTCCTTGTGCACATGGGAAGTCTGTGTTTTCTCTGTCGCAGTAGTTCTCGGCTTTGGATGGTCCATCGATTTCCTCAATGTAGCACATGACTGCCACAAGGTACATATACCAATTACCGAACAATTTTTTTTTTTTTTTTGTATGAATGTTAAGATTACCGAAAAAAAATTTATATACATATTCTGATTGATTTTGGTATCTTAATCCAAATAAGTCAAAAATTATAATTATCTTGATTTGTTTATTTTTTTAAAAATAACGTTTATCCCCAAAAAAATGAATTGAATTGAATATCTGACGAATTGAACTAAACCGAAAATGTGGGTTTTGACTCAGTCATGAATTTTCAAAACCGAATAAAAAAACAGATATAACCGAACCAAACCGAAATGACCGAATGTTCGAAAATCCTGAGAGATTTACTTACATGAAGTTTCGTGGGTAACGTGAGCGAAGAAAGCAGCGATTTCGCGTTTGGAGATGGAAGAACCGAAGCTCGGGTAGGAATTGGCTGCAGCAATGAAGGCGTTGTGAGTGTAAAACCCTCTACCTGCGCAGTCGTTACCTGTTGCTTGGCTTATTATAGAGTTAAAGAACTCAGGTGTCACGGTTCCTTCAAGCGAAACGGCGTCTCCGCCTCCGCCACCGTTTCCGTCACCGGAACCACCACCTTGGCAAGGGCCTTCACGGCAGCCATCGCCGCAGTAATCGTCGGTCTGACCACAGTAACCCCATTGACTGCAGCAGAAGTCAGAGGCACAGCCGCAATTCTGAGAGGTTACAGGTTTGGAAACGGTTAGGGCTAGGAAAAAAAGAGTTGTGATGAAAAGAGCAAATTGGTCTTTTCTGATGGTGGATTTGGCGTAATTCGCCATTTGGTTTTGTTGTTCTTGTTATTTGACTATTTCTGTGTGTGTGTGAGGATGGGAGAAGTATATTAGGTTAGTGTTTTATAGTAGTGGAGATGAAACTGATCGGGACAATGAGGGAGAGAGTAAACACAATGTTTGGATCCGTGAAGAAGACGTTGTGGAAAACAAGTGTTACGTATTTTCCAAGTCAATGTCAACTCATGTAGCCCATTCGTCACGTTGGGAAATTTTCACACAAACATCAAAACTTTAATGCAAGTCTAATAAAATCTAGAATAATGGATTTTCTTAACTGTTGATAAAAGAAATAATTTAATATACATACAAATTTTTGTAACATTTTTTAAAAAAGAAAAACTATCAGTAATGTTTTAAAATATATAATACATATATATCCAGTGTAATAATATATCAATGTAATGTGTCAGTTGTGGTCGATGAAAGCATAGACTTATCTATTCACAATAAAAGCAAATATTATAACTACCGTTCGATATCATTGGCAAGCAATATTCTAAGGGATCGAAACCAGAGTATTCAAAAACAATGATACAATAAGATATCAAAAGCCTGGAATGAGAACCTTTACATCTTGATACCAACAATTCACTACATTCAATATACAATTGTATTCTGATAAAATACACAACATAGGTGATCATATTACAATAAGAGAGATTTCAATTTCTTTTAGAAGGTTATCATTGTGATAGCCACTTGCGATGGCCTAACTTCTTCAAAACGCTCCAATATGTCTTATCATAATCAACTAATCATAAATACACGTACGGTACATGACGTTTACGTATATCTAATACAAACCGCTTTGACCGCTCGGTTCTGTTTTGACCACCGGCACCGTTTACTATTCGAACCATCAACTTATCAGTATACAATTTTTCTTGCGTAATCATATACCAAGTTACCAATTCTTGCGAATACACCAAAATGTAAAACATCAAACTTTTTTTTGTTTGTATAATCATTTTATTAATTTTTGTTCATGATTTCACAAGATTATAACAACTTCTTTATATCATTTCATATTTTCATCTTTAGAGCCATGTAACGTGTGGTAAAATTAAGAACTAATTTCTAGCAAGTGATGTTCTCCAAGGTCCACACCAAACTGTCTACAATAGTCTCTATAATATCCAATTCTCAAACTATTTTTTTGTATAATCGTTTTATTAATCTTTATTCACGATTCATAAGATTATAAAAACTTTTTTTTTATTACTTTTTATTTCACCTTTAACATTCACGCGCCACGTCACGTGTATCATTATACAGCAGAAGAACTAAATTCTAGCATGTGATGTTGGTTCCAGGGTCCACACCAAGCTGTCTACAATAATCGCTATAGTATCCAATCCTTGCATTCACCGCACGTGAGTTCCCACCGTCACACTCCAGCCTGTTGAAGGCTCTTATAGTGGCTCCGAATCCCTGGTTCAGTACGGGCCGTACGCTTTGCATCCAAAACCATAGAGCCGTCCTAAAAGACACAATTGGATTACTACTGACCAGCTCGGGCTGGCGTAGAAGGTCGAGGCCGAGACTCTGGCCGCAAGGTCCGTAGTTAAAATTCCATGATAGTAGGACTGGACCACGACCATAATAATTCTTGCCCGGTGTGCATGGATATTGTTTGTTATTCCTGTCGCAAAAGTTACTTGAGGCTCCGTTTATCTCTTCTATGTAGCAGAAATCTAAACGGGATAGAGATGCACAAGAAAAAGAATGGTTAACTTATGATAAAATTGACCAGTTTTTAGATAAAATCAAATGTTTAAAAATTATAATATCAAAGGTTTTGGCTTTTAGGATTAACCTCTTATGTTTTAAAGCATGATTGTTACAATCGTTTGTAATGTATGTTATAATATTTTAGCAATGATTTGTAAATGTCAAACGCTACCGCAAACGTAAAAGAAACAATTGGGAGTACACTTTTTTTTATGTCACAATTTACTAAGATATCATATAGCTAGTCTTGAGTCTTGACCAAGGTATAATAGATGTAAAGATTTAAACCAAAAGATATAGAACGGAGGAAAAAAATCTTACGTCCGGTTTCGTAGGTGAAATGAGCAAACAAGGTAGCAAGTTCACGCCTAGTAACGGAATTAGCAAAGTTGGGGAAAGTTCTAGTGGCGTTAATGAAAGAGTCACGGGTGTAGAATCTTTTTCCGGCGCAGCCACTACCGGCTTGGTTGATTATACCGTTAAAGAAACCTTCCGTCACAATGGTACCGACCGAAACAGCACTGGTTGAGGTTCCACTCCCTCTACAAGGACCTGATCGGCACGTACGACCACAGTAATCCATTGTGGTACCGCAGTAACCGAACTGACTGCAACAAAGGTTTGGGGCGCAATTGCAGTTTTGAGACTTGACGGTTTCAGAATAGAAACCTAAGAGGAAGAGGAGAAGGATCAGGGAGTTTTTTTTTCCCATTTTTGGGTAGCTCTTGTTGTGAGAAGAAAAGGAAGAGTTTCCGATATTTATATAGGGAGAGATAGGAAGGGAAGTTAATTGTGATTTTTTTTGTTTTAAATTATTTAACATTGGGTTTGACTGTTGGTCTAGCAATTGAATTTTCTTGTTCAGTTAACAATTTCGGCATATCAGAATTTGTAATTTAGTGACTGGTATTATCAAATTTCAGCATAAATCGTTGATGAATATCCGCTATTTTATGTTTAAAATGAAATTTTCAAATAGAAACGATTGTAGCTGAATCAGCAAGACTACTACTAGTCAATTGCAATGGAAGCATGCATGAATAATGGAACGTTGGGTATGTGGTCTCATCATCTCTACACATTATCCTTATCCATATGTGATGGCTAATACAAGTCATATATTAACAACAAGTCGTTTTTAGTAACTGGAGGATCTCATAACGAAACTTAAACTAATTTTTAGAGTTTATGGAACGCCTCATATATATTTTTGTTTAAAATATTTGTAATAGCTAACTGTAGGGGAAAGACTCTAAATCTTATTCTCCGATTCCATGATAAGTCATTTAATTTCTAGACACCATGAATGGGTCAATAGAGAACTAGTTAATAATATTTATATGTAATAAACAAACAAAAAAATTCCCATCGCTATGAAGTGTTAAATAAAATTTTCCTCTCACTTTGCTACTCGCTTTCAATCATAAGAGATCACGAAGAGATGAAAAGCATAGATTATTTTTGTTTTGTTTATACTACTAACATTAAATATTGGACTATACATTATAGTTTTTGCACCCACATTTGACGTGGTCCAAAGTACATTTTAATTGACTTTTCCATTTATTTGGATCAAAGTAAATTCATATGAAGTAAGTGAATGAAAGCAAGACACGTAGAACAAAACCACCGAGAGACCTAACCAGCTTGGAACAAAGATCCAAGATCACTCTTAAGAAGAAGAAAAGGCTCCGAAATAACAGCCTCAAAACCATCCCTTATTAAGGGAAAGTCAAAACGAACGTTCACACGCATTTCTTTTCTGTATGTCTTTCATACAGATGGCATACATGGCGGACACATATAAACTTACTAACTCATTAGAATGCAAACGCATTACATAGCAAGACGTCGAAGGATATATATATATATATATATATATATATATATAATATGGCTCCTAATACCATATAACAAATGAATATCTTCTATTAAGAGTCGTTTTTTCAACTTTTAAATAAAAATTGTATTTCAATCAACAAGACTAATCCATTACAATTTGAAGGATATGTGAAACGTATTTAAATCAACGTAATGGTGTCTACACATTACTCTATCTTACCTCTAACTGTGAATGGCAAACACAAGTTACTTATATATATATATATATATTTCTTAAAAGAAAAGTTACGTATATATGTCATACATCGTATCCATGAATCCAAATAATAATACGGTAGTAAATAAGTGAAAACTACTAGATTACGTACGTATTTGTTCACATCATGAAAACTTAGGTACCTAAGTTTCGAAATGTAAAAAGAAAAAAAAAAAACCTAAGTTTCGAATATGACTTATATTTTTATTATTATAAGTCAGAGTAATAAGAGTGTGCAGCATAATTATTTTTTCCCCATAAGTAATCAATTACCATTTCTCCAATAAAATGGTGGCATGAAATTAGTATAGGGAGTACGGTAGGGAGCCTCCATTACCGTGTAGTCTCCGTCATTGGCCTATCAATGCATATGACTCCTATAGTACCAATTAATAAATCGTCTATTGATTTTTTATTATTATTATTGATATGATTTGAGGTCACAAATTGAAACATAACTAATATCCGAGGTCTATGAAGTAGGCAAATGTTATCGACACTTTAGTAATGCATTTACAAATGCAAAAATGATTAAAATCATAGCGAAAATATTCGAACTTTGATCGATATCCATATCACGGATCACTTTTGACCACTATGATTGGTTGTTTTATTACCATGTTTCTTAAATCATCAAGACTAGTCAATCCATTATATATTAATCGAAAAATATATTTATTTTGTGCTTATTTGTTGTAACGTGGATGTTATATTTTGATAATAAAGATGGAGTACGAAAGAATTTTAAAATTTATATTTATTTTAGTTTACAACCCATTTAAAATACACATATCATATTAACTTTTTGCGTAAACCAATTTTAGTGTAAAACAAACTCTTTCAAACTTAGAGAAGTACCACCCTTTTTTTTTGTTCAAGGGAAGTACCACTTCTTAATTAGTTGTAGAACTATTAATTAACGATTAGTCTCTAGACTATGGAAGATTATGGTAATCTTAATTAAGGGATACCGCCTTTGAGATTTAAGGAGATCGTAAATTACATATATCCCCAACAATTACTATACTGTTATTTTACACCATTATCATTCTATCATTCTAAAGTAATAGTGTAATTCCAATACGTGTGAATATCCAAGAAAGCAGCTACCCTGAATATCAAACTCAGACATTTATTAATGTTGATATAACTCCACAAGACGTGATACAAGTCAAGAAAATCACTTTCACAAGATTATTGCAACGTTTTTTTGCTTGTGACGCAGGGAACACTAAGACCCAACACAAAGTACATATGCGAGATTTAACTTTATTCTCTCACTTTTTATTTCACCTTCACGTCACGTGTGTGTGTGTGTGTTTGTTTCGAATAGCTTTTTAGCAGCTAAGGTTAGCACCAGGATCCACACCAAGCTGGCCACAATAATCTCTATAGTACTTAATCCTTGCATTGACCGCACCTGAGTTCCCACCGTTACACTCCATACCATTGATGGCTCTAATGGTCGCTCCAAATCCTTGGTTCAGCACCGGTCTTACGCTATTCATCCAAAACCACAGACCCGTCCTGAAAGCCACAGTTGGGTTGCTACTGACTAGCTCGGGCTGGCCTAGGAGGTTAAGGTTGAGACTCTGTCCACAAGCCCCGTAGTTGTAGTTCCATGATAGTTGGATCGGACCACGACCGTAGTAGCCTTTGCCCGGTGCACATGGATATTGCCTGTTGTTCTCATCACAGTAGTCACGTGACGCTCCGTTTATCTCTTCTATGTAGCAGAAATCTATAAGGTATAGAGATGCACATAAAACAAAATGCTTTAGGATCATCACAATTAATTGAGATCAAGTCAAATCATATTCAAATTTTATTATATCGGAGGTTTAATCTTATACGCCTTCTTACACTATATGTTTGTTTTTAAAACCTTAACGTGTTATAGTATTTTACTCATCATTTTTATTTGTCTAATTAAGAGACGTTTAAAAATATCCATTTATAAGGTTTTGACAACATATGCGGTGCACTCATTTTTATTTTATAGTTAACCAGAAAATAGAATCAGTCATAACCGAACTACGTAGATGTATAGACAAAAAAAATTAGTTTTCTCTATATTATATTTGAAAGGAAGAAGAGAGGTTCTTACGTCCAGTCTCGTGGGTGAAATGAGCAAACATGGTTGCAATTTCACGTCTAGTAACGGAATTAGCAAAGTTGGGGAAAGTATTGGCGGCGTTGACGAAAGAATCACGGGTGTAGAAATTCTTTCCGGCGCAACCACCACCAGCTTGGTTGATAATACTATTAAAGAAACCTTGTGTCACAATGCTTCCGACAGATCCACCACCGGAAGGGGTTCCACCAGGGGTTCTGCAAGGGCCTGATCGGCACCCAGTACCACAGTAAGCATCAGTGCTACCGCAGAAACCGAACTGACTGCAACAGAGGTTCGGGGCGCAACCGCAGTTTTGTGACTTGACGGTTTCAGAGTATAAGCCTAAGAGGCAAAGGAAAAGGACTAAGGAGATTCTTGTGAGAGCCATGTTTTTTTTGTGTTATTTGTTTGTAGATGAGAAGGACGAGGCTGTGAGAAATATATAGGGATAGATGTTGGGTAGTTTGGTCATTTGCTTTTTGGGATGTGTGGAAATAAAATGTTTTTCTCTACAATAATACAAAACCGAGTTTGACTTTTAGTCTTACTTTTGCCAAAGATGTAAATAATATGGATTTGGTCCAAGACGGGTTATATATTACTATTTCTCAATTCTGTTTTTATGATTTAACAAATTAAATATCTTATTTGATTCGCAAAATGATTGAACAAACAACAAAATTAATTTAATGTATTAATCTATTTAATTCATGTGTATGTACAAACTATATGCAGCAAATAGTCGACATAAATCTGAATTGGTTACCGAGAGCCTGTGGGCAAGTGGCAGAGTTACCTCTGCTTGGCATCTTGAGCACTAAGATTTGATCCCATCTTTCCTTTAGCAATGGGATAAATGGAGCCACTTGCCACTTGGTGACAGAAAATAATCTGAATTGGTTTTTTTTCTTTCTTTCTGAAACTAATTTTAATCTACACCGTTCAACTTTTTGTATTTTGAACTAGTTTTAGTTTCAATTTGATTTATAGACAGAGACAGTTATGAAGAAATTTGAACACTCGGCACTAATTGTGCCAAAAATATTTATTAAAAGATTACCAAAAGAAAAAAAATAAATATAAAACGAGGCTTTATTGCGTTGCTGATCAATATATATTAAGAGCCGACTCTAAGAAATGTCGTATGTGCTGTGATTCAATTACTTACTGAGAAGAGTTTATCTTAAAGGTTTAACCAAAAAAAAAGCTTCATCTTAAAATTATTATAACCAATGGATTGCTTATACTTTTATAAATCTGATTTTGTTTTTTAACACATTTTAAAAAGGTAATTAGTTTTGAAAACTAATGATGTGGTTTTTGTAAGATTTTTTTTGTCAACTAAAATAAATTTTTATTCACTATATAATGAAGGATAAAGTAAGTAGAATTTAAAGTTATTTTTTCTTTTTTTACCATTTTAGCTTACTACTTCAGTAGTGTTTCCTAAAGGCGGCCCTAAGAAGCGAAGTCGCATATGTCACTATAAATCTTGGTACCATGTGAGCCGTTAGTCGGGTCCATTACCTGGCTATTATTCAATGCATATGAATCCAGTTTAATTTTTAGATTTTTTCTTAGACATCTTTCAAATTATCTGCCAAACTTAAATGTATTTCGTTTTTCTTATTCGATCCCATACGAAATAAAAATATGTATTTAGTATATATCATATTCATGATTGAGAAGCAATGAATAGGTAGTTTCGTAGGATGGATATAAAGAGAAATATACATGCGATCAATCAATGTCTAAAGTAATGAGTTATATGAACATTGTGATTTGGGAACCATCCATATCCATCTTCTAACCAAAATGATTGTTCACGAAAAAAGGACTTCAACAATAGTTGTTCCATAATGATTATATTAAAATAAATACATCAAATCCTTTAGTTAAAACTTGCCGATAAAAAGTGACAAATGCACAAACGTACCAATTACGTCGCATACGTTGAAGAGTCGACAGCAATTATTTTTGACAATTCAAAGCTCTCGGTTTCTATTTTTCTGGTGGGAGTGACAACTGTACCGGATGTTGTGGGTTTTGGTTCAGACACTGAACCTTTCAGGATCGTATGATTCCATAACCGACTCTTAAGTAAAAAAAAAACAGATAAAAAGATTTATATTACTTAGATAAAAATGTAAAAGTAACATTGAGTCACTCTTCTCTTACAGTAATAAAATTCTAGCTTTGTTTCATGTTATAAAACCAACTATCGATGATATATTTAGGCATACCAATCATTATTTTCAGAAGAAATTTTGAAAATATGTATTATATTGTCGTTGTACCACCACCATTTAAAATTTCAAAATTAAAACTTGTATTAATATTTTTTAAAAATTTGGACCTCTTTTCCCCTAAAGGAATCTTAGTTCAAATAAATAAACCATGTCTTCGCTTGGTATTATTATTAATTCATTCTTTCAAATTTATATAGGGATTCTTTCATCTTTAAATTTCATAGGTGTAGCGTAATTATAATATTATCTTTAAATTAATAAGAGTAGACATTCACATTGGCTGATTCTTCTAGTCTATGTACAATCATTTGCTTTCTCGTCAAAAGATCTATAATCTATATGTGATCTTTTCAATTATTTTCCTAAAGTTCAAAAAAAAAATATATATTTTCCTTCTAGGATGGTCTCCACACCGGTACCGGTGAATAAAAAAGTCAAAGTCTTCGGTTATTCGGCCACTTGCAGATAACCTTTTTTAATGGCGAAAACATTTTAAATATTGCAATTCCTCTTTCACCAAGAGTATTTTAAAATACAAGTAATATGATAACTCAATAACCAAAAATCACATATCACGAAGATCAACATATATTTACAATCCATGTAAGAAATTAAATGATGACATTTTACAGAAAAATAATCATATGAATCTATAGATTTTACCATGTTATGCTTCCTTCGATGTTCGAGATTCATTTCTATAGATTCCTTGAATTAGATAAGTTCGAATTCTTTACAAATGCAGTATATATATCCTAATTCAATCATATCCTAATACACGTATACATATGTTTGAACGGTAGTGCTATCACATTCATGACTTTAACAATCTAGACCTTGATCAGGAGTGACCCCAAGCATCTCACAGAACTCTGTGTATTGCTTGACCTTGTTATTTGTTCCGTCACGACGCCAGTTACTGCATTCTCGGCCATCGACCCTCTTTGTGATTTCTCCAAATCCTAAGTACAACGCCGGACGCACGTTCCTATTCCAAAACCACATGGCGAATTTGAAAGCCACTTCCGAGTTACGTGCAACCAGATCTGGATCCTTCAATAGAGGTAGCCCGAGTTGTTTGCCACCCGCACCATAATACTCATTCCACGTGATTGATTGGAGCAAACCGCGACCATAGTAGTTTTTGCCCGGTTCACAAGGGTACTTCTTGCTCTTTGAACAGTACATTTTGGACGATATTTCTTCTTTGTAGCAAAAGTCTTTACATAAAATACAATAAGTTAGGGAATTCCATTTTTCAAAAAAAAAATGTGATAATTATTGATTTAAATGCAATCGTGAATGTTTGCATGTAATCATGATTTGCAAACGACGAATTTCATAGTTTGGAAGAGCTCGATTGCAAATTAATAAGGAAGACAATATATTTAAACACAAATGCAAAAAAAAAAAAAAAAAAAAAAAAAAGCGGAAAAAAGTTCTTGCTGTGGTATAATGAACTTACTTTTAGATCCATATGAGAAATGAGCCAATATTGCGGCGATCTCGCGTTTAGACACTTTTCCTTTGTAAGCTCCAAACGATCTGAAAGCGGTAATGAAAGCCTTGTAAGTGTAGAATCCTTTTGCCGAGCAGTTGCTTTCGACTTTGCTCATGATTCTCTCAAACAACGTTGGTGTGATGACACTCTCTATTTTACCACGTGGACCGGCATCCACGTTGTAGTCATATCCGTAGGATTTGCCTTTGATATTGCAAGGACCACTGAAACAAAAAAATCCACAGTAATCGTCTTTGGTGCCACAATATCCCCATCTGCTGCAGCACTCCTTAAGGCCAGGGCAACTAGTATCCTGGCAATTTTGTGAGGACGCAGTCTCGGCCAAGATTGCTAAAATGGAGAAGAAACAAATGAGAGAGTTTTTTAGAATCGCGTTTTGGATCGTCATTAAATTTATTTGGGAGTTCACTTATAGCATGAGTCTTTTGAAATGGGGATTTGTGTGAAGAAACGAGAGGCGTTTGTGTTTGTATTTGTACTATCTGAACCACTATAAAATTCACGAGTCAACTATTGACGTGAAGTTTAAACGAGAATTAATCTTTCACGTGATAATATGTTGCTTTGTTATGAATCTTACATCCCTAGCTATGAGTTTCATATGAACGTAGAGTAAAAAAGGGAACAAATTTATATAAACATGTGAAATATAAAAGAATCATTAAAAACTGTAAGTTGGTTCATAAGAAACTATATTCAGATCGGCCAACAGGGAAGATTTGATCGCTTGGTTTCTGGCACCTTATTCATAGTTTAAGAAATGTGGAGTAGTTTCTTTAAAACTGTAAGGTGGTTTGAATGTAATATATATCCTTTAATTAGAATAATAAATAACATATATATGTATATTATTTTTTATCAGTGATTTATTATATCTTCAATAGCCTAAAGATAACCAATTATTTTGTATAAATATAAATATATATATATATATATATATATATATTGATCGGATAATCTGTGGTCTAACTTTATTCACTCTCTTCTTGTTTTGAGCATTAGTATACCCTACTGTTTTAAAAATAACCTTGATAAGAAAAGATGTGATTTGCACATCATCAAAAAAAAAAAAAAGATGTGATGATACAACAAAAAGAAAATTTGCTTCTATGCATGAATACTTTTGTAGTGTGAAAGAAACAGGGAAAAATGTTTATTGGATAATGAGATGTAGTTCCATACAAACAACACAATATAAGTTACCTTACGACACACCACATAATACGACTTCCAAGGTCTTTATTTTCTTTTTCTTAAAACTATTTTAGTGTTTTCGACTTCTCTTTATTATTCGACACATGGCATCTTAAACTCACACACGATACTTAAAACCCACATTAACTAGTAGGGGTCTTCAACATTTGAGGTTGGTTCCAGGAGTGACCCCAAGCTTCTTGCAGAAATCCAAGTAATGGTTAACCCTGCTCTGCACCGCGGCTGGACGCCCACCGTCACACTCACCACCGTTAATCCTCCTCGTGGTGGCTCCAAACCCTCTGCTCAAAACCGGACGTACATTCTTGTTCCAGAACCACATAGCACACTTGAAAGCCACGGTTGGGCTACGAGCCACCATATCTGGATCCTTCAAGAGAGGAAGTCCAAGGAACTTTCCTGCTGCGCCGTAATTGTAGTTCCATGTGATTTGGATCGGACCACGACCGTAGTAGTTCTTGCCCGGTTGACAAGGGTACGTATTGCTCGGTGAGCAGTACCTTCCTCTAGCTATTTCTTCTTTGTAGCAAAAACCTTTTGCATAACCGAAGAGTTAACAGTTTATTAAAAAAAAAAACAAGAAATCGAGGTCCCAATTAATTAAAGAAATAAAAAAAAAATTATGAGAAATTATATTGATATATATATATATCTATATATATATATATATTAGAAAATATTTGTATTTCATGATAAAAGTATTCATTTATCTACAAAAACATAGATTGTAAATAGAATAAAAATTCAGTATAAAAACCAAGACCTAATACAAATGGATAAACCAAAGCTATTTGCGTATATATATATACGTGAACAATTGTTAATTTTGATAAATATACGTAGTACTCTTCGATATTTTCTAAAAATAAGTTATTATAATGTAGTAAACGGTGCACTACTTACTTCCAGATTCGTGAGAAAATTGAGCCAACATGGCAGCAATCTCACGCTTAGCGACGGTTCCTTTGTAGGCCGTGAACGATTGAGCGGCTGCAATGAAAGCTTGGCGAGTGTAGAACCCTTTCGCTGGGCAGCCACTTCCAACTTTACTCATGATGCTATTGAAGAACGCTGGTGTGACAACGCTCGCTATGGTACCACGAGGACCATCGTTTAGACCGCCGCTACCGCTGGGAGTGGGAGGCTTAGGTTTGGATTTGCAAGGTCCGCTCTGGCATCCTGTGCCACAGTAGGCGTTTGTGGTACCACAATATCCCCACCTGCTGCAGCACATGTTGCCTTTGCACCCGGTTTTACCGCAGTTTTGCGAAAACGCTGTTTCTGCCATGATGGTCAATGTGAAGAGGAAAACGATGAGAGCGTTTTTCAGAAGCGCTTTTGGGATCGCCATTTTTTGAGTTTTTGATGAGAGTGTTTTGGAGGGAGAGTTGTGTGAAGAAATGGGGAGATTTTGTGGATGTATTTATAGTGTAAAATTGGCATATATTGAATTATCTTTCGCCAATATTAAATATTTTTTATAGATAAGTCATGACCCATTCCGTTTCTTGTAGTTGTGATTAAGGATAAATTCTATGATCATTTGAATTCGGACTTGGTCATAACGTTTAGCTAATTTAGACTAAGAGACGAAAACGAATTTAATAAGATCGTTCCCAAGATAATTTTTTATATTAATAAACAAGTTTGGGATTGAGTCGGTTCAAATTCACCTACATCCTAATAGAAAAAAAAAATCAGACTTGACCATCACATTATACTAATATATATGTAATATGTTGCTTTGCTTTCAGGTTGTAGGATCGCGCGTCATCCGTATACGAAATTAACCATGTAATGTCATTTCTTATCGTGTAATCTTTATTTAAATAGTTTAAATCTATTACTTATACATTTGATACTGTCCAGAAAGTTAGATTATGTGTAAAAGACTTTTTCCTCGACGAGTAAATCTTAGCCATGCATGCGAGTGAAATTTTGATCATATGTATAAATGTGCTGGTCAACTTAATTTTAAGAATTCGCCAAATATTTATAACATTGTTATAAGTTAACCCCAAAAATTGAAAACATTTCTACTGAAGATCAAAATGTTAAACATGGAACTATTCATAAATTTCTGACTGGTTTCTCCATGATTTGGAAAACTAACTAGAGCGGAGATCGTTCAATTCAGCATCTTTGAATATTTATATATATTGCTTACTTACGGTCCACGTAAGAAATTAATGTATGTGATACGATTTTTCTTTTCAATCCTATGTGATACAATAAGTTAAAAATAGGGTACATGAACACGAATCCGTTTTATAATATGCAGCCAATGAAATGTGCCAAATATGCCACTAGAATATAAGCACGTACATAGGTTTTCAACTTTCGTGGAACTTGCAATGGTTTGGAAATGATAATGTTAAATTTTCTCACGTAAATAATTGTACAATAATTAATAGAAATCTATGTTGACTCTGACAATAAAGAGGGTTTACTTCAGCGCTAATTAAGGGATCCTTGGAATGCGCTGACGTGGCCCAATCAACTCAAAGTCAACTCAAGCAGCATCACACATGCTCACATGAAGTAACCATTTCTTTTTTTGTTATTGGTCAAAGATCTAAGAATTTTTACTACTTCTCTTTTTGACAGCCATGTGCTTTTTTTCAACAAAAAAGTTCCAGTCATTCGATTCACTTTAAAAAAAATCTAAAATCATAATATATCACAAATCATATATTTACAATCGTAACACTCTACTTGGATTTGATCTCGAGTGATCTTATCTATTTACTTATTTTATGGCCACCCATCTTTTTAATACCGTTTTTTTTTATTTTAAAGTCACTGCTCCACATGCAATGGAAGTGAAATCTGGAAGCAAAAGGAATTTTTTGGGGATCTTCTTAATTCTGTAACTGAGGTGTTTCATGATGCTGGAGTGAAAATTCTGGTTAACCGAATCATTTATTTTCATTTGGTTGCTTTGTTTTAGGTGTGACAAACCTAAATACTCAAGCAGCATGAGCTCTCCCTAAAAAGGAGGTGTGATTCTGAATCAGAAATGTTGATATTGTTAACCTCATACCGCAGTGGCAAAAGATCACCGATAATGGAATTCGAAATCAGAAATTCAATATCTACTCTTTTACGGATGCATGGACTTGGTTTGGTAAAGATTGATGTTTTCTCATGAAAGAGATTGAAGTTCTTTTTACAAGAAAGATCAAAGAAAGATTGATGTTTCGATATATAGAATATAATTTACTTTAGTCAAAAAAACACAATCATAAAATTGAAAACAGGGTTTTTGAACAGCGAGACAGAACACATTTGCTCTATCGACGCCGTACGATGTCACGTATCTTATCAATCACAAGCCACTAGAACTAAAAAGTTATATTATATATCCGACATAAGTACATAATTAACCTAGTTCACGTAATCTTCACAAGAATTATAATCTTGATTTCCTAACCTAGTAGTACACTCATTATATATGAGACAAAGCATTTTTTCCTAATCTTGATTCATCTTTTTTTTTTAATTAAAAATTGGTGTCGCGAGTCGATATGTACTTTTCGTAACATGTACGTTATTAAGTCGACCCAAAAATCAAATGAAATCAACAAATACTTTAAATATAGTCACATCATATTCAATATAAATTTCTGTTTAATCCCACGTACATTTTTTTGTTGTTAGAACTTTACAGATTTGATCATGTAAAATAGTAATTTCTAATTTATCTTTAAAAAAAAAAAGAAGAGAAAAACCTTAAAATAGCATCAAAACAAGTTTTTAATCACTATTATTAGAAAGTTAACTAGTAATGTCATTTTTAAAACAAAAACCATAAAAATGTGCTACTTTGAGAATTCCTAAAAGAAAATAACTTTTTACCTTCCAAAAAGAAAATATTGTTAACAAGTCAACTCAAATTGTCAGCACAACAAAAAGTTTCATAGAATTGAAATCCTCTTCCGTTATCTAAAGAGTAAGAGTCTGACTACAAAAATGGTGCTTCAGCGAACAAGACAAATAAGAAGTCATCGAAAGAGGCCCTCTTGATGTCGTTCGGTTATGATGCGTGTACTTACGAACCCTCTCGTGTGTAAGTTGACGCTCATTTTACGTGTGTGTGGACCATCCTTTCTGTAAATATTTTGTTGTTTTCAGGATATTTTCAAAGTACTACGTACATGCGTCTATCCTTAATAATCCATATATATATATATATATATATATATATATATAGAATTGAAAAACAAGTTGAAAACACAACTCATTGGGATTACCAACACTCCAGCAATAATTCTCACTACCGATTCTTACTTCACCATTTGGTACATACACTTTGAAACAACTTAAGCCTAAGCATAATTTATCATTTGTTCACACTTTTTTTTCCAAGTTTCACCTTATTTTGTTATCAGACCTATGAAATTAAACCAAACAAACTTCTGTAAAATTTACCATTCGTTCACACTTTTTGTTCATTGTGTATCACTCTTATATAGATTTCGCTTTAGTTTCTAAGACAAAAAAGCAAAAACAAAAATCCTAGTAAATCTTGTAAATGCATTTATTATAGATTGGCTGATATACTTCATTTTTATGAAATCCTTACAAACAACACATGGATACATTATGAATTTAGGAATTAGGATACACGTCATAATCTTTTATTAGACACCTTTACTTATTAACTCACACACGCAAGACCAACATCATACCATGAAGCGTGCCATATTAACCACATTTAACCTCTTTAGCAACTAAGACTTGTTCCAGGAGTGATCCCAAACACCCTACAGAACTCCAAGTAGCGGTCAACTCTGCTTTGCACCGCTGCAGGACGCCGACCGTTGCATTCGCCACCGTTGATCTTCCTCGTGGTGGCTCCAAAGCCTTGGTCCAAGACCGGACGAACATTCTGGTTCCAGAACCACATGGCACACTTAAAGGCCACTTCAGGGCTACGAGCCACCATATCTGGATCAGTCAAGAGAGGGAGTCCAAGGAACCTTCCGGCTGCACCGTAGTTGTAGTTCCATGTGATTTGGATCGGACCGCGACCGTAGTAGTCCTTTCCCGGTTGACAAGGGTAGACTGTGCTAGCTTGGCAGTACCTTCCTCTCGCTATTTCTTCTTTGTAACAAAAACCTTTACAAAAGATCGGTTTTTATTAATTTCAAACATGAATTATGAGTCCCAAACAATTTAATAAATACATAATCTATGCCAAAAAAGTAAGTAAAACTAAGAAAACATTATTTATTAAGAAAACGGAATATCATTTATTCACCCACGAAATTTCATAAATATTGAATTATCCGTGTGTCTAATTAGGGTTTGGAATTTTAATAGAAATATGAAAGTTTGCTAGATTAATTAAAACAAAAAAAAAAACATTATGGGTGAATAAATACTTCTATTAGGTAGTGAAACTAGAAGGGTTTATATGGTGAACACTTACTTCCAGATTCGTGTGAGAACTGAGCTAACATGGCAGCGATTTCACGCTTAGCGACGGCTCCTTGATACGCAGGGAACGATTGGGCAGCTGAGATGAAAGCCTGGCGAGTGTAGAACCCTTTGGCTGGGCAGCCGTTTCCGACTTTGCTCATGAGACCATCGAAAAATGCTGGTGTGACAACGTTTTCAATGGTATCACGAGGATCGGCGTTTAGACCGCCGGTGCCGCCGCTAGGAGCTGGTGTGGCTCCGGAGCTGCAAGGCCCGCTTCTGCACCCGGTGCCGCAGTAGGCGGCTGTGGTGCCACAATATCCATATCTACTGCAGCATAGGTTGCCCGCACATCCGGCTGTGCCGCAGTTTTGCGAAAACGCGGTTTTTGTGATGATGGTTAAGGTGAAGAGAAAAAGGATTAGAGCGTTTTTGAGAATCGCTCTTTGGGTAGCCATTTTCTGTTTTGTTTTGGAGGGGTGAGTGGGGGGAGATAGTTGTGTGAAGAAATGAAGGTGGTGTGTGGATGTATTTATAGTGTAAAGTTTCTCTCTATTTAAAATTTTTAAATGATATTTTTTGATCAAATAGTTTAGGTACTTCTCGATTATCAATTGGCTTTTTCTTAGTCCAAGTCAACGACCCTTTCGTACCACAAAATAGTAAGTCAATGGCCCATTCTTTTTCTTGTCGTTACGAGAAAATCTATGTCGGTCATGAATTCGATTAAAAACGAATTATCAATTTAAAACAATATTTGATACTATTTAATTTCCTTTCAAGCTACCATCTAAGCAGTGTGGTGCGAGAGTAGCTCTCGGAGCTTTACAGATAAACGTTTGGAGTTGTCTGTTGATCATACTCTAGCTTGTGTGGAACAAGCTGTTATCATATCTCTTTTGTGCCCTCTCGATGAATTAATTAGATAGCAATTTGTAACTGCAGTTATTTGGTATAAAAAGTCAATTAGATTAACATATTTCTAAAAATAATTAACTTGATGTATCTATAAACAAGTTTGGCTCAATTCAAAAATTTGAGTTTTTTTTTTAAATTGAAGAATTCACGTTTTGCTGATTCCATCATTCTAAAAGTTTTAACAGCAGTAAATCTATAATCAATCAGAGTCTAAATATATCTCAAACGCTACTAAGGAACAAAATACTACTGACATTTAGCTAATCAATTGATACATATATAGTATTCTTACTGTTTTAACTTAGACGACACAACGATTCAATATCTGAAAAACTAAAATAAAAATTGATAGGAATTGTAAGAAAAATGAATATACCAAAATCAAACTCAAATCTCTTTAAAAATTAAAACCATATGTGAAGATAAATTCAAAGTCAAAACCGAAATTACTAAACTAACTCACTTTTCAATCTAACTAGGAGTTTCGCCCGCATGCATATGCGGACATAAACAGTTTTAAGATTTTAATTACATAAATATCTAAATTATTATAAATATTTTAATTTTTGTAATGTTAAAAAATTAGGTAGGGTGATTAAATTATAGGGTCTAATAGCAAAATATGGTATAATTTTAACTAAACATTTCATTATAACAAAAAACCTATTTTATTATGTTAAAGGGTCAAATGGATCAGACCCGTGGATAGCTGGTTGAGCGGGTTACCTGCTGCAGATTTGCGTGTCAGGTATGCAAATTTCATAATTTTCTTCGTCTTCAATTAATCTTCCTCAATTTATCCAGTTATTTAGCCTTTAAATTCTCGAAGACTTCTTTGTATAAAATAAATATTTGAACTAAAATAAATTAAACACAGAAAATTATTTGAACTTAAATATATTCTAACTTCTCTTTGTATATTTGTTTAGCTTATGTTTCATGTGGACAACAAAAATGGGCTCTTTAGTTAAACATTGTTAGATTAATGTTACTTTGGATTATATAGTCGATGCATGTGATGAAGACAATTCTCATAATCTTTGTACAATTTGATGATACAATTAATGTTGCTTTGGATTATATTACGGAAAGACGATCTCAAGAAGACTGTTAAAAGTAGATAATCATACTTCGGTTAACAAAACGTGGTATACTCTAACTTCTCTTTGTATATTTGTATAGCTTCCATTTTGTGTGGACAACAAAAATAGGTTCTTTAGTTAAATACTAATTGTTAGATTAATGTTACTTTAGATTATATAGTTGGTGCATGTGTGAAGATATAGTTTTTATATAATTTAAAGTGTATAAATCTATGTATGTAATAAAAAAATATAACATATCTTTTGTGCATGTGATAAAAAATGATAGTTTACCATTTATATTAATAATTAAATATTTTATATTTTTCAGTTTTCATAAAATAATAATTTGAACTAAAATAAATTAAACACATAAATTTTTTTTTGTCATGTCATAATCTACATGTGTTAGCAAATGCTATGTCACAATTACATCATCATTACACATCATCATTTCTATGTCATATTTAATTTAGATTAGATTGATGTTTTTAACCAATGAAATTAAAACAAATTAGCATATTTCATTAAACTACATTATTATATAATAACCATAATTGTTTTAAAATAAAATAAAATAAAAACTCCAACACCAAATAACCAAACCGAACACAATTGCAATTGCAAGCGGTCATGCGTCGGGTATTAAACCAACTAATCAAGTTAACCGTATCATTCTACCAACTAATCAAGAAAGACTAGAAGTCTAGAACCATCGAGAGGCTCAAGTGAAACGACACCGTTAGGTGCCCAGTTTCAGGATAGATAAACTTAGCGATCGCCTCTCCGTTCTCGACTCTCACACCTCCGCTTCTCCGTCGTTTTAATTTGGACGACACAAAGGGGGAAAATCGAATCCTTTCTTTTCTCGAAGGATAAAACTAGGGCTTCGAATTCCTCTCTCCCGTCAAGGCTTCGACAAGGTACGATTATCGTTTCTGACTCTCCCGTTTCTATGATTTTCCCGGTTTCTAGCGAGCTGTTCATTGTTCTTGCCTTATGATCGCCGAACCAGTGCCTTCCTATTCTATTGCCTAGAACTTCCTGATTTCTGGTAGCTACTATTGCGTATTGTTATATGAACGCGATATAATCATCCCTTAGGTTTGTTCGAAATAGCATCTTTGGTACTCTAAATTCTGATCATGCCCTGAAGAACATCTTTTCGAGCCTTCTCATCGGGAATGTTCGTTTTTCTTCGATTTCTTTTGCAGTCAAGATCCGAAAGTTAATGCATTAAGAGAAGCATTGGGATAAAGATGAGCTTTACTCAGGCTAATTGTTTTCGACCATCCTACGGTCCTGCAAGGATAAATCGTCTGAATTGTGTCTCTAGTGGACCTATTAGGTCGCCATTAAGCTCTAAACCTCGTGCGTCAATTGCTCTCCGAGCAAGTGCATCGGTGTCTACTGAGTTTTCGCCTTTGTTAAATCACCGGCGTCGTGCAACTACCGGGAAATGGAAGCAAGGTTCTGCTGTGTGCTTATTTGGTGGCAAGGATAAGTCTAATGGTGGTGACGAGGTCAGATTTTTTTCCTCGTTTTTTCTAAGTTCGTCATTGTGTAAATGATTTTGACTTTGTAACCAGAGATCGATTCATATCTGTCGATTTCGTTCCCAATGATTGTTGTAATGACTTTTGTTTGTCATCAGGTATCACCGTGGAAAGCAATAGAGAAAGCTATGGGGAAGAAATCGGTTGAAGATATGTTGAGGGAGCAGATACAAAAGAAAGACTTTTACGATACTGACAGTGGCGGCAACGTTCCTCCACGTGGAGGAGGAAGTGGCGGTGGTGGAAGTGGTGGAGAGCGTCCTGAAGGCTCTAGCTCTGGAGGGGAAGACGGTGGTCTTGCTGGGATTGCAGATGAAACCCTGCAAGTGGTTTTAGCAACCTTAGGCTTCATCTTGTTGGTAAGAGACAAAACTTTCGAAAAGATTTGATAACTTTCATTGTATCTTGCTTTAATCGGATGTTCTGTTTCCGCAGTACACCTACATCATCACTGGAGAGGAATTGGTGAAGCTTGCGAGGGATTACTTTAGGTTTCTGATGGGAAAACCCAAGACTGTTCGATTGACCAGGGCCTTGGATGGTTGGAATGGATTCATTGAGAAGATGTCGAGGCAAAGAGTTTACGATGAGTACTGGCTAGAGAAGGCGATCATCAACACACCAACCTGGTACGACAGTCCCGAGAAGTACAAACGTGTCCTCAGGGCTTATGTCGACTCGAACTCTGATGAATAGTCTGTGTCAGTTTCACCTTTGTTAGGAACTCGAAGAGAATCATAATAACAATTGAGGTTTTTTCTTAGGCTCAGCTTCTGCTTTGAGATCAAGAATCGAGTTGTTGAATTTAGTCAATCTTTGCGCTTAGTTTTTATATATATGATCATTACTCTCACGATGAAAATTCAATAAGATGCAAACCCAAAATCTTTCATGACATAAATCAAAAATCTCTGAGATCTTTTCAATATCTTCCAAAATTCAATTTCTACGCAACAAATTGCAAATCAATGAGAACACAAAAGGAGAAATCAAGGTTTCTTGGGCTTAGTGGTTGAGGTGCCTTCTTTCTTCTCTGCCTCTGTGGATTTCTTCCGGTCTTTCCTCTCCCTCTTCTTCAAAGCAGTCATGTGGGCCTTAAGAATGGTAGCGTATGATGCTTGGAATCTCTGGTGATCCTTAGCCCCAACCTTAAACAAGAAAGCATTGCAACGAGTTAGCTCCAGTGTAAAATGGTTTATGGAAGAACGAGTAGAGAGCTAAGAAACAATGCTATCTGTTATTATCAAATCCTCCAAAGAGAGTATAAGACTGAGACAATCTTTTGATTAACGGATATGATGGTTTACTCATGCATGGTTAAAAGTTTGAGATCATGTGTAGAACATACCGATGTAGAAATCGTTTTCTTTGCATCAGTTGCTCGAATAAGGCATCTGTACTCCATGGTTTCTCCAGCTGAACTCAGTTTCCTCTTCTGCAGCTTAGACTTCAAAGTTGCTGACACAAGTAATATCACTTCTATAAACGAGACATCTTTAAAAAGACAATTCAACTATAATCAGGTAACAAAAGTGGAAGAATGTCCAGATGAGGTTGTCAAGTAAAAGAGCCGAACTTACATCTTTTCAAAGTAACCCACACAGAACCCTTCTCTTTGCTTTTCTCGAACATGCTCGTGAGTTCATTGAGGAATGGGTCCAACTGTAGTAGAACCTGAAAAACCAAACAAGATGCCATCAAAAAAGAGCATCATCAGCCAAAACCAAAGAAAATGCAGGTGGTAACATTAGCTTCTTCCTCCATTAATCATTGAGTTCTCTAAAGTCTTAGCCTCAATGCTGATTCAAATCCCAGCAAACACTAAACGAAGGATAAACAAATCTCACAATAGTCTTCACACCATATTTACAGTTCTTCATCTACTGTCAAAACCATACAGCTACAACAATCCTGGGATGGGTCGAGAATTACCATTGTTAAACCTCAGATGGATACTTTTTGCAGATCCTCAAGCACTGCGAAGACTCCTTCTCTCTCGGATCGCTGAGAAGAAAAACATAACCACAATGCAAAAGAAGGGAAAAAGTGAGATCTGATGAAATTGACTTCGCCGAAATCAATCCAATACGCAACTTTGAAATATAAGCACGATTGAAACAATTGCTCGAAACCATTCTGATTCTGGTCGATTCGAAGCTAGGAAAGCAATGAAAGTCCGATTAATACAACCCTAGATCATCACAGATTCTCAACAAATCTACACGAAAAAATCAACAGCACAAGTGCATGGTAGAAAAGGATTCAATTTTGCAATAAAAATCGAATTGAGCCAGAACAAATAACCATGCTTGATCAGCTCAAAACCCATGAGATTTAAGAACCATAATCCATCAAATAAGAAAAATCAACTGACCAGAGACCAGAAACTGATGATCTGCTCCCAAAAAGCCACCGGCCGGAGGAAAGTATACGGTAAAAGGAGGTCGCCGCAAGTAAAAGACGAGTATGCCTATTTGTGCCACAAGACTCATTTAAAATTGGGCTTTATTTCTAAACTAATGGGCCTTATTAAGCCCAATAAATTGTAAAACCCTTGCAATAAATTGTAAAACCCTTAAAATTGGGCTTTATTTCTAAGTCTATATTGTTAGTTGCTTAGCTCTATTTCTACTCGGTACACGTGATTGATGAGTAGTGAAATCATGTGAATTTGAGAGATGTGTATGATTGATTGCTTATTATTAGAGATTTTTAGCTAGTGCTTATGAGTTTAGGAAGTATTTGTATTTCTAAAGAGAGATGATGATTCTTTTGATGATTGGTTTGTGTCCACAGATCATAAACAGAGAGATATTGTTCCCTTGGTTCTTAACAGTGATACTGATGAATCGAACTAAGATGATGTGCAACCAGTTTTTGATTTTAAGGTTTGTTAATTGGCTTTTAAGACAACGACTTTCCCTTTTAAACTCTTCTGTCCGATTCTTTATAGCTGTTAGCATCAAAAATCGAAGTCATAAATTTGTCTATATTTTTAAAAAATACTTTAAATATATGTTCACTAATTAAATTTTACCAAAAAGACAAAATTTCACTAAAGTTATCTGTATTTACTGATATTTATGGCATATTAGAAAACTTAAATTGCAAGGAAAGGTTTAAACTAACAGTAAAACAAAACTGAAAATATGATTTGGTAAAATGAGAATGAACACACTTAATTAGTTTATATTTCCGATATTAGGACATGTGTTGCTTAAAAATGATGATGGTTATTAGAATTTTAGAAAACTATTCCAAGTTTGCAATACATGATTATTTATAAATTTTAAATTTTACATATTATTTACTATATACATTTCTAAGTTTATTTTTCATACCAAAAAATCTCTCTTAAATAAGAAATGGGTTAAATCTAGTGTATATATAAAAGCAAAGCTATAGAAGATTTTCAGACGGGAACCAAAATCAAACATGCATACACAAATATATCTTGCTTTCATCATCTTCTTATGTCTTTCGTCGGGTAATCTCATCACAACTACTCGTCATACTTAATATAATTGACTGATCAAATTTCTTATATATAATTGTACCGATGCATGCGGGCTTATAGATCATTTGAAAGTTTTGTCGTAAGATTTTTGGTTTTCCACCTTCTGTAACAATTTTAGTTTGATTTTTATGTTTCAGGAAAAAGTTTCATGAGAGTCAACGCAAAGGTACATGTTTAAAATTCCTCATAAGTGGAAACATTTTTTTAAAAATTCAAATAGCATAAAAATATTTATATTTTAGTAATACAAACATATTAGTAATGATATAGGTAGGGTTACTTAGGTCTTGATGTGGCAAGATTAATTATTAAATCACACACACGAACAAATGTGGAAGCATATGAAGACGAGTTATAGTGGGAAGGAATGTGCGAAGAAGACTTATCTTGTCACATAGTTGAAATATTTTAATATTTAGGAAACCATCATCGACCTGGTCATTACCAAATGAGGTTAGAATGATGGTTTCAAAAACACACAACAACATCTTCTGTTTCTCTAGCCATGCAACCATCTCTAAACTTTCCTTTTCTCTCTCCATGTCCACTTAAACGCAGATGCACTAGAACAGAGGATTGACTCGACAGCGCAGCAAGGACCTAAAAAGCCCGAGAATGAAGTACAAGGTAAGCAATCTTGGATTGCCAGTTTCTGCATCTTTCGTATCCATTTTACCTTTTTTATTCGCCTTAACACTCGGATGCTTTGGGATCTTGGTTTTGTTTGAAGAAAAAGCACGAGCAGGTTCCGGTAGCAATCCCAATATAAGCCGGAGCATCCGAAGCAAGATCAAACTAGCCTCCTTTTCTGACCTTTCTTGGAGGACTTCTACTTTGCATTACACTCTTCTTCAATACTTGAGCAAAGTCATTGCTCTGCAATTTTTGATGTCTTTTGTTAAAAAATAATGATTGTTACTATTGCAAAGTTTTTTTTTTTTCAGTTTTGCAATTAGAGTGAACACACTTACAGTTTACAATAGTTAGTTTTAACTTTTGAATTTCCAAAAACTTAAAAGAGATTTTTTGGTATGAAAAAAACTTAGAAATGTATATAGTAAATAATATGTAAAAATTGAAAAGTTATACATATTATTTACTATATACATAATTAATTTAAGAGAGGTTTTTTTGGTATGGAATAATAATATACTAACTATATATAATATTATATATATGTATATTAATGTATTATGTTACTTTTTCTTTAATCTTGATGTTTTTAAAGTTTGATTTCATTTGTTTGTCAACTAACATTATATATAATGTGTTATTAAAAAAATAAATGAAATATATTTAAAATTTTATGATTATATCATATTTTTAATATTTGTGAGAATTTTTGTCTCATTCCCATCCCATCACATTCCCATAGGATAGAAATAAAAATGAGATAATTATTTTGATTTTATATTTTTGTATCGTTTTCATTTCCACAAAATTCTGTCTCAAATTCCTATTTCCTAGTCTTTAGAAAACTATTCTCTGTTTACAATAGTTAGTTTTAATTTTAAAATTTTCAAAAAATTAAGAGAGATTTTCTGGTATGAAAAAAACTTAGAAATTTAAATAGTAAATAATATGTAAACTGTATAAGTTTTACATATATTATTTACTATATACATAATTTAAGAGAGATATTTTGGTATGAAAAAAGCTTTAAAATGTATATAGTAAATAATATGTAAAAATTTAAAAGTTATATATATTATTTACTATACATAATCTAAGAGAGATTTTTAGGTATGAAAAAAAAACTTAGAAATGTATAAAGTAAATAATATGTAAAATTCAAAATAAATTACATATTATTTACTACATAGATATTTTTTGTAGAAATCATGTTGATTTATATTGATTTAAGAAAATCTGAATACAAGGTAGATAATATGTAATTGTACTACATAGATATTATAAGAGAGATTTTTGGTATGAAAAGAACCTATTAATGTATATAGTAAATAATATGTAAAACGTTTAAATTTTGCATATTATATACTATATACATAAAACAATCTCTCTTAATTTAATATATATAAGAGATGGGTTAAATTTAGTGTATAGAGAAAAATAAAGCTGTGGAAGATTTTCAGACATTAATCAAAATCAAACATGCATATACAAATATATCTTTCTTTCATCATCTTTTTATGTCTTTCGTCGGGTAATCTAATCACAACTACTCGACATATATACTTAATATAACTGACTGATCAAATTTTTTATGTATTTATATATAAATTTTAATGTTCAAAAAAAAGAAATCTTATTGTGCCGATGCGTATGGGTTTATAGATCATTTGAAAGTTTTGTCGCAAGGTTTTCCAAGTTCTGTAACAATTTCAGTTTTGATTTTTATTTTTCAGGAAAACAAATAATGAAAATCAACGCAGATGCGGTACATGTTTAAAATTTCCTCATAAGTGAAAACAATTTTTTTAAATATAAAGACAAATCAATCTCATATATTTTTATGCTATTTGGATTTGCTCTTTGTCGCAGATCAGCGATGGATATGTGTGTGTTGCGGACCGTTATACGACGGATAACGAGAAACTTTTAAGAATCATAGACTTCATATGTTCCAAAATGGATTGCACAATTATAAAGCCAGGAGGTATATGTTATGAACCTGATACTCCCCTTAGTCACGCTTCTTTCGTCATGAATCGTTATTACCAAGCTCAAGGAAGACACAAGGAGGATTGCGATTTCGAAGGCGCTGGTTACCTTACTGATATTGATCCTAGTGAGTTTCAAAATTCTCTGTGTCTCTCTAACAATTATGCATTTCTTCTTCTTCCAGTCTCCTTTATCAATGTTTTATTGTTTTTTGTTCTATTTTCAGGCTATGGGGGTTGCAGATATTAATATCGCAAGTAAAGTATATCTAAAAATATCTACGGGGGTTAACGTTTCATCTTTTTAACAGTTTCATGTTTGATATCTAAAGTTTGAATGGCTCGAAATATTTGAGTTTTGTATCATTGTTTACTTTCAGATATTAGATATTGTTAAAGCAATAAAACAATAAAATATATTATATTCATCAGTACTTAATCCTAATTCAATATTACTTTAACATGTAGTATATATACCATTATACTTAATTATATGCATGTGATACATATATATAGGTTAATTATTTGTAATTTGCCTAAATATATAGTTTGAGTTTCTTGCAAACAAAACTCACACATAAAGTTTTGTACAGTTTCATGAAAGTCTTAACTCCATATTTTATCGATAAACCATATGACATAGGGAAAGGGTATTTGTGAAATATTTGCAGTGTCGATTCGTGTTAGTGATCAGTTTTTTTTTTTCCTAAATACTACAAGTTTATATATATTTTAATATACAAATCCATCCACATACATTATACATGCATATTCGTGATGATATAGGTAGGGTTACTTAGGTCTTGATGAGGCAAAATTAATTATTAAATCACACACACGAACAAATGTGGAAGCATATGAAGACGAGTGATAGTGGGAAGGAATGTGCGAAGTTGAAATAATTTTATATTCTTCTTGCCTGAATTGTATTCCAAAGGTTCATTATGCGTTTTTAACACCAATTAATTAGTAAAACCATTTTCAAATCCTTAATATAATCTGTCCGTATCCCCGTGGAGATTGACATATATGTTTGAACAAAAAAAAATGTTTGATATATATATCTCTGCTTCATAAGATCAAGAATTAGATCGAATTTTGTTCAAAAGATCAGTGGTTTGTCGATGTCACGTGAACTATATAGCATTTGGTAAACACTGCGCTAATGAATGAAGGCAAGAAAGTGACAAGTACGCAGGAGACGAAGGCGCGTGCGATCACCATGAGACAAACAAAAGAATCAACCTCGTCTATGATAATTTCTTCAGATTCTGTTCTCATTTTGATACCAAACAAAAACTCATAAATATATATATTTTTGGATAGTTGCAAAATGTCAAAAGCGACAGTATACCACTGTCGTAATTATGATTTGTTAAAATACACCTGATAAACAAATCAGAATGTCTCCACTAAACCTAATGTTTTGTTGTCCAAATATTTTATTTCTTTTTTAAAAATATATACTTTTTCTGGCGGGGACAGGAACATACAACTAAAGAAACGATAATTATGGCATAGTTCTTCTTTGAGACCTGCTTTTGCATTTTGTTTTCTTGATGATATCATTGAAAGTTCAAAAGTTTATGATTGATTAAGGATGCAATTATGACGTCTTTATTCTTACAAAATGTTAGCAAATTCCATGTCGCTTTACCGGGTTCGACTGTTATTAATAAGTTAATTTCATTTTATATCTTGCAATATATTATTTAAACTGGTAAACGTAATCACAAATGTCAAAAATTGTATTTTACTTTTATAGATAAGTTGTGCTATTCTATATAAGACTGAAAATTTTAATTCATACCAGATCATATCTGCAGCTACGAAATTGGTAAAAGACCACAGACAACAAAATTTACAAGTGATTTTTCTTGTTTGTTTCCATCTGTACAATAGTTATCTTATTTAGGAATAAGATGATAACTCTTTCTATAAATCACTATCAAAGTGTATTTTTTGCATAAACTATCAAATGATCTCATCGAATCTACTAGTCAAACACAAACCACCAGATTTTTTATGTTACCGTTTGGTATCTAGGGATGAGTTTGTGGTTACAATGAGGTAAAAAAAAAAGTAGGCCAAGGTTGAGTGATAGAGTGGCCAACTATTTCTCTCTCTTCATGATGATAACCCGAGCTCATAAATAAATCCAAAAGGTAGTAAGAGAAAACATGAAAGAAAAAAAGTTTCAAATTTCATCCCATACCAAACCAGACCCAGATCCAAAGTTGCAGACTTTTCAACAATTTCAAAGTAATTTACCCACACACACAAAAAAGGATTAGAAGACTAATACTTTTCTTAAATAAACCCCCATTATGATTATTTTTTTAATTAAAAGTCTTAATGCGAGAGTTGAGAGGAAGCAGAGAGGATAGACAAAGAGGGGAAAAAAAAGGAAAAATTAACCAGACAAGAGTTTTTCTTCTCTGGCTGTTTCTTTTTGCTCTGTCTCTCTCTCTCTCTCTTAATTTCTTTTGAGGAAATCAAGAAGAAGGGAAAACTACAAAAATCTCAGAATCGAGGTTAGTAATTCGTGTTGCTTGTGATTGTACCGAGGAGAGGATTTGTAGTTCTCTTTGATTTAATAATTCATTTTCACTTTCTGGTTTTCTGGGTTGTATTAAAAGATCTGTCTTTTTTTTTGGTGTTGTCATACTGTGTTTCTTCTTGATCTCTCTCCTCTTGAGATAGATAAAGCTCACTTGTGAGTTGTTTACTGAGAAAATTCTCTAAGCAAGATTTTTCAATTTTCTAATCTTTGCATATTAAATTTCAGAGCTTTTTTACACTTGAAAAAAAAAACTGTCGTCTCTCTGTCTCTGTCCGTTTGCATCGAACAAGTGATTTTAGTGATGATTTAGTCAGTTCACCTAATTTTGAAGAGAAGAAAAAAAGTTGAGCTAAGATTTGTCATAAAGTTAAAACTTCCTTTTCATGGAAGCTCAACAACTTAGAACCTATCTTTATCTTTGGCAGCTTCTGTATCTGAGTTCCTGGATCTTCTTTGCAATTTTCCTTCCTTTGTCCTTAACTGCTGTTTCATGCAGGTACGAGTTTTGGTTCCTGAACCAGTTCTTCATCCTTGGTGCTAACAGAGCAATCATGCTAACTTGCGCCTTCTCCCCCAAATCTTAGCCACCAATCTCAGTAAGATACACTTCTGATGGATATTGCAGTTTTAATCAATACACAATTGTAGTGGTCTTAGAATCCCTCATGCATAGATCTTAGAGCTACCATAAAGTTTCATCCTTTAAGGTGTGTAAAGAAAAGACTTGAACAAAGGCTGAGTTCTGTTTTATTGCGACAGGTAAGGAAAGTAATGCTCGAGAGATGGGGAAGAAAGCAAGTTGGTTTTCTGCAATCAAAAGGGTTTTTACTCCACATTCCAAAGAGAAGCTAGGCAATGTAAGCTGGTTTACTCTCCCAACAAGTGTTTTTTCCTGAATGTTCTTTAGCCAGCTTGGATTTTAGAGTTTTTCATGGTGATTGATGATGAGATACTTTGGCTCATGTTGAGTATATGTATATATATTTTTGCAGCAGGAAACAGAGAGAAAGAGTGAAAAAGAAAAGAGGAAGAAAAGGTTTGGGAAGCTAAGGCATGGAGAGACCAATTCATTTCTTCCCATCTTCAGAGAGCCTAGTAGTATTGAGAAGATCTTGGGCGAGGCTGAGAGAGATCACAATCTTGTGTTCAGGCCTCCTACTCCTGATCGATCAAACCCACCTTCAGCTTCTCCTCCTCCTCCCCTGAGGCCTGCTTCTCCTCGTGTTCTTTCTCCAAGACCAACTTCTCCAAGAGTTGCCTCACCACGAGCCGCTTCTCCAAGAGCAGACCCTCCAAGATTGGAATCTCCAAGATCCCTTTCACCAAAACTCTCTGATCGATCAAAGCCATCATCAGCCTCTGCCAATGCTCATCCTCCTCCTCTGAGGCCTGCTTCTACTCGAGTTCCTTCTCAGAGAATTTCCCCTCCCATTGTTCCTTCTCCAAGACCGACTTCACCAAGAGTTGCCTCTCCAAAGCCGCCTTCTCCAAGAGCAGACCCACTGAGATTGGATACTCCAAGACCACCTTCACCAAAGCCTCCTTCCCCAAGAGAGGCTTCTCCAAGAACAGACCCGTCAAGGTTGGATACTCCAAGACCTCCTTCTCCAAGAGCAGACCCACCAAGGTTGGATACTCCAAGACTTCCTTCGCCAAAGCCTCCATCTCCAAGAGCAGAACCACCGAGATTGGATGCTCCAAGACCCACTACGCCTAAGCCTCCTTCTCCAAGAGCGGAACCACCAAGATTGGATGCTTCAAGACCTACTACGCCTAAGCCTCCTTCTCCAAGAGCCGTCTCGCCTAGGGCAGTGCAGCGACGGGAGATTGTTTATAGACCAGAGCCAACTCTCGTGGTCCAACATGATTCTGCAAAAAAGATTCAAACAGCTTACAGAGGTTACATGGTACGTATAGACGATATTCTTTGTTTATGTTTTTCAAGATTTGTCCGTTGCACTATCTCACCATTACTAAGGCAAGTAAGTTGTTGAACTGAGTGAAACAGGCAAGGAGGAGTTTCAGAGCTCTGAAAGGTCTAGTGAGGCTTCAAGGTGTGGTGAGAGGATACAGCGTGAAGCGACAGACGGTCAATGCAATGAAGTACATGCAGCAACTGGTCCGTGTTCAATCCCAGATTCAGTCACGCCGCATCAAAATGTTGGAAAACCAAGCTCAGGTTGAGAAAGATGAAGCAAAATTGGCTGCCTCTGAAGCTGGTAACGATAACTGGGACGACAGTGTGCTGACGAAAGAAGAAAGGGATGCGAGAACTCAGAGGAAGACTGATGCGATCATCAAGAGAGAAAGATCAATGGCCTATGCATACTCTCACAAGGTAACACTCATCTTTCCTCAGTTTCATCACCATGTTAATACATATTTTAGGTTTTTCACCAACATCTCTCTCTCTCTCTCTCACTACCTATGCAGCTGTGGAAAAACAGTCCCAAGTCTTCTCGGGACATTCGTGCTTCAGGTGGGCTCCCTCTATGGTGGAACTGGGTGGACCGACAACTTCCTCTTGCTAGTCCTGAACCGAGCCATAGCCAACCACTAAGAGATTACAGGCTAACACCAACAAGACTGAGCCCAAGCCCTCTGTCTCATTCAAGCAACCAACACCACTTCAGGCTTGACAACAACTTTGAAACTTCCACACCAAGATCGTCGAGGTCTACACTTCTCACTCCATCCAGACCCATCCGCACAGGGACATCAAGATACTCGAGAGGAAGACTAAGAGGTCAAGATTCTCCTTTCAAAGACGACGACAGCCTCACAAGCTGTCCTCCATTCCCGAGCTACATGGCTCCAACGGTCTCTGCCAAGGCCAAAGTTAGACCAAACAGCAATCCAAAGGAGAGGGTGATGGGTACACCATCATCGGTCAATAGCGAGAAGAGGAGAATGTCGTTTCCTCCGGCGCAAGATATGTTTAGATGGAACAAAGGGTCATTGCTCATGAGCAACAGCAGCAGCCAAAGAGGTCCAGGTTCACCAGGAGGTGTGGTTCTTGAGAAGCACAAGACTCTTAAATCAGTAGGAAATTTGAGCATTGACTCCACTGGCTCAGTTGGTAGGAAACCGTTTAACAGATATGTGTGATTTCTTTTGATTTTGTTTACTTTTTGCTTCATTTGTGGGTTGTGTTGATTTTTGAGTGCTGTTGTAATCTGGATTTTGAATTTTTACGGTTGTAACATAATAAAAGGATAAAACAATGACAAGATTTGGTTTGAAGTAGAATTTTTGGAAGGCATATATTAACAAGGGTTTTTTAATTCCAATTCTATCCTCACGAGTTCTCGGGATATACGAAAATACCCTCTCGGGCTTATGTTACTATTTTCTATCTATCGGGCCATAGTAGGCCCATTTATGTTCAGTGTTGCTTGGGGTCAGATTGCTAACGCCGATTCCTGAGTTCGCCGGCCACTCGGGTTAGTATTTCTTCCTCTTTTATTTTTCGTTTTATTAATTTACCTTTAGTCCTTCATGAATTTCTCAAATATATGATTTGTCCCAAACTTCGAAAATATTGTTTTCCCCCCTCGGCCTCACTGCTCTCTTTGGCCAATTCTGAATCACGTTTATAAAATCAGATCGTTTTCTTAGAGAATTGTTAATATTTTCAGGTCTCGACTTTGATTCTTTATTGAACAGATGTCATTACTGTATAAGCAGACTAATATAACATGAATTTGATTTCATCACAATTCATAGTTAAAGGAAAAACTTTGTCTGACCAGCTCTTTGTTTACTGCATGATCCAAGAATGATTTGGACATTATGTTAATTAATTTATTTCAAACACTTGGTTTTCTTCTTGTATATGAAGTCATTAGTTGGTATTTTCCTTGCTTATCAAAACTCAAAAGATATACACAACAACAGAGACTAAATAATCTTCTTCCTTCGTAAACCTCTCAAGCTATCAATGATCATGTCTCGTAAATTCAACTTTTGGATGGTTGTGATCATTATTGCTCTGTCTGCTACTGAAAACTCCGATGGCAAGCTGATTATGGAAGGATCCATCGGATTAATAGATGGCTTTAGGACGTTGACAAACACCAATAAGCACGCCTATGGTCAAGCCTTCGAGGAAGATCCGTTGCCATTCAAGAATCCCATTGATGGTACCGTGACTTCTTTCTCTATCACCTTCTTCTTTGCTATCGTCCCTGAGCACAGGCACAAAGGCTCTCACGGTATGGCCTTTGTAATCTCTCCCACGAGAGGCATTCCGGGCGCTTTTGCTGATCAGTACCTCGGAATATTCAACGATACAAACAATGGAAAAAGCTCGAATCATGTCATCGCTGTGGAGCTTGATATACATAAAGATGATGAATTTGGTGACATTGATGATAACCATGTTGGCATCAACATAAACGGAATGAAGTCTAACGTATCTGCTCCTGCCGGCTATTATGATCCAAATGGTCAGTTCAAAAACCTTTCTTTAATCAGTGGAAATCTACTCCGAGTAACGATTTTGTATAGCCAGAAGGAGAAACAGCTTAGTGTCACCTTGTCACCAGCAGAGGAGGCTAATATACCAAAGCGGCCGCTTCTTTTGCTGAGCCAAGATCTGTCTCCTTATCTCTTAGAGGAAATGTATGTCGGCTTTGCAGCCTCTACAGGGGCAGTTGGAGCAATACATTACATGTGGATGTGGCATGTCTCTCTCTCCTTAGCTGTTCCGAATTTGGATTTCCCTATACCGACGTTTCCTCGTTATCCAAATGCAGACTCTCAGGTAAAGCGGATTGTTTTGGTGACCTGCTTGACATTGGCTATCTTTGTTGCACTTGCTGCATCAGCTTTAAGTCTCTTCTACTATAGGAAGCATAAAAAGGTTAAGGAGGTTCTAGAGGAATGGGAGATTCAGTGTGGGCCTCATAGGTTTGATTATAAGGAACTCTTTAAAGCTACAAAGGGTTTCAAGGACAAACAACTTCTAGGTAAAGGAGGCTTTGGTCAGGTCTTTAAGGGTACACTTCCAGGTTCCGATGCAGAGATTGCCGTTAAAAAGATTTCTCATGATTCAAGACAGGGGATGCAGGAGTTCTTGGCCGAGATATCGACAATTGGTCGGCTTAGACACCCGAACCTAGTCAGGCTTCAGGGTTACTGTAGGTACAAGGAGGAACTCTACTTGGTTTATGACTTCATGCCCAATGGAAGTCTCGACAAATACCTCTACCGCAGAGCGAATCAAGAGAAACTCACTTGGGGTCAACGTTTCAAGATCATCAAAGACGTAGCCTCTGCACTCTGCTATCTCCATCACGAGTGGGTACAGATTGTAATCCATCGAGACATCAAGCCGGCAAATATACTGGTCGACGACGAGATGAATGCTAGGCTCGGGGATTTCGGACTAGCCAAGTTGTACGACCAGGGTTATGATCCTCAGACATCTAGAGTAGCTGGAACAATCGGGTACATCGCACCTGAGCTCGTAAGAAGCGGAAGAGCAACCACAGGCACAGATGTCTATGCCTTTGGGCTCTTTATGCTGGAAGTCTCTTGTGGCAGAAGGCTGATAGAGCCACGAGCAGAAGCCAACGAGGTCGTACTTGTGGAATGGACATTAGATCGTTGGGAAAACGGAGATATTATCGAGGCAGCCAATGAAAGACCCAGTGGAGAACACAATAGAGAACAGCTAGAGCTTGTTTTGAAACTGGGAGTGCTTTGTTCGCACCAGGTTGCAGCAATTAGACCGGCCATGTCTAAGGTGGTCCAGATCTTAGACGGTGATCTGCAGCTTCCAAAGAATCTACTCGATAGTGTCAAGTTTGAGAAGGTCAGAATGTTGTCCGAGACATCTGAGAGATTTCTTGATGTTTTGACATCACAAGGGTCTATCGGTACCTTGACGTTTACGGAACCTTTTACCTCCCAGGGACGCTGAGACGTGGGGTCGAGGTCGGTCGTGAAATGATATATGACGTGTTGTTTTATAAATATTTTCTGTTATTGAATGTATCGTGTGGTTCATGTTCTACTTAAATCGGCTGTAACATTGCGAACTTCTATATTTTGTAAATGCCAATAAATTTTTCTGGAGTTGGTTCGGCTCATCTTAGCAAGAAACAGAACTGGGAACTGCTCTAAGATTGCGCCACTACCAGCAAGCACCTGGACAAACAAGTATGATGCCAAATTTCTATGAAGAAAAATTATATGTTTCCAGTGCCATTGTCCTTTAGTTATGTTGGAATATGAAGTTCATTAGAAAACGTTGGTTGTTTCTTTGATTCTTTCTTTGTTTGTTAATGCAGAAATTCTATGATTTGGGTACCATTTTATTAAACTGGTTTCAGACTTTCTGCAAATTATTTCTGTAGCTCGCTGTTTTTAGTATTTGCAGGCCTTTGTGACTAGAGAATTTGTTGTCGTGTATCCGAAGTCATTAGTTGACGTCTTCCTTGCTTATCAATCAAAGTTATAAACAAACAACATATAGTAACTGCAAATACTAAAAGGAAATATAGTCCACAATATGGGTAAGAACTCTTTTGGGTTTGTATTGTTTGATGGGCTTTTAAAACCCACTAGTAATTTTGGGTATGCTTTGCAACTGTTTCATGTTTTGTTTCTTTTCTTAAAGTTGCAAATTAGGGGAAAAAACAAACACTTGCGATGTCGGACGGCGGCGGAAATGGAGACGGTGCCACTGCCGCTTTGAGAATCCACAGCCACCGTGACCGCGAAATCGAAGAAGCAGGAGATTCAACCGGCGGTGTAGACTCAATCAGCTCTCTACCTGATGTGATCCTCCAAAGCATACTCTCCTCTCTTCCGACCAATCTCGCCATCACAACTTCCATCCTGTCCAAACGATGGAGGCATGTATGGTGCGATACACCTTCCCTCTCCTTCTATCACGAGATTCCTATGCCGGAAGCTGATTCGATAAACAAAACCCTAGATCGCTACACGGCTCGCAAGATGATGAGTTTCGACCTCTGTGCCAACATGAGTGGCTATATTCCTCACATTGACAGATGGATCGAGTTCGCCACGTCCCGAAACGTGGAGAATATGCGGCTCAACTTCGGTGTCACTAGTGCCGTTGAGATTCATGTTCCTGATTTCTTCTACATCAATAACTCCGTGAAGAAACTCGATGTTGGTTTATGGTTTTATGGTTTGAGGATTCCCAGTTGTTCCGTCTCTTTTACATCTCTAAAGAAGCTGTCCTTGCGTTGTTGCAAGGTCTCTGACGAATGCATTGATAAGATTCTATCTGGCTGCCCTGTTCTTGAAAGCTTAAAGCTGTTTCTCTGCGATGAACTTATGGTTCTTGATCTCAGGAAATCGCTGCGTCTAAGAACATTAAAACTCGAGCGCGGCATTGATTTACCTGGTCCGACGCAGATTTTTGCACCGCATATTCATTCTCTCAGATTGAAAACCTCTCAGTTCCCATCATGTGATTTAGTTGATGTCTCGTCCTTAGCCGAAGCTAGTCTAGAAATTAGCTTTTCCTCATTTGAAAGACTAAGGGCTGATTTACTTCAAGTCATGGTGCTAAAGATGCTACACAAGTTGCAGAATGTAGACAAGCTTACCTTCGGAGCAAACTTTCTTGAGGTATGTTTTATGCACTCTGTTTGTAAGCCCGTGTTTATTTTATTATGCACTCTCTGAGAAGTCCCTATCGATGTTTGTAAAAAGTGATCGAATATTTCTTCTCTTTTCTCATGCTTTAACTCTTTTTATTTATTCATTTTCTCAATCCTTAAAACTCTTTTTTTTAATCACCTTCTTGAGATTTTGTATTTTTCGATATTTACTACATGTCTGTGCTTTTTGCTAGATTTTATCTCTTGCCGAGCTCCGCCGTGTTCCTTTTCCGAGCTTCAAGGTCAAAGATCTGACGTTTGAGACAATGGTCTCTCAAAATGTAATGTCTGGCTTAGTAAGGGTGTTACAAAATTCACCTGAATTGAAGAAGCTAACAGTACGCACAACGGATTCCGGCACCATACCGGTATAGTTTCCATTATTTTCCTTAACCAAAATCATGTTTCTTCTCACTTTTGAGTTTGACAATCTGTTTGCATAATCGAAAACCTTTTTATGTTGTACAGAGGACGCAGATTGACAACTACTTGGATTCGCAAGGCTTGATTCCGGATCAATGCTGGAGCTCGGAAGCGAGGGTCGTCGAGAAGGTTTTCTCGTTCATGGAGCTCATGCTTAAGAGCACAAAGACATTAAAGAAGATGGTCGTAACGTTGGAAGGTTATCTTGAAGGAAGAGGTTTCCAAGAGTTGCTTGAGATGGTTCCCATGCTTTCTCACAACAACAACAATGTCTCCATTGTGCTTAGGAGCTAAACCAAATCTAATAAGAGGGTTAAGTCTGTTGAACATTTAACATCAATACTTTTCCATATTTTGTAGGAAATAATTATGACTTTTTTAACATTATATAATTATGACATTTATTGGATTGAAATTTTGAATTTATATATTTTCTCTTCATAATATTAAACCTTAATTATATCTTACTAATTGTAATGTTGTTGTTGACAGAAAAAAAAAAAATAAAAGAAGAAAATTTATGTTTCCGGTGCCATTGATTGACCCGACCCGCCGATATTCAGTATTTATAAGCCCAATCCCTGCAGTGGGCCGTGGCCCGTATTGACACCTTTACTTCCAACATAACATATAGGGTTTCTTTTCTCAGTTTCTTCTCACACTGCCGCAGCAATCGCAAATCAAACAAGGTTCGCTTTTTGTAAGGCTTCAAAACATTATAAGAGAACAAATTTTATCGTATTGGTTAATGTAGAGACTTGCATTTCAGGATTTGTGAAAAAATCCCATTTGACTCTGTTCTAGTGCTAAAATTTGATATTCTGATTTTCAGAGTATGGCGCAAGAAACTGCAAACAAGATGGAAGAACCTACGAACGCCTTTAATTTTAAAGAAGAAAGGCAAGTCGATATATGGCTCAAAGCAGGGGACCAAACTGATGCAATCCCCGCCAACAAACTTATGCTGGTATCTTTTTTTTTTCGGTTTTAGAATTGAGTTATCGATTAAAGCGTTACCTCTTCTAAATTGAGATTTTTTGAAAAAAATATATATAGGCGGCAAAATCGAAGGTGTTTAGGAACATATTTGAATTAGGTGATTGCAAAGCTTTGTGGAACGAGACAGTCACTCTTTCAGAGATAACACATGATGAGCTAGAGACGTTTCTCGAGTTCATATACAAGGGTTCGCTTCCGGATACAAAACTGGTGCAGCACGTCCATATACTCTACGAATCTGCAGACAAGTACGAGATCCCATGCCTCCAGGACCTCTGCAGAAACCAGCTCATCATCTCCATGAACTCATCAAATGCATTTGATGTCCTCGAGCTTGCAAGGATTCACTCGGACCAGATCCTCGAAGATGCAGTCTCTGAGTTTATGGCATCACACATGGAAGAGATTGCCTTCTCGAGTAAGTTCATGTCGTTTGTAGCGAGTAATCCGGCTCTTACTGTTCAAACCATAAGGGGTCATGTGAACAAACTCAAGAAAGAGCTCCAGCGCCAACAGGTACGTAGATTTTATGGAGCATCATATGTTTTATTATGAAATTGTATCTGCTATTACTTACAAGTATATATGGAAATGAATGCTTTTGCTTTTGCTGAAGAAAATTCTAAAATCATAGTAAAATATAGTATAAAATAAAGGTGGCAATCTCGACATGTGTTGTCTTTGTCTATATGTTAATAATATGTGTGTGTGTTGGCATATATAAATTATTTAACGATTACGTCACTTTTGATATAATGAAATGCAGAATGAAGCAGCGGTACAGGCAGTGATAAATGCAGTCAGGAACTGCCTGCCAGCTGGGTGAAAGCAATGATCCACAGAGCTAGATTGACCCACTTTTCTTTAGTCTCGCAAGTTTGATATATATATCTTCCTTAAACAAGGTTCTGTGTTGTGTAATGAACAGATGTCAAAAGATGATAAGAAACTATTTCTAACTTTTACATGTTATTATCTTCAGGCCAGACCTTAAGTACTTATATTTGACTAGCTCTTAGATTTTCCCATGATCCATGGAAAAGGAGATTATGGACACCATGACCTGCTTAATTAATTAGTTTAAGACAACTTGACTTTGCAATATAGCTCTCTGTTTTTAGTCTTTGCAGGTCTTGACTAGTTCATGTGTTTTTCGTGGTTTAGTTGACTTTCATTGTGAAGCAAACGATCGGACACAGAAACAAAACTAAGGTCTTACCTTTTGATCCCATCGATCTAGCCATGATCATGCATCATAAAATCGTCCCACGTGTAGTTTTCATGATCCTTGCTCTGTTCTGCCGTACTGAAAACTCCGATGGCAAGCTGATTATGGAAGGATCCGCCGGGTTGATGAATGGTTTCACGACGTTAACAAACACCAAGAAGCACGCCTATGGTCAAGCCTTCGAGGAAGATCCGTTGCCATTCAAGAATCCCATTGATGGTACCGTGACTTCTTTCTCTATCACCTTCTTCTTTGCTATCGTCCCTGAGCACAGACACAAAGGCTCTCACGGTATGGCCTTTGTGATCTCTCCCACGAGAGGCATCCCAGGTGCATCCGCCGATCAGTACTTAGGCATCTTCAATCATGCAAACAACGGAAACAGCTCCAATCATGTCGTCGCCGTGGAGCTCGATATTCATAAAGATGATGAATTTGGTGACATTGATGATAACCATGTTGGTATCAACATAAACGGAATGAGATCTAACGTATCTGCTCCTGCTGGTTATTATGATCCAAAGGGTCAGTTCAAAAAACTTTCTTTGATCAGTGGAAATCTACTCCGAGTCACGATTTTGTATAGCAAGAAGGAGAAACAGCTTAGTGTCACCTTGTCACCAGCAGAGGAGGCTAATATACCAAAGCGGCCGCTTCTTTTGCTGAACCAAGATCTGTCTCCTTATCTCTTAGAGGAAATGTATGTCGGCTTTGCAGCCTCTACAGGGGCAATTGGAGCAATACATTACATGTGGATGTGGCATGTCTCTCTCTCCTATATGGTTCCGAACTTAGACTTTGGGATACCGACGTTTCCTCCATATCCCAAGACAAAATCTCAAGTAATTCGGATTGTTTTGGTGACCTGCTTGGCATTGGCTCTCTTTGCTGCGCTGGTTGCATCAGCTGTAAGTCTCTTCTTATATAGGAGACACAAAATGGTTCAGCAGGTTCTAGAGGAATGGGAGATTCAGTGTGGACCTCACAGGTTTACTTACAAGGAACTCTTTAAAGCCACGAAGGGTTTCAAACAACTTCTAGGCAAAGGAGGTTTTGGTCAGGTCTTTAAAGGCACGCTTCCAGGTTCCGATGCAGAGATTGCTGTTAAAAGCGTTTCTCATAATTCAAGTCAAGGAATGCGTGAATTCTTGGCCGAGATTTCGACTATTGGTCGTCTTAGACACCCTAATCTAGTCAGGCTTCTCGGTTATTGCAGGTACAAAGAAGAGCTCTACTTGGTTTATGACTTTATGCCCAATGGAAGCCTTGACAAGTACCTCTACGGCGGATCAGATGAAGAACAGCTCTCATGGACTCAACGTTTCAAGATCATCAAAGACGTTGCATCTGCGCTCTCCTATCTCCATCACGAATGGCTACAAGTAGTGATTCATAGAGACATTAAGCCAGCAAATGTCCTGATTGACGACAAGATGAATGCAAGTCTTGGAGATTTCGGATTGGCTAAGCTATATGATCAAGGGTATGAAGCTCAGACCTCTAGGGTAGCTGGAACATTCGGGTATATGGCACCAGAGCTCATGAGAACCGGAAGACCAACCACCGGAACAGATGTTTACGCATTTGGTGTATTTATGCTTGAAGTTTCTTGCGGTAGAAAACTGTTTGAGCCAAGAGCGGAGCCCGAAGAGGTCGTTCTTGCGGATTGGGCGATCAATCGTTGGGAAAACGGTGATATTGTAGAGGCGGCTAATGAAAGAATCCGACAAGATCATGATAAGGGACAGCTTGAGCTTGTTCTGAAGCTAGGAGTGTTATGTTCGCACCAGGCTGAAGAGGTTAGGCCGGATATGGCTACGGTGGTTAAGATCTTGGGCGGAGTTTCTGAGCTTCCGGATAATCTGCTTGATATTGTTAGAACCGAGAAGTTGGGAAAATGGTACGAGACATACGGAAACGTGCTTGATACGGAGATGACAATGGGATCTGCAGGTAACTTGACCATCACGGAACCGATGACTTCCGTTGGGAGGTAAAAAATGATTGCTGAGGTTTTATGAGAATTTTAACATGTGACGGTGCATTTGCTTTACAACACTGTTGAAGTTGTTGATTGTATAGAATGAATCGTTTAATTTTTTGTTCTTACTTTAAATCGGCAGTGTATTTTATGTGTTTGTGTGTGTGTATACTCTTATGTTGTATAGTACTTGTTGTGTTTTCCAATTTTCAGCTATAAAAACTCATAATATTTCTTTTGTGTGCAAACTAATTGGATAAACTAAATACTTTCAACTGATTATTTGTCTCGTGGATTTAATTTTGGTAATCAAACTTTTTTACAAAAGAAATCATAGTTCTAACAATTGTAACGCTGTGGATCTAACAATCATATATAGTTTTCACTGTGGATTTAAGTTTGCTAATCAAACTTTTGAAAACAATGACCAAAACACTTAAATTATTATAAGGCTTAATTACTTAAGGTTTCTTTCTCTTTATGCTTTATTTTTAAATCAATATTGGGTTTAATTAATTAGTATATATATATACTTGTTACTCTCTATCTATGCAAACGTATACACATGTGCCGTGGCCCGTGGTATTGTAAATTTGAATTTGAAGGAAACCACCAATCAGGAAAAATCGTTGTGCTATCGATGAGAATCGTTGTGCTGCCGCAGAACATAAAAGCATCGAAGCAAAACAAAAGCAAAGTACGTTAAATAGAGTTCCATTTGTCAAGTGGGGACATCCACGTGGAGACCCAATGCCACTTGTCCCCTCACTCAACTTATTTGGCTTTCTCGTGGATTCTCACGCCCGAGATATATATGAGTACGAAATTAAAATCAAACACTTGTATTTATACTGAATCTGTTGACTATTGTACCCCTACTTATCGATTTGCTAGATCTAATAATTCACAACTAATTAGACAAGTAATGTTGGAAAAAAAAAGCCATCTTTTGCACGAAAACAATCACTAAAATATTGTCAATATTAATAATGTGTTCAATTTTAGATTATGTTCATTGCTCATTGTTGACTAATAATTTTACCGACATCAATACTCCTGCCAAATCATAGACAATGATGTTGATACTAAAGAACCTCGAGGGCATTTTAGAACTGATGCCTCTTAATTATAAAAATAAAAGGTAAAAAATATATAATTCAATTTTTGACCTTGTTGTCCGATTAATAATGACGCCATTTTCCTTATTTTTTAATAATTGATTTTTGGCTTCTCTCTCTCTCTCTCTGTCTCCACTGAGTAATAAGACTCTTCCCTCTACGCTATTTTTTTCATAAGCACTCTCTTTCTGTGGACGAAACTGAACCTGAGAAAAAACAAAGCCGAGCCAAAACCAGAGAGCGAGAGATTGAGAGAGATAGCCTAAGCAAGAGAGAGCTCTTCTCTGAAGAAACACGACCCTTCGTATTCAATAATGGCTTTGAAGCTTAACCCTTTGGCATCTCAGCCCTACAAATTCCCTTCCTCGGCTCGTCCGCCGATTCCTACTTTCAGATCTCCCAAGTTCCTCTGCCTCGCTTCATCCTCTCCGGCTCTCAGCTCCGGCGCTAAGTCAGTCTCTCTCCACCCCTCTCCTGTTTCTTTTTGCTAATATATCTACTACTCTCTGATTTTCTGCCAAGTAGAACAGATTTGGTTCCTTGTTTCTCTGTGTTCTGGGTTTTAGCTTGTTTTTCGAATTTGGATCTAGGTTTTTCCGATTTGTTCAGTGTTGTTCACTTACATTTTGGCTTAATCTCGAGTGCGATTTCAATGGATGTGCTTTTTTTTTAATCTCGGTCTAGTGATGGAGAGATGGGGCCATCCTCTGATATTCTCTGTCTCAGGCGATTCATTAATTGCTCTTTTAGATTGTATATTCTATACGATTCATTCACTTTGCTCTCAGGTTGCTCATCGTTTGCCTTTACATTAATTTTGTCTGCATCAGATTATTTAGATTCCAATTCGATTAGAGTAATCAAACCTCTGATTGGTTGATCTCAGTTAAGATTGACGCTATTTGCTATGATCTTTTAGATTGGTTAAGAGACATTGAAGAAAATGACTGCAACTAGCTTCTTAGTCAAATCCTGCACTTCTCTAATTACTCTTCTTTGGGGCAAATTTTATTCTTCTTTCCTCTGATTTTTGGTTAATTTTGTTAGAGAAAGACATGTCCACTTGTAGTTGTTGCGTACTCATTTGATGTGTTTTGTCTGTGCATTGAGAGGAGATTCTTTACGTCTGTTTTCTTTATTCAAAGAACACTACGTTGGATATCACGCTTCTTATAGGGCTTCTTTGAGAAGGCATCTTGCGTCTGTGCATGCGTACTTCGTGGCCTCTCTATTGTTTCCGTCCAAAAGTTTCACACTTTTCTGTAATTTATTCACTCTTTTTCTGTTTTAAAGACACTTGGTTCTTGATCTTGTCTTTATCTGGTCAGTAGTCACTACATTTGTTTCTTTCTCTCTCTGCAAGCTTTCTTTTTTTCTGCATGTTAGTGAAACATTGAATTTTCTTTAGATTGAGTTTTCTCGAATTTCTTTTTTCTGCATGTTACTTAGTGAAACATTGAATTTTCTTTAGACTGAGTTTTCTCGAATTGTCCTCTTCTTCAATGCGTAGAGTAAAGTATTTAGAGATGTAGAGATGGATGCTTATCCAAATGGAATCAGACGTGTTCTTGGTTCTCCTGTGTGCATCTGACCTTTCCTGAATGGAGTATTAACTAAATGCTGATGATACCTTTTTTTGGTTGCTGTAGGGAGGTTGAGAGTTTGAAGAAGCCATTTACGCCACCTAGGGAAGTACACGTTCAAGTCTTGCATTCCATGCCACCCCAAAAGATCGAGATCTTCAAATCATTGGAAGATTGGGCCGAGCAGAACCTTCTAATTCATCTCAAGGATGTGGAGAAGTCGTGGCAACCCCAGGATTTCTTACCCGACCCTGCATCTGATGGGTTTGAGGATCAGGTAAGAGAGTTAAGAGAGAGGGCAAGAGAGCTCCCCGACGATTACTTTGTTGTTCTGGTGGGAGACATGATCACAGAAGAAGCGCTTCCCACCTATCAAACTATGTTGAACACTTTGGATGGAGTTAGGGATGAAACAGGTGCTAGTCCCACCTCATGGGCTATTTGGACAAGAGCTTGGACTGCAGAAGAAAACCGACATGGCGATCTTCTGAACAAATACCTTTACTTGTCTGGCCGTGTTGACATGAGGCAGATCGAGAAGACGATTCAGTACTTGATCGGATCAGGAATGGTGAGAATAGTTTTCAGGCTGTTATCATAAAATTTTAATCAGTTACTACTATGACTTGCTAATCACTTTTTTGACTTCTCTTTCGTAGGATCCGCGGACAGAGAACAATCCTTACCTTGGCTTCATCTACACTTCATTCCAAGAGAGAGCGACCTTCATCTCTCACGGAAACACAGCCCGCCAAGCCAAAGAGCACGGGGACTTGAAACTTGCCCAAATCTGTGGCACGATAGCCGCAGACGAGAAGCGTCATGAAACTGCCTACACCAAGATAGTTGAAAAGCTCTTTGAGATTGATCCTGACGGTACTGTCATGGCCTTCGCAGACATGATGAGGAAGAAAATCTCAATGCCGGCTCACTTGATGTACGATGGGCGCAACGACAACCTCTTTGACAACTTCTCTTCCGTGGCTCAGAGGCTCGGTGTTTACACCGCCAAAGACTACGCAGACATTCTCGAGTTTTTGGTTGGCAGGTGGAGAATCCAGGACTTGACCGGGCTTTCAGGTGAAGGAAACAAGGCACAAGACTATTTATGCGGACTGTCTCCAAGGATCAGGAGATTGGATGAGAGAGCTCAAGCAAGAGCCAAGAAAGGACCCAAGATTCCATTCAGTTGGATACATGACAGAGAGGTGCAGCTCTAAAAAAAGGATAATGACGTAAAGACCCTTTTCTCCCCGTTCCCCATTTGCTCCGTCTGTTTCTTGAAACTGGTGTAGATTACTATGGTTGATTTAGCAGCTTTGTTTTCCCGAGTCACTCTATATGTTTTGTGTTTGGTCCCTTTAGTACACTTGTAGTGGTCAAACAGTTAAAAGTCTTCTGGTCTGTACTCAGTTTTCACTGTGGAGTTTTGTTTCAGTTCAGATTAGTTTTGTTTTCCAACTACCTTTTTCATTTGTCTCTAAACAAGAACTCATGTGGCTTTAAGCAGTTTTGATGGAGGATCATGATGATGAATATCTTCCTTGCTATCTGGGCACAGTTTAAAATGTTGATATTTGGTCAAAAACGTATCTTTGACCTTCAGAAATCGTAAGATTCAATGACACAGCTAAGAGATGCGTTGAATTTAGGGAAGATCTAATTGAATTCCAACACAAACTTCAGGTGATCAGCTCATTTAACAGATTTTCCAAACCAGATTGAAAAATTAATTCATATTAAGATTGTGTGCGTTAGCTAACTTTGATCTTTGATTAATAGATTGTTGAACCTGTTTCATAGGAATTTAGGAATATAAATTGATTTGGCCTCGGGCATGTGAGTTGGTATATTGATTAAGTTATCTGTGTATTTCAGTCCTCATTCTTCAGAGACAACTAACTTATCACTCCAATAAAACTTTTCTAAATCTTAAATGATTATGCCATTTCGTCACTCCCACTAAGCAAACCTACTACAGATTAATAGAAATCGGAAAGAGAGGAGAAAAACTAATTCTTTGAAAGAGAAAAAAAAAAGAAACCGATGATGATTTTTGTAAAAAGCGAATGTCGCGACTTGTTCGAGGCCATTATCAATACCAAAAAAAAGTTTGATAGGCACGGAGAATCGCTGTTTGTTATCGCCAACCTTCAAGGCAATTCGACGCCATTTAAATTCGACGCCCTTGCTCTGCTAATTGGCTTTTCATTTCTTTCTTCTAATGTAAAATCAAATTGCGCGTAAGAAAATCCGAATGTTTTGAAAAGAAGAAGTATATCAAACGAATTCCTAAATAAAAACCCTAGAAGCCAACAGTAGAAGAGATGAGAATTGAAAGCCGACGCCTTTACCCGTTATATAGAAGAAAAAGACAGCTGTTGAAGACGAACGAAAAACCCTAATTTTAGTCTTCGACCACGAGAAAGAACCTAGTATTCATGAATGGGCCTGGAGGATCAAGTATAACAGGCTTGGTGGCCCAATATGGTAGTGGTCAGAGATTCCGCCATGGGAGGCGGTTGAGGCTACCTATGAACTTGGGGAAGGAGTAAAATGTTTTTCCAGTTGTTCAATCTCTTTTACCTTTCTGCAAGTAAAGACTCCAAATTTTAGCGTAAAATCATTGTCTTTGGAACCGAAGAGGAAACAAAACCAAAGCAGAGCAAAATCATATCACCGTAAAGATTGACCAAACTTCGCCGGAAAAAATGGATCAAACGGCGGAGGAGAAGAAGGTGAGAGAGAGAATCAGAAAGAAAGTTAACGAAGTCAGTTCCGAGTCGCAGTCTCTCCTCACTCCCGTACAGGACCACATCAATTTCACCCTTCAGGTTCGTTCCAACTTTTGATGTCTTCTTGCTGAAATTGTGTTGAAACCAAGTAAATTTTCGCATACTCTGGACTCAATTTTCTCCCCTGCAGCTGCTAAATTTCTAAAGTTAGCTCTCTTTTTTCCTGTGTTTGCTTAATCTCAGATTATTTTAAAGGTGTGTTTTGTGCTTTTGGGTTGATGCAGAAGGCGTACTTCAAATGCGCATACGAGTGCTTTGACAGGACAAGAACTCACGCTGAGATTAGCCGATGCGCAGAGAGTTGCAGTGTTCCAATCACAAATGCGCAGAACCATTTCGATAATGAGATGTCTGTGTTCCAAGTGAGTCTATTGCTCAACTCTCTGTTCAGTTAGTGATTGAAAGTCTGAAACTTTGGTTTTGTTTTGCTTAGTTTGATTACCAGACATGAATTGACAGTTTAAGTTTGTGTTTTGTTTTTTTTACTGATGAATGTAGGAAAGGTTGAACAGGTCTCTCGTGGTTTGTCAAGACAAATTTGAGGCTGCTAAGCTCCAGAAAACAAGAAATGAAGCGGTAAATAATTTGGAGCAGTGCGTGAACCAAACTGTTGATGATGCTGTGAAGGCATTGCCTAATCTCGTCGCAAGAATGAAGAAGTCTTTGTCAATCATAGACTGAGGCACTGAGCTATGCAATAATGTTATAGCTTCTTTTGTTTCACCTCTTATTGATATCAAATTGTGGCGTACCATATACTATATTGATCCAGAAATCTAATGAGTCAGATCAACTTAAGTAGTCAACGAGGAAAGTTACACCTATTCCTTTTGTCTTCAAACTCAGTGAATAAGAGAGATCTAGAAATCTAGAGAGAATGAACCATTCAAGATTTAATCGGCATAAAAAAAAGGGAGAACTCTTATTCAAATAACAAAAGGAAATAAGGGTAGTGAAGTTGAAACTGAGCAAGATACAATGCTTTTCTTGAACAAAAACATGTGATTTCTTTGGGAGAAAAACAGAACAGCAAACTGAACCACTACTACTGTTGAACAGCAAACTAAACGTTTTCACGCTTAGCCGCTGTGCTGGAGCTTGGAATGGGACTCACATAGATACCGATTGATGTAAGACGGGACCCGTCGCAAGACCCAAAGAAACCACCAAACTCACGGCGATCACATATCCCGAGATCAACAATTTCTTTCTCGAAACTTGTTAAATACTTGTTTACAGCTGGCTCACAAATGGGTCCGTGTTTCCCTAGGTTAGTGTAAAATGTCAATGAGTTGATTCTGTCATTCAAATTCAAAACGCCACTCAACCAAGTCACAAATTCATTGTGCTTCAGTTTCACCTGCATATATTTACGAACTTCTTAACAGACTTCACTAGCTTTAAGCATACAATAAAAAAAAAATACGAATTTTACCAACATCAACACTTACAACTCGGAGGTTGTGTCCCTCGGAGGAACCACCGTACTTTTCAGACATGACTATAGCTCCCTTCTCAGAGTAGCCAAACTGAATCGATTTTATATATGAGTCAAAAGAAACGAATATATGAGAGACCATTGCTTTGCCCTTTTCGTCCCAATGAGTGTGTGTCTTTGACTCTGTATCACCAATTGGTCCTGCTCTGATCATCTCCATAAAATGAGAGACAGCTAAATAGTAAAATAGTAGTTTATACAGAGAGAAAGAGACTTGGTATGATTATATAGGATACCTGCTATCCAAGTACCCTAAGAGACACCATGTATTTCATTTAATTAGACTTTGATGGTTCAATTTCCGATGGAAGTCTAACAAATATTAAGGGAACGTTCTCTGGTACAAGCCGAGTTCGCTGAATCTCAAAGCTGACAGTTACGAGCCAATAAATAAACAGAGGATTTCCTTTGACTACAGAGGAATTCGACAAGCCGCTTTTTGTTTTTTTTTTTTGGTTGTCTCTTTATTTTTATCTCATAATTCCACGAAACAGAGTCTAAAATATTGGAGGAATTCTGATCGAAAGGAGGAAAATTCTCGTTGCCGCTTGGATTCTGAATACTGAAACAATTGCCTAGTTTTGCTTACAACACAAAGACACCACTTGGAGAGTCAAGTTAGTATTTTGAATTAAGTATCTGATGAACGTAGAAAATGTTGAATACATCTCTTTTGGTTTGTCAATCGAAGAAATTGTGAGAGATGATGTATCCCTGAATGAAACTGATCTCTCCTCCCAGTCTTTAAAAATGAGTATAACGAAAGTCATATCCAAGGTGACTCTTTCTTTAAGCCATGTGTTTGTGAACTGAGAAACATTGCTTTTACCGAAATTATACAAACTTGAGAGAAACTCAAAACAACAAGAATCGAGTGAAATTTTTCATTAGCATAACATTAACTAAAACTCTTATTATTAAGATGGAGAAACGAAACAAAAGTACTGAAACTGAAATGATTAAACAGTGCTGCTGATCAAACATTATCCTGTTTAATAGCGTCTACTAACCCCGAGAGGACAGGCCTTACAAAGAGACCTACAGACCGAAGTTTGTAACAGTCGCTAGATCCAAAGAAACCGCCAAATTCACGTCGGTCATGAATTCCCGAATGGTACTCTGTCGTCTCAGGTCGTCTCATCTTCGGTGAGTCGAACTTCCCGCCGTGATAGGCCAGGTGCTTTCTCTCGTTTGTATGAATCGTAAGAGAGGTAATATCAGCGCCCCACTCCTCTCCGCTGATCCCAGTGACAAACTCAGACTCATGGTTCAGCCTCACCTGCAGAGATTAGTGTAAATCAAACAAATACGATTCATTATTAAACATTAATACTTTTAGAGATATACAAGTTTTTGAAGAAGGAGTGAGACACTTATTACAATTCGAATACTATCGTCATCGTATATTGAGCCGTACTTTGTTGACAAGACCAGAGCTCCGTTTTCGACATATCCAAACTGAATAGATGTTACACCACGGGAGTGATAAGTGACGAAAATGTGACTTATTGGGCTACTGCTATATTCTTGCCATTTTTCTCCACAGCTATAATCTCCTAATGGCCCCAGTTTCATTTCCATTTTGTCCAAGATGAATCGTGCCATTTAACGTCACAGTTGAGTGATTGAATACATAGCAAGGGATATATATTATAGGCGGGTTTCGCCTTTGGGGAGAATTATTGTGCAAGAAACCGAGGAGTCCTTGTTAATTTACGGAACCTAGGGTAATGTGCTAAAAATTGACTCATTGACTCTTTGATTTTGAGAGAGAACCATTTTTACTAGTACTAATTTAATATCTGCACAAGTCTAAAGAGGCTTTAAAGAAACAGATGCCGTAGTGAACAATCATTCGACTAACACAAATAGGTTAACTGATGCTTATAATTAAAATACGACAAACAAAAATTTGGCATTCCTCCAATAAAATAGCGTTTCATTCAAAGCACAAAAGAAAAAAAAAAAAAAAGAGTAAATACTATAGGTAGCTCTTGCATGACCGTAAACGGAAAACCTAATCAAAGAGATCAAGAAGGAACCAAATAGCTTTCTCCAATTTGGAGCGTATCCGGTCCTTGAGTTTGGGCTTACAACGACGGATGTGCTTGACAGGAAAACCATCGACGACCTTCGGGGTTTGACAATCAAGTGTCCGGTTATGGGTGGTGATTGTCGTTGTAGGAGCTGGACAAAACTCGGGGGCTGTACCATTGCTTGCAATGGGAGAGACATACATGCCAATGGAATTCAGATAGCCTCCATATTGGCAAAAGGACCCAAATAAACCACCAAACTCGCTACGATCACGTATCCCCACATCAATTACCTTCATACCGCTTGCGTAACTTCTTCGACAAAACGGTCCGTGTTTCCTCTTATTAGTGTGAAAAGTCAAATCCGTGATACTTGAGTTATAATCAACACCACTCAAGCCAGTCAAATACTCATCGTTATCTAGTCTCACCTGTATATATTAACTTAACTTCATCAGAGAGTACCCTAAGAAAGAAAAAACTGAAGATTACACCAAAACTTACTATTTCGAAGTGGTCACCAACGGAGGAACCGTGATTTTTAGACACGACATGAGCTCCTTTATGAAGATATTTAAACTGAATAGATTTGATGCGATAGTCGTTGAAAGAAATAAAGATAGCAGAGATCATGGTGTGTCCCTTCTCGTCCCATCTCCCGTCCAAACAAATTCCCTCTCCAATTGGTCCCACTTTGAACATCTCTGTATACTCTTCTTCTTGATAATCTTAAGAATAATTTCTTCTTGTCAGAATACTTGGCTTTATATAATTTCTCCAAGAAAACTTCTTAAATCAAAGTATATAAATAAACTTCAAAACAGAAAGTTATTAAAAACTTAAGCCAAATATGTAAAACTATATCATTTCCTAATCTCTTTGTTCACTTTTTTTTTTCGGTAGCGCTTTCCTTTTAAGCTATGTATGATATATATTAACTATAACACTTAATAAAGTGATCTAAGACACCACTTATCGGTTGGAGCAATATGTGAGAGACACCCGCTGATTCTTCTATTTCCTCTCATATGCTTAAAAAGTGAAAAGAGCATCATAATTTCAAGACTTTGCATGCCAGAATCACACACATATGGAACCATCAATAACAAGTCATCGAAAGAACAAATGGTACATTCTTTTTTTAATTGAGAGTTGAGAAATATAAAGATGACACCATGACATTATTACTCCATTAGAGAGAGAGAGAGAGAGAGAGCGATTATAAAAGACACTCTGTCTTGTCCAAAACACAGAGTCGTCATGCATTTTTATTTATGGAGTTCACTGGGAGCAAGCTACACAAGTTTCCAGATACATTAAAGAAAACACTTGGGAAATTGTGCTTAACAAGGACTCTGATTGTTTGACTAAAACCTGTTTTACATTTTCCTAATTAAGTAGTCCAAATACGCACCACGGAAAATAAAATAAAAAAGGTTTCCCTTTGGACATTTCAACCCGGTGCAGTGGTGAGGGATCAGACTTTAGATGGAGCCTTGGGGTCGGTCTCGACCTGTTTATGGTCTTCGAACTTGTCTATAGCCATCTGAAGCTCGTCCGTGCCACCAACAGCCCTCATCGTGTAGAAATACACCCCAAACACAAAAGCTGTCAAGCCTCCCGCCACAACCATGTTCTTGCCTTTCGGTCCCAGAAAGCTCAAACCTTGAAACCCCGCCATTGTTTCAACCTGCGAGATTCAAGAAAGTGTAAAACGCCATGAGTTAATTATCTTACTCATGTAGAAGAATATGCCACAAATCAGACGCATTAGCTAGACAATCACGGAATTAACCACAAGATGAGAAACTACAGAGAAGAACTTTGACAAACACATCAAAGAAGGATTCACAAAATCCCTTATACACCCTACTTTGAATCCCGAAAAGTCGATTTCGTTAATATGACGCAAATAGCAATCCTAGTTCAATCAAAAAATGAATTTCCCATTTGATATAGCTATTTAAGTGACAGTGCAGGGAGAACAGAAACGACCCAGTCAAGAAGTAAGTGAAGATTGCAAATCACTCCAGTAAACAAAACTTGTTCTTTTGCATTATGATCTAAATCCTAATTTTCCATATTTCATCTTCACGGGAGCTACTATCAATCTACAACCTTTTTTCGCATAAATTGTCCATAAGAATCAGTGCAGATCATTGCTCCCAATTGACGAAAGTCAAATTGATAGCAGATATAAAAAAAAAAAGCTTTACCCCCAACATAAAACCCTAATTCGACATCAAAACATCCAAAGTTAACATCTTGGACACAAGTTTCCGTTTTTCTGCAAGCAGAGCAGAAAGCATCAACCGAACAAAAAAAAACAATTCATCAACTCAGATCTGATTCTTCAGCAGTTAAACAAGTCAATTCGAGTTGCAAAATTATAAAATGGAATTGAACGGAACGGAACCTGATTCTTTGCGAATGATAAACCCTACAAAACCTGAAATTGCAAAATGCTGCTGATGTTTTTGGCACATGAGGTTCCGTGTTGACAAGAAAAAAAGGTTCGGTTTTTAGTCGGTAACAACTTTCACAGGCCCATTATATAAGCCCAACTATTCTTTCATTTACGCAAAAGTTATGTTTAAAACTCAGGGCCCAACTAAACTACAAATTTGTAATTAAACCCATTTTACAGTTTTCTGCACAAGTCGTCTAAAGAGGCTTTAATGAAACATGGTGCCGTAGTGAACAATCATCCGACTAAAACAAATAGGTTAACTGAAAGCTTATGCTTATAACTAGAAGATGACCCCAAAAAAAATGTGGCATTTCTCCAATAAAATAGCTTCTTGATTCAAAGCACATAAGAAACAAAAAGTAGTTTATACTACAACGTACTAATATTATAACTGTCTTGCAAATAACTATCATTATACATCTTGGATCAATTATTTGATATTAGTATTCTAGACTTTCTAGTAGTATCTTAGAAAAAGTAATAATACATTTATTATTTACTCTGACATTAGCTAAAAGGGTTTCACTTATAAAAAGGAATTACAATTTAACAACTTGATTAACGAGAAGGACCTAACATTTTTTGCAAAAATTGAGTAATCATTATCAGACAATCAGTAGACCTATTTTAATTTTCTCGAACCTCTTATACGTTTATTAATAAAACACCAATTGCGTTGTTGCACGTTGCAAATATACAATACACACGTAGAGATGATTTCTGCAGAGACGTCTATTCGGAAAAAAACATTTCAGAAAGAAATCAAAGAAGTGGTTCCTTGTTGGTCAAGAAATTACAGAGGAAACTCAAATCAAGGCTCAGGCTGCATTTTCTCGCACTCTTCTCGAATCGACTGGAAAAGCATGGTCGAGAGGTATCGTTCCCCAAAGCTCGGGAACACAACCTGGAAACAAAATTCATCAACTCACAGCTCAAGATTATTATCAAACATATGAATCTGTTTCTCACTTTTTTTTAATCTGACACTAGCTAAAAGGGTTTCACTGATTCCCACTTTGGGACAAAGGACTAGGCTTGGAGTGGCAAAAACACGAAGCAAAACGCAAGTGTAGGTATTCAAAGTCATCAGATGTGTAAACCAAACCAACTACTAGAGAAAACAAAGCTTAGGCTATTAAAAAGGCTAAGGTTCATGAATCTTGATTTTCACATTGTGCTGTGAGTTAAGTAAATACCTCAACAACTCTTTTTTATTATCTGGTGGTTGGTCACAGATACAGGACAAGGGTTTGGTAAGGGGAGATTCGATATACCAAACAGTGAATCATTAATAGATAACTAAATCAACTCCCATCACCTACCTCCATCAAGAAAATATGACGAAGAACATAGATGAAAACATCGAGGACTTACAGCTATGAGTTTCCCGGCATTTTCAGGTCTCTTGGCGACTTGGATTGCAGCAGCAGCAGCAGCTCCAGAAGATATACCGACCTGAAAAAAGTTATAATCTTTCACTTAGCATCACAGATTTCTCATACATTCGTTTCATTTATCCTTTGAATTTCAATTTCTCCTTTAAAGACTGTTCCCACTTGGAAATAAGTCAAACAGAGTACAAATAGACTAACCAACAAGCCTTCCTGGAGAGCTAGTTGCTTCGCGGTTTCAATAGCTTCCTCACTGGAAATCTGATAAGAAGCAAAGTAACAGGTGAAGTTGAGTCTCAAGATCCTGGAAACAGTTGTAACCTTACTCTTTTTCATGTCGAGTTTGTATGTCAACCGATAAATTTTAGAAATGGAACCCTATGATTATAGAGAACCAAACAAATAGATCATACCGCAATGTATTCATCTACAATAGCCTGATCCAAATTCTTAGGAATAAACCCAGCTCCGATTCCTTGAATCTTGTGAGGTCCTGCATTTCAAAATACAAGACAAATAAAAATGCAGTGTCATCGGATAATAAGTAAGCGATGGAAGTAAACAAAATCACTGGCCATACCAGGTTTTCCACCAGAAAGTATGGCGCTTTCAGTTGGTTCTACACCTATAATCTGGTACACAAAAAAACAACAAATAATTAAACATAAATTTTACTAACTAAAAGAATAGCATATCTCTAATTATAGAGGCTTCAAACATCCACAGATGTATTCATTTCCAGCTGAAATGCTGATACCTTCAATTCGGGTTTTCTTTCTCTAATGAATCGACCAACGCCAGTGATAGTTCCACCAGTTCCAATTCCCGCAACCAATATATCCACCTTCCCTCTTGTATCTTCCCATATTTCAGGACCAGTAGTCTCGTAATGAATCTGCATATTCCTTGTATTAAAACTACACTAGCAAATACTTGCAGCCTAAAAAAGTAGAAACTAAACAGTAATACCAAGGTTATAACAAAGGGAAATGCAGAAGAGTCTATATTTTCTCAAACTTGGATCTTTCACATTCACTTATTATGGTCCAGAACTAGAGGTAACACTGAATCATGAATCATAAGGTAGAGAGTATTATGAAAATAGAAGCAAGCACAGACCTTGGGATTGGCTGGGTTGTCAAACTGTTGGAGCATGTAGGAGTTTGGAGTGTTTTTCAAGATTTCTTCAGCCTTCTGAATTGCTCCAGTCATGCCTTTTGCAGGCTCGGTTAATACAAGCTCAGCTCCAAATGCCCTCAAAAGAACCCGTCTTTCCAAACTCATGGACGAGGGCATCGTCAAGATAAGTTTATATCCCTTTGAAGCAGCAATAAATGCAAGACCAATCCCTGTGTTTCCACTTGTAGATTCCACAAGAACACTCTAGAGAAGTGCAGCAAATAAAAAATAATCATTGGGCTTCACGCTCAACGCAGAATAATGAACTTTTTGCAATACAATGTCTATCGCCAGTGAGATTTCTCAGCTCAAACAAAAAGACTCAAGTCAGTACCTTTCCAGGTGTTATAAGTCCTTTTTGCTCAGCATCAGTAATCATACTATACCCAATCCTGAAATCACCGTAGCAGCAGAAACTCAGAATATAAATATGTGAAGATAAGCAACACATAAACCAAATCGGTTACACAAACCTATCCTTGACACTGCAACATGGTTCCATGATTTCAAGCTTGGCAGCAACACTTGCAACACAGCCCTTGACTATGTTGTTCAAGTACACCATCGGAGTTTTCCCAATAAGCTGAATCAACCCATCACATAAGGAATCAAAAACTCAAAGGAGATCAAAGCAAATTGTATTGTATCCTATCTTTAGACAATTGAACACCAATTTTAGCTTTTCCTCTATCTCTCTTCTCTCTATCCAGATGCAATCGAAACACTAACTAGAAGAAAAAACCCATCTAACCTGAGCGGCATTCTCGGCGATATTGAGCCCTTCGATTCCAGCTTCGGGCTTGACAGACACAGCCTTGCACACAACACCGCTACACCTCTGGCTCTGTCTCTTGAGAGTGAGAGCAGCCGGGAGAAAATCGAAAGTAGCCGCCTTTCTAGAAGATAAGGAGACAGAAGAGAGCTCTGGCGAGTATTTAAAAGGCCGGTGGGGAGAAGTCAACGGATTAAGGAGGAAAGCAGAGGAAGATGTCGCAGCCATGATTACCCTTTTCGCTCTGTTATCTCCTTCACTTTCCCAAAACCGTAGACAAACGAAGTAGAGAGAGAGAGAGACTAGGGAGATGCTTCTTTCTCCTTTGCGGTTAAAACTTGAAGAGACACTGACACTGATCAGATTAGATCGTACTGTAGCTCAGAAAAACGACGTCGCTTGTTGAAGTTTCAATACTTTTGGCGTCTTTTAACAGGAATTTAATTTTTATCTGGAGAAAAGAAGAGACTTTGAAAATTTTCTGTGAACAAAAAGAAAACAATCCTGATTTGTCTTATCTGATTCTCACCAACCTACTAGTCTGATGGCGAGCTGAAGAGCACATGCTCTTCTTCATCATCTATCCCTACCTAACTCTCAAAGGTCAGATATAATCTTTGTGGACTTTTTCTGTTTTTTTTGGGGTTCTTTGCCTTGTTTAATTTCTGGGTAGCTGTTAAAGTGATTACAAACTTTTCGACAGAGAGAAAAGTATCAATTTTTCCAGTGCATAAAGATACTGAAAGTATCAAACTTTTCGACTCTTGATTGAGGTTATCACCGTGTTTCTGTGAATCTGTTCCATTCGATTCGACCCTCAAGCCAAAAACAAAAACACTAACCCCAGATTGTAAATTGGGATTTTGGCAAAGCTCTGGAATTTGGTCAGTTTCTTCCGATTCGATAAAAATTGACCGATTCGGAATTTGTTCACAGATCGTTATTTAGACTTTGGTGTTTGACTCTTCCATTATCTGGATACTAAGCTGAATGGATTTATATAACTATGCAGCTGTAGTAAAACTCTGATTTTGGCATTAAGATTGGGCAAAGAAGATCGTTCATTTGTTCTCTGTTGCCTTTGACTAAGCCTATTGTCTGTTGATTAGGCTTGCTTGATTATTTTGCTATGATAAGTAAGCGTGTTGTTGATTTGCACTACCTGCAGGTTAGTAGAATTGCTATTGGAACATCCACTGTTTTGAGGTTAACGCTTCAGGAGGTTCCTGTTGTATTGGAAAGTGTCCCGCAGAAGAAGAGACGAAGATGTCTTCGGATGAGAAGAACCTCATAGAGATCTTGGAGGAAGGTCACAGAGTCGATATAGTTAAGTACATTGATTACGTCAGTGCCCCTGAAGCTGGTGCTATAGCGACATTCTCAGGCACTACAAGGGACATGTTCCAAGGCAAAACAGTCTTGGAGCTAAGGTACGAAGCATATGTGCCAATGGCCACAAGATGCCTCAGCTCCATCTGTGCAGCCGCTAGATCAAACTGGGACATCCATAAGATTGCTGTTGCTCACCGTCTGGGACCAGTTCCCGTTGGAGAAACCAGCGTGTTCATCGCGGTCTCGTCTGTTCACCGTGCAGATGGTTTAGATGCTTGCAAGTACTTGATCGACGAGCTGAAGGCGTCGGTTCCAATATGGAAGAAAGAGGTGTACACTAACGGAGAGATTTGGAAGGAAAACTCCGAGTTTATGGAGAAAAGGTTGGAGCTTGCGGAGAAGAGAGACGGGTTGGGGAAGAAACATGTGGTTGAAGAACATAAAAGAAGTTGCTGCGGAAGTAAAGTTAGAGTTCAAGAGGGTGAAGAAGAAGCATAAAGATATTTCACGAGCTAACAAAATTCTTCTTCTTGATTACTTGTAGCAAAGAGCAACAATATTTGTTTTCTCTGTTTTCTCTCAAATAATAAAGACATTGTTGAATCTAAAGACTTCAATTACAATCGAGTTGCAAACATCTCACAGCTTTGAAATTTCAGATTTGTCCCAACATCAATTATTGCTTCACTTTTCCTAAAACTACCGAATTTATTTCTAAGAGCATAATGACGGCTACTACATTAATTAAACAAATCTCCCCAAAAGAAGTCCGTTGCGTTTCAAAAAAGAGGAACATAAAAAAATATGACCGTTGGGACCACACGAAGCTTATAAATACAGAGAGAATGTTGACAAAACGGTCTCCTCTCGTCAAGAAGAGCGTCTCCGTCGGTCTCTGATCGTGAAGGAGAGCGTCTCCGATCTCCGCAGCGACAATTGTCAGTCTCCGACACCAGATCCGGAGAAATTTCGTACCTTTCCATATTTCTGTCCTTCTCTGTTCTTATCGGTAACCCCAAATTACCCGATTCCTTCTTTTTCTCCAAAATTTTCATGAATTTTAGATTCTAGCGACTTGTTTGAAACTTGAAATACGAAGCGCTACTGTTCCTAACCCATTCCACCGACACGTTACACTTTAATTTATGGCTTCTTTGAAATAATCTTGAGTTTTCCGAAATCATGCTTCTTTGTGCTTTGAAATCGGTTTTCTTCCACCGTGGCTTGAGAGATTCTAGCTTGTTTTCTGCAATTCTGAGAATGATAGGTTTATGGTTGGTGTTATTTATTTCTGGGTTTTAGTTATGAATCGCTTGCTTCTGATTGTGTTCTGATTTGCTGAAACATAGATTTTATCATAAACGGAACACGATGGCTTTGTCCATCTTTGTTTGTTTTATCGTTACGATTCTTTTCTCTGTGACGTTCGCCAAATTCAGAGAAGGAAACTGAAAGTGAAGACGATGCTGCCAAGTCGAAGACCGTTGCTAAAGTCACTCGTCGATAAGGAAGGTTGTTAGATTTTTCTCCTTTCTTATTAGCACTCTCTGGCAAATATGTAACTGCGTGGTCTTTGAATTTTTAGAGTTTTTTTTCATGGGTTTAGGTATAAACGTAGAGAGAAAGGGAAGCTTGTCAATTCATACTCGTCCAAAGATCTTGAAGGAATCTTGGTAAGCTTTAACGCTCATGATCATGATTCATGTCGAGTAGCATTGCTACGTATTGTTAATTCGTGCATAAAGTTAGTACTCTCTGTGCTATAACCATTATGAAAGTGATAATCTAACTTACTTAGGCTACATTATTTCACTGTAGGTTAAACGAACTGAGGAACCTTCTCCTGTGGTTTGTGACACAGCCGATACTATGGAGATTGAAATTATATCTGAGGACCAACAATCGAGTGTTAAAGGTGATTATATGTCCTTAGATCTTGAAATGGTGTGTTTTCTGTTGTTTTTGTTCTTGAGCTGAAAACATATGGATCTTTTGGACTGAACAGAACAGAAAATCGAAGAACCTTACGCGGACTGGTGGGGATTTAAATCTGGGTTTGTCTCGGGCGGTCTTCTTGGAGCCTAAGTCTGGCAGAAAGAAATCAGCTATGTGTGTTTCTTTTCCCCACTCTTCTTTACAAGCTGTTCTTGGAAAACAGGGATCGGTGTCTTAAAGCCGTGAAATGTCTGCAGGATAGAGCCACGGCTGGAATACAAGGATTGGGTATCAAAGACCGACCGAAGCAAACAGCCAGTGTTCATTACCGATATAAGAGGAGAGGCTCGGTAATGTTGCTATTCTTTACTCATATCATTTACAGTTATATTTTAGGTTGTTATATTAATTAGAAAATCTAGGTGTTTAAAAACTGTATAATTGTGAAAACAGATTAGACTTGGGCATCCTGTCTTTGTAAGATTGTTAGAGGTGTCACATGTCTTTTTACTATTCTATCAGTTTTTAACATTTAGATTTTCAATTTAAGTTAAATTAAAAGTTTAGTTTACTCATATCTGTATGTTTGACAAACATGCTATGCTTTTATTTTTCTTTTGGAGATGTTGCCGAGGAGGTTGCTGTTCAATTTGTTTCAATGGCGGGAATGCTCTCAGAGAGGTTTAGAAAGGTAATGTTGCTATTCTCAACTCATATCATTTTACAATTAGATTTTATGTTGTTAGATTAATTAGAGAATTTTGGTGTTTAAAAACTGCATAATTGTAAAAATAAATTAGACATGGGCATTCTGTCTTGTAAGATCGTTAGAGGTGTCACAAGTTTCCTTTGTCTTTTCACTATTATGTGAGTTTTTAACACTTAGATTTTTAATTTATGTTAGATTAAAAGTTTAGTTTACTCATACATGTATGTTTGCAAACATCTAACTATGCTTTTATTTTTCTTTTGGAGATGCTGCCGGCGAGGTTGCTGTTTAATTTGTTTCAATGGCGGCAATGCTCTCACAGAGGCTCAGAAAGGTAATGTTGTTATTCTCAACTCAAATTATTTTACAATTAGATTTTATTTTGTTAGATTAATTAGATAATCTTGGTGTTTAAAAACTGCATAATTGTGAAAACAAATTAGACTTGGGTATCCTGTCTTGTAAGATCGTTAAGGGTATCACAAATTTCTTTTGTCTTTTCACTATTATGTCAGTTTTTAACACTTAGATTTTCGATTTAGGTTAGATTAAAATTTTAGTTTACTCATATCTGTATGTTTGACAAACATCTAACTATGCTTTTATTTTTCTTTTGGAGATGTTGCCGGCGAGGTTGCTGTTCAATTTGTTTTAATGGCGGCAATGCTCTCACAGAAGCTTAGAAAGGTAATGTTTTTATTCTCAACTCATATTATTTTACAATTAGATTTTATGTTGTTAGATTAATTAGAGAATCTTGATGTTTAAAAACTGCATAATTGTGAAAACAAATTAGACCTGGGCATCATGTCTTGTAAGATTGTTAGAGGTGTCACAAGTTTATTTTGTCTTTTTACTATTATGTCAGTTTTTAACACTTAAATTTTCGATTTAGGTTAGCTTAAAAGTTTAGTTTACTCATATATGTATGTTTGACAAACATCTAATTATACTTTTATTTTTCTTTTGGAGATGCTGCCGGTGAGGTTGTTGTTCAATTTGTTTCAATGGTGGCAATGCTATCCGAGAGGCTCAGAAATGTAATGTTGCTATTGTCTATCTACTTAGATCATTTACTTACAATTAGATTTTATGTTATTAGATTAATTAGAGAATTTATGTGTTTAAAAACTGCATAATTGTGAAAACAAATTAGACTTGGGCATCTTGTTTTATAAGATCGTTAGAGGTGTCACAAGTTTTTTTTGTCTTTTCACTATTCTTCAGTTTTTAACACTTAGATTCAATTAAGTTAGATAAAAAAAAATAGTTTACTCATATTTGTTTGTTTGATAAGCATCTAACTATGTTTTTCCTTTTCTTTTGGAGATGCTGCATTGTGAGGTCTTTGTTCAATCTATTTCTAGGTTAGCTTAAAGTCCCGTTCATTGAAGATGCTGCATTGTGAGGTTAGCTTAGACTCTGATCAGTTACTTTTGCTTTATTTCGCTTTAACCATAGGATGCTGCCGATGACATTTCATAATATCCTAATGATGCAAACATTACATCTTGCAGTTTCGGAAAGACAGAGCTACTAAGAAATTTTCAGAAGTAAAAGTTAGAGTTCAAGAGATTGAAGAAGCATAAAGATATAGCAGGTGATAACAATTCTTCTTCTTGATTACTTGTAGCAAAGAGCAGCAATATTTGTTTTCTCTCAAATAGTAAAAACATTGTTGAATCTAAAGACTTCAATTACAATCGAGTTGCAAACATCTCACAGCTTGAAAATTTTAGATTTCTCCCAAGTAAATATCTTTATCGCTGCTGCAGGATCCAATGATAGGCTCGGTTGGATGAAAAACGCACTCATTGACAGAGCCTTTGTGGCCTGGGAGCTTATACAGAATCCGCCGACTGGTTGTGTCCCATATATGAACCATACGGTCTGCACTACCAGCAGTGACTTTGGTACCATCAGGTGACCACGAGCATTTCAGTAGGTTCTTCTCAAAGTTGTGTTGGTGCCCATCGAAGATCTTCACACATCGGTTCTGTGGAGCGTAAGGACGCATGTCCCACACGCAGAGCTTGCTGTCCATCCCATTGGTGAGAAGGTAGGAACCGTCTGGACTCAAGCTCATGCCTGTGATTGTGTCTTGGTGACCTTCAAGTGTCATGGTGGCTTCGCCTTTCCGCAAGTCCCAGACTTTAACATCGTTGTCTACACCGCCGGTGAAAATCTTATCAGCTGCATCAGAGAAACTGACGGCTGTGATTTGGTATTTATCGGGGAATGTCTGTATGGCTCCTCTCTGACGCATGTCCCAAAGCTTGGCGGTTCCATCGTCGGAACCACTGATGATAAGCGGTGGTCCTCTGCGCGTAGGGCAGCAAGAATTCACAAACGAGGAATGTTCAGCCATCTTCTTGACTTGTTTCCCGGTTTCAACATCCCACGCCCTTACAGTTTTATCCGGACTCGCTGACACAATATGGGAGCCATCACTGGTCCAGTGAAGATCAAGGATAGCGTTCTTGTGACCTTTCAGAACCATGAAGTTTTTGCAGTCACCGTGAACTCTCCATAGGAAGATCTCTCGATCATGGGATCCAGATGCAATCAGAGTCCCGGCTGGGTTGAACTTCATGGTGTAGACAGCACTCGGGTGTCCAGTTAGCAACATGATAGGCGCTTCCAAGCTCGATGTCCGTTGCTTACCATACGGACCAGGTCCCTGGAAAGTTGAAACCTCCATCGGCCTAGGACCTGACAAAGCGTTCTCGTTCTCTCTTGGCATGATCTCCATCGTAGCCTCTGTTTCGCTGTGAATCTAACTCGAACCTGGAATCAACGAGGAAACGAATTACCACATTATATCAATAAATCACACATCTGTTTAACGTGCACATCCCAAAGTAAAGCTAACGAAAAGTAATATTTGCTCTAGGATTTTGAGTGCTGAACATGAACAACAATGTAATGCTAACAACAAGCTAATACTGGAAGGATCTTTTCGTTTTCCTGGTTTGCTCTAGGATTTCGCATCTAATTTCAAGCCGCAAGTGGAATATTCAACTCCAGATATTAACGAAGCACCAGGAATCGAGATCTCTCTAAAGGTAACAGCGAATCTAGTAGCTATCATACCTATGCGTAAAACTCGAAACACACACATGGCTAATCTACCTCAAATTACACACAAGACAGTGAAGAATGGAAGAAGAAAAAGCTTGGTAGATACCATGATTTAGCAGAAAGACTTCATTGAGCTAAATTGCTTATAAGAGAAACCTATAACGCTCATTACGGAGAGATTAATCACGTACCGAAGTTAAATGGCGGCGAGGGATGCAGAAAACGCCCGGTGTCGTTGACAAACTACCGGAACCCTAAACCCAGAGAGAAAAGCTCGCGAGAAAGAGGGAGAGAGATTCAGAAACTAAAGAGCAGTCGCTCGGTATATTTGTAGAATATTTGATAAAGGCCCTTACATTTTTAAAGTAATCTTAGGATAATCCTCATACTGTTATTTCGATCAAAATTAACCATCACCGAATGTGCTTTATCTTGGACCTGACAAAGTAAACGTACTTCTCGAATTCTTTTTGATTGATTTTTGATGGAGTAAGAAGAGACCATCGAGATCTATTATGGATAGGCAAACCTTATACAAAACATTTAAATACAAGATTGTGATAATTTTTGACTTTAAAGACTGTTAAGAACAACAAAATCTTGTAGTAATCAGGAATCTCAAACTCTTTAACATGCAGTTTGTTAAGAAAGTGTGAAATGTCAGGAGTTATAGAGGAGACCCAAGTGTCACAGTTGTATTATGAATGGGATGAGTATCAAGAGAGAACTTTATAGCATGTATATAATATAACAACTTTTAGTTACTCCATTGATGAAGTTGATATCTCATTCATATAGTAGAGACTGTAATCATTCATTAACACAACGGAAATGATGAAAGCTTCAAAGCCAGACAATAGATTCCTGGCTCTGTATTGTTTTATGATGTTATACTGCGCATCAGTTAATATATAAACCAACTTTTAAATAGACCATTTTTTTACTTACAGGAGCTCAAGACTCCTTTACTTGTCCCACCTAGTGGGTCTCTTCCTCTTCTTCCCTCCACGAACTTCCCTGAGCAGCTCTTCAAGTTCTTCACATAGCGGTTCTGGAGTCAGATGAACTATCTCTCCATCATCACAATCACTACCCTCATTTGTATCTGTCTCGTCCTCCTCCTCACTTAGCCATCCACACTGAGAAGTCCTCGAACCTAAAGAATTGAATTTACCTCTGTAAGACAACGTATTCATTCATGAAATGAGAAAGATTGTAACTTTGTTACCTCCAACAGAATGCTGTGCATAATATCCTGATGCATCTCCTGATTGAATAACCGTTGGTGATGCATAATCCATTGAGGCTTCTCCTGACTCAATAGCTGCTGGTGATGAGTCCGTGATGACCGCCTTGCTAGTGATCGACAAAGCATCAGCCTGTGCTCCTGTCTCTGCGCCACACACCACCAAAGATGTTGAGTTGCTGCCAACATGGGTTCTCCTGTCCTCAACTTGCTGCTCCTGTAATACAGAAGACAGATCATGATGCAATTCAAAAACACCCAGTCGTTTGTTTCTGATACTTGATCACCAAAACAAATCATGCAAGCAAAACCAAGCTGAGATACAGTCAGAGTCAGAGTCAAATTACAAATCACCTTTTCTTCTCCCTGAGCCGTTTGTTCATGTTGTTCCTCAGCCATCTCTTCGTTTTGTACCAGAGCCATTTCTTGTTTCTGTTTTTCTTCTGGTTTCTTTGTTAGCTCCTCTTGCTTTTCAAGGCACTTGTCTAGAAGCACTTGGTAACTATACTCTTCGATCAGACACCATCCTTCCTCACCATACACCTGAAATCCAAAGCAGGTAAAACATCACTTTCATGGAAAATGTTTTCAAGGAAGAGAAAACCGAGGAACATACCTCTAGCATTTCCTTGATACACACTTTGATAAGACGCTCCTCAAATCCAAAACCTCTCATGGCATCTCTTGCTGCATCCTCTCGCATCAGTCCAGCCTTCTGCAAAGAGGAGAAGAAAATATACCAATTTAAAGCCTTACATAATAGATAGAAACCTTACAAGAAAAAAAAATACTCAACGGACTGATCTTCTGCTTCTATTTCTCACTGATAATTAACTGACAAAAAAATGAAGAACAGGAGAAAGAAACAAAAAACCTAAGAATGAGTTCTAGAGCATCATCTTCTAATCTCCCAAGTCCCAAGTCCCAAACCACAACTACACTCATCTGTTCAAACTCTATGTGTAACAGTAAAGCTTACCTTTCTTCTTCCTCTAGGCGCCATTTCTTTTATCCCTCCTGGTTCTTTGTGGTTTCTGAAGAAATCCAAGGAGAAAAATGTTAGTTTCAAAATAAAACCAGGAAAAATAACTAATATGCCAAGATAAAGTGGCAGGCAGTGCAAAAGAGCAGCGGGATCAAAAGATGAGTTATATCATGATGTGAAGTGTGAACAACAGATTATTGCAAAACATTCCACCAGTCTACAACTGTTCTTTCGCATTGTAATGGAGACAAGAGAGACAATCAATAGCTCACCTTCATGCGGCATTCACTTTAGCATAAATGTTCACAAGCTTATAACAATCGGCAAAAAATCAGATGCTTTTAAACGAGTCAATCAAACAATCAACAACCAACCGTCAACAAAAGTCACATTTTTTAAGGCGATCACAAACACTAATTTGAAATCAAAACATCCAAAGCTAACATCTTGATCCAGACGGAAGTTGTTGAAACCAGATAAAAATGCCAAAATGAAAGCAGAGCAGAAAACACCAATCAAATTTTCTAAGTATGTATGAAAATTAGTCCGAGGACCACGAAATTGAATAGAAGGAAACTGTACGTTTAAAAGATCACTCGGAAGTTGGAAAGACACACAAAGCTGGTAACGGAGAATCGTACCCGACGCAAGCAGAGAAGCCAAAAGGTTTCGTTTTTAGGTGACAACTGGTTTCGAAGACGCTCGGTGTTGTTGCCACTTGCCAATCTATCGAAACCCTAAACCCAGAAAAGTGAGAAAGAGGGATAGTTGAAGAGAACACGCCGTCTCGAGCTCTCACCCAAGCCAACTGTAAACAAACACAGTGTCATTCATTGCTTTTATCTTGTAAACACAGTGATAATAAGGTCCCTGTAATTTTGGAATACTATCAAAATGAACCACAATGTTTTTTATTTAATCCAAATTACACCCAATAAATAACCAATGGCTTACAAGTTTCCTCCTCCTCGAGTTATTAATGTTTTCAATCTATGAAAGATGTGGATCACTATCTTTCTTTTTTTTCGCAAAAATTGTATTTTGGAAATGTCTTTACATCCTGTTTACACGTAACGAATAAAAAAAAATGTTTCGTGTTAGGAAAATGATTGTAAAAGTACAACCAAATAAACAAACAAAAACAGCAAATAACGTCAATAATGTTGAAACTAATCACAGCTAATTACATTCAAAATTTATTGCTGTTAATGAGATAAGTTTTATCATTATTCTAAATCGAGTAATTTTTACATCACGTTTTCTTCTTTGTCTCTCTTACCACCTAAATTTTTAAAAGAAAAACAAAATACTCAACAGTGTTTTTTTTTTTTTTACACACACGGGTCAAGTGAAGACCGATGAAACCATAAAAAAAAAAAAAAAAGATCCGCACGCACATGACTTTCTCTTCTTCTCTCTTCAGATCTGTTTTGACCCAAAACCACAAAGAATATCAATTTCCCTTCATTCATTCATTCATTCACTCACCCAATTAAAACCATTTTCCCATTTCCCTCAATAACTACTCTTCGATCCACACAAACCCAATAAATTTCCTCTTTCTTTAACGGCGGTTATGGACGGTGGCGCGGGTCAACCGGCGTCTGATACCGAGATGACGGAAGCTGCCGGAGGTGTTCCCGCCGCGGCTCCATCTCACCCGTCGCCTCAGATGCCGGGTGTTGAGAATATTCCGGCGACTCTTAGCCACGGCGGTAGGTTTATCCAGTATAATATATTCGGGAACATCTTCGAGGTCACCGCTAAGTATAAGCCTCCGATCATGCCTATTGGCAAGGGTGCTTATGGCATCGTTTGGTAAAAAATTCAGATTCTTTTTTTCGATTTTCTATTATCCTTCAAATTTTATTTAAATTGAAAAATGAATATGATTTTGTTGATTGGGTTGGTAAAGTTGCCAACTTTGATCCGAAATTTCTTTTTCAAAAGATTGATTAATTGATGTTTTGTTCCTTTTTTTTTAATCATTTCGAGCTCTGATATGATTGTTCTTGCTATTTCCGATTGTTTATATCAGCTTTATCATTTGTGTTCTTGTTTATATGCAGTTCGGCTATGAACTCTGAAACAAACGAGAGCGTTGCAATTAAGAAAATCGCAAACGCGTTCGACAATAAGATTGATGCAAAGAGGACTCTCCGTGAGATCAAGCTGCTTCGCCACATGGATCATGAAAATGTCAGTTTTTTTTTTTTTTTTTCTTTCATTCATAAATAAGAATCATCTGTTTATAGCCTAATGTAGAGAGCCTGATAGGATGATATAGAATTAAGTTAATGCGAACTTATCTAGAACATAAGCTGGATTTTGCAGAAAATCGACTTTGATTCTTATCGTATATAGTAATTAAGTTTGTGAATGAATGTGTTGCAGCTGGTGTTTACATTTCCTTATCGTAATATACATGAATGACGACTGTACTGTGCGTGCATTTTCTCGGTTTGATACGGATGGTTTAGAGCTTTTTAAAGTAGTATATGATCTTTTCCATCTACGTTAAAAGATTATTATTTTTTTAGAAATTGAATCATTACCATCTCTGTGTTGATCAGATTGTTGCAATCAGAGATATAATACCGCCACCGCTAAGAAACGCTTTCAATGATGTTTACATCGCTTATGAGCTAATGGACACTGATCTCCATCAGATCATACGGTCAAATCAAGCACTATCCGAAGAACATTGCCAGGTTTTTTGATTTTTGAGATTGGTTTTTCACCTATAACCCGGCTTGGAAAACCTGAATAGCTCATTTACTTCTTTTTTGTTTGTTTGTGTGCAGTATTTTCTTTACCAGATCCTCCGTGGGTTGAAATACATTCATTCCGCAAATGTGCTTCACCGTGATTTGAAACCGAGCAATCTCCTTCTAAACGCAAACTGCGACTTGAAAATCTGCGATTTCGGGCTAGCTAGAGTCACTTCCGAGAGCGATTTCATGACTGAGTATGTTGTCACGAGGTGGTACCGTGCACCAGAGCTGCTCTTAAACTCCTCTGATTATACTGCAGCTATCGATGTTTGGTCTGTTGGTTGTATTTTCATGGAGTTAATGGACCGCAAGCCACTCTTCCCTGGCCGAGATCATGTTCATCAGCTTCGCTTGCTCATGGAGGTAAGTAGTAATCTTTCTAGTAAGCTGTATTTGACATAACAAAGACTATAAAATTGTGTGGTCAAGAAACATATTGTGACAATCTTAGAATTTTTCTTGCAGCTCATAGGAACTCCATCAGAAGAAGAGCTCGAGTTCTTGAACGAGAATGCAAAGCGATACATAAGACAACTTCCACCGTATCCTCGCCAATCCATCACTGATAAGTTCCCGACGGTGCATCCTTTAGCGATAGATCTTATCGAGAAGATGCTAACATTTGATCCTAGACGGAGAATCACAGGTCAGTCCCCAATCTATAATACCATTTCACTTTCAAAAACACGACTTTCTTGTGCGTATCATTCCAGAAACACGAAAACAGATTCACTATAGTTTCCTCACATCTTCGTGATTCTTGATTCGTGGTTCAGTTTTAGACGCCCTGGCACATCCATACCTGAACTCGCTGCACGACATCAGCGATGAGCCAGAGTGCACGATACCTTTCAACTTTGATTTTGAGCAACACGCGCTCTCAGAGGAGCAGATGAAGGAGCTTATCTACCGCGAGGCGCTCGCTTTCAATCCAGAATATCAGCAATAGTTTGAAGAACAGAACAGCATTTCGGAGATGATAATGGGATCAGGTTTGGTTTTATTTGGACAACATTCTTCAAAAGAGGAAAAATCATTGTTTGTCGTTTGTGTATACTTGTGAGAGATGCTTGAAAGGGATGTGATGGGGATCAAACTTTTAATTTCAAGTTCTTTTGGTTTTTTTTTTTTTTTTGTTCTCTACGTATTTGTAATATGTCCACTTTTTCTTGTTGCCAATTATTAAGACTTAACATCATCACAAAAACAGTTTTCATGTGTTACTATTTCTCACCTTCAATACCTCTCTACAAAATGTTCTTTTGTGGCAATCTTTTCTTTGTTTAAAACATAAGGATCAAGCAGGATTATGCGATTATTGTAACAAATTGTAGCAAGAAAATAACAAATACGCAGCAAAAGTATTGCAGAGGAGATGGGGATGAAGCAAATCATGATGACCTCCAGTGGAAATTGAGTATTTGATGAACACGAATCTCATGTTTTGCAATGTGTTAACTCTTAAAGACTGCCAAAGAATTTCGACAACGGCACAGGACCGTCAGCCTCATCTTTACTTTGGCTTGAGTGTCTGCCTCTAGACTTGTGTTTCTTCTCCCTTTTGGATCTTTTAGAACTTGACCTTGAACTCCTAGATTCCTCTTCGTCGCTACTTGATGATTCGGAGGATGAGCTTGAGTCAGACGATCGCCTTCTCGAATGCTGCATATAAAAAAAAACACAGAAGCTAAGCTACAAGCCAACAAAACATTACAGAAGATGTTCGAACTAAACTCGATGTAGTTGTTGCACCTTTCTCTTTTTGCTTTTCTTCTTCTTCGAATCTCTGTCCTTTCTATCTGTGTAATCCCTCTCCTTCTTATCTGTATGATCATGGGGCATATTAGAAAGTAAGACGCAAATTACGGATTGTAAGACAATTTATTTGATCAAGTTTATCATATGTATACCTTTTCTGGATTTCTCGCTAGGATAGTTCCTTCCCTTAGAGAGCTTCATCGCCCTTTCAGCATCCAGCTGAGCTCTATACTCACGCATCAATTTATCCGTATCTGCTTCTAGTTCCCCCTTTTTCAGCTCTTCTTCCTAAGAGCGGTCACGTTTAAGTACACACAGTGAAAAAACATTCTGTCATAAACACAGAGCAAAGAACCTGTTGAAGATAACCCTATACCATCATTGCGAATATGCAAAATAAAAGAATCAACTTTCAATAAGTGATGACCTATTGAATAGAAGAAATTAATGTTCCTAACCACCTTAGCATCAATGATTGCTTCCAAATTTCACAGATGGCTTCAAAACAAAAAACATAGAATTTACCTTTTGCTTCTGCTTATATTCTTCCCAAGTAATGGTGTGTGTAGTCTTGAGACTGGCCAAACGAGCAGCATGCCACTCTGGTGTATGATACGAACCATCCACCTGCGACTCGCCTCATCAGAAATGTTTTGGTAACGAAAGCATAAAAGCATAAACAAGAAGCAAACTTGACAAAGAGAAACGAAATTATCCCTATCAAAGCCCACATTTTTTTTTTCAAAAACACGCAATTGAAATTGCTTGCTTCAACTGTGCAACACAATCAAAGACTACACCAACATATATGTATGACAACAGCTCACAATGTATGCTTTCGAGTGGGGGGAAATTAGAGAAACTGAACGAAATCAAACAATGAGTTTCTTTGAGGTGTCAGTATGAAAGGGTACAAACCATGCCGTCTTCGATCTCGTCCGGTCCGGCGGAGCTGGAGCCAACTCTGGCTCTCTGCATAGCCTTGTACCCTTGGTTTTTCCCCATCGCCGGGAAAAAAAAGTTGGAGAATTTATTCCAGGAGAATGAAGAATCGAAAAGGGGAAAATTACTGGAGAGATTGATTATTCGGGAAAAGCTTTTGAGGATTCTTCTGGTTTAATCTTAGGGTTTGGTATTAGCGGTGTGAAGGTGGAGAATTTAGGGATCGATTGAGAAAGCGAGAGAGGGACCTGTAAGGTCAAAACCGAAACTGAGATTTACGTTCGAGTTTTTTTTTCTTCCTACAAACTCAATTATCCGATTTTCTGTATAATTTGAAATCAATGATGTAGAGAAACGACCCATCTATAGATGGGCCTAAACCCAAATAATACTGATGTAGAGAAACGACCCATCTATAGATGGGCCTAAACCCAAATTGAAACTGTTTTTTCCAAATGTTAGTCACTTAGTACCAAACTTGTAGGAGCTTCGACAAATGCCAAGTATATACATAACGAAAGTTAAAAACATATAGGCTCTTCGGTTTCCTCACATTTTCAATTTTCCACTCGGATACTTAACATTAAAAAAAAAAAAAAAATAGTCAATTTATCATGAATTATTGGAATGAAATTAGAAAAAGTAAAAATCTAGATGACGCAATATTGGAGCACTTGTCTTTGGCTTTCATATATTTTTTGCCATTTTGTTCTCTTTTAAAATTATTTCACTTTTACTTTTTTTTCCACAACAATCTAATCCTATGCAAAAGATTTTGCCTTTCACGTCGTTTGTAGCACGATTCAGCCTAAAAGGTACATTTTCTCACAAATACCCCTCAAAAGTTGCTTACACCATACTTCAATTTTTTTGAAATCTCTCTCGCTTTCAATCACTGACAATAATAATAACCTCCTTTTACTTTCTCCTGTAGTTTCAAAATCTTAGTAATACTTTACATTATTTTGTTGTCAACCTACTTTATTTTATTTTCAATGTATGAAATTATAGCTTTTCTCTCCAAAGTTCTCTTTAGAATATTGAAAACTCACGTTTGAAATGATGCAAAAAGCAAAAAAAAATATCAGATATGAAATTTGAAAATCAACATTAAATAGTGATAGAGATAATTCATCTTCCATTATGTACAGTTAAGTTGTATGATTTTGATGATAATGGTGCATTTTAGCTGAAAGGGGTTACATCGTAATTAAAAAGGTTTTGTGAAGTGGGGATGTTGTTGTCCTTGAGAAAACTGGAACAGGCGATAGCCGGTGAAGAAGAGGGGTAACATAGAGGGGAAGGAAACTGACACGTGTCTATGAAGAACAAAAGTGGATGACTCAGACGACCTCCTGGATTTGCGTGATTCACGGGTTCACAGTGAAAATCAAATATGCTTCGTCGTGTAGCTCTGTACGCTCTTTATGTACTCAGTTTTTGTTGCTCGGACTATATTTCTCACCGACGATACTTGGTCTATACGTCGTCGTTTTCGCTTCTCCCGTAAATAATAATAACTCGCAGATTATTAAATATAAGTGGTGAACCTTTTTCAACAGAGGGAATGTTTGCACTTTGCATCCCATACTATTAATTTGTTACTACTAACTAATCAGTCAAAAGAATACATAAAATATTACAGAATGATGAGAGGGCTAATTTAATTATAGTCAAACTTTATTGACCTGACTGGTCTGGGGACCAACCTCGGATCAACACAGACATGTTCACAAACATTGTGGTTAATTTATACAGATTTGGAGAAGTAGGAGGTGGTATTAATTTAAAAACAATTATATTATTCGTAACAAACAAAAAACCTAAACTAAAAGAAGTAAAAGAGGTAAAACTTAACTCCGAAGAAGAAAAAAAACAGAGAATCTTTAGAGAAGTGGAAAATGATGCAAATCCCAACACTTTTCGTTACTTGTATTAATATATAATGCCAACACTTTTTGTTTTGCAAATGTGAAATATTTCCTCATTAATCTTTCAACTCCTCATCATATTCCCTCACAATTTGAAGTTATAGCTATTTATTTTCAAAAGAAAAGTTGGGTTCACATTATAATTCATAAAATAGCATAAACTAATTCTCAGTTTGGACCACATTATGACAAAACTTGGTTTGAATCTAGGACATCAGAACAATCAAACCTTTACTAGGCCAAATGTATTCACCAATTGTTTTATAATCATTTTTTATATATGTCACATTCGTATATAATTTTAATTTAGAGCACGATTTTTGTTATTGAATCTGCGCATAGACAGTAATGCTGTAAAAGTCTATAACTTATCGACAATGAATGTAGACTAGTACCGCCGACCAAAGAAATCATTTGGCCATTCTGCATCATCTCAGTGTTCGTGTAACGGCTCTGTGACATTGAATTGTATTGGATACATTGATTGAAGCCAAATTCGTTGAAATGAAATTCAGTGTGATGCAGTGTTGTTTAATTACAATTAGTTGCATGATTAGACTTCGCTGAAATACTATAAGCTTAAGTTTTGAGGTGTCGGCAATTACTTTGAGTTTTGTTACACACACATCACTTCAAAAGATAAACAAATACGTTAGTTTTTTCAACATAACAAAAATTATGGTATGTGATAATATGTAAATAATGTATGTCAAGAAGTTAAAATAATATATATTCTTGAATAGATGAAACTTTGAAATGCAGTTTTTGTTTTTTCTTTGGATGTTAACCTTTCTATTTGTTTCAGTAAATCTGATGTCTTTATCACAGATGATTTAATGTGGTTTTTTTTTTGAAGAAAATGTTGACTGTTTTCTTCACACTCTCTCTTTTTTTTCACCCTACTTCAAAAGTAAATTCAAAGTACATAACCAGAAGAAGAAGAAACCATAAATGTTAACTAGTTAGGGTAGTGAACAAGTCTCAGGCTCACCATCTTACTTGTATATGAGAATTAACAGAAAATAGTACTAATGATGTCTTTTCATCGTTAAAAATCTAGGTTAACATTCATTGTTTCTAATTGAAGAAATCTTGTTGGGAAAGATGTCCATTATTACAGCAATCATTATTAACGAAAATCGATCTATCTGCTAACAACAATTGGTCCAACCCAACAAAATCATTTAATTTGTGTTCTGACCAAATTTATTATTCGATATACAGAAATTTATTTGATAAGTTTTGGATAAAATAACACGTGGAAATAAATATGGGAAATAAAACACGAACTACCTTTCGCAATCAAATCAAATAAGAAGACCTAAACTAATTTAAGCAATGTGACACCTACTTACTATTCCCTCCAATTTCTCTCTCTAAAACAGTCAGTCCCTCGGAAAGACCAAACCTTTTTGTCTCTCTCTCTCTCTCTTCATCGACCAAACCAAACGCTTCTTCACTCTCTCTTTTCTCTTCAATGTCAGATTTTGAATGCCACAACAACAACAAGCCCTAGAAAACCAGAGTTTGACGAAATGTCTAAAATACCCTTCTTCCTCCGTTTAGCTAGCATCTTCTTCACCTTCTTGTCAGCCTCCTCCGCCGATAAACGTCTCCACTCTCGCCACTTACTTCATCAACCCCTTTTCCCGGTCATCACCGCCGCCCCACCACCATTTAAACCACCGTCATCTTCCGAACCTCCGTCGCCTTCCCCACACACACACCACCACCATAAGAAACACCCAGAGACGCCTCCACCGCACGAAAAACACCTTTTCTCCTCCGTCTCAAACCCTCCACCTCCGCCACCATCTCCGCCGCACCCGAACCCTTTCTTCCCTTCTTCCGACCCATCCTCCCCCACCGCCGCACATCCCCCACCACCTCCGCGTCCTCCGGCCTCACTCCCGACTTTTCCCGCCAACATCTCCTCTCTCCTCTTTCCAGCCCATACTAATCCATCCAAGCCTCGCAACAATCGCCATATCGCTAAGCTAGTCGCCATAATCGTCTCCGTCGTCTTCGCCGCGGTTCTCCTCTCTCTATTCGTGGTCTTCATCATCTTCCTCCGTCGAACCCGCTACCGCCGCCGCTCCTCCCCTGCAGATGACACCAAATCCACCAGATCAGACTCTCTCCAGCTCTTCAACGCCGCTCCTTCCGACGGCTCTCTGAAACACAAACAACCACCGAAGTATACTTCCTCTCACACATCCTCCGAGTTTCTCTACTTAGGTACTTTAGTTAACTCCCGAAGCGGCGGTTTAGATCAGCAGAAATCTCCCATCTCCGCCTCCGGCAGTGTCGCCGGCGTCTTGGAATTACCAGCTCCTGCTTCTTCGTCTTCTTCTTCTTCGTACTCACAGTACCATAAGCTAGGCTCGCCGGAGCTCCGTCCTCTTCCTCCTTTACCAAAGCTCCCAGCTTTCAGTCCCAATTACCAAAGCCCTGAACAGTTAAACCCTAAAAGACAAGACTTTGACGGAGATGACAACGAAAACGAAAACGACGAGTTTTTCTCTCCCAGAGGATCTTCGGGTCGTAAGCAGAGCCCGACACGTGTCTGGGCTAGCATATTGAAGGATTCTGGTGCTGATCAGATTGGCAGCAGGAGTATCAACGGCTCGAACTCGTGTTCGCCGACTAATTCCGGCTCGTCGTTGAATGGTTCTCCGGCAACAAGTTTGAAACCAAAGTCGCTTAGTCCTCGTCTCTCGCTGCACAGCCAGAATAGCTCAAACAGCTTAACCGACGGCGTTTCCAAGCAACCCGGTCCAGCGAGGCCGCCTCCACCCCCTCCTCCTCCGCCTCCGCCGCAATTATGGGAGAATCCGGCTACCATGTCACTCTCGCCTCATAGTGGGGATTCTGATCCAGAGAAGAAAGAGGAGACCTTGAAACCAAAGTTGAAGCCTTTACATTGGGACAAAGTTAGAGCAAGCTCGAGCCGTGTTATGGTCTGGGACCAAATCAAATCAAACTCTTTTCAGTAAGATATACCGAATTTGAAATCTTAATCATAAAACAATTCGTCCCCCTTCTTTGCATAGGCGACTAAGATATGACTCATTTATCTTTTGCAGAGTGAATGAAGAAATGATAGAGACGTTGTTCAGGGCGAACGATCCAAGTTCAAGAACAAGAGACGCCGGAAATGCAGCTGTTGTTCCATCTGCGAATCAGGAGAATCAGTTTCTTGATCCAAGAAAGTCCCACAACATTGCGATTTTGCTGAGGGCTCTTAATGTAACCTCCGATGAAGTATGCGAAGCCCTTGTAGAAGGTGAATCATTTTTAGCTCTGTTGTTGCTTATGTAGAAGTTTCCATCTACACTTACTGCAACAAACCCTTAGCTTTGATAGCTCCTCAAAATTGGTCTGAGAATCTTGAAGCTTGGCTTGGAACTGATGTTAGTTTTATTGATATAAAGGACGTCAACACATTTTCTTGTTCATGAATCAGGCAACTCGGATACATTGGGCCCTGAGCTTCTTGAATGTCTACTCAAGATGGCACCTACCAAAGATGAAGAAGAGAAGCTTAAAGAGCTTAAGAATGGCGACGAATCTCCTTCCAAGATTGGACCTGCAGAGAAATTCCTCATAGCATTGCTAGAAATTCCTTTCGCCTTCAAGAGGATCGATGCAATGCTCTACATTGTCAACTTCGAATCAGAAACAGAGTACCTTAAAAGATCCTTCGACACCCTCGAGGTAAAAACTCCACTTGTCCTCTTAAAAGTGTATTTGAGCTAATAAAAAAACAGAACATTCATATGCATTTGATCGAACTTTCAGGCTGCTTGTGGTGAGTTAAAGAACACTCGCATGTTCTTGAAGCTTCTTGAAGCGGTGCTTAAAACTGGGAACCGAATGAACATAGGAACCAATAGAGGCGATGCGCATGCTTTCAAGCTTGACACGCTCTTAAAGCTGGTAGATATCAAAGGCGCGGATGGGAAAACCACTTTACTGCATTTCGTGGTTCAAGAAATCATAAAATCTGAAGGAGCTCGGGTTTCTTCTACTCCGACTCAAAGTCCCATAGGCGATAACATAGCCGAGCAATCTGCATTCCAAGACGATCTAGAGCTGAAGAAACTCGGGTTGCAAGTGGTTTCAGGTCTCAGCTCTCAGTTGATAAACGTCAAGAAAGCAGCTGCAATGGATTCGAATTCTCTCATCAATGAATCAGCGGAAGTAGCCAGCGGAATAACGAAAGTCAAGGAAGCAATCGCGGAGCTAAAGCTAGAAACCGGTGTAGAGAGATTCTTAGACTCAATGAACACGTTCTTGAACAAAGCTGAGAAAGACATCACAGAGATACAATCCCATGGAAGCAGTGTCATGAAGATGGTCAAAGAAGTAACAGAGTATTTCCACGGAAATTCGGAATCTCATCCTTTTCGCATTTTCGCTGTGGTCAGAGACTTTCTGACGATTCTTGATCAAGTGTGTAAGGAAGTTGGTCGTGTAAACGAGAGAATAGTGTACGGATCCGTACAACGACCTTCACCGTCGAACCAGACCGTCGTCACGCCGCTTTTTCCTGTGGTTAACGATAACAGTTCACGGCTAAGTCACTCTGGTTCTGTAGACAATAACGACGACGACTCGTTCTAAGTGAAAACGATTTGATTCGATGTATTCTAGTGTTTTGGTTTCATTTGCTCTGTACTCAAAAGAAACATGTTATGTGTATTAATTATATATTGATAGGTGAGAATTTATTTGGATGTAATTTTAGCAGATTGTGCAAGTTGCTATTGAGCTCTGTACGTGTTAGTGTTACTATTGAATTGTTAATGTCACGTGGAACAGTATTTATTGATTAAAATACAAAAGGCAGTCAAGGTTTCGTGGTGTAGTTGGTTATCACGTCAGTCTAACACACTGAAGGTCTCCGGTTCGAACCCGGGCGAAGCCATTTTACCGAACATTTTTTTTTTGTAAAGCAGAGCCGGCCCAGGAAAATTTAGGGCTCCAAGCAACAATAACAAATCCATTTGGCCCACTAAGATGCTACAAGAAATGTTCCACAACCTGAATTTCTAACCTTATGAAGTAACTTGCAATAGCTCTGTTGCATTTGACATGTTGGATTTCTAGCAACCAGAGATTTATCGCTTTTGATTCAATTTTTTTTTTTTTTTTTTCTTTTTCTTACAACTCTGTCACTCAGATTGTTGTCTTAATCATCTCCAAAGTTATGAGATAATTGTTGTCTTAATCATCTCCAAAGTTATGAGACACATGGGCAGACTTTTAAGTATCTGTTTATTCCTTAGTCTTGGGACCCTTATCTAGTTATCTACAATGCAATACATGGGTGGCTCAGATAGTTATATATCATCTATGTTCTGTTAACGTCATCCCTTGCGTCATGACATGATGTCATTATCTCTAATTTCCTCTACTTCTGACTTCTGACCCTTCACTGTTGTTAAACATTTCATCCTTATTTTTCTGTTATCATATATTTTTTTTAAAGCGAATATTTTAATTTATCAAATAAAAATAATATATGGTGTATAAGCATGTGATTTGTTAGATCATATATAAAAAAAAAACAGAATAGTTTACTTCATCATATGAATACTATATGAACTAAATTAATGGAAATATTTGATTTAATAAAAAATTACAGTTGACTATTCGATAGTTTGGCTTATGCTTCAAATGGTCAATAGACATTAGACAGTGTCATTATAACGGTTGCTTTGGACTCAGATATTGATCCACTTCTTTCGCAAAACAAACAAAAGAAATATGATCAACTAGACTAGCGTTGAAATCTGGAATTAAGCGATACATAAATTTGAAATTGGATTCAGTGGAAGATACAAAATAATCACACATTTTCGATCAATGATAACGAAATGTCAGATATTAGGGAAGAAGACATCAAGTATACAAAGTCCCTTTCTTATTGTCGACATCTTCTCGTAATTATAGAACCGTAGAGAATCATTTCACTTCTTACTCTTGTTTTTTTCCATTTCTTAATATCTTTTTTCTCCAAAAATAACAATAAAACGATAAAAGTTTCGATTTTGTGTGTGTTTTGTATTTTCATTTAAAGATAATTTGTTTTTCAGTCTTTTTAACAAAAAATGTGAACACAAACATGGTTTATCTAAACCATACACATTCATCCTATGTGTTTTTAATAAACAAAAAGATATGGTTTAAAACAGTTAAAGCTAATTATGTACTGAACATAAAAGCAAATACATAATTAAATATTTTAAATCACTCATTTCGTTTTCTTGTGAAAGAAGCGCAAATTGATTTTCTCTTCTTATAAAAGGAGAGAGCGAAACAAAACTCTCTGTCCCTGATCACAACTCTCTTATCTTAAACACGAACCTGACAAACCTGTATATATTCGCTTTAGCTCTCAAGGCATATATTCATTTTGGTTAAACCAAAACACTGAGGAGAGAAAGAACGAGATGGCGAAGAAGAGAGGACATGTATTGGCAGTGCCATATCCAACGCAAGGACACATCACACCAATCCACCAATTCTGCAAACGACTTCACTTCAAAGGTCTCAAAACCACTCTCACTCTCACCACTTTCGTCTTCAACTCCATCAAACCTTACCCATCTGGGCCAATCTCCATAGCCGCCATCTCTGATGGCTACGACCTCCACGGCTTCGACTCATCTGGCTCCATCCACGAATACCTCCAAAACTTTAAAACATTCGGCTCCAAAACCATTGCAGACATCATCCGCAAACACCAGACTAGTGATGACCCCATCACTTGTATCGTCTACGATGCTTTCATGCCTTGGGCACTCGACGTTGCCAGAGAGTTTGGTCTAGCCGCGGCTCCTTTCTTTACTCAGTCTTGTGCTGTTAACTACGTTTATTACCTTTCCTACATAAACAATGGAAGCTTGAATCTTCCCATTGAAGAATTGCCTTTTCTTGAGCTCCAAGATTTGCCTTCTTTCTTCTCTGTTTCTGGATCTTACCCTGCTTACTTTGAGATGGTGCTCCAACAGTTTACAAACTTCGAGAAAGCTGACTTTGTGCTCGTTAATACCTTCCAAGATCTGGATCTTCTTGTTAGATCTCTCTCTCTTACAACTTTCTCAACCATACTTATACTTGTTCATGTCCTAATTACTCTGTTTTTTGTTACAGGAGAAGGAGTTGTTGTCAAAATTTTGTCCTGTGTTGACAGTTGGTCCGAGTGTTCCATCAATGTATTTAGACCAACGGATCAAATCAGACACAGACTACGATCTGACTCTCTTTGAATCGAAAGATGCTGCCTTGTGCACTAGCTGGCTCGACACAAGGCCACAAGGGTCGGTGGTGTATGTAGCATTTGGGAGCATGGCTAAGCTGAACAATGTGCAGATGGAGGAGCTTGCTTCAGCAGTAAGTAACTTCAGCTTCTTGTGGGTTGTCAGAGCTTCAGAGGAGGCAAACCTGCCATCAGGGTTTCTTGAGACATTGGATAAAGATAAGAGCTTGGTCTTGAAATGGAGTCCTCAACTCGAAGTTCTATCAAACAAAGCCATTGGTTGTTTCTTGACTCACTGTGGCTGGAACTCAACCATGGAGGCATTAACCTTTGGGGTTCCCATGGTGGCTATGCCTCAATGGACCGATCAACCAATGAACGCAAAGTACATACAAGATGTGTGGAAGGCTGGAGTTCGTGTGAAGACAGACAAGGAGAGTGGGATTGCCAAGAGAGAGGAGATTGAGTTTAGCATCAAGGAAGTGATGGAAGGAGAGAAGGGCAAAGAGATGAAGTCGAACGCCAAGAAATGGAGAAACTTGGCTGTCAAGTCACTCAGTGAAGGAGGCTCTACAGATATTAACATGGACACATTCTTATCAAAGGTTCAGAGCAAATAAATTATCACTTCAAGTAGCAAAGATCTCTTTATTAGGTCAGCATTTTTTTTTTAAATATAAATAAAATGTTGGGTCGGTATTTCATTCAGTGTTTTCTTCAAGTTGTTGATTCTTCTTTTGGTTGCTTCTCAATCTTACAATGTACTGTTGCAAACGGATTCTAAGAAGATAGCAAAACATTTTGTTAAGTTTTTGTCCACCCTAACAAGTTACTCTTTAGTGATATATCTCTCTCTCTTACAACTTTCCCAACCATGTCTTCATGTCCTTATTACTTTTTCTTTTTGTCCTAATTACTCCTTTTTAACCTAATTACTCGGTTTTTTTATTATTCTGTTTTTCTTATATGGGAAGGAGTTGTTATATGGTAAGCTATATTGATTATATGATTAGTATATGAGAAAGATTGTACAAGGCACTATTTGTTTTGTGCAGATGACATGATGCCCACAACTTGTTTGCTGCTGCTTAATCAAGGACAAAACCATCCTCTGTCCCATCAGCAAAACAAACAGCGCCTTGTCCTTGGTGGATGATACGAACAGTTCATGTATAACGATTGTAATTTCTGCTACACTTCTGACAAAATTTCCTTATTTCCATCGATTCCATAAACAGCTATGGATGTTTCTTCTTAACCAATCAAAACTAAAAATTACGGATATTTATGTTTAGTGAAGAAAATATTTATTTTTCGAATAATTAACTGTTGAATTATTTTTTTTATTTTTTGAATTTCTCAAAATTTTGCGCCAAAACTCGTATACATTTCTATAAGGCAGAATTGAACTGATGAAATACCAACACATGGCGTAGACCATTCCTCTAAAAAAAGATAGAATCCAAGTTGCTAATGAACCAACTCCTATCAGAAACCACTAGGCCACCACACTTTTTCCAATTTGCTTCATATAAAACGTGATGTTTTTTACAGTTTTACTTGCATGCAAATAGTTACACCTACTTCTGAACTCTTCACCTGTTGTTATTCTTGCTTTATTAGGTTTAACCGTTCTAAGAAAATACATAAAACATGATTATGGAAAAGTCATTTTTCTTTGTCTTTGTTAGGTTTAACATGTACATCAGTGCATCACTTTGGACCTTGGACATATTCTATTAAATTAATTAAATGAATATAATTTTCATTTAAAAATGTCTAGAACTGATGTAATACAAAATTTTATATAATACCTAAACATTTTGTCGAGATGTTCTTATATAGTATATAGAACCGTAGAGAATCTTCTCACTTGATTACTTCCTCCTATTTACATTTGCGTGAGACTCTATTTAAGCATCTCTAATGGTAAGTTTTAGATGGGTTTTAAAGAAAAAGAAAAAACGATGTGGTAAAATTGATATCCAGAATCGGTTTTCTGTACAGAGGCCGTAGGAATGTTTCTCCCGTGGCTTAGACACGATTCGTCAATTTTTTTAAAATTTTTTTAAAAATATTAAAAATTAATAATATATTTATTTTAAGAACTTCTTCCTCAACTTTTTAATGCTGATGCTCTTAGATCAACCTCACTAATCATCTAATAAAGGGATCTTAATAATATAATTGTATAAAAAAATCTAAAGAAAGAGATAAAATATACCAACTAAAATAAATTTAAAGAAGAATTATTTTGCTTGATGAAAAATTGTTAGAGATTTTGTTTATTTATATACATATATGAATATTTCTTTCTCTTTTAGGATTAGTGTTTTAGTTATGAATATTATTTAATTTTATTATTATTTTTCTTTTTTTTATTTGAGATATATATCTGTTTTTGTTTTTCTTTTAGAATTAGAAGTTTATCTTATTTTTAATTGAGATATATCTTATTTTTAATTGAGATACACTTGTTTTGGTTTTTTAATTAAATATATATTTTTAAATTTTGAATACTATTTTAAATAATATGTGTAAAAATCTGATCAATTTAAATTGTTATATGTAGTGATCTTGTGAATTACTAACTTTGACACATTCAACTTTATATAATAAGATATGTTTCTATGTATTACATTTTTAAAAAGGTATTGTGTTTTAAAAATTTTAAAAAAAATTATATTTTTTTTGTTTTTAAGACACCCATCAAAAATGTCTGCATTATATACTTAAAAACAACAAAATACTACAAAGAATCTTATATACATAAAGTACACAAAATATTAATAATTAATTAATAAAACTCACACATGTCTCCATTAGACTTGCTTCCCAAATATAACATTAAAACAAGAGCGTTCTTGAGAAGACCATTGACACGTTTTCTTTTCTTATAAAAGAAACGCAACTCGGGTTTGTCTTCTTGCTCTGATCACAAGCAACTTCAAACGCGTATCAACATAATATTTACAATTTCTCTTTACTCATTTTGTTGTAACCAAGAGAGAGATAGAGAGAAGAAGAAGAGAACTATGGAGAAAAAGAGAGGGCATGTACTAGCAGTGCCATTCCCAAGCCAAGGTCACATCACACCGATTCGCCAGTTTTGCAAACGACTTCACTCCAAAGGTTTCAAAACCACTCACACTCTCACCACTTTCATCTTCAACACGATCTATCTGGACCCATCAAGTCCGGTCTCAGTAGCCACAATCTCCGACGGCTACGACCACGGTGGCTTCTCATCAGCCGCCTCCGTCCCCGAATACCTCCAAAACTTCAAAACCTTCGGCTCCAAAACCGTTGCTGACATCATCCGCAAGCATCAGACCAGTGATGACCCCATCACTTGTATCGTCTACGATTCTTTCATGCCTTGGGCTCTTGACCTTGCAAGAGAGTTTGGTTTAGCTGCGGCTCCTTTCTTCACGCAGTCTTGCGCCGTCAACTACATTAATTATCTTGCTTACATAAACCATGGAAGCTTGAAACTTCCCATCAAGGATTTTACTTTTCTTGAGCTCCAAGATTTGCCCACTTTCGTGACTCCTACTGGGTCCCATCTTGCTTACTTTGAGATGGTGCTCCAACAGTTCACCAACTTCGACAAAGCTGACTTCGTACTCGTTAATACCTTCCGGGAGCTTGACCCTCATGTTAGTTCAAGTCTTTATTACTCTGCTTTTGTCCCTGGTTCATTTCCATATCACTCTGTTTTTCCCATGGTTCATGTCCTAATTACTCTTCTCTACCTTAAATATATGTTTTATGTCCTAATCACTCTGTTATTTTTCCATAGCCTCCCTAGATACTCTGTTTTTTCCCCTATTTCAAGTCCTAATTACTCTGATTAGTCTTAATTTTTCTGTTCTTTCCACTAGCTACTCTGTTTTTCCCCCTTGTTACTCTGTTCTTTTTGCCCTAGCTACCCTGTTTATCTGTTTTTCTAGCTATTCTGATTTTATTGCACGAGTTACTATTTCCCCCCTTACCTACTCTGTCTAATTTTTTTTTTCTATTTTTGGTTTATAGGAGGAGGAGTTGTTGTCGAAAGTTTGTCACGTGTTGACAATTGGTCCGACTGTTCCATCAATGTACGTAGACCAACAAATCAAATCAGACACCGACTATGATCTAAACCTCTTCGACTCAAAAGAAGCTGCCTTGTGCACTGACTGGCTAGACACGAAGCCACAAGGGTCAGTGGTGTATATAGCCTTTGGGAGCATGGCTCAACTGAGCAGTGTGCAGATGGAAGAGATTGCTTCTGGGATAAGCAACTTCAGCTACTTGTGGGTGGTCAGAGCTTCAGAGGAGTCAAAGCTCCCATCAGGGTTTCTTGAAACAGTTGATAACGAAAAGAGCTTGGTCTTGAAATGGAGTCCTCAGCTTCAAGTTCTGTCAAACAAAGCAATCGGTTGTTTCATGACTCACTGTGGCTGGAATTCAACCATGGAGGGTTTGACTTTAGGGGTTCCCATGGTGGCTATGCCTCAATGGACCGATCAACCGATGAATGCAAAGTACATACAAGATGTGTGGAAGGTTGGGGTTCGTGTGAAGGCAGAGATAGAGAGTGGGATTGCGAAGAGAGAGGAGATTGAGTTTAGCATTAAGGAAGTGATGGAAGGAGAGAAGAGTAAAGAGATGAAGAAGAACGCAAAGAAATGGAGAGACTTGGCTGTAAAGTCACTCAGTGAAGGAGGCTCTACAGAGATCAACATTAACACATTTGTGTCCAAGGTTCAAATCGTATAAAGTTACTCACATGATGATGTAGCGAAGGTCTCTGCTTGTAATGGCATGATGGATCTGTCTTGTTTACTCAAACTAAATCTTTTAAGTTGATTTTTTTTCTGTTGTACTGTATGTTCATTCTCTGGTTTACTTACCAACCTCCCTTATCAAATCCCATGAACCTTAAAGAATCCAATCATCATTTCGATATTTTTTGCTTGTGCATCAGAAAGCAAACTTAGGCTACGGTTTTCATTTATATGGAAAAACATAAGCAAATACAGTAATGCTTATAAGCTATACAAACTTACGGATTTAACCTTAAAAGGGAAAATCCTGTTCTGTCTTTTGATCTCTACACACATAAAATACATAGCGAATGAGTTTGATTGATTATCATTCTTGAAAAAGTTCCTGTAAATCGGATTTTTCCCACAAGTATCACTCTGTTCTTGTTTCCCCTTCATCTTTTTCGTGGCTACATAGTTGATTCCCCTGTTTCTTCCCTTTTTACTTCCTGCGAAAAAACCCATTAAAAAGTCACAATCTTTAATCTTGTTTGTAGCTCTAGATTCTATCTGAAGATGAGATCTTACCAAGGGAACTTAAACGTATCTTTCCACCATCCTTGCTTAGAGCAATTAGCTACGATTTTGTCAAGTCGAATAATGATCTCAGAGAATGTCGGCCTAATACCAGCTTCTGGATGCCAACACTCCTCAATCAACCTGCACATTAAGCGATTCAACAGGTTCAAGAATTCTTCTAACGTTCAACGGCCACAAACAATTCTTGGTCAAAAATAGATTTTGAGCTTACTCTTTCATATCCGGAGGGTAACTTTTTGACTTGGTTTTAAAAACGGGTCTCTTTCCTTCTAAGCATATCATTTTCGCAACTTCTTCGGGTGGTCTCGGATGAAAAATTGATACTCCCTCTGTTATCTGACCACACACACACACATACAGATTATAAAAAAACACAAGACACAAGAACAAACGGAGCACAACGAGGAAATGTATGTACCTCATATAAAATGATACCAAATGAGTGTACATCAACCCTTCTGTCAAATATCTCGTCTTTATAAACCTCTGGTGCTGTGTAGTAATCTGCAGTCAAGAAATCATTTTTTGTTGATGATCATAAATTTTGCAGATAGAATACATTTTTCTAGCATATGAATGAAGCATTCTCCTTACTTGAGAGATCTATCTGTGCTTTGTGGTTTCCTACTTTCGCATTGTCTGGTGAAATTTTTGACAATCTTATCAAACCGAATCCTGAGATCTTCAAGTGCCCTCCTCTATCCAGCAAAATATGTCTGGCACCTTACGAAAAATTTTCAAAATATTAAACGAACAGAACCAAAGGTTTTGAACAAATCTAATCGAAATTTCGTTTTGATCAACTTACTTTGGCCTTAGATCACAGTGAATGATCGGATCAGGTTTACACTCATGGAGATAATTCATGCCCCTGAGACGCCAGAAAAAACAAAAATGACAAATGACATCCGGTGAGGTACTTAGTAAGCAATACATTGAAAGTCAACATACCTGGCAATATCAAGAGCAAATCTAAGTGCCTTGGAAGGAGAAAGACGTCCTTTCTTTTGGAGATATACACCTAAATCTCCCTGCAACAGAATCAAACACGGTAACACAGGAAAAGACATTGAGATGATTAATGAAAAAGGTGAAATCAAAAGGGATAAGAGAAATAAATATGCTTACTTTTGGATTATACTCTACTACAATCATCATTGGTATATTTTGAGTGACAGCTCCAACGAACTGAACAACATTTGGATGCCGGACTTTTTCCAGCAACGTCAACTCATGTTTAAATGCGTTTCTGATCAGATAAAAAATCACGAGAACAAAGCAGCATTAGTTTTCTTCATATTAAACCGAATCATTCCTTAAGGAAACAAAATGATGAACTTTGTTGAGAAAGCTCAAACTCAAGTGTAAACCATATAAAAGGACCCAAGAAGTAAATGCATACATGCGTTCAGGGTCTGAGTAGCTATCTTTGTCAAGTATCTTTACGGAAACTCGCGTGCCATTCCATTTAGCTACTTGATATGCTCCCTGCAAACAATCGAACACAAGTGATTCAAATAAAATTCAAATGATCTAAGAACAATTAAGATGTTCCCAACGTTATACATGATCAATCAAATGTGTCTGCAGGTAACAAAAGATCATGCCTTTGAGATGCCATCAGATTTCCGGACTTGAACCTCAAGTGGATTAAGCTCATACTCGGGAACTTCTCGTGGATTCGCCACAGTCATCGGCGTCTTCCTGGTTTTCTAAAAAGGTGTGAAGATAATGAACGCCTTTCATAAAACAACACATGAACACACAAAAAAACGGAAGACCAAACGTAATTTCAATGGAATCTTCTTAATAGTAACGTACCGGAGCTTTAGCTCCTCGAGACTTCAAGAGATTGTACACATCTAAATTCCCATAATATTTGGCATCAGCAGCCGCCTAATTTCACCAAAATTAAAGATAAAAATGTCACCTTTTAACCAATCCGAATCCAGACAGTCAACACAAATTTTAAAAACAGAAACTTGGATTAATGGAAGAAGAAGACAGACCGTGCTTCCCCATCGATCACGAGCATCGATGTTAGCTCTACGGCTGAGAAGAGCCTTAACGACGCCTAAATGGCCCTCGCAGGCGGCGATGTGAAGCGCCGTACGGCCATCGAGATCGATGCTATTGACATCGATTCCTTCATCGATGAGCTCCTCGACTCCTCTGACGTCGCCTTTGCTAGCCATGAAAAGAAGCTGCATCGTGGAATCGAGATTCTCCGGCACCGACATATGAGGCTCGTCGTCGCTCCTGGAATCAGGGCTTCTCCGGATCGGATCGAGGGAAGACTGACGGCCGAAGCTAAACCTCATGTTGGTCCGACGAGGGTCGAGCGATGACTGACGCGTGAACTGTCGGCTCAATGTTCGACGCATCGATCCAGTTGAGAATTGCCTTGAAATCCCGCGTTTTAGCTGCGCGGCTATGTTCTCCATTGATGAAGAAATTTTCTTCCTTTACACAAATTTTCAGAACCCTCCTCGTGATTGAACTATTCCATGGATTAAACCCACATTGCGTCTTTGGAGGGTTGTCGTCAATGGAGGTTGAGAGGAAGAAGACGACGAGTCAGAGAAACAAACGAAAATGTGAAAAAAAAAAAAAAAAAAAGGAAAACGATCAGATAGTCCTTTTTCCATAAAAATAATAATTAGTTGAGATTATTAATCCATAAACGAAATTAACCAAAAGTTCGTTGGTTCACAATTTCTTTTGGGGGTGTAAAATGTATATGTAGATGAAATAATTAAAAGAGACGAAAGTATCAGATCTTGTTAGCACTTAGCAATATAATATTTTAAAAGAAATGTAACTTTTATTTAATGGAATACAACCTAGAGAAAATGGGTTTTGACCTTTTAGTGAAGTGGAGAAAGATGATCTGGTGCTACCCCACTAAATTTTTAATCAGTATAATAGTATCAAATGTTATATGCTCCATAAATGATTATACTAGTAAAGAGTTTATGGTTGTCAAAAAAAATAAAGTAAAGAGTTAATGGGTCGGCTATTTATAAGTCTTTGTTACCACTTATGTATACTACCATCATTTCCCACTTTTGAATTAGTGTATGTATGTTATTGACAAGTTGTTGCATCTCTAAGGGTAATGAAAATACTATTAAGACGGTAAATGGTAGTAGTTATTTGAAAAGCTTTTGATTTTTGTTTTTGTTTTAAAAATCTATTTATTTATCTAAATACTTGCAAATAATGACTTGCATATTATAATCTTCTATACAAATTGCAAAAAACTACTTACATTCAAAACCTTATATAATCTTAAAGAGTAATTAACATTTGCTTGCCTATGTAATGTTTAACAAACCCGTTTAACCTCATGATTCTCTCATCTGCAGAAGAATAAGAATCTGTTTGGTTTGTAAGAAAAAGAAAACAGTTTTCTGTTACTGAAATATAGTGATGTGAGCCATAAGATTATAATTAATAACTCTAAACACTTCAAACCATAGCTCTGAATACAAAGAATCTCAAGGATGAAAAACACAAGTAGCAACGTAAACACCAAAAAAAAAAAAACAAGTAGCAAACTGGAGAACATCGTTCACAGGTTCATCTGCATTAACGAGCGACCGGGACGACATCGCTTCGGGGATCCATCTATATATATCACTTCATAAGTGAGTCTTTCTTTAGACAAGGGGTGAACGGGACGACGTCGTTCGCTAATCCATTTGCATTCTCGCAAGCAGCATGAGCCGGTTCATTAACCAAGGAAAGATTCACATTGCTCATTTCAATATCGGTACATGGTTTCTCCTTACTGCAATCAAGGATAACCGCCACATCCGTATTCGATGTCCCGTGTATATCTTGATATCTCACGTTAGATATTTCAACTCCAGATTCCTGTAAATAAAGATACAAATTAAATGACTCAATATGTCGAATAGGGTATATAAGATATATGGTTAATTAATTTCTTTTACCGTTTTAAGGCAAGGCTCGCGAAGACAATAGTGTTGGTCGATAATGATCGGGTTGTTGACTCTGTTCATATTAATATGTTGGAACACGATGTTTCTAGCGAAACTGTTGCTGTTTTTCCCCCATGTTTTGATCCTAACTCCGTTATACGTTCCCGAGAAATCCACGTTACTCACCGTCACGTCCTCCACTCCTTGTTCTTCCTCTGCACTCCCAAGACTTCCGATACTGTTTCGGAGGATTCAAAAAATCAAATGAAAATATCGTTTTTAATAAGTTTAGGGATATATTAAATAACTCGTGAAATGTATTTTTGTGTTACCTTATGCCGTGCCCTGGACCGCATCGAATGTTGTTTATGTGAATAGAAGTGGATCCTGGACCGATCGAGATGCAATCGTCGCCGGTTCCTATGCTCGAGTTACCGATATAGACTGAGCGAGATGATTGGACGTGAATCCCATCGGTATTAGGGCTATTCGCATCAGCAGAAACATGAACGCCGCTAATGTTCACGTTATTGCACGTATCGAGAACTATGTGAAATTTCTGGCTGTTAATCGACGTTAGACCGTTGATGTTGATGTTATTCGACGCAGTAAATAACAAAGTCTGCAAAAAGCAATTGACAAACAAAAAAAAAGTTAATTAAAACTGCATGTAGTTTTATAAAGAAAGTTTGTTATTTATCTTGTGGGTCAAGCAGACCTTAGCACCGCTAGGGCAATTTCCGTGACCGTTGGTCTTGCATTCCCACAAACTAGTGCCTTGCGCGTCAAGTATGCCACCGTAGATTGAAACATCAGTAACGCCAGTGAACCAGATCCACTGTTCTGATTTTGCGATAACTCTATAATCTTCGGGAGCAATTATTGTACCGGCTATATGAATAGATATTGGCGCACTCGTGCATTTGTTGCCTTGGAAAACAAGGTTTCCGACCAAGAACCGTCCTGCTGGTACGATGATAGTTGTAGCTTGAGCAGAGGTACAAGCAACGTGCCACGCGGCCAAGAAGGCTTTGCTTGAGTCTGTTGAGCCGTCTGGTCTAGCTCCGTAGGTTGTGACGTTAACGAATGTGGTGGGAATCGGTTGGGCTAATGATGAGATTAAGACGAAACCAAGCAAGAAGAAAGCAAAAGGAAGAAGATGACATGGGGTTTTGTAAACCATTTTTAAAAATGTTTTTTTTTTTTAAGAAGGTTAATGTTTTGAGGATGAAGTATATTGGAGAACAAGTTCTCTGCGAGAGGGGAATTTATAGGAATTTAATTGATAGTAAAGTTACTGATAAACTTTTACGGAAGTTTTCTTTTAATAAGCTATTATTGTGGCAACTTGGGTACGAAATTAGATTAGTCAATTTTTACAGAGATTCATCAATGATTGGTTATTTACTGACTATATAGTCAAGATTCGAATATGATTTGGTGGATATATTTCACTGAAGGTTGATTATGGATTGATTTGGAATTAATCTCCTTTTTTGTTGATTATATGGATTGAAAATTGATTATGGAATGATTTGGTATCTCTATCTTATTTAATACTCACTAACTTTGATACATACAATATTACAAATATATACAGTATGTAGGTAGCACAATAGTCTTAGTTTTGAATTTTAAACATTTACGAGGAGCAATACCTAATCTCATTGGTGAATAACTTAGGAAAAATAGTAATTGTGAAATACAGAAAACATGCATTAAACAAAGGATGCCCGTATCATTTTCTTGTGGTGCCACAAGATTTGTAAATCACTTGCGTCAAATTCACACTTCATTACGTAAGATTCAGTTTCTTGATTTATTTATACAAGTAATATCTTGTGTCTTGGTTAGTCAGGATTTTAAATTTTGTGGGCGCTACAGGTTCAATAAAGTCAATATATTTTTGAGAAGGGAAATTTGATATGTATTAAAAATCATCGATAGTATGTTTTGCTTAAAAAATATTGATAGCATTTGGGGTTTATTAGTATTTCACTTCGAAATTAAAAAGGTTGTGACTTAAAAACTGTTGAGAACATTTTTTTTACATTGAAGAGAAAAATACGGAGGCACCATAATGCAAGTGTCAACCGAAACAAACTAGTCAACTACTTTGTTTGCAAACAGAAGAAAATGGCCCGAAATTGAGGAGACTTGTATTCTAAATATCTTTTCTTTTTTCCTAAGATTCTGAAAAACATATAATGATAAAGAAAACTTCGGCCAATCATTCAAAGAGAAATATCCCCAATAATATTAAATCTAACAAATAACATAACTTACACTACAACAACAACACACATATGACATATTATATCATCAATGGCATATTCTACAAAGCAAGGCCAGGCTCCAGACCCAACGGGCCGTAAACCGCCACAGGCTCATGCATCTTAATTTCCATCATCCCGAGCCATATGTATCGGAACGGAAACTACAAATTTATAATTTACAATATCGTTACTTTTAATTTGAAGTAGTAATAAAAGTAAGAGAATAATAACAAAACCCAAAAAAAAAAACATATTTGTGTCATAGACAGTTTGGCTGAAGAAATCCAGCTTCTATTCCTCCGGCGTGGATACAAGCCGATGCAGCCGGTTTATTCCGGTACGTTAACTTCACATCCTGAAGTCGAATTCCGGTACACGGTTTCGTAGGACTACAATCAAGTTTCACCCCAACCTCAGTCGCTGATGTTCCGTGTATATCTACGAACAACACATCGCTGATTTTGATCCCCGAAACCTAAAAAATTAAAAGAGAAGTTTGATGAATCTCCAAAATATCAAATATGGCATATGTATCTGTATATTATTACTACACCAATATAAGCTAAGTAAGAACCTGGCGAGGGCAATTTTCGTTGCGAGGACAATAGTTTTGGTCAATGACTATGGGATTCTCTACGTTGTTCATAACGCAGTGTTGGAAACGGATGTTCTTAAGCCACGGGAGTATTGTTAAAAATGGATACTAGTTTTTTTTTTATATGTTTTTTACGGTCGTCCATCCTTTGTTTTCTTGTAAGAACGTAGAAATCATTTCGTGATTCTTGTTCTTTTTTTTTATATTAGTTGAAAAACAAATTGTGGGCAGAAACAAAGATGTTGAGATTCATTTTCGTACGTTGTTTCACTCATCCTTATCTCTCTGCTTTGAATCTTGTCTTTGTTTTTTTGCTTTAATGAGAAACCAGTTGGTACGGTTGTTCACTCATCACTATCACTCTGTTTGAAGTATGTTTAGTTAACATGTACTATTGTGCATGTTCCGCGTGCATGAACAAGTTTGAATCGATATTTTTACTATATCAAATATTTAACAGCATAATTTTCCTATAAATACCGATGCAATGTACGTTTGCTCTCTACAACTCAACTCACTCAAACAAAAAGAAAGAAAGAAACACAAAATACTCACAATGAAGATACCTTCTTCAATTGTCTCGTTTCTCATCACTCTCCTGTTGGCTGCAGCTAACTATTGTTCATAACGTTGTTCATATGAATCCATGGTTGGTCACTTGGTCCACGTGAATTGTGTTGGCTTGTTTTTAAGAAATCGTAGAAACTTCATAATTCAAAAAAGTGTGTCATATTCGTTATATATACTCTTATACATATAATAGTTATATTTTGAAAATTAATGAAGCAAATGTCTCTTCAGAAAATTAACTTCAAGTTCTTGAGCCTTATTGTTTCTTGTTTATCTTGCAATGAAGCAAGCTAATATATAACTAATTGGCATTGACATTCATACCGAGAATCTAGTTTTCTTCTTACCATGAAAAATGGCGATGTCTAGTGGCATTGGCTTAAACGTCCCAAATTTTAATGTGCACAATTTTTATTAATAAAAAAATGTCCTAGAGAGGGTTTTGTAACAAAAAGGAAATGTAAAAAATGCAAAATAGTAGTGAAATTAATGGTAAAATTTGAAGACGTTACTTACCGTGGCTCCGCTGGGGCAAGTCTTGCCGGACTTTTTACAATCCCATAGAGAAGCTCCTTGAGCGTCAAGAACTCCGCCGTAGACGGTGACGCCGTCGAGAAGGTTGAAGAAAATCCAATAGTCTTCATTTCCGATAACTCGATAATCAGCCGGAGCCACCAAAGTACCGTCGATACGGAACGTGACCTGTTTGGGCTTGCACTTGGACCCGTCGAAATTAAGGCTCCTTAACAAGAACCGGCCTTTAGGAACCACAATGGTAACAGGACGAGGAGAGGCACAAGCGGTTTCCCAAACCGCCATGAACGCTTTGGTTGCGTCTGTCTTACCGTCTGGCTTAGCTCCGAAAGACAAGACATTGTAGGATTGAGCAGAACAAGAGGAAATGAAAAGGAAGACGAAGAGGACAAGAGGTGAAGTCATTGTATGTCGCTAACGTACGCTTGTTGAGAGATAATTAAAGAGGGAGAGAGAGTGGAGTAGTGGTGGTGGTGTGGGAAGTTTTAACGGTTATGGAATGTATTTATAGTGTTTATGTTGTACTAGGTGATCGCCTGCACCGTGTGCATACTATAAAATATTTAATATATTTAATTATTATTAATATAGTATTAAAAAAGTTTCATTTGCATATAATTAATTATGTATTAATAATAAAAATAATAAATTAAGTTTAAAATGTTAAAGATTTCAAAAGAAAATAAAGATAAAAAAATATTAATTAAAATTTTAACATATTTTCTTAGATAGAAAAATGTAAATATGATAACCAAATAAATAGGAAAACATGAAAATCTATTATTATTTAATTAATTATTATTTTTGACTCGCACACATGTGCATGTATAACTTTTTTAGATACAATTAGTTGTAATATTTAAGTATTGATTAATTTTCTTATACCTTATGTAAACGTTATGTTTATATACATATATATTTTTAGTGTTCAACAACACTCACACAAACGTTTCCTATCTTTTTGTGTCTTTTGAAATTTTTTTATTTTTTCTAGCTTTTACATTAAAAAATAATTGCAAATATAAAAATTATACTAAATAAGAATTAAATTTTTATAATATGTTTTGAATATTATCTATTCTATACTTTTACACAATATAATCTTGTCAATATATATAAATATATATATATATATTTGAAATATTTTTTTACTTAACCTATTGCTAATTAAAACAAAATAAATTTTACCATATTTACTTATCCTAAGAGCAGGTAGATGGTTGGTCCGTACATTCGTGCGTACCAACTATCTCACCGCTCTTAAGACATATAAAGATTTTTAAAAAAATATAAATTGTCTAGGTCAAGGATCTATGAACATTTGGATCGAACGTCTAAACTGTGGACCCGGACATGGAATCAGGTAACTAAAATGAAAAGGCTGATCTAGTACTGATTATATTAATTAAGGCACTAATTAACATGGGGTTTGTTTGTTAATTTGGTTCAGCATTGGGAGTCTTGGGGATTACGCTAACGAGGAAGGTGTGCAGAATGTAACCGTCACCAGCTCTGTTTTCACCAAGACACAAAATGGAGTAAGAATCAAGACTTGGGCTAGACCAAGCAGAGGATTTGTGAGGAATGTGGTATTTCGAAATTTGATAATGAGAAATGTCGATAATACGGTGATCATCGACCAAAACTATTGCCCTAATGGAAAAGGCTGTCCTCACCAGGTGAAAAAAATAAGCAATTTGGCGTAACTCAACACACTCATTATATAGTCTTAATTTTTTAATAATGAAATCTTAATTGTTGTAATCGATCATTTGTATAGAGCTCTGGTGTGAAGATAAAAGGAACATCAACAACACCAATAGCTATGAAACTGGACTGTAGTGGAAGTAATCATTGCACAGGAATTAGGTTACAAGACATTAAGCTTACTTACATGAGACGGTCATCAGCTTCTTATTGCAGGAATGTTCATGCACGAGCCTCCGGAGTTATGGTTCCAAGGAATTGTATGTGAATCAGGAATCCAAGATTTGATTATTGGGATTATATTTATAAAGATCAATTGTTGGGTGTAGATATGTTATAAGCTGATGTTTGTTCGCAGTCTATATCTTTTAGCTGGTGCGATAACGTTCTACTAAGCGGCTTAACGTCGTTGAATAGTCATAATATTCACGTCACGGTTCATCATTCTTCCAATGTTCGGATTCAAAACATAAGAATTAGGGCTCCAAGTGAAAGCCCTAATACTGACGGTATTCTCGTCCAGTCTTCTTCTGGAGTCACCATTAGTCGGGCAATCATTAAGACCGGTGATGACTGCATTGCTCTTGATCAAGGATCTCAGAACATTTGGATCGGACGCGTGAGCTGTGGACCCGGACATGGAATAAGGTAATTAAATCTAACAGCAATTAACTTAATATGATGCACTAATTAACATTGGCTTCGCTTGCAAATTAATGTGATGCAGTATTGGGAGTCTTGGGGAACACGCTAACGAGGAAGGTGTGCAGAATGTAACCGTCACAAGCTCTCTTTCACGAGGACGCGTAACGGAGTCAGAATAAAGGCTTGGGCTAAGCCGAGTGGAGGGTTCGTGAGGAATGTTGAATTTCGAAACCTAATTATGAGGAATGTGGGTAATCCATTGATCATCGATCAAAACTATTGTCCGAGTGGAAAAGGCTGCCCTAATCAGGTGAATAACCTAATTGAATTGGCGTAACTAAAGTCTGTAATATAGTATTTTATTCTTTCTGATTGAAACTTGATTAATTGATCATATAGAGCTCTGGTGTGAAGATAAGTGGAGTGACTTTTGCAAACATAAAGGGAACATCAACAACGCCAATAGCTATGAAACTGGATTGTAGTGGAAGCAATCATTGCACAGGGATTAGGTTACAAAACATTAATCTCACTAACATGAGAGGAGGATCATAAAATTCTCGTTGCACGAACGTTCATGGACGAGCCTCTGGAGTTATGGTTCCAAGGAGTTGTATGTGAAATCAGAAATAATCCATAATTTGACCATGGGGATTATATATATAAACCCTAAGATTAAATGTTGGGTGTAGACGTGTTATAAGGTGGTTTTGTTTGATGTTTCATAACATTCAGATTCATCCGAAACTGAATGTGGCTAATTAATTGTTTGGTGTGTTTGGAAATAAAAGAGGACCAATCAGTTTGATTGTTGGCTTATCAGTGTGTTTGTAAAATTCTGCTACGCTTGTACAAAGTAAATGACCTTAAACCTACATGATATTTATTTATTTAGGTTCAAAACGATTCAAAGCCACAAATTCATCATGAATCGGAACATAAATGGGTTAATTATATTGAACTCATCGAGTTGATAGATTTTTAATAAGTCATTTAGGAGACATAAATGCGTTCATAATTTATTCCTAAACTAGGTGTCTTCACCTTTTTAAGATATCGAGTTCTCTCTGAGGAAAAAGAAATTCTATAAAACCAACTATTTTTGCTTTCTCTGTTTTTGCCCCTTTGTTCTCTGTAAAGCTTCTTGACATTACCTTGGATCTCAAGCCAACATGTTGGAGTATTCAAATGTAAGCAAAATAAACAATATATTATAGGGTCAGTTGCAGAAGAAAACCATTTAAAGAATTGAGACTAACCGTCATTGATAACGGTACGGTCCGTCCATCATCCATTCATCCTTCACGTAACCCGCCATGTGGCAATTATTCTAATTAGAGTTCATGTTAATTTCCCACGTTACACATCCCATGTTATCTGTTTCTTATGACGTGTTGAGTTAGCATTGGTTGACTTTCAGTAATTCTTCTAATTATCAATGAGCTTAAAACAAGAATAATTTGATTTGTGTTAGTAATGTTTTTAAACCTGACCCGGATATCAATCCGGAAAATTATTGGGATCACTGGCCAGACCACATGTCATTCAGTCGAATCGTGAATTACTTAATTATTAAAATATACATATAAATATATAAACTTATTAAAATATTCATATAAATATATAAGTAATTTTAGAAATATATGATAATTTAACATATTATAATTATATACACCAGAATGTCGTTTTCTTAGTTTATTTTTAAAAAAATATTTCATTTATGTATTTGTATAAATTGATGACTTAATGTTTTAAAATGAAATAAAAATTGTATATAAATAATTACAATAACAAAATAAGTCACTAAATGTAAGGGATTCGAATAAAAACAAGAAAAATATAATTAAAACTATCAATTTGACAAGCAAGAAAATATCATTATCCATTATTAATTATAATAAACAAAACATAAAATGATTTAAAAACCCTATTTTCTAAGTTTGAACTAACACGTGCTTCTCTTCTTCCCTTCTTTCTTCATTTACCATTGACTCTCTCTCTCTTCGGTCTTCTGTAAACTGGTAGATGTCTTTTAAAAAAAAACATATAAACCACGAGATCCAGTTTTAACGTGAATCTGGAATCAATTTTGTGAAAACCCAAAATAGATCGGATCTGGATATGTCTGGGTCACCGGTTTTGAGCGGATTTTACCGGGCGAACAACATCCCGAGTTTTAACTGAGATCCGGACCGGAAGTGTTACTGGATTCCGGTTTAACCGGTTGGACCGTCCGGGCCGGGCCGGGTTTAAAAACATTGATTCAAACAAAAATACAATAAGTCCAGTTTAAACTTTGTACGTAATTAATAAAACAGGCCACATAACTACTGGGCCGGCTCGAAAGCCTTTAGGCGAAAGCCCAGGAAAATCAAAGAGAGAGAGAGAAGAGGTTCAAATTAGAACTCATTGCGCTCGCTTAGAGAGAAAAGAGAAAGAAGACGCGCTCAGAGTCAGAGAGAAGAGAAAGAAGACGCTTCTTCTGCCATTTTTCCGAATTTCGAGGTCTTACGAGAAGATGGATATGACCAAATCTGGCGAGGTAAGTTTCGATCTCTTTCTTCAGCGGGCTGCTTGATTACATTGATTATTTAAGATTTGGCTTTAGTTTGCGATTTGGCTTTAGTTTGCAAATCCTAGTTTGTTCGATTACCTCCCCCAGATTTAGGCTCTAGACACTGCTTTCTGAGAATTTGAAGGTATTAAAGATCGGATAAGTAAAGAGATGTTAGGTTTTATCATCTGCGTTCGATTACCTAATTTTTTTTTTGATTTAGCCGTCAGATTTGGTTTCTTTCTGCGAGTTTGAAGGTATTAGAGATCGGATGAGGAAAGAGATGTCAGGTTTTATCAGTTGCGTTCGATTATCGATAGATTTAGCCGTCATATTTGGTTGATTTCTGCGAATTTAAAGGTTTGGATAAGGAAATAGATGTCAGGCTTTATCAGTTGCGTTCGATTACCCAAATTTTTTGGTGACGTTTGTGAAATTAGCTCTCGATAGATTTGGCCGTCAGATTCGGTTTCTTCCTGCGAATTTAAAGGTTCGGATAAAGGAAAGATATGTCAGATTTTCTCAGTTGCGTTCGATTGACGTGTGTGAAGGTAGATTTAGCCACTGTAGGAGATGAATCTTATTGAATAGCAGAGATATATTGTTTCCTTAACAGCCACTCCGTTAGATCTATATATGTATATGTTGCGTAATCTGGATTGTACGCTGAAGGTATTGTTCGGCTGGGGAGAGGAAATTCTGGAATATCCCAAGCTTGCCTGTGCGAGGATCAGCACTAAGCACAAGATGCCTCGCGATGCTGCTCTTGTATGTCTCGAGTTCTACAAATGGGACGAGGTGGCTTTGTCCGCTGATTTAGAGGCCCTAGGGGTCACTGCAGTGTGCGACCAAACTGGTTTTGCCAAGCAACACGATATGGGGGAAGGCTTTGTAAGTTTATTGACTTGCCCTTGTGCATCTTTTCATGTATAGTTCTGCATCCTCACAAGCTTCTTTCCAATACAGAGAAGATGTGAGATCTGTGGAGAGGAAACCATGGGGACCGAAAGCTTTGGCTGCAACCACATGTGTTGTGGTCCTTGCCTTGACAAGCACTGTCAACAGAAGGTCAAAGACGGTGAGAGGGTTTTGTGCCCCGCACCTAATTGCAACACAGTGGCTCCCAAAACCATGGTGAAGGGTCATCTCGATGTTGCTCTCTCTTTTGAGCTGGAGACGGCGACACTTGGCAGGATGGTTGCGTCAAAGCCGACGGTAAGAGTTCTAGATTAAGCCACTGGTTTTTAATAAGTCACTGTTTGTGAGAAGTCACTGTTTATGTTGTTTTGTGTGTAGATGACATGGTGCGCAAGGCGTCTTTGCTGCTGCTTGATCACGCATAACAATTGGCCGAAGGACAAATACTTTACATGCCCCATTTGCAAAGCCAAGCTTAAACTTAAGGTTAAATCTCACTCTTTTTCACTTCTAGTTTTCTTATTTTTATTGGTTGCTTAACAATTCAACTATACAGGATGATGGCAATTGCGAATTCTACTTCGACTACGTGGTAACACCTTCTCTGGACCGCAAGCGTCCTTGGTGTAACATATAAGGTTTTCTGAAACTTTTCACATGGATTGTGTTTCCATTAGGGCCCCCACTTCACTTTTACTTCGTATAAATGCATGTCATTTACATACATGTATCTCTACGTATAGTACCGTATATTTTCTTCATTTGCGATATAAAACGAATAAGGTTTGAAGTTACCATGTCAATATATGTCATGCACCTACTTATATTCACTATATAAAGATATTAGAACTAATGACATTAATATGAAATAATTTGATTAGAATAATTAAATATCCCAATAATTAAACAGCAATAATGAGACCGGTAGGTACGATGACATTTGTAATTTTATGTAGCCAATGATTTTCTGCTGAACTGTTCTAATGGCTTTTGGTGTGACAAGTCAAATACATCGTGGGAATCTGAATCACGCTCAAAACATTTTCGAAGTAGCTGTAAATTATTATTTTTCTTATTTGAAAAATATATAATGGTTGAATTGATGAATGTTTTTGCTAATAATTTGAGCAAAGTAACGCACCAAAATAATTACAAAATTTTGTCGCATCTTAATTTCACCAAATACAGAAAATTGGCGTGTAGTTTAATTAACAACTAATTACTAAACTAATCGACCGTCCGTCTCCGATAAAGATATTTAAGCGCAACGCTTTGTCACAGTCTCCTTCTTCCCCCTTCTCTCCGATTTGTTCCGTCTTTTGCGTCATGTCGTCGTTTGTTCCGCCGAGTCTCCGTCGTTACCGATGTTTTTCCGTAGTTTCGATTCTCCTTCTGCTAAGTCTCTCGGTAGTGGCGGCCGACGATGTGTCCTGGACTGACGATTCCGGCCTCGAGACTCCTGGCTGCACCAATAAGTTCCAAATGGTAATTCGATTTTTTTTTTTGTTTCCTCTTAGAATTCGTTGCTTGCTTCGTATTCCCTCACCCTCTGGTTCACTGGAATTTCACTTTTCTCGCTTCTGGTTTTCTAATTTTGAACAAGTGAGAAAAGACCCGAATCGAATCTTAAATCTCATTGTTGAATACAGGTTAAGGTCTTAAACTGGGTTGATGGGGTTGAAGGTGATTTCCTTACCGTCTTAACTGCTCAATTCGGAGCACCGTTACCTTCTGATGCTGATCAGAGCGTTAGATTTCCGGCGGCTTTTGTAGATCTTTTGGACTCTTGCTCCAATCTCTCTTCCAGGGTCAGTTTATCTTCTTCTTAGTTTAGTCAATGCAATCCATTCTCTACAAGTGAATGTCTTGTACAGATTCTTGTGTACTGAGTTTGGGCAATGTTCGTTGTTGTTTGGGATGCTCTCAACAGGTCTATGGTAGACAAAAAGATTGGTGAGACGTTTTTGATTTTGCAGTTCAGTTTTCTCAGCATTGACTTGTTGATACTATTCTTGTAAATCTCTCTCTTCTAGGCTAAATCCATTTTCTTTATGATGCAGTTGAGCTTCTGCTGTATGCACCAACTCGCCCTACTGTGGACCTCACTGCAGGATTGTTATTGCTCATGGCTGTTGGAACTGTTGTCGTTGCATCACTGTGGTCAGAGCTTACAGATCCTGATCAAGCTAATGAATCTTACAGCATATTAGCAAAGGTTAGCATCTTTTGAATTCTTGTTTGGTGCTCACCGTTGGTAGCTGTCATAGAAAATTGTGGCTAAGCTCTTTGACGTGCTATGGTTTCATTTCATATCGTATGCACGTAGTGTACATTTCCCAGATACTTTGCGTAGCTTGATAAGTCTGTGGATTTGGTGATCATAACTTCACTGTATATGACTCGGTAGCTGTTATGATATTGAGTTACCTATATGTCTTTTCAAAGAAGGGTGATTGAGTTAAAACTTAATTTTTCTCCAGGAATTTTCTGGTGCTGGAACAAGAAAAGATGACCTAGGGAAGTAAATTCTTGATATAAGTGTCACTGGTGCTGTATTTTTTATCGTGACAGCCTCCATTTTTCTGCTGCTCCTTTTCTACTTCATGTCATCATGGTTTGTATGGGTCCTCACCATATTCTTCTGCATCGGTGGCATGCAGGTAATTTTTTGTCAACGTTCCTGTGATTTGAACATGTGTAAAATATCTAGTTTAAATGTATATTTGCTATATTCCGTGTTGTTTTCAGGGCATGCACAACATCACTATGGCAGTTTTATTAAGGTATTCTAAATTATTCCTAAATGTCTCAACTCTCTCTTTTTCTGGTTAACATATCTTGACGGATATATGTTGTGATCCGCCTGCAGAAAATGCAGACATCTTAGTCGGAAATCTGTGAAGCTCCCTTTGCTTGGGACTATGTCATGGATGTCGCTTTTGGTGAATATTTTGTGTGTGGCGTTTGCTGTTTTCTGGTTTGTTGAAGGGCACACATCGTTTTCTTGGGTTGGGCAAGACATCTTGGTAAAGCTCTCTTTTCTTCATGCACTCGGTGATTTTCGAAGTCATTCCTCTAATTGGTTCTCTTATGTCAACTTAGTTTTATATTCCCCTATTTTTCTAAAGGGGTCATGTAGAAAAGTTTCGGTTCCTTGGTTGCATTGTGTAATAGTCGTTGTCATATTGTTGACAGGGCATCTGTTTGATGATCACAGCCTTGCAAGTGGTTCGATTACCTAACATCAAGGTAGTTAATCTGGCTTGTCATGTGGTGATAATATGATGGGGTCTCTGTTTTATGCTGATAGTTTTCTGTAATCCAGGTTGCTACTGAACTTCTTTGCTGCGCGTTTGTCTATGGCATCTTCTGGGTCTTCATATCACCATTGATATTTCACGAGAGTGTTATGATTGTGGTGAGTGTCTATCGCAATGTCCATAATTCTATCATTTCTACTGCTATGGTCAAGTTGTCCAGGTTAAGTGATGGAGCGATACTAGAAACTGGACATGTAACTTGATATCAGTTATGTTTTGACAAACGAATAAAATGTGCGTTGAGAAATCTGATCTGATCTATTATAAAGAAATGGAATGCGTCATTGACTTTGCAGTTTTCTAAACTTTAATTTTCTCATACTCTAGCACATTACATCATTGCAAGGTTGTAGTTTCTTATTTGAGATTCCTTCTTTGTAGGTTGCCCAAGGAGACAGCAGCAGCGGTGAGTCCATTCCGATGTTACTAAGGATTCCTAGGTTTTTTGATCCGTGGGGTGGTTATGACATGATTGGTTTTGGGGACATCCTCTTCCCCGGTTTGCTCATTTCCTTTGCTTCCAGGTACTTTTAGTCCGTTACATTCTTAGAGCTTCAAAGAACAAACTTGGAATTCCATTTTTTTACCGTAATTTCTCCAGAGTTCTTCTCTTCCAACACTCCCAACACTTACATCAGAATGCTTTCTCAAAGATTCTCTTATGTTTTGTTCAGTCCTCTCCGACGGTTAATTCTTGCTTTTCCCCTTGATCTCAGATATGACAAGATTAAAAAGAGGGTGACGCAAATGGGTACTTCCTCTGGTTGACTATCGGCTATGGAATAGGTAAGTCCATGCGTTACTAACTCTGTGAACATAAATAATATAACTCATACAAAAGACGTGAACGATCCCAATCTGTATAAACCCTCATCTACTGCAGCTTGGTTTCCTCGACAAGAAATTAACATACTAAACAAGATGGCTGCTCACATTTACAATCTTGAATCTTCACTGACACTGTTTCTTCTTGTTCTGTATATGTAGGTCTTTTACTGACATATCTAGGTCTGTATCTAATGGACGGACATTGCCAGCCCGCTCTACTGTACATCGTACCATGCACACTCGGTAAATACCAGAAGCTTGAGTATATCGTATTCCATCTGATCTTGTCCATCGTTTTCAAACGAAAAGCTGATGTGCTTTCTCTCTAGGTTTGGCCGTCATTCTTGGGTTGGTAAGAGGAGAGCTTGAAGAACTATGGAATTACGGTGTCGATGAATCAGAATCTCACACACCGGAGGATCCTCTGCCTGTGGCATAAGAACATGTTTCAACAATCTAATTCCGTGTTATCAATAGCTTTCCCCTGGACGTCGAGCAAAACTTTGAGGATTTAATCTGTGAGAGATGATGTACAAAAAGCTTATGTGAGTTCTCGGCAAATCTAAACTTAAATCGGATACCAAAAGTAACTCAAGAGTCATGTTGGAAAATGTAGTAGTATCATGACATTTTGTACAGAGTCTAATTAATCTTCTCTTGACTTCACCACAAGTAACCAACCATCATCTTTTTAGTATTTTAAGTAACGCAAATTCACTTTTGTTATTAATTCCTTTTTCGGATACAGATAGTCCCTCTATATAACTTGAAAAGTTTGTGAACTAGAATTTGAGTGATGGAATGAAATTCTGGCGAAGAGAAAAAAAAATGCACGATCAGAATTTGATGTGTAATCGTGGAATTCATCAACCAGTGTCATGTCTACACGTATATAATTTTTGATGATGTTTAGTATGATAGAATATCAGAATATTCAGTTCTTATTGTTTAGATATTCTGTTAATATCTAGTTTGTATCCCTGATTTTGTGTAACTGCTGTAACCACTTTGGCTTTATATAGCCACGTAAATACAATGATCCCCACAGGGAAATTATTCAACTTTCATAGTAGCCGACAATTTCTCTCCAGACAGAACTTCACACCCCCCATGTATGCTCCTCGGATCTGACTGTCCGTCCAGTCCCTGAATAACACATTCATGTTTGTGTCGAGAAAGAGAGAGAGAGAGAGATTGAAGAAACAAACCATGCTCCAGAAGAGAACTGCGTCTCCTTTGGTGGGTTTCACAGAGATGCCTTTCATGATTTTGCCATCACACGTGCATTCACTATCATCCCCAGCCTGCATTGCCGCGAGAGAGAGAGAGAGAGAGAGATACACATTGGTTTCTTTTTTCAAAATGCTTTCATAACATTAGAAAAGAAACAATTGTGTATTAGATAATAACATTTTGCAGAGCTGAAGAGATTATACCAAAGGGAAATAAGTTTCTCCTCCTTCGACGTTGTCTGTTAGATACATTAGCATCTTGGCTACGCGCTGACCACCACGCTTCAAATTGAACTGTGTCGGAAAACATAACAAAAGAAACGAAGAGATATGATGAACACACATATAACCGAATGTTATAAGATCATAAACAAGAAGATGAAGTAACTATCGAACTAAACTTTATTAATCAAACCAAAAACTATACACTGTTTTACGATTTTTGATCAGGGCAAGAGCTTTCCTCCATCAATCTACTAATGATATATAAATGAAACAGCAACAAAGGCTTACAGTGTCAGAAAAGTAATCGTGATGCGGTTTGTAAAACTGTTTCGGCTCGTATCTGCACTGCAGCAGATTTTGATTCATTAAATCAAGAAAACAGCTTTATTTGCTCTTGGTTGACGAAATGACCAGCATCTTCAGTCAAAACTACCTCTTGAATATTTGGAACATCTGCAGCAAATTCCCCACCGTGAATGTACTCTTTAATCCCTGGTGTGGTGTAAACCATGTCAAAATCGCCTGTCATGAACTTTCACCGGAAAATGAATCTTTAGCTCCGGTCCATGGTGCAGTAAGTTCTCAATTCCTGATGTTATCCAAGAACTTTGGAATAGAGTCAGAGCCAACCAACTTTGATCCCTTAGAAGAAGCTCAGTAAGTTTGATTGGTACGTAAAGAGTAAAGTTCCTACAACTTTTCGTTACACTGTCCTTTTGACTTTGTTTATCTTCTGTATCTTATTCCAGTTCAAACAATTTTTATAGAATAAAAGCTAACGTATATATACCTGATTACCTGAAGACATAGAAGACGATTTATTACCTGTTATTGATGCATTAAGCAGGAGAAACTGGAATTTAACTTGCACATTGGAAAATTAGAATCTCGGTGGACAGAAAAGAGATAAAACCCTCACAAGTTCTAAATTTCCATGAGAAAATTTGACATCGGATGTCAATAAAATAAATAAACAGAGAAAATTGACAATTTCGGAAAAAGGAAAAAAAGAGCAGAAAATTGTATTATGGGAAAGAAAGGAAAGTCAAATAAAAATACAGGACCGTAATTGTAACTCGATATATGTATGGTTAACAAGACTTTTGCATATCAAAGTCTGGATTTTTATCAATCACAGAGCACCACCAAAGAGATGATGGGTTCTTCAAGCTGTAATGCTGCAGATCTATTGAAAGAGATATTTTTGCTTATGTATTACAAAGACGTGATTTTGAGAAATCCCGGACCACCAAAGATGCGGAGGACGGAGGAAGCCCAAAATTCGATCTATATCACTCAAGATATAATAAAAGAGATATTTTTGAGGCTTCCCCTGAAGTCTCTGGCGAAATTCAAAACGGTGTCAAAAGAATGGAGATGGATACTGGAATCAAAGACTTTCAATGACCTGCATCTGAGTAATCAGAAGTCTGGGAAGAGCCGCCGGAAAATCCTGGCCGGTTACAAGTGCGACTGCTGCGACCGGCCGAATCTCTCGCCCGTGGCAGGCGACGAAGAGTTCGTGTATCTGCACTGCGATACATCACGACCATCGATGAGCTGCGACGGTTTGGTCTGCATCCCGGAACCAGGTTGGGTCAACGTTTTGAATCCACCGACCGGTGAGCTCCGCAGATTTCCTTCCGGCCCAGATCCCGTGCCTTGCCCGATCGCCTCACTCGACCGTCATGTGCCAGGTAATTTATTATTATTCTGTTAACGGGAATTAGACCAATCTTTTTGATATGATTTGGAATCAAATACTGAATTTGGGGCTCTAACAACATCTTTTTGCAGAGCTGTGGTTTAATTATTTCCCGGGGAATTGGGCAATGGGATTCGGTAGAGACAAAGTGACAGGAAGGTATAAAGTGGTGAGGATGTGCTTTGATCCTGTGGAGTGCGATGTTCTCGCGGTTGAAACCGGTGAATGGCGGAAACTGAGGGCACCACCTCCTTACGAGGTCCAGTCAGGAAGAAGATCGGCTTGTGTGAACGGGTCCATCTATTGGCTGGAAGTAGCTTTTTATGTTGGTTACAAGATACTAGGTTTTGATCTTCACACAGAAGAGTTCCATGACGTCAAAAGTCTTCCTAGGCCTTACTTATCGACGGGTACGGCCCAGATACTGAACCTCGACGACCGTCTAGCCATATCGATTACAATGCAACGTCAACAGAAGCTGGAGATTTGGTGCATGGATTCAGAAGAAGAAAGATGGAGCAAAGCCTACTCCATATGTTTAGCCGGTGTTGCTCCGACCGAGCCAGGGTATGTTTGGTGGTACACGCCGGTAATGGTTTCCGAGGAAGGGAATGTTTTGATCAGCGACAATAACAAGGGTTTATTCAAACATTATCCACAGACCAACGTCACTCGTCGTCTCGCATCACCTTCTACTTGTTGCGTTATATCTCCTTATCTCGAAAATTTGGTCCGGCTTTAGATCTAGCTCAATCCTTTTTATTTGTTTACATTATTCGACGATGTTATGTTTACTACGGATTTGCTTTTTTATTTATTTATGCAATTTGGGTTGGTTACTATGTACAAGTGAAATCTATGTTTTAGGTCCCCCTCTTCAAGCGCTAACAAATCGTTTGTTAGGTTGGTTGATGAGGGATTGGCTTACAAGTAAAGTCATTACAGCCGTTTTTTTGTGTGCTTTTTTAACAATAACACTTGTGATGAGTCTGGAGTCACAAAACTTATCTACAACAGTACTGCTGATGTTGTCTTGTCTTTGATGGTTCCCCAACCTTGAAACGTCCTTTGAAAGTGATCCATGATTGTTCAATTTGTGTTTTTTTTTCTTTTGCTCTTGCTCAGGAATGATATATGTTTTGCTCGGAGTGTGTTGTAGTTCCAATCCGTGTTGCAGGCGTCTTTTGACAGTGGCGGACGAGTTTCTGGTTTCCAAAAGGCGCTCAAATTGATTATTTTGGGGGTATGTTTTTCCTTTTTGCAGAAGGAATTGGTAACAGTTTTGAATGTATACTTTCAATAGAATGCTCTAAGTTGTTATCTTATTCGGGAATCGATCCGTCTATTAGAGCTAAAGTTTGGGAATTTCTCCTTGGCTGTTATGCATTGAGCAGCGGCACCTCTTAGCACCGTGAGCAACTCAGGGTAGCCGTAGCCCGAAGATTAGACTGTTTGATGGAGTTAATATGTTGTGTCACCGCTTAAAGTGAGAGAAAGAGAGTGCTGAGGGAAAGTTGATTTTAGTCAGAAAGTGTTATTTGAATTTCACGCAGGAGGCGGTACAACGAATTGCTCAAGCAATGCGAGACGATGCATTCGAGTGTGGGAACTAGTTCACTTGCCTATGTTATGCGGAAATCTTATAGAGATGAGGCGGTAAAGGTTGCTACTACAGATGAAAACAGAGTAGAAGCTTAGGTCGAGTTGACAAGAATGCTGACTTAGTTAGAGAACAACAACATAGGTCCAGTTCAGAGATAGAAGTGATGCATCCGGATTCCGTTGGACCATCGTCTGGTTCTGGCTGCAATGCAGAGATAGTTAATGGCTTGAGAATATCAGATGTCCCTGAAATGGCATCAGTAAAGGAGACTCCCTCTCGTGTTGGGAATGTGACAGAAGATCGAGTGTCTGAATGGCTTTGGACATTGCATCGAATAGGTAGAAATTATTCCTTGTCTTTTCTTTGGAGAATTTGCACAAGTCTTCCTTATTCTGTCCCAGATTACATCTTTCATAGTTAACTTTCTCGTTTCCTCAGTTGTTGACGTGGTAAGGACCAGCCCCGGCCCAATGATGATATTGGGCAAAAAAACATTTTGGGCCCTATAACATATAAATTTTCACTAAATTTTTAATATTTAGGGCCTGTAACATAAAGAATTTTAAAATTTTAGGTTTTTTCTTAATGAAATTTTCATTAATAAATATTAATTTAAATTAAAAATATAACTATTTGAGCTTATTTGTTTGAAAACAAGCCCTATTATATGCAGAATTTTAAAAACAAATAGGTTGGATTCTTGGACGGGCGCACTTCTGCCCACCTCACTTGACTCACTTGACTCGGGGCTGGTAAAGACGGATAGCCACCTTGAGTTCTACGAGGATCCAGGAAAACTAGGAAGAATTTTGGATATCCTTGCAGTTTATGCTTGGGTTGATTCTGCAACTAGTTATTGCCAAGGTTCCATATATCTCTTAAGCTTGATTTCTTAGATACGTTAACTTATGGAGGCTTTATTGGTTTAGGATACTAACTCTATGGTTCTAAATCTATTGATAGGAATGAGAGATTTAGTCTCTCCTTTTGTGGTTCTTTTTGAAGATAATGCCGATGCCTTTTGGTGCTTTGAAATGTTCATAATAAGAACGGTAGATCCAATGCTTAACATTTTCATATGACTTGTTTCTGGCCTTATTTTTATTTGAATCATGATGCATTATGATTTTTCCTCTGTGTCGTGCGAATTTCCAAATGGAGGGACCAACTGGGGTGATGGATCAATTGCAATCACTGTGGCACATATTGAAACTCACTAGTGCTGAAAGTCTTCATTTTGCCTTCTGCATGCTTTTAGTTCTGTTCCGGCGAGAATTGTCTTTTAATGAAGCGCTCCGAATGTGGGAGGTTTGTAGTTCTTTTGTTTTTCCTTCAAATACCGAGTCTTTTGCTTAGTCTCTGTGTTCTGTGGCTACATTTTCATAACCATGAGAATGATTGTTTGGAGCCTTTGGTGATTCAGCTTTCCAAGAAAACCTGAAGCTAAGGTGAGTGAAGAAACAATAGATGATGGAATTGGTAATAATACAAAGAGGGAGCAAACATCTTCAAAGAGGGACCAATTTCAAAGAGCAGCGGTTTGTTGTCTAGGAGCGGTTTGCTGCCCAAGAGTGGTCCGTTGCCAAAGACTACCGGTCCATTCTCTGACGAGAGTGGGATAAAGTCAGCCTCACCATCATCCTCCTCCACATATCACTTCTATGGTTTGACAAGAAGTCTATGGTCAAGGACCGATAGAACAACACATGTCCCTTGTGTAATTTCATCCATAAAAAAAGGGGATGATGCTCTTCTTGTCTTTTGTGTGGCGGCGATTTTAATCATAAACCGACAAAGTTTATGAAAGAAGCTTGGTCGATGACATGATCATTGATGCAAACTCTATACACCTTTGTTATGCAAGCAGAAAAAAATGACGTGAAATTGAGAAGACTTGTCTTTAAATATATCTTTTTTTTTTTTTAGGATACATCTCAGCTTTGAAAAAAAAGTATATAATTAATGATAGAGAATACTTTGACCAATCATTCAAAAGAGAAATATCCCAAATGATACAAAAGAAAAAGATAAAATGGATTCATATTAAGAAAAGAGTTGGCACCCGGATTAAAGTTGGTCAATAGTCTAAATTCAAAAAGTAACATTAACTTACACACCACATGCATGACATATTATATCATCAATGGGCCATATTCTACAATAACTTACACAACACATGCATGGCATATTATATCATCAATGGGCCATATTCTACAAAGCAAGGCCAGGCTAGGCTCTAGGCCCAACGGCTGTAAACCGCCATAGCTCATGCATCTTAATTTCCATCCGTCATCCCGACCTATATGTATCGGACCGGAAACTACGAAATTATAATTTACTATATCGTTACTTTTAATTTCAAGTAGTAGTATTAAGAGAATAACCAAAAAAACATATATTTGTGTCATAAACAGTTTGGCTGAAGAAATCCAGCTTCTATTCCTCCGGCGTGAATACAAGCCGATGCAGCCGGTTTATTCCGGTACGTTAACTTCACATCCTGAAGTCGAATTCCGGTACACGGTTTCGTAGGACTACAATCAAGTTTCACCCCAACCTCAGTCGCTGATGTTCCGTGTATATCTACGAACAACACATCGCTGATTTTGATCCCCGAAACCTAAAAAATTAAAAGAGAAGTTTGATGAATCTCCAAAATATCAAATATGGCATATGTATCTGTATATTATTACTACACCAATATAAGCTAAGTAAGAACCTGGCGAGGGCAATTTTCGTTGCGAGGACAATAGTTTTGGTCAATGACTATGGGATTCTCTACGTTGTTCATAACGCAGTGTTGGAAACGGATGTTCCTAGCGAATCCACTACTGGCCCTGGCCCATGATTTAATCCTCACTCCGTTATCTGTTCCCTTAAACGTCACCGTTTTCACTGTCACGTTCTGTACACCTGCTTCCACGCTATCCTTCCCCAAGCTCCCAATGCTGCAAATGCAATTATCCCATCAATATATATAAAAAAAAACTTTAACAAACCAACAGTATATCAATAAAAAAATATTATTCTGATCAGAATATAATATTTAAACATTACGTTCATATGTGTGAATATATGAAATTAACCTTGTCATAAGGCTAATATTGAGTTATATAATTTTAACATATGTTATTTAGTTTTGTAATGGAACGCATCGTATATACCTAATGCCGTGACCGGGACCACATGCGACATTTTCGATCCAGAGTCCGTTAGTGCCGGGACCGATGGAGACACAATCGTCGCCGGTGGAGATTTTTGTGTTGAAGATTGAAACGGTGGAGGAAGACTGAACGTGGATACCGTCGGTATTGGGGCTGTTTCCGGCGGCTGATACTTTGACTCCTTGAAGCTTCACGTTGTTGCAACCGTTGATTACAACGTGGAACATCTGGCTGTTGAGTGACGTCAGGCCGGAGACCACGACGTTGCTTGAGCTCTGAAACCCTATGGTCTGTTGATTCACATGATCAGACTCAAACCGCCTCATTTATTAATTAAATCATTTACGTATATTGTATATTTTAGTATATGATATTGATACATATATGAATCCATGGTTGGTCACTTGGTCCACGTGAATTGTGTTGGATTGGTTTTAAGAAATCGTTATAACTTCATAATTCAGAAAAGTGTGTCATATTCGTTATATATACTCTTATACATATAATAATTATATTTTGGAAATTAATCAAGCAAATGTCTCTTCAGAAAATTAACTTCAAGTTCTTGAGCCTTATTGTTTCTTGTTTATCTTGCAATGAAGCAAGCTAATATATAACTAATTAGCATTGACATTCATACCGAGAATCTAGTTTTCTTCTTACTATGAAAAATGGCGATGTCTAGTGGCATTGGCTTAAACGTCCCAAATTTTAATGTCCACAATTTTTATTAATAAAAAATGTCCTAGAGAGGATTTTGTAACAAAAGGGAAATGTAAAAAATGCAAAATAGTAGTGAAATTAATGGTAAAATTTGAAGACGTTACTTACCGTGGCTCCGCTGGGGCAAGTCTTGCCGGACTTTTTACAATCCCATAGAGAAGCTCCTCGAGCGTCAAGAACTCCGCCGTAGACGGTGATTCCGTCGAGATGGTTGAAGAAAATCCAATAGTCTTCATTTCCGATAACTCGATAATCAGCCGGAGCCACCAAAGTACCGTCGATACGGAACGTGACCTGTTTGGGCTTGCACTTGGACCCGTCGAAATTAAGGCTCCTTAACAAGAACCGGCCTTTAGGAACCACAATGGTAACAGGACGAGGAGAGGCACAAGCGGTTTCCCAAACCGCCATGAACGCTTTGGTTGCGTCTGTCTTACCGTCTGGCTTAGCTCCGAAAGACAAGACATTGTAGGATTGAGCAGAACAAGAGGAAATGAAAAGGAAGACGAAGAGGACAAGAGGTGAAGTCATTGTATGTCGCTAACGTACGCTTGTTGAGAGATAATTAAAGAGGGAGAGAGAGTGGAGTAGTGGTGGTGGTGTGGGAAGTTTTAACGGTTATGGAATGTATTTATAGTGTTTCTGTTGTATATGAAGGGAATTTTTTTGTTTGTTTTTATTTAACTATAATAAAATTATTGGATTTGGCATGCATGAACGTAAAGTAGCCTTTTAAATGAATAATAAATTAGGTGTGAATTTGTTTTGCATGATTGTTTTTATTCATTCGAAACGTATCAAATATATATATATATATATATGTGTGTGTGTGTGTTGTATATAAGATCTGTAAATTTGTTGTTATGTTAAAATGGAATATTACGTACATATAATATGTTTTAAGAGACTCCTTTTTCTTCATCGGTTGTCATGTGAGTAAAATTAGAACAATTCTCAGCTATTTATGACTTTTTTTTGGGTGCAAATGATTAAATTCCATAAATGCCTATTTTTCAGCTATTTATACAAAATAGGTAAATTTCATAGTTTTTTAAAAGAAAATTTGAACATTAGTTTCTTTTAAATATTGTATGGCATTGTTAGAGCATCTTCATTAGTGAGATACATTCCTTCAATATCTCATCTATATAATACTAATATTTTCAATGTAATGTTGTGATATAGTAAATTTTATTTATAAAAGAAAATTAAATCAATCATATTTGTCATTCTCTCTTTAAAAAAAAAGTATTAATATTTTATTGTGAGAACTTCATTAAGACACATGCTCTTAACTGAGTTTTTGGAGATTTCAGGGATTGAAATGAATTTTGCCCTGCAATGATATCTGTTTTGTAAATAAATAAAAAAGGTTTATTAGCATATAATTTTTACATAAGTATTGTTGATTCATTTATTTTAATAATATTTTTAGATTGACAGTCTTCATCTTGTATTTAAAATGAATAAATGATACATATGCTTTAATTTCTTTTACACCACAAGCGAAACCTAAATCTTTGATAAAAAAATAAAATCGTGGTGTGAAAGAGAATGCGGAGAAGTAGAATAAAAGTTAGAAAATAAAATTACAATGGTCAATTTATAATTATTGGAGAAATATACGAAACCAAACGTACATGGAAGAGTTCGTTAATTTATGAGAAGAACACGCAAAGTCTTTACACTTTTGGCAGCACCTCCGACGTGATTAAGCCGCAAAATTAATTTTATTTTTTTTAATTCAACTTACAAACAAAAAAAATTGTAATTTTAAAGATAGTGTGGATAATTTGTTATCAAATTATAAAGCTTCGAGCTTCGAGAAATTTTATCAGAATTTAAATCAAACTATTCTGAATTACGTGATGCAAAGGTTGAAAAAAGACAACAGAGAAGATTAGGGAACAAGTATGAGGAAAACAATATTGGGGCGATTGGATAATGTAGTCCGTAGACCGTAGACTTCGAATGGATGGGAGCAACATGGTTACGTAACGTGACAAGTGGAAAATAATACGGAGAAGAAATGGGCCAAATTCTTAATCAATTAAAAAAAAAAAGAACGAAACAAAATAAATTGAGCCAATGACCACACCGAAAGGTTCTTCAAATCTCCGATAAAATAATAAATGTCTTCCTTACACTTGAATGTTTTCTTAAGTCAAACATTTGATTACTGACATTGTTCATGTTCATGCACTTGAATTAACGTGCCAATGGCGATAATTAGAAATGAAAGACGTGATGAGATTAATAAAATAATTAATTTGATTATACTTTTACAGTAGTTACTTATCAAATCAAAGTCAATGGAAGGATCATGTTGCGCCGTATTAATCCTAATTGCCGTAGAGGTTGATTTGTGACTCAAACAGCTTCGATCCTTTATTTTGGACATGGCTAGAAGAATTGTGCTCCGAAATTTGCGTATGTTATATATGATAAGTTATTTACGTTGATAAGCCACTCTTAGTTATATGTTTTGAATCTTATGATCCCTAGATCTGATCCCACCCCATTGCTCTTTTCAACTTAAAGTTGTATGTGTAAATATGTTTTATATTTTTTTTTTGCTTTCTTGACTATTATATACAATATCGTGATATATGTTTAGTATACCAAAACCCATCCATAGTTCAACAAATGCCTATTGTACCAATTAAACTGAACCAAATCGAAACCGAACTAACCGAGTCAAATCAAAACCAACCCCAATTAGGTTATAAAAGTTATTTGTAACTCCAAATTCCAACCAAACCAAAACTAATCCCAATTTCATTTTTGATCAGTTTTTAGGTATCAATATAATAACAATAGAAGTATTAATCTGTATTCATATTTCTGGTTTAGTTATAAAAAAAACTAAACCATACCACAAATTAAACCGTAAGAACTCAACTTAACTGAGGTAAACTGAAAATCAAAATGACAATCCCTACCTACGTATGAAGTGATGTCTTTGATCTAGTATATGATTCGATCATAAACCAATCATCAAGTTGTATAAGCTCAAATAATAAATTTTTTATTTATAATATCATAATATTGTTGTCCAGGGGGTATGATCACATGAATTGCAAGATCTCAGAAATATCATGTTTAAATTCACGTAACACAATTATTACGTATGCATAAATGCTTTGCCGCATTTATTGGTAAGGACATCATGTTGAGTTCATGTTTCTCTTTGATTGTCACGTATGTGTTACACACTGCCACATGATGCCAATGCCATGTCAGTATATATACAAATAATTTTGTTATGTTAGTCGAGGTTAGATACTGATTATGAGAAGCAGTTAATGTACACCTTAGTAAATATCACGTACCGTTGGTTCAAGATCGCCATTGGTCTAGATTTGGATTTAGAAAGACCATTTTATATTAATTTCACCTAACCTTATAATACGCGCAGTACTTCATAATTTTACTCACAAACCACTCACCCAAGGGCTCTTGGACATTCGTGGATATTTTTTCAATTTTCTTGGGGGATTTTTAGCCTTTTAGTGGATACATTTGATTTGAGGAGTTGACCTCTACACATAAGATAATTCATTATTTATAGGCATTAGCCAACATACACAGGGCTATAGCCATGTGATCTTGTAAATAAATTCGAATCGATTTCTTAAGTGAGAACCCAATATTAGATATTTAACTAAATAAAACAGTGGATCGCAATTGTCATTAGTTTTTCATCGATTTGATCCATGGTAAATTAACAATTATGAGTTTTTATAGGTAGATTTTTTTCCCCAAGCCAAACATAGCTACAAACGCGCGAGGAGAAAACCATAGTAGCACGTTCGAGAAGAGAAATAAATCACTCACATTAGAGTTACGAATTGTGTGATATGCAAAACAAGTACAGGTATGTTTCTGGACTTCGAAAAATTTGGGCCTCGAGAAGTAAACAAGGCCTTGAAATGGGCCCACAATAAATCAAGAACCCCTTTTTGGCATTCCATTTTTTTTTGTTCTTTCTGTTATATGTAGCACACAAGTTATGGATTTGACATTTGAGAGAAACAAATAATGTGATACAAACAAACTACAAAGCATAAAGAAAAGAAAAAGAGATGTTCATTATCTAGAACGTGACACTATAAAACTGTAGGCGTTTTGCTGTTTCAACTCTCAAGGCTCACGAATACCTCATTTAAAATCATCTAACAAGAAATAAAATGATCTATAGTATTCATAAAACATGAGTCTAAATTATAAATATAGAAGAAATTTGCAAAAAAACAATATAGCTATTGTCAGATGTAAGACTAAGCACGCTCGCATACTATATTGGTTTTTTTTTAATATATTTTTAAAATATGATTTACTTGATAAATTGATACTTTTTTTTTTTTTACAAAAATAGCTACTTTCACATTTGTATCCTTCATGTCTATTATCAACTCTAGTTCAATTTGTTTTCTTCAGTTATTTCATTATTTAATTTCTTAAATATATTGAGTTACTTATATAGTTAATTTTATTTTCTTCGACATAGCATTATATTAAAATTAAAATGTACTATCGAGAGGTTTTCAGGAGCCATGGATAATGGATTGCACATATTCCCGCCCAATTGTCCTGCAGAATTTCCTCCATGTGACACTACAATAAACTCCAACTGTAACAGATAACTTTTGTTTCTAGGTTTCTTCTACCACTTGATTAATCTTGTTATTTTATAATTACCGAATAGATCTAGGAAATTTTATTTATATCCTGTGTTTGATTACACCGTGTTGTGAAATCGTCATATGTCTTATATATTATGAACATACTATCCCAAATCTAGAAAAGATAAATTAAAATATCAAACTTGAAATGTTTTAAAAAAAATTATGATACAATGAATTAATTTAAAAAAGACCACTACATTGTTTGCAATTCATGAGACTCACAAAAGCTGTCACACAAAAGCTAAAGATACATAATAATGATTAAATAACATGGAATCAAGTAACACTTAGGTCACTTATATTTTAATGCACCGAGTATAACGCGATTAGTCATTAAGACACGGATCGTCCGATCTAATACAAAAAGTCTTTTCTTCCTATATAAACCTTTCTCATTGTTTCTTCTAAATCACTATAATCATACAAAGCCATCAAAGATTAGAAAAAATCAAAGATGGCTAAAAACATCTCTTTTCCTTTTGTCATCATATTATTATTATCCACTGTCTTGTTTCTTATTAACTCTTCCAACGCAATGCCTTCGTTCAACGTACAAAGATACGGAGCTAGAGGTGATGGAAGAACAGACGCGACCACGCCATTTTTGAAGGCTTGGTCACTAGCCTGCGGCTCAAGAGCTCGAGCCATGGTCTACGTTCCCCGTGGAACATACTTGGTTAGAAACCTAGTCTTTTGGGGTCCTTGCAAGAATATTATAACTTTCAAAATGGATGGAACACTCGTAGCTCCAACGAATTACTGGAGTATAGGTAATTCTGGTTATTGGATCCTATTCGCTAAGGTAAACCGGATATCGGTTTATGGTGGAACCATTGATGCTAGAGGAGCTGGTTATTGGTCTTGTAGAAAGAAAGGTAGTCATTGTCCTCAAGGTGCAAGGGTACG